CCGGTACGAACCGGATTTGGGTACCAGCATACCAGCCTTTACAAAAGCTGCTGACGCAGGAGGTTCACGACTCCAACCTTTCCGGGCATTTCGGCACCGACAAAACACTGAAGCTGCTGCAGCGGAATTATTACTGGCCGGACATGTTCACTGATGTGCAGCGCTACGTGTCAACCTGCCCGACCTGCCAAGCAATGAAGTCGTCGCGACAACGGCCAGCCGGACTGCTGCAACCCCTCGAGCCACCCGAACGACCGTGGCAACAGGTGACGATGGATTTCGTCACGGGGCTACCAGCTGGCGCGAGTGGCAACGACTCGGTGCTGGTCGTCGTCGATCGCCTAACGAAAATGGCGCATTTCGCCCCATGCCGAACGACGATCACAGCCGAAGATACAGCCAAACTGTTCATCTCCACCGTCGTACGCCTACACGGGTTACCTTCGGCGATCATCAGCGATCGAGATCCGAAATTTACGTCGAAGTTCTGGCAGGAGACGTGGGCACAGTACCGTCATCACCCGGATATAAGACAGTGTTGAATAGTAGACAGGGGTTGTCTATTATACGGGTGTCTCTTATAAACAGGCTAGCCTCATTATAAGACACCTATTTGTGTGTACGGGTTAAGAAAGTGTAGGAGTTAGGGGCAAATGTATAGCGAGGGGGTATCTTCTAAACGGTTCTTTGTCCATTTATAAGATTTATAAGACACCCTAAACCATCCCGTTTACAAGATAACTCAAGCATTTTTGCCCGTGTACGAGATAAGACATATATGTCTTATATCCGGGCGATGACGGTACGGTACCCGCCTGCAATTTTCGTCGTCATACCACCCGCAAACCGACGGACAGACGGAACGGACAAATCAGACCATGGAGCAACTGATTCGCACCAACTGCCCAGATATCCGCAAGTGGGAGGATTCGCTGCCGATGCTGGAATTCGCGTACAACAACGCCCCTTCGGCCACGACTCGACAATCGCCTTTCTTCCTAAATTACGGGATAGACCCCGTGGTACCCTCTTCAACGACTGTGGACAACCCGGTACCACGCTCGCAGCAGTTTGTCACGGAGCTGCAGACCGCCCGCACGAAAGCAGCTGATTTTATTCGACGGGCTAATACCACAGCCAGCCACCAGGCGGACAAGCATCGACGGAATTTACCCTTCTGCGTAGGGCAGGTTGTGCTCTTGGACACCAAGAATCTTCGTCTGCCGCAGCCCGCGAAATTACGGCCCCGATACGTGGGACCATTTCGGATCATCCAGATGGTGACACCTGTCACCGCGAAGCTGCTGCTGCCCGACGACTGGAAAATTCATGACGCGTTCCACGTCAGCCTACTGCGTCATTACGAACAGCCGCAGTCGCCAGCTGTTGCTCGGCCAACCATCGCGCCGACCACCCGTCCAGTAGCAGAACCCACGCTGGAACCTTGGAAGATTCTCAACCATCGCGTGGACGTAACCGCCGCCGGCCGCGCGGTGAAATTCCTACTTCGCTGGAAAGAACGCACGAGCGAGGACGACACGTACGTCAACGCGGACTCGCTACTGGGACATCCGGTTGTGGATGCTTACCTGGCCCGCCGAGGTGTCTCGGATATTCACCACCTTTCTTAAAGGGGGGGGTAGTGTAAGGAATTTTTCGGATTCCTTACTGGGTCACTCCGTACGCGTACAACCCCGACTTTCGGAAAACCAGGCTCGGCCCGCCGACCTCGCCTTCCGAGCCACCACCGCGTCGCCTTCGGGTTTTCCAACCCCGAACCTGCACCCAACCATCTCGCGACCCCGCGACCTCGGCCTAGCTAGCCTTGCTATATTGTGCCTAGGCCTCGTTGTTCATTCAGACGTTGTAATCACTTCCGCGTTATTGAATTCTGCGCACTCTTTCATTCACAACTCATAACAAGAACCGCGGATAAAAAGCTGGTTCAGATCACCTAGCCATATCCTTGCTGGTTCAGAACTCATCATAATATACACAAGAATCAAGGTACAGGTGTTCCAGGTTAAAGGCCATTGCTAGATGAGTCCATTTTCCATCTTGAGTAGAATTTTCCGATATTGCCTAGGGTTGTCCCGACCCCTATAGTCCCATCTTTGGTGGGAAATTTTGAGGCTTGACCGAATCATTGCACGAATCAGCTCCGCAGCCAATCAGAGGCTCCAAATTGAACCATCCCAACATCCGGAGAAAATTATAGATAAGGGATCATCGATTCGACATTTAACCTCCAAATTCTAAGTAATTGTTTTTCTTGACCGTGATCACTTCTCAATCCTGTTGCGCGGTCTCCAGCGCGCTCGACGATGACATCACGTTTATCTCGTTTACAGGGTAAAACAGAAGTTTTTACCTTCTAATCGACCCCCAAACCATAGTTTATTTTGTTTTCTTTTTCCCGTTGGTCATGCGAAATTGATCAGCGCGTGGAAGCGTGTGACAAGAAGTTGAAGCCAGCGCGGTCCAAATTTAAGAAAAAGACCAAAAACCAAACATTTTAGCAAACAAACCACTATTCATGTAAATTGTCTGAACGGGACTATAAATATCGCGTTTTGCCTGGGGTTTGAAAATTTCGGCATACAGTCCACGCGCTTCGGCTCAACCCGTCGGACTATAAGCCGAAACACCTGTAATCAGGATTGATGATGATGTGATGTAGGCGGAATGCCCCAACATCCTCTGGATGGTCTACAGCGAGACAAAAAGAGCCAGTTGATGCGGTGCGGTGCGGTGTGAGCCTTGGCAACGAGCTTAACCTTGAGAAAACATACTGAACCGTACTGTATGATCAGCGGTGCAACGCGCGGGCACCCTCTGACAGACATTTAGCGCAGAACTTCGAATTTGAACACAACCAATCGCACCGATGCGCGCCAAATGCCCCCTCTGACACTACCAGCACCGCTCCCCCTGCCACCTTTTTCAAACACGCTCCACCCACCTCTCGTGCATTCACCCACCACAGCAGGCAGCGACACCTAGTGACCTAGTCGCACTGATCTCAACTCATCCACGATATAGACACCTATCGCAAACGCTTCCCCGCCTACTTTTGCCCCTGTAGAAACTCTGTCACCGCCAGCGGCCGTCCTCGAAACCTCGAGATTTCCTTCCATTGCTGCTTGTGTTGGTGCCGCCTAAGAAATAGACGCCTCAGGGGTTTTCCCCATCCAAGCTTCCGTAGTTGTCACCGGAACATGGGAGTTAAGAGCCTCTGGTCGCTCCTCGAGCCGGCGAGACGGACCATTCCACTCGAAGATCTCGAGTAAGACCCGACTAGCACAGCCCGCTTGTCAATGACCTCGTTCCTCTCTCCGCATTCCACGCCTAGCGGTATCGCTGAGTCTAGAGATTAATAGTTCCTCCCGAGCGCTCTAACCTGATTCCCGAGCCTCATATTACTCCGTCGCCGTGCGCGCAGGAACAAGACCATCTGCGTGGATCTCTCCTATTGGATCGTTCAGTTCGCCGCTAGCTGCCAGAACGGTCCACCGCAGTCGGGCGGGCAGAGCAATCAGAAGCCGCATCTTCGCGGAATATTCCACCGCCTGCGCGCGCTGAAAGCGCTAAACTGCCACGTCATCTTCGTTACAGGTGTGATTGAGCTATCCCCTCCTTATTCCTTCCTCCGTTACATTCGTTGCGACACGCTAGCGTTACCTCTCCCATTTCCTTCGCGGTTGAGTCGCGTCCCTGTCCGTCGCTCCTCCTTGCCCGTTCGTACTGATCTTACGCCTTTGAATGGTCGTCGCTTGCACCGTCGCTCGTCTGTCGCCCACTATCGCCTCCCGACATATCCCACGTCAGATGGCGACGTGCCAGCTGTCAAGCGCGCGACGTACCAGCAGAGGAGGGCGGACGATGCCGCCACGTCACACCCTCACTGGCGCCGCGCGGGTCGAGGCACCGCTGCCGCAGGTTTTGCTAGAGCCATTGTCACAGGTTCAGCGGCGGCCACTGGTGAAGCTGACTCAGGCGCACAGCCTACTAACAAGGTAGAGCATTCTCCTTTCTTTAACCCCGAGCATCTCCTTTCTTTCACCCCTGATTGAATCCATCCGCCATGCGTCATGCTGCGCACTGTGATACACACTCACCACCTCCCTTTCCGCTTCTCTTCATCATTCCCTCCTCCCTCCCCCGCGGTCCTTTCCCCCAGGCCCCCCGCGCCCCTGAGGGCGCGCTGAAGAGGCGGAGGGGGACTGAGTTTGCGCGCATGGTGGCGGACGCGAAGGCGCTAGGGGCAGCGTGGGGCGTGCCGTGCATTGACAGGTGGGGAGGGGGGGGTGGGGTGGGGGGGGGAGGTGGGGTGGTGGGGGGGTTGGGATTGGGAGGGACTTGTAAGGAGGGGAAGTGTTTTCTTGTGAAGGTCATGACATGGGCAGCACGAGGAGTGTTACTTGATGCAGCATGAAGTGTTGGGGCAGCATGGGGCGAGCCGTGCATTGACAAAAGAGGGGTGTGCCCAATGAAAAGAGTGGTTCTTGTCGGTGAGGCATCATCAATATGGCAGGGGGAATCCGCCATGCTTCTCCCATCACACCCAGACGGAACGTCTTGTACCCTTCTGTGTGTGCCATGGCTTGTGCCAGAGGCACAGTGATTCTTGTCTCGTCCCCTCCACTCCTATCCCGCCTTAATCTCCTCTAGCGTCTCTCATCCTATGCTTTCGCCCTCCCTGCACTCCCACCACCAGTCCTGAGGAGGCAGAAGCTCAGTGCGCGCTTCTCAACGCATCTGGCGTGTGTGTGAGTGCTCGTATCTCCACTCACCGTGCCCTCTCTCTCACTTCCTCCTCCCTTCACTCGCACTCTCCTCCCTTCTTCTCATACGTTTCTTCCCTATGCAAGTGAACCAGAAATGTAAAGATACAAATTTCATTCCTCTGCCCCATCTATGGGCTCATGCTGCACACACACACACCGCACTCATCACCCCCACCGCACTCATCACCCCCACCGCCTCTCAACTATCCACCTATGCATCAGGACGTGGTGTGTACGGGCGACTCTGACGCGTTTCTGTTTGGAGCCAAGGCCGTGGTTCGGGATATCTGCCTGCACAAAGGTGCGTATGGCTAGAGTGTGTTGTTTGAGCAGGGATGCGAGGGGTGCACGGGCGAAAGTGAGCAGCCAAGCGGTAGTTGGGCCACTGTGGGAGGGTTTCGCATGGATGGAAGGGCGTGGCTGCAGTGCAAACACCTTGTATCCTCCTCCTCATCCTCCCCCTCTTGCTGGTACGTAGACCATTCCCCTCCCTGCGCTCAATGCTCTCCCTGCTGTTCCGCCGCCAGGTGTCAACTGGGCTGTCCTCTACACTGCAGCGGACATCTCGGCCTCGCTCAGCCTCGGCCGAAACTCACTAGTGAGAGCCCACTTATGTCATGCCACGCCGTGCATGCCTTACCATGTCATATTATCTACCATTTGAGTTGTGACTCAAAGTTCCGCTCCACTCCTATCCCTCTCTCTTGTGCTCAGCCCGTCCTCGCATTCGTTCTGTGCTGTGCTGTGATCTTCCGCTGCATTGTTATTCAGATCGCCATGGGGCTATTTCTAGGCTCAGACTACTTGCAAGGCGTCTCCACTGCTCCCACGCTCCGTGCTAGAGTGAGTGCTCTGCTGCCCCCATTCCGTGTGAATCTTAGCTATTGTAGTCAAGCATCCCAGCCCATCCCTTCCAGTCTCATTACATTCTCTAGCCCACTCAAGTCAAACGAACCCCACGCATTCCCTCTCTATCACCTCCTCTTCCCCAACTTCACCTACCAGCAAGGAGCGGTGCAGAGGGTGGCAACACTGGGCGAGACGGTGTGCTAGCATCTATAAGGGAAAGAGGCCTGGCTGCCATTGCTGCTCCCAAAGCTCGCAGGAGAGTGGGACCTGGCACAGGGGCGCAAGGGAAGAAAGGACAGCAGAGGCGGAAAGGAGTTGGAGGAGGGGAAGGGAAAGGCAGGGGAGGTGTAACAGATTCTAGTGAGAGCGGTATGAGTGGTAGTGTTGGTGTTGGTACAGGGGGTGGCATTGGGGGAGAGGGGAATCCGTCAGCAGGAGAAGGAGGGCATGAGCGAGGGGCGAGGGAGGTGGAGGAGGGGGGGGAAGAGCAGGCGAGGGAGGATGCTGCGAGGGTGATAGAAGCGTTTCTGAATCCTCCGTGTCACGACGCTGCATCGGATGCTGTCAAAAGGTAAGGACACGCACGGTTGTGTTGCGTTGATGTATATGGAAGCCGGGAAGTGATACAATGTAACGTATGCTGAAGTGGCAGCAGCAAGCGGTGTTCAGGAGGAATATGATAAGATGAGGTATCTATGCGCTAGCAGCTACTGAGTTTGTGTGTTGCATTTGATGGCAACACTCAAGTCACACGTTGACTGGCCCCACTTTCCATAATTGCACTTGGCTTCTCTCCATTTCACCAGTCCCTGCTGCTATTTTTTCCCAACGTTCTCTACATTCCCCTCTTTTACCCCATCATGCATGTTCCAGTGCGTTACAGAAGCACTGCAGCCCTTCATATGCTGACATCGTCGCCTTCTGTGACAGGCACATGGCATGGCCTGCTGACGTCACAGGTGCGTGTGCCATGGGACGTTGACTGCCTACCACATGTCCTCAAGTGAAGCTGCAACCCTTCTCATCTCCTTTTGCTAGTTTCTACTTGCCTTTCCCTTCTCCATCGCCACCATACCCAGTATGGTACATTGGTACCATACTAGGCAAACTAGAACCCAATCCTTCCCTTCTTCTTCCCTTTCAATGCTCCTACTACCCCCACAGCCCGCCCCCTGTGAATCCACCCCCACGTTACCCACCACGGTACACTGGGTTCACAATAACAGAATGAGATGCCATCCTTTCCCTTTTTCTCCCCATGACACGCTCCATCCGCCCTTGCCCCCTGCCCCCACCACACTCAGCACGGTACATTGGGTCAAAGCTAGCAGAACGAGACCTCAGGCGCTTGCTGCTGGTGCAGCAGGCAGCAGAGATCTGTGTGACACCAGGGAAGGAAGCTTCCAGGGAACCCGAGGAAGTCGGGGGGATGCTAGATGGAGTGAGGTACAGGGTGGGCGGCATAGTGAAGGAGCGGTGGGTGGCTGGTCATAGGATGTTCGAGGTTTCGTGGACCGGGCAGCCTGAAGTTGAAAACTCGGTTGTTCGGGCAGAATTACTCACGAGGTAAGTGGTTGGTGTTGGAATTGTCGTGAGGAGTTCCTTCTGCCTTGTCTTGAGGAGTTGCCCTTGTTTTTGGATGTACTAAACGTTGTTGCTGCACTGGCAGGGTTCATCCGGAAATGGTGCAAGCATATGAAGCAGAGAAGGAGGCTGGAAGGAAGAAGGGCCGACGGAAACAGCAGAAGAAGGCAATGGAGACGAGGGAGGCGAAGGAGAAGGAAACGATGGAGAAGAGTGAGTTCATGACTGGCTTGAGAGAGGCACCCATAAATGATGCTTGTGGCGGATATACGGAGTGGGAGGATGAGACGGAGTACCAGCAGACTCAAGGTGTGGCAGAGCAACCAGTCCATACAGATAATTCAGTGGCAGAGTGGTCACGTACATTGCTGTTTTCAGTAACGAATGGCAGCAGTGAGAGAATCAGTGCAGATGCGGGTACATCTGCTGATTTGGAGGGAGACAGGGAGCCATTCAGCAGATTGGAGCCCAGCCTCTATGATCAGTTGGGCTTGCCCTCCAGAATCAGGCAGATCGAAAGCGACCAGGCTGCTCTATCCTCTGCACAGAATCATGACATACAAGCAAGGGGAGCGGTGCATCAGATGAAGAAGATTGTTGAGAGTGCGAGCCATGAGGAGGATGTGGTTGAAGCGGGAAGGCAGGAAGTGGGAGTGCTGAAGCGCTGCCAGAAAGCAGATGTGAAGCCTGTGGAGAGCAGAAGCAGGGGAGCAGTGAAAAGCAATGAGAATGGGCTGCTGTGGGTTTGGCAGCAGGAGGACTACCCACCCAAGGAGCAGCAGAAGGGAAAGAGAAGCAGGGTGCATGACCGTAGTGCTGTACAGAATGCTCAGCAACGGAGAGGGGGTCCATTGATTGACTTGACAAACATGACCACCCTGCAAAATGACACACAGAATTCAACGACCGCGGTTGAGTCAGTTGGGATAAGCAATGGCGGAAAGGCTGTGAGTGATTGCATTGACTTGGTTCACCTGGGTAACGATGACAGCCCTGGTGGAATGCGTGGAAGAGGACAGGCAGGAGGAGGAAGCAAGCTCGTGAGAAGAGACAGCGTCCATGGTGGACCAAACAGATGGGTTTCTTCTGGCAAGCATGAAGTGGTGGACTTGGACACTCCAGAGTCTGTCACCGTGAAGGTGGCTTTGAGGGGAAATGCCATGCTTCAAGAGGCAGGAGGAGGCTGTCTATTGGCTTCTAAACTCGACTTCGCGGTAGCCAATTGGGAGGGAGAAAGTAGTTGCGCTTTGCTGAACTTGATTGATTTGGAGGACAGCGATGACTAGATTGCTAAGGTGGCTTATTTCTGTACCTCCTGAACTACAAACACCTTCCTGAAGATAACCCAGATCGTCGATCGACTTTCTCATGTCTACTTGTCGAAAGCTAAATATTTCTGCCAAATAGCACGAGATTGCAGCGACCGTGATTAGTTTTTCACAAACCGTCGTACTCGATGGGACATCTTACCCTACGTGTTGCGCTAGACGGCTCCGCCGCTTTCACCAGTATTCAAGATGCAGTGGACGCCATCCCAGGCAAAAGCCAACCAACGATCATACAGATCGACCCAGGCACTTACTTCGAACAGGTCCGCAAACCACAAGCAACGTGTTCTGATAATAGATTTGTCAGATTGCAAGAAACCGCTGTTATTGACGTTTCAAGCATCAGTGAGCCGCTAAGATTAACAGTGCTTTTTCCCCCATGTGTAACCATTCCCGTCAGGTTCTAGTTCCATCGTCCAAGAAATGCATAAGATTCATCGGGACTGGACCTTCATGGTCAACGATAATCTGTTTCGACGCATTCAACGGAAAAGCTCGACCTCCGCATGCACGTCGCGCCTTAGGCGATCGTACGACTCATGTATACAACACGTACGATTGTGCCACAGTTCAGGTAAGAGATTGCAAGCGCTCTAGCAATGCCAACTTCGAGTCTCTAGTTATGCCAATCGTTGCCCATTTCACAATGTTCCCAGGTGGAGGCTTCAGGCATTACTATGGTTAACATTGTCATCGTCAACCAATCAAGGCCAGGCTGTGGCGGTCAGTCACGGCAAAATCAGGCAGTGGCGTTTCGCACGTCGGGAGACGAGGTTCAGCTCCATGGGTGCTGGCTACGAAGCTGGCAAGCGACGCTTTACGCTCATCAAGGGCGGCAGGTGAGCACCCTCCTAGTCGACATTGGAATCTAATTACGCCTATCTTGTTGTCAAAGAAACAATGCTTTCAACGGCAAGTTTCAACCATGCAGAACAAAATGCTTCTAAATATATCAGATGTAGTACAAGTGGAAAAATTATAAACACGGGTATGAATGACACTCGAGGCATGAGGTTGTAAGGATGGTGCCAGAGCCAGCATCAGAAGGCGTAGGGGTCATCCACATTAACTTCGGAAACCTGCCAGTCAGCATTGTATCCAGTCGTAACCTGTGGAGAGGTAAGCTTTGTATGTTTGAACAAGTGAGCAAGTATGGAACGATGGAGTTTGAACAAACCTTAGCGAAGTCCATCTTGGAATCATTAGGATTGATGTCGCCTTCCTGTAAGTTAAGATGCTGTCAGGAGAGGAATTGGAAATAGCAAAACCGTCATAAGAAGAGATGTAGTACCATGTGCTTCAGCTGCTTCTTCTTGGAAAACGTAGATGTAGCTTTGGTGACGAAATCCAACTGGGGCAAACCAAAACATTTGTCAAGATTCTCTCTTCACCAAAGGTAAAGCATTGCTGAAGGGTACTTGCCTGTTTGGAAGTAGCAGCTTTTGCGTCCAAAACGAGATCCTGCTGCTGTTGCGTAGATATTGCTGGCTGGAGCCTCAACTTCTTCCCCGAAAGTTTTTTCTGTAAAATCAGAGATTGTAAGAGAATTCTCACCCTGAAAACGTCATAGTCAGAAGCGTGGACAACCCACCCGTGACTTCAGTGTCTTTGATGCAGTAAGATTCAGTGTTTCAGCGGCTACATTGGTCGCAGGAGTGGGGTCTTGCAACTTCTGTGCACAACCGAGATACTGGATAAGTCAATACTCATGAAGCAAAAGTCCCAGACGTTCTGCTCATTCCATTTCTACCTTTTCCAGATGCTGTGCAGCTTGACTTTTCCCTGAATCCACATCCTTAGCTTCCATGACTTCCTTGGCTTCACCTGACTTGGCCTGCACAAACTCGGATGATTGATTAAGAAGAAGTGCTGACAGCGGATTTCGCACCGTTTAAAAGTCTTACCGTTTCCTCTGTCAGGCTGTCACGTTGTGACTTGAAAGAGGATTCTTGTTCTAATTTCCTCTTCCTCAAAGAACTGTCAAAGCCCATCCGTTGAGTTTTCAGTGCGTTCTCATGATCCAGCTTCATAGCTTTAAGGATGCTGTCATGCTCCAGATCTTTCTTCTTGATGACGTTCTCGTGCTCCATCTGGGTCTTTCGAAGACTGTCCTCATGCTCCATGTTGAGCTTGTTCAGCATGTTCTCGTGTTCCATCTTTAGTTTGCTGATATGACCTTCCGCCTCAACTCTTGTTGTTGCGCATTCCTCTTCCAATCTCATCTCACTCTGTCGCAACTGTCACAGGTGCGATACGTTGGTTAGCTTGGTGTGACGCAAAACGAGCACATCAATTTGGATTTTGCTGTTTGACTCACCTCCTCAATTTGTTGCTCGTAACTCTCCTTGAGTTGAGCTTCACGGGCCTTGGTTTCCTCCTCAAGTCGCATGCATTTCTTTTCAGATTTCTCCAGTTTCTCCTGTGCCTGCAGCAGGTCAACATGTAAACTCAGTAAGATGCTTTTTTTTTCTTCTTCTTCTTTTCTCAAGAACTATTTCAAGGTCGTTTAGCTACGTTACCTCTGCCAAGCACCGCTCCAGCTCGTCGTGCAAATTGCGCAGCATGCCTTCATGGTTTTCCTGCTGCTGCTTGCACTTCTTTTCCATCCCTCGAAGCCTCGATTGTAGCTGCAGATGAAATATTGCCACATAAGATTACACAAATATTATATGCAAATGCAGCAAAACCAAGAGGCTTACCTCTGAGTGTCGCTGGTCATTGATTTCCTTCAGCTTGTCCATATTAACCCTGTGTACCTCCTGTAGCTCTTGGTACTCCCGATCCATAGATGCCAACTTTTCTTTGAGCTGCATTAACACGAACTGTTATGGACCTGGAAACTTGCCAAAAGACTCATTCATAAGCAGGCAAGCCAGTACACTGACCTCAGTGGATTGACGTGTCATTTCTTCTAACTGAACGGTAAGGGCTTCCTCACGTTCTGACTTGGCCAGCTCAATCCTCCCTTCTAGCTCTTCCGTCAATGATGCAATGGCCTTGACATGGAAACCAGTGTTAGACGGTTTATATTGGTGCGTTTTGTGAGCACAAGAGTACGTGTGCTTACCTCAGCATGTTGTTGCTCCATCAACGCTCTTGCAGTCACCATCTCTTCGCTATGCTGGAGCTTTAATCTCGTGATCAAATCCTCTGTAGATCGGAGCTTTGACTCAACCTGCAGAAGATAGCATTAGATGCTTGAAGTCAGTTCATCAATGCACAGCCAGCTCACCTTATCAATAGCAGCCAGACACTCTTCCTCTTTAAGCCGCAACTTGATTTCAGTCTCTTCCACAAACGAGGCGAATGATGCACGATGAGTCTCTTCAAGCTCCGACACCTATTAAGACAGCTGTAAGCTGATATGCCTCAAAATTTTGGCATTATCCGGGCAAGTAGAGGCAAGCTTACCTGTGACTTGTTTTTCTCGAGGAGGGATTTGATCCTGGCCCCATACTTCTCCTTCTCTTCTGCCAGTTGGTTCTGAAGGTTCTTCTTGGCACTCTCAAGTGCATCTTGAGCCTGTGATATGGCAATGGATGTTATTGCATCTTGTGGTGACCACTTTACGAGCCGACAAATCTTCCATGTGCACACCTTTTTCCGCTCTTCATCCACACTCCTTGTTGCCTCTGCCTCAAATTCTTTCCGCATCTCCGCCATAGCGAGATTATTGCGCCTCGAAATTTCCTGCAGATGCTTCTGCAGTTCAAGCTGCTTTGATTGCATCTGCCTTTGGTAGTCTCTCTTCAGATCCTTTGCTTGCTTCTCTGATGGTAGCAGCTTCTCCTGACACTGGAATTGAGATACTCTGGTAAGTTTCATGCAATATTTACGGAAGAGACACCAAACCCTGTGTACTTACCTCCTTATAGTCCTTCTCAAGTGTCTCAACTTGTTCCTTCATCTGGCTCAAAGCAGCTTCATTCGCCTGAAGGTTCCCTTTCAGTGTCTCGTTCGCAGAGACGAGCTGGACTTCAGCTTCTGTCTTCGCTGCAACAGCTGCAGATAGCTCCTGATTTTCTGTCGTAAGCATAAATAGTTTTGCTTCCAAGGACTCCTTGGTGCTTTTCAAATCTGTGGTTAAGCACTGCAACTCAGCTTGCAATCCTTCCTGCAAAAAGAAAAGGCTTGTGAGATGCGAACGCGAGAGCTTCGTCATGAACGTCAGGCAGTTCGTTACCTTCTCCTGAGTTGTATCCCTGTCCTTATCTTCCAATGCTTCCAGCCTATTTTGAAGCTTCTCTCTTTCGCTCCCAGCTTCCTTGGCTCTGGCCTCCAAGTCTTGCAATGTTGTCAGGAGCTGACTGATTCTTTCCTTGGATTGACCGTGCTCGGACTCAAGCTGGCACATGGTCCTTTTCCACTTTTCTTCCGCCTCTGTTGAAAACAGCACGCGCTTGAGTTGGTGCATGATACGTGTAAACGAGACCAGTCCAGCTAAGATCATTTACCTTTTGATTGTTGTTCCATTTGCTGAACCCGGGTTTGCAACTGTTCACACTCCTTGCGTGCTTCATGCAGCTCCTGTTGAAGTTCTTCCTTTTTAAACCGCTCTTCTTGAAGCCTTGCATTTGAAGAGCTTAACTGGCTCAGAATGGCATCTGCATTCCGCGTTGACAGTGCGTTCACACTATCAAGTGCACCCAGCTCCGCTGACAGTCGATCAATATGAGCTTTGAGCTCTTTCACTTCGTCATTTCTGTGTTCCAAGGTTGTCTGTAATAACTTTATGTTGGACTGGTGGCGCGAGATCTCCTTCGACTGCAAGGAAACATGACAGTAAGTCTTTGTGATTATTGAAAATCAATTGGTTTCCCCAAAGAATGCTGCTGTACCAAGGAAGTGTTAGAGAGCTCAAGCTGCTTCATGTCTTCCTTATAGTTTTCCACATCCACTTGTCTTTGCATAAGTGTTGAAGCAAGCTCTTCGCATTCTTTTTCTTTGACATGATATGCTGCCTGTGATGCTTGTGCTTGTTTCACCAAAGTATCTGACACAATAGCGAGTACGGTTGTTAGCCATCTGTGAAGAAGACGAAAGCGTAACGGTGAGTCTCACCTCTTTCAGAGCTGTACTTTTGTGCTTCTCGCTTCTTGAGTTCAAGAGAGGACTTTAGTTCCGCTTCCACCCTTTTTAAACGCATGCATTCCTTACGGCCTTCATCAACGGCGTTTTAGTACGACACTATCTCGCATGAAGGTTAGCTATAGGGAAAACACATACTCTCGCTGGAGTTGGCGTTCACCAATGCATTTTCGTTTTGTAACTGGACGAGCGCTGTCTTCAGCTCTTTTATCAAGAGATCCTGCTTTCCAAACTTATCGTCCAAAAGTCGACGAATTCCTTCCTCTGTAAAGGAAGCCAACGTGAGAAAAAGAACTGATAAAAACAAGTACTTTGAAAGAAAACGATGAGCGAGATCGTTACCTTGTACTAGCTGTCTCTCGATCTGCTTATACACGTCACAGACTTGTTCGTACTTGGTGAAACTTTGAGTGTGGGTAGCGTGTGTTTCAACACTTGCTGCACTCATCAATCTTCGCTTCTTCAAGATGGTACTTGGAGATGCGGGAACCACATCCTGAGAAAAAAAAATATCAGTTCGATGAAAGCATTTGAGTAATCGATCCTGGAATTGTCGACCGACCTGAGAGCGGTATTCGACGATCTCATCTCGAGCCATCCGTTTCGGCGGATGAACTGTCATGAAAGGTTTGTCTGAAAATGACGGTATTCCCTTGGATCTGGTTTTTATGATGTACCAGGAGCAGCTCACAAATGTGGAACCGCGTCGCATGTGTCGCGGGGAAAAGATTGGGGGCCGAACTCGCTAAACTTACTCGCGATATTAAAGCTGAAACAGGAAACATCAATAGAAAGTCCATACGAAATACAATCAGCTCTTGTTTTTTTTTGCACTTTTCTTGCATATTGTTGCAGTACTTCTCCAGAACTATTATCGAAGGAAACGTGGACATTATTTTTGGAGGGCCAAATGTCAAAGCGGTTTTCTCCAAATGTTCAATTCTAGCCAAGGCTCAAGGCACATTCACGGCTCATTACCGGGACCTCGACACTTCCCCACGGGACGCTGGCGCTTTTGTATTTGAACGTTGCGCTTTTGATGGTGAGTGTATATCATTTTGCCATTATTCGGTCTGGTTGAATGTACTGTATAATGTTTTTTCCAGCTGATGTTTTCAGGCATGTCAAGTACAAAGGGTCCTTGTTACCTTGGCCGCCCCTGGCGCCCGGATGCACGGGTCATCCTATCACACTGCTATATTGGTCAGTGTGTGCCACGGCGTGGTTGGGACCGCTGGGACGATTCCACAGACATTAACAGGCCAACGTTTTGGGAGTTCAGATGTGAGGGGCCTGGTTCGATCGTAAGTACCATTCGTGCTCAACAGAATCATGAGCTTTTGTTGTGACCCACATAACCTCTGCTTGACCATAAGCGTCTCTGTTTGTGATGGCCTTGTTGTTGCAGAATGCGTCTTCCTCCACCGATCAACCTTCAGACCAAGATAGACGTACAATGCAGAAAAGTCCTCCATCAGAATCAGTGCGATTCATTGGCCGAGAGCCTTCAGAAGCTGAAATTGCTCCATTTCTAGACTGGCCATCCTTTTTTGCATTGACGGTCTGCCCAGAGACGACCTTTCCTGGGCCAGCACCGTCGTGCTCTGTTAATGAAGATGGACCACTCGGAACTCCTCGTCCTCCGATTGAAGGTACAGTGTCTGTCTGAGGACCTACATGTAAGGTGGCCATACGCACATTCCTTCTGTCGCAGAGAATCAGCATGGTATCTAACTTAATGTTCACTCTTTTTCACCATCCCCAGAAACCACTCCTGTGACCGCAGCTGCAACAAGAATGATCCTGGTGGGTCCAAAGGCACCAAAAGCAAAAACCTCAGCCCATGACCCTGTGCATGGTACAGTGAAGCAGTTCACGAGTGTGCAGGAGGCCATTGATTCAGTGGAGTCTGGGGGGAAGCACACCACTGTGATTGCAGTCCAGCCAGGCACATACTTCGAGCAGGTGGGGCGGATGGACGGTTTCTCATGTGCACAAATTGCTGCATTGTGTTTGTGTTTTTCCTTGCATGATAAAAGAATGCTTAGACTAATCGCTAATCTGCTTGCCAGGTTCGAGTCCCCTGCAATAAGACACACATCCTGCTGCGGGCGGCATCAGTCGGGGAAGCAAACGCCGGTGGTGGGGAGGTCCGGATAGTCTTCAGTGCGCACGCAGGAAAGCCTAAGCACAGCAGCAGCGGCGGCAGCAGGAGTGGCAGTATTAGTGGGACAGATGCCAGTGCTGCTGAGAGCTACACGACATATACTTCTGCAACTTTTGCGGTGAGAGGAAGGCAAAGATTAGCCACGCCTCGTAAAACCCGCCTTTTTCATGCCACCATTTTGTTACTCACCTTCTATTACGCATGTATTTCTCCTCGGTATTGTCCATCATTCCTGCTCTCCTCCCCTAACAGGTTGAAGCCAGCCATTTCACGGCAGAGGGGATAGAGTTTGAAAACGCAGCAGGACCTCAATGTGGGGGCGCATCAGGGCAGAACCAGGCAGTGGCAGTGCGGGTGACAGCGGAGCGAGCAGAGTTCCACCGGTGCAGCTTCCTGGGATGGCAGGACACACTCTATTTGCACCGTGGCAGTGCGTGGTTCAGGGATTGCCGAGTGGAAGGATCAGTGGACTTCATTTTTGGAGGACCTAAGGTGAGGGGGAACAGGAGTGCTGCTTTCCCCTTGATTGCTGTTGCGCAGCCCCAGCAGTTTTCTTCCTGCTCTCAGTTTCCTTCTTATTTTACTGCCGCTCCAGTCTACAGACACTGCTCCTGCGCATGCACTCTGATTTTTTTTCCTGTGATCCAATGTTTCCCCACCCCTTCTGCCGCCTGTGTGCTCAGGCACGCGGCTACTGGAAGGAATGTGAGGTGGCGGTGAGGGGCAGGGGTTGGATGACAGCTCACTGCAGGGACCTCACCCAGTGGCCTGACGACACCAATGGTGCATTCGTCTTCGATGCTTGCTCCATCCAAGGTACTCAATCCCTGAACTCACTCCCCTTATTTTCCTAACCTACACTACATACCCCGGATGACCATTGAAGTGGAATACAAGCCTCAATGGTCCACAATTATCCACTCCTGTTGCTATCTTGCCCACCTGTCTCTCCCTTGCAATCTTGCCAGCGGCAGATGCATCAGTGCCCGACAGCTGTGCGCTGCTGGGGCGGCCATGGGGTCCAGACGCCTGTGTGCTGCTGCATGGGTGCAGTATAGGAGCCGTGGTCAAGGCAGAGGGGTGGGGCGTATGGAACTCTGCGACTGATGTTTCTCGCCCTCGATTCCTGGAGTGGAATTGCACCGGGCCCAGTGCTTCGTTGGCTCATGTATGGTGACCAGCCTTCTTTTCTATCGTGCACATTTCATTCGTTCCTACTATCATAATTCAAGACACACCTCAACCATATGGCAGTCGTAACATGCATCGTCGCATTGTCACCCTCCCCTACTGCTTTTCATTCTGATGCATACCGTAACCACTCTCCCCTACTGCCTTTCATTCTGATGCATACCGTAACCACTCCTGCCTGTACCGTTATTGCAGAGGACTATAGGGCGGCAGGCAACACAAGAGGAGGTGGACCAGCTGGTGCCCGAGAGTGTGTTCTTCCAGGACTTGCCAGGTTTCCCTGCTTCCACACCAGTGCCTTGATCTCCATTACTACCATACTCTATAGCTGCACGAGACTGTATCATTCAGGGGAACCTTTCCGACGATATCATGCATGGTACCGTATGTAATGAAAACAATATAGGTTACCAGCCCCACAAGCACAGTATGTAATAACAGCTAGTGTGCAACTTATATACAGCTAGCCGTACCTAAGATGTGCACCACCCAAGCTAAGCTACCTGTGCCTTATTAAACACCGAATCAACCCCACAACAGGACATCCTTGAAGGCTCTTACAGCATAGATTGCGTGCACGTTCCAACCCCCAGCCCAGATCACCCATGGTACAGCCCTCTCACTCTGTCCTGAATCCTCCTCCTCTCCTCCTGGGACACATCAGAGAAGGCATGCGAGGGCAGGTGCTCCAGGGGTGGCCGGCAGTGCTGATGCCGGGTGTCTGCCAGATCATATGTGGCGCCCCGTATGGCCTCCCACCGCGGCCCGCAAGGGCGTTTCGTGGTAACCATCTCGTATGCTGTCCGCAGCTGTGAGGAGACAGGGAGGGGGGAGTGTGGGGAGGAAGAGTTGGGGTTTGAGGACGGCCGGGAAGATGGAAGGGATGCACTGACAGAGCTGTGGGAAACGGGGGAAGAGTGCATTGGGAGACACAGAGCAGTGGAAGGCAGCAAGGGAGTGAGTCAGGACAGCAGCAGCGCGGCCGAGAAAGGTAGCAGAGCGACTCACGTCCATGTCACGGAACCAGAAGAGGAACGCGATGGCAGCAGCGGGTGCACGACCGAGGCCTGCAGTGCAGTGTACAAGCACAGTGCGCCCCCCCGACACATGGTGCTCTATCACCGCCACCATGCCTGGCAGCTGATGCCTCAGCGAGTGAGGGTCGAAGTCCACCGCCTGGTGGGGAGATTGATGCACACAGGGCCAGGTAGAAACGGAAGGGTGAGGCGAGGAAAGGGGAGGGAGAGCAGAGGAAGAGTCAATGGATTTGAATTGCACACGCTAGCAAGGAGAATGGGGGGATGTTTGCGAGTCGATGGGGGAAAGAGCATGAGATAACAAATACCCAAAAATCACCCAACTGGTCAGGAAGGAATGAGTGGGTATGGGAATCGTACGGGTCGGCGGTAGTGTCGGAGCCCGAGCTGGCGGCAGTGGTGTGTGATGCGGTGGATGTCGACGCCCCAGTACGCGATGTCGTGGTCCTGCTGCAGGTTCAGCACCACCGCCACCTCCTCCTCGCGCTGCAGCCGCTCTATGTCGTCAGGGCTCTGCGGTTGAGAGCCCACCAGTAGATGCTGCGCGATTCGCGTGTAGTACATGCCTGCACGCCATGAACGGTTGGGTGGTTATGAGTGAGGTTTAGAATGCTGGGGTATATTTTGAACATCAGATAATTAGATATGCGTGCCCGTGAGTTTGTGGAGTAGAACAGGGTTGTACTGCTGGGATTGGCTATTAATTGGTTCAGGGACAGCGAAATATCTGGTGATTTTAGGTGCAGTGAAAGGTAATCCAGACAGTCACGTTAAATATGTGCGAGCTTACCAAGCTGATGGTGATACTCGTAAGGGTTAGCCATGGCTCGTTTCATCCGCATGTTGTACTCCGACGACGAGATTACAATCCCTGTACTGTCCGAGTCTGACGTGTCATCACCACCATTCAGCCTGCCAGTCGCGGTGTCGCCGACGTTCAGACGGGCTTCAAAGCACGGACTCTGCAGGGTTAGGGTCCCTTCTAGGGCCGCGACAGTGGAGCTCTCCGCAACAAGTCCGGACGCAGAAGGAGCAGCAGATGCTGAGATTAGAGGGCCATGGTGCTTGGCAGCACGGTGGCTTGAGGTGTTGGAAGCTGGAGTAGATAAGGTTGCTAAATTCGCGGCGAACAATGAGGTGGTGCTACTTAGCGCAATGCACGGAGACGGGAACATGCCGGATATCAGGACAGTGGCGGGGAAAAAAATGTCGAAGCTGCCGAGCGATGCTTATTTCAAATATGACTGGCTGGGGAATCTCGTCGAGCTAGCCTCGTCGTTATATGATGACCGTGAAAACGAGACGATGATTCCTGAATTGAGTATGCCAGCACGTCGGTCGCGGCGTATCAACGGCAGTTTCCGCGGTGATTTTTAGTACAACAATGTAGCCGCTCGCCCTTCCTTCACTACATACAAGATGTCAGTCCCTTGCCTACTACCCTCCAAAAGTAGAGGAAGCAGAAGCAAGGTAATGCGAGAGTGGAGACACAATCCGCCGCAAACGGTGCGATCTCCGACGTGCTAGGCTGGCGTGTGTGGAAATGGCTGCTTGCTTTTATAAGGCGAGGCTGCTGTGTTGGGCCAGAATGTGCTGTGCTGTGCTGGTGCTGCTGTCTTCCTTGCTTGGTGGAGAAGACAAGGGAGGCTTGCTGAAGAGACTCGTCCGTGCCATGCAGTGTAGCATTTCCCAATCGTCAATCACGAGGTTCATATTCCACGGCTGGGAATCGCATGGCTGAGGTTTGCATGGCCGAGATTGGTTTCAGATGGAGGCGCGAGAGCTGAAAATCAACGGCAGCGAGAGTTTTGCTCAATTTCGCGGAATCGCGCTTCGTTTTATTTTCGCCACGTGGCGTGCCTACGATCGCGCAGACTGCGATCTGTTTTATTTTTCCCACAAATTTCAATGGAATTTTAGTTAAGTTTACAAGGTCACATGTAACACGCTGCCCGCGGGCAAAAATAAAACCCATTTGGGCCTGGCATGCGTTAGGGAGGCATCAACCCTAAAAACATCGGGGCAAGGTGTTTAGGGTTGATGCCTCCCTAACGCATGCCAGGCCCAAATGGGTTTTATTTTTGCCCGCGGGCAGCTCAGTACATGTGATCCACTAAACTTGCCATGAAAATTGTGATAACAATAAAACAGATCGCGGCTTGCGCGATCGTAGGCACGCCACGTGGCGATAATAAAATAAAGTGCGCTTTCGCGGAATTGAGCAAAACTCTCAACGGCAGCCACATATGGTGGGCGACGATGACGTGCCGCGAAGCAGTACGAGAGACGGCTTGGGGTTCGCGAAGGGAGCAACGATAGGCGACGGATGCAGTGCTGGCATATTCTCCATATGCAGCCCCTATGAGCCACCGCCACAGCGGATCCAATGAGTCACCTCCACGCGTGATAAACGGCGCTCCAGCAAAAGATCGAACAGAGCCACCTCATTGAAACCTGGAGCTTGCGTCATCCTAGTGATTCCTCCAAGGTCCACTTGCGATACCACAATATACAATCACTAGTACAGCCACTGTCATGGATATTAGAATCACAAAATACGCGCATCAACACTTTGTTTGTTGTGCATTCTGTGTATTCGGCCAGGTATATATACCTAAATCTTTGTAGCGAGGATGCCCCAACAGGGGATCCAACTACAACCAACAACCACCATGCTGCCAACGGCATTCATGGTCGCCGCGAACTGCGGGCAATCATGAGGGCCAATGGTGCAAAGGACCTGCACGCCATTTCAGCTCGTCACCATGGTCTTTGGCGTCCCTCTCGCCACCAATCTAAGCCTATCAGGGTCGCGAATCGTGCATCGCATTCGCATCAGAGATCTCGACTGACGTTAGAGCGGCAGGACATTCCCAGCGCGGCATGGAGTCAATGGCGGCGATCGCTGTGCGTGGGTCGCACGAGAGGCATCCTGCTTGCTGCCACAGCTTTAGCTGCGCTGTTCGTGATGTGGCATTCGCACGCGATGCCACGGTTATTCAGCCAAAAGGTATCTTACTCACTCAACAATGTATTCAGTGAGTCTTGCTCAATAATGAGTCACTCCCGTCCCAAAAATAGTCGTTACCGTCAAAATTGGTCCGTAACTGCCTCAACTACCCACCGTTTACGCCGTGTGTCCAGGCATCCCATTTTCGGATAACGCCAGCCACTCCGCCATCCGCGTCCAGCCTGCCTCTGAACCCTCCGCCAATCGACAGCACGAACAGCAAACCATCCTTCAATCAAACTCCAACCACTCCTCCTTACTCCTCCCAATTCTCCTCCCCATCCACCAATTTCTCCCCCTCTCCCTCACTCACTCCTCCTCAAACCCCTTCCCCCGAAACCACCCCCACTCTCCCACCATCCCCTCGGTCCCCTCTCCAAAACCCCCGCCTCGCGCCAGCGTCAGGGTGCAGCTGCTACCGCGTGCGCAACGTGTACTGCTGCAAGCAGGCCCTCTGCGTCTGCCACTCGCTGTGCTTCAACGGCTCCGCGCTCCTCTCCGCCCCCACTCCTCAGCCAACCTCTGGCAGAAACAGGCAGAATGTCGAATCTCTTCCTCCCCCCTGCCTTCCGCCGCAATACACCCTGAACCAGATACAGCCTTCCCCAAACAGCAGCAGTGGGATAACAGACGTGCTTTCTCCCATTCCCTGCGGTCGCAAGGCAGAATTTGCTGCCTATCTCAACATGGCTCTTACCGAAGCCCCCATTAGGGGAGGCCTGCACGCTGCTAGTTAGGACACGTGGCGCAAGTGGGTTGGACAGGGGGGAGGGAATGGGACCAAGGGAGGCACGGCAGAGTGGCGGGGTGGCAGCACGCTGCTGATACCTCTGGATGACCCCACCACCAACGTGGCTCACTTCATTGGTGCGTGCGCCATGCCACATCGTCCCTCCAGGTTGATCCGATCACTGATGTTGCTAACTTTACTGGCAGCCTGTTGGGTTGGATTGGATTCTTGTGCGCCCACTGCCTGCTCCGTCTCATGCTTGTGCTTGCCAGTGGCATTTCCTGGGCGTCCATCTCACTCTGGCTCCCTCTTTGCCCATATGTGCGTGTACATGTGTCTTTGCTTGTGAGTTATGGCGGTGTGTGTGTGATGATGTGTGCATGCATGCGTGGGCATTGTGTGTGTGTGCATGAGGGAGAGGGGGGGGTGGTGGGAGGATGGATGGGGGAGGGCCAGGGGGGTGTGAATGATGTGAGTGGCAGGGAAGGCGGCTCAGATACTGCTAGTCAACAATGCATCAACGCCCACGGCTCTTCCTCTCATCACACGATTCCTCCTGCCACGCACTCCTGCTGCTGCCTCCAGGTGCCTGCCTGCTGTGCATCCCCATGTCTGCTGGTGCGCTCATCGGTTCCCTTTTTTGCCTGATTTGAAGTTTTGCATCATCCACCACTCCCACACCTTTCAAAATCGTTTTCATATGATTCACATCCTCCTCTCATTTGTCCCTCTTTGCCTCCCTCTGCAACCCCCTGTCCTTCTGCCTTCCCCGTTCATACACCTGGCACGGTAATCCCTGCCTCTCAACCAGGATGAGGCAGCACGGCCAGCACGGGTGGATCCCCTCTGTGCTGCACATGCTGCTGCGCATCGCCCTCGAGCCTCTCCTCAACCACACCGCTCTCTCCCACCACATCTCCCCCTCACTCCCACTCAACCCTCAATCTCTAGCCGCTGCAATCTCACCCGAAGCCTTAGTTGGCGTATCCATTGGTGCAGCAGCAAGCACAGGTGCAAGCACTGGTGGCAGTGGTGGTGGTAGTGGTGGTGGTGAGGAGGTGCTGGCAGGGGTGGTGGAGTTTGAGTCTGCATTCAGCAGGGCATCTGATGCGCATCCCATGTGCTTCCATCGCCTTGTGCTGCCAGGCTACCTCAAGGTGCCGCTGCCTGCTCTCCCTCTGCCCTCTGCTTCACCTAGCTGTCCTCCCAGCCAGTTTTCTGCTGCTTGTGCCTCTCAGTCTTTCTTCTCCCTCCAGTGTTTTCTTACCGTCGTCCCGACTTGAGACAGTGGTTATCTTCCATTTGTTAGTTTTTTCCAGTGGATGGCCTGGACTTGGCACAGTTCTGAAACACAGTCCACCTCTACATTGGCTCGGCTCTCCTTGAACCCTCTGTGCAGGCAATCACATTCGCAGGGGGCATGGAGCAGGCGGACATGTTCAAGCACCGCCTCAAGGAGGCCTTCCCTCACCCCAAACCTGACCCCTTTCACACTCTGGCGTCGCCAGACAATGCATCTATAGGAGATGTGTCTGCTGGGCGCAGTTCAGCTGATAGTGCGACTGTGCGTCTGCTCTACATCACACGTTATGCATCGCTCACACGCGGTCGCCGCGTGATGAGTGCTGAGAGCTCCAGCGCTCTGCTCAAGCTGTTTCACCAGCTCAAGTTCGAGGTGCGTGCCCTCTTCACCGTGATGTGGCTCTGCCCGTTCTATCGCTCAACTGCTGCTTCAGTGCCCAGTGGTACCTCCTTCGGCTTGCTCCCATGCCATGTTCCTCTTCCCCGTTTCTTCCCCCCTGACTTCTTGAAGTCCTCCCACCCCCAAATATCACATTCCCCCGTTCACCGATATTTCCTCCTATATCCTCTCAATGATCCCCATCACTTCAATCAACACCATTTTGTGACCCGGTTCCCTTCCACCCCACCAAAACCCTGCACCCCCTCTTCCGCACTCCCCTGTCTCAGTTTACCAGGTAGCTCAAGTGGAGTTCACCCCCCTCACCTTCGCCCACCAGCTGGCCCTGGTGCAGGCAGCAGACATCATCGTCTCCCTGCACGGCGCAGGCCTCACCAACCCCGCCTCCTTTGCTCGCTCCGACTCTGTTCTCTTGGAGATCTCCCCCTACGGAGTCTTTTACAATCTTTACTATTTCATGGCTGTGAATGCCGGGGTGACCTACATGCTGCACCAGTGCACAGCCGGGCCTGGCCCCATGCCTGCTAAAGATGTGGAATTTCAAGGTGTTGGACCATTTGCCTGTGACCATGACCCAGCATGCAAGCAGTACCGGACGCATGACCGCCCAGTGGTTCTTGGGAAGAAGGACATTGAGGAATTGGGGAGTCTGCTTGCAGTGGCCCGGAGATTGATTCTGGATGTGAGGAAGAAGGGAGGCGTGAGGGAGGAAGGAGGCTACGGAGGACATATGGGAAGCTGTGTGTGTCAAGGAAGAGGAATAAGGATTGTAGGATGAACTTATTGAGATCTCCCATAGCTGACCCATCTTATGAATGTGTTGTTTCAATGGAGTGTCCTTATGTTTCCAAGTGACTCAGGCATGAACTGGTGCCTTTTTGGAGTGTCCTCTTTTTGGAGTGTCCTTAGGTATGTTTCCAAAATGGCCGGATTCATTTTAGTAAGAGGTACAGGGGGTGGAAAATGCTACAGAAACTAGCTAAAGCACACACGGAGTACGGTGTTTAGAACTCCCAAGAAGGCCTGCAACCTGCACACACATGTAAACAAGGCAAGCGGGTCAGTGCCTGTACGCACGTTCACACTTGACAATAAGGCTCCCACAAGGAGCATCGCTGGGGAGGGATCAGTTACTGGCTTGGTGATCCATTGATGGACCAAAGTAGCACAGTGGAATCAGCTTCGATCATATGGGGAAAATGTCCTCACTTCCCTCCACCAACATGCTCCTCAGACAAATGAGGAGGACCGAACAAAAAGGGTGAAGAAGACGGGGACGGGGATGGAAAGAAGAGACTAATGCAGGCGGGGGGTTCACATCAGCAGGCCGTCAGCCTCGCACTCGAAACCTTCTTATCATACCAGAATTTCATCGTCTGAGGCAGGTCTAGGGTAAGGTAGAAAGTTAACAGAAACAGAAACAGTGTCGCTGCATCAAGGTTAAACTCTGAGTACATTCAACATTATAATTCTGTGTTGGATTTGTTCTGATGCATCATGTGCAGCGACGACAATGGCACTACCATAAACATGGAGAGGCCAGAACAAATAGAGAGGAGCAAGTGAAAGAACGAAATCAGGTACTGGATTGGTGGCCCATTAAGGGCCAAAGTAGCACAGCGGAATCAGCTTCGATCATATGGGGAAAAGGTCCTCACCTCCCTCCACCAACATGCTCGTCACAAAAACGATTGTGACCGAACAAAAAGGGCCACGAAGATGGGAAACTGGATGGTAAGAGGATAAAGACTAATGGATGCGGAAAAGTCTCATCAGATAAATCCCTTGAGGGTCCACATATGCAGGCCGTAAGCCTAGCATTCGGACTCTTCCTATCATACAAGAATTTCGTCATCTGAGGCATTAATCCGGCTCAGGAAAAGATGGTAAAACGTTAACAGACACAGTGTCACTGCATCAGGGTTAAAAAGCTCTTGAGTTATCTCAACAGTATTTTTCTGCGTTGGATATTAAATTCATCACGTGCAGCAACGAAAATACAGAAGCAACGGGAGGTGAAGATGGTGCATAATCGAGAGAGGAGCAGGTGAAGGAACGGGATCAGGTACTGGCTTGGTGGCCCATTAATGGGCCAAAGTAGCACAGTGGAATCAGCTTCGATCATATGGGGAAAATGTCATCAATTCCCGTTCCTTGCAAATACCTCAAATCCCACTCACGTAAAAACATTCATGAGCAGACATCCAGCCGACAGTTGACTTACATGAAAGACCGAAACGAAGAACTTCACTCAACTTCACGCGTTACGAGAACTGCTTCACAGGGACACGATATACTTGTCGACAACAGAAGCCCCATCAGATCCGCACTATACATAGTCCCGTTGGATACAAACATGTGATGTCCAACTGCAACAATGCCTACTACTCTGGTGGACGTTGGTCGCCTGTGACCAGTTTATACGAGGATGGGTTGGTGTGGAAGGAGCAAGCAGAAAGTTGAAGCGACCCTTCAGGTTTGAGCAGAGAGTTCAAGAGGCGTTATGGAGGCAGTTTTGGGCTTTGCGGAGAGCCCTGCCAATTTTGCGGTACTTGTGGGCTGTTGGGATTTGAAACAATAAATAGAGCGCAGGCTCAATCTCTTACAAAAAACCTCTTATGACGGGGATGCATTTGAAGGATACAAAAGAGCCAGTTACCTGTCAAACGATCTCCCTCAATTTTTCGCAGGCGATTGTTCTGGTTTGGTGCGAAATCGTCCTGTCAACTTTTTATGCCACGATGAATGCCAAGTCGCAGGAATTTGGCAGTGCTTCGGCATAAGCAGGATCCATTATTTCCCATTGCCAGGCATTCACTCGTGTCCGCCAGCTTATCTCACACCTTTCGCCCGTCGGCCTCCTAGTCGATTAATCCACATGCAGTCCAGGGACGAACCCCAGCCGTCCGATCTCCTCCTCCCGTCAACGCTACCGTTCAAGCGCGTGCAGCTGGAGGAGAAGTATCCGCGCGGGTCGCAGGTGCGCGGCGGGCGGCACTGGAAGCACCTGAAGCAGATCCTGCAGCCGCACAACCTGAGCGACCTGCCGCCCGACGAAGCCAACTGTGCGTGGCTCGTCGCCCCCACCTTGGGATTGCCGCGCTCATGCTAGCTGCTGCCTTTATCACAGCCCGTTTGGACACTTTCCCATTTGACGTCTCACCCTCTTCCGCCACCTCTCCGTGCGCCGTTCCCTTTCGGCTTCCGCCGTTCCCTCCTGTTCCTGGCTCTCGCCTCAATCTGAAGTCCGTTCCCCTGAAAGTGAATCAGTCGTTACTGCTCCCTCTCACCCTCAACCTTCCCTGCTCTTCCCTCTTTCCTTTCCCTCCCCCCTCCCCCCTCTCCTCCTCTCCCCCGCTCTCCTTCCCTCCCCCGCGCGCGAGCAGACGTCACAATCGAGGCGCCGCCGTCCATGTACCCCGCTAAGAAGTACTGCGATATAACGGGGCTCGAGGCGCCCTACACGGACCCGCACAGCAAGCTGCGCTACGCCAACCCCGCCGCCTTCGCCATTGCGCGCTCGCTCCCCCACCCGCACGCGCAGGCCTTCCTCGCGCTCCGAGGCGCGCACACCATCGTCAAGTGATTTTCGGACTCGTTTCAGCGTCGGCTTCTGGGGGTAGCTCACGCCGCGCACAGTTGCTTACAGTCCCGCAAAGTCACGCACAGTCGCGCAAAGTCGCTTCGTCACTCAGTCGCTCACAGTCACTCAAATTCGAAACAGCTGGCAGCCACAGCCTCATCCCTCCCATGGCGATATCGCTGCAGCGGCACCCTCTCTTGCCATCGCCAGTACCATCACCACTCGTAGCGACGCCACCCCCTCAAGTATCCCCAGCATGCCAACCCACGCGTGCACAAGCACTGTCGCACCCTTCAAGGCTACTCACTCCCGCACTTTCACCAGACAGCTCAAGAAGGTCAAGAAACAGACTCAGGGTGATTCAGCCACTTTCTGGGCCTATCAGACACTCTCCCTGCCACACCCTCGGATTCCCCTGCTGCTGCTACACGGCTGCGCGCTGTGCCACTGCAAGCCGCAGCATTGCTGCGCGTGCGGGTGGTGGGGACGGCGTAGGTGGTTTGACAGCAACGAATGTGACAGAGTCGGGTGTGCGGGGAGTTAAGGCGGAAGGGAGGAGCGTGGGGGTGCGTTCTGGTGGGGACAGGGATGGGAGTGAAGGAGGGGTGGGGATGGGTTCAGGTGAGAATATGGTTGGGAATGGAAGCGCGGTGGGAATGGAGTCTGTCATTCCCAAGGTTGTATTGGAGCTTGAGCAGGAAACAAAAGAGCTGCTAGAATGGCCAATCGTGTGCCGCCAGGTGGCACGATTCGCGGACACAGTAATGGGGTACAGGGAGGCGGAGGAGGGGAGGCTGGCTGTGGGGCGGTCATGGGAGGAGAGCCAGGCGCTGCTGCAGCAGACGGAGGCAGCGCTGCTGCTGCCGCGACGGCTGGACTTTAACGGTGCTGTGGACGTGAGTGGGGTGCTCTCACGACTTGGCCGCAGTGCTGCTGCTGCAGCAGCTGATAATACTGCAGCTGCTCGTAGTGATGGTGCTGCTGCTGGTGGTGATGGAGGTGATGGTATATCCGAGGCCGCTTCCTCTGGCAGTGATAGTGATGGTGATGGCAGTGACACCGATGCCACTGCTGCTGCCACAGCTGCACCCACCCCGCCCATGACCATAACCCCCTCGGAGCTCCTATCAGTGGCATCACTGCTGCAGTCAGGCATTGATCTAGGTGCGTGCATCGGGCTCACTCCAGATGAAATCGGCATTCTGCGTCCCTCCTCCTCTTTGTCCTCCCCCTCCTCCTCTTCCTCTTCCGCCTCCTCCCCCTCCTCCTCCTCCCCCAACCCTTCGCCTCTCGCCCCTCTCACGGCCCTCCTATCCTCTGCTGCCACGTGTCCCCATCTCCTCCTCCGCATCCGCACCGCCATCAACCCGCGCCTCAAGTCCCTCGCTGACTCAGCAAGCGCTGAGCTGGCGGCCATCCGCGCCGCCAGGCGGGACAACCGGCGCCAGCTGGACGAATCATTGCAGAGAGCAGCAAGACGTGTGGTGGAGGGAGGGGGGATGGATGAGGCTCAGGTGAGTAGGAGGAGAGGAAGAGGGTGCGTGGCGGTGCGAGCAGGGAAGAAGAGTGCGGTTACACCAGGAGGTGTTACTTTAGATGTTAGTAACACCGGAGCTACACTCTTTGTGGAGCCTGTAGAGGTTATCGAGTTGAACAATAGCGAGGCAGAGCTGAGTGGGCAGGAGGCGGAGGAGGAGAGGCGGGTGCTGAGGGAAATGGCCGAGCAGGTGGCGGATTGTGCACCGTTGATTCGAGATCTGACGGACAGGATTGTTGCGCTGGACCTGGCATGTGCCCGTGCAAGACATGCCCTCTGGATGGGTGCCTCCCCTCCTGTGCTCCTTCCCCCCACACACCCTCTCTCCCGTGCGCATGGGGATGCAGCTTCAGGAGTAGATTCCCCTGGGGGCAGTGGTATGGGGAGACATGCCCTAGGAGGAAGAGAATCCAATAATATCGAATCTTATGCGGTTGAGATTCGCGGGATCCAGCACCCAGTGCTGCTGGAGATGTATCTAGACGCTGTCAGTGCTGCTCAGAGCAGGACGAGTAAAAGTACAGGTGCAGCAGACACCAATGCAGTAGCAGCAACAGGACGAGGAGGAGCAGCAGCAGCAGCAGCAGCAGGCGACTCCCCCAGTGCCCATAGACCTGGTGGTGCGGGCGGGCGTGGCAGTGGTGGTCATCTCGGGCCCCAATGCGGGCGGCAAGACCGCCGCCCTCAAGACCCTCGGGATTGCCGCGCTCATGGCCAAGGCGGGGCTCTTCCTGCCCCTCGCAGGGGACGTGGGGGGACAGCGAGCAGGGGAAGACGCGGCAGCGGCGGAGCTTGGGGGCGGGAGTGGGGGCGGGAGTGGGGGCGGGAGTGGGGGAACGGGAGAAGCGAGCAGAGGGAGGGGACGGGTGGCGGTGTTACCGTGGTTTGACCGGGTGGTTGCGGACATTGGAGACGAGCAGTCCTTGGAGCAAAGCCTCTCCACCTTCAGCGCCCACATGCGCCAAGTCTCCTGCATCCTCCTCGCCTCCTCTCCCTCTTCCTCACCCTCAGCACCCTCCTCGCCCTCTCCTTCTTCCTCTCCCTCCTCTCCCTCCGCGACCTCCTCTCCTTCCTCTTCTGCGTCTTCTTCCTCTCCCCCCTCCTCTTCCCCCTCCGCCTCTCCCACCCCTTCCTCCTCAACTCTCGTACTCCTGGACGAGGCAGGGAGTGGCACGGACCCCTCAGAGGGAGCAGCGCTGGCAGCGGCCATTCTGAAGCACCTGGCGGGGTGCAATGGGCTCACTCTCGCCAGCACCCACTACGCCGACCTCAAGAAACTCAACGTGGGGAGGAAGGGAGAGTGGAAGGAGGGGAGAGGGGGAGGGAAATAGAAATGCTTGAGTGCCTGTCTATTTTTGAGACCTGTCACTACCTGTGGGGTGCCGTGGGCTCACACTCGCCACCACTCACTATGCCGACCTCAAGAAACTCAAGGTGCACGCGACATGGGTCTGTCTACTACATAGAAATCCGTTTTGCAGCTTCTCAAAAGCATTCTGAGAAGCGTTGTCGCATTCGACCAATCAACTCTACAGCCATCGTTCCACGTCATAATGCCCCTGTTTCCCCCCTCCTCCGCCCCTCCTTCCGTCAGGCGGCCGATTCCCGGTTTGAGAATGCGAGCGTCGCCTTCGACCCGGTCTCCCTGCGCCCCTCCTTCCACATCCTCTGGGGTCTCCCCGGCACCTCCCACGCCCTCTCCCTCGCTGCCTCCCGCGGCCTGCCTCCTTCCCTTGTCGCTAGAGCCGTCAGGCTGGCCCGTGCTGCCACTTTGGAGGCAGGAGAAGAGGAGGGAAGGCAAGGGGGAGAGAGTGAGGCGTACGAGTATGCTACTTTGGGAGGGGGGAGGGAAGAGGGTGAGGAGGTGGGAATACTAGCATCTCTCAAGCAGCAGTGGCAGCGGAACGTGGAAGACGCGAGAGAAGCAGCAGAGGCAAGGCAACAAGCAGAGAGGCTTTTGAAAGACCTGCAGGCGCACTATACCACGCGGCAGGGCCAGCAGGAGCAGCCTCTGCCTGTCAGGGAGGTGCTTTGGAAAAGACGATATCAGAGAGATGTTCAAGAGGAGGTTTTGGCAGCAAGGGAGGAGATTTCCCGCGTTGTTGCCAATTTTCAGGAAGCTTCCCTTGCTGGTGTGCCGGAGCGGGCGGCGACGGACCAGGCCTGCGCTGACGTGGCAGCCGTGGCGGCTTTGACGGGCCTCTCTCCCGAGGCTAACTCTGCTATAGGTTCGGATGCTTCGGTTTGTGGCTCGGCGGGGGATTCGGGAGGGGATGACTGGGTTCCTGTTCTGGGAGAGCCTGTGTATGTGAGGAGGTTCGGCACCAGTATGCGTGGTACGGTGGTGGCGGTGGGCGGTGGTTCGGGAGAAGGCTTGGCAGAAGCAGCCGCTGCTCGGTCTGTGACAGTTCAACTGGGGAATCTGCGATTACAAGTGCAAAGAGCAGACCTGCTTCCTGCTACCGATGGCAGTGGTGGTGGTGGGCAGACAAGGACAGATGGGGAGGCAGGAAGAAGAGGGGGCACAGGAGGGCTATTCGGCAGCCAATGGGAGCAAGATGATGACAGCAATAACAGCAATGCGAATACCACTCGCGTCTCGAAGCGCAGCAGTCAGTTTCCCTCCCCGTCCTCCTCCTCCTCCACTCCTCTGCCAGCAGTGAGAGAGGCAGCAGTGCAGACAGCGCGGAACACAGTGGATGTGAGGGGGCGGAGTGCAGAGGAAGCATTAGCAGCGGTGGACCTAGCAGTGCAGTCCAGCCCGCCTGGTGCTGTGCTCTTCATTGTCCATGGGCTTGGCACGGGCGTGCTTCGGGCAGCTGTGCTGAAATATCTCTCGGGCAGCCCGCTGGTTTCGCGGCACGAGGCGGAGAGCAGGTTGAATATTGGGTGTACTGTTGTTTACATTGGGTGAGGAGAAGGTTTGTGTTGTGGTTGCGGTGGTGTGGGTGGATCTACCCTGCTGGCACCGGTGAATAGAATGTATTCAGTGCTTCCCTTGGGAATTAAGGCAACAACTCGGCACTCCACTACGAAAACTGCAGCAACACATTACATATCACTCCACTAGGGAAATGGTGTGCAGAGTAAGAGCTTGGTGTGCAGAGCAGCCCTGATAACCGGCTCTTCGCATCCTCTGGTCAAGAAGAGATGACAGCTATGGGTGAGGGTTTGTTCTAGCCAGTCACACCGCGTCTACTTGTTGTCACCTTGTGCCGATTGTTGCGACTGTTCAGAGGATGGCGGGGCGTTCCTTTCTCCATGGTCAGGTGTTCGTACTACGGTGGTGACGGTATAGAGTATAAGCCCTTGATAATGTGTGTACCATATGTGAGCTTTGAGGAGTTGTGTTTGTTCATTCTGACATTGTTAGTGTTGAACTTGTCATGCACTACACTCCTCCTGATTACATAATAAATTGGTAATTCATGGGCATCCCCACCCACACCAGACACCACTTCAGGAAAAGTAGCGGTAGCCGGAGTAAGCAAGGACACTCGGCAACGTGCAACATGAGGAGGAGCACGACGCATTTTATTCAGAGCTAACTCATGGTGGTGGAACTGGGTCAGTGTGAAGCGTGAAGGGGCCAGGAGAGTCACTTCGCTGAAGAGAAGATGGTCCCCTCCCCACTCAACCCATGCCGGGGTTGCCCCTTACCACACTTTCACTTTATGTCAAGCTGCCTCTTCTCACAGCAAGCACACCTCAGGGATTCGCCCCTTGCTTACTCATCCCTTAGGATAGCTTAGCAGTGAACTGTTGGCACAACAAGAAGAAATAATAGCAAGGGGTGATGAAATCAGGTTAGAGGCTGATTTGCATGCCGCGCCAAAGAATGACAACATACAAAATGTCCTGTAGCCACACACAAGCTTACCTGCCCCTGGTTCTTCTGGAAAGCTATCGCGCTCACTCCAGTTTGAAGTCCCGAATTATCTGAGAACAGAAGCAAACAAAGTCAGCTCCCATTATCCAAAACATTCTCTACACACCTTGGTTGAAGGGCAAACACACTTACAATATCCACCAATTTTCCCATTGAAAGCCATCCACTTGTTTCTCCCCGTGAACAGCTTCGCCATGTCTGCATTCGATGTGGAGCCGGACATCTCGCCTTTCACGTGAACAAACTCAAAAGACTGCGGGTTGTCCTTGGGCGTCCATACGACTCCTCCGTTGGCCGTGAAATCGAAACATTTGATCACATAGCAATTGAAATCACCTGCAAATGAAAGAGAAAAACAGAGCAGCAACAGGGTTCAACCTTTGCTTAGATAAGGGGCGGACAAGATACAGAGTGTTACTCGCGATACCACTCACCAGCTCCAGGGTAATGCTCATGATTTCCTTCCGAGACATACACTATGGGATGTGTTCCCATCACCGTAGCAAACTTCTTTGACTTTTTGTCGGCCCAGTCAGCCCCTTGGTCCCACGCCCACACAGGGCCGTCGCCGTGCTGCGCGTACCAAATGCGCTGCGGCTGGCCGGTCTTTGAGAAGCGGATTGCAATCGCCACCAGGTCCGTAATGTGGTTCTCATCCCCAGCAAGGAAGTGGACAAAGTTCTGCAATCGCCAAACAGTTTGACAACATTTTACGAAAGGGGTGGGGGAGTGAGAGAGGGGAGGAGGCAAGAGCAAGTGCTTGAAAACAGGGTACCACTTGGAATACTCACGTATGGGTAGAAGAGCCAGTACTGAATCTCCACAAACGAGTCTTTGTCGTCCGGTTTCGGGTCGTAAATGATCGTGTACACCTTCGTGCCTCCGTTTTTCGGGTTGCGCCTCGAGTCCCTCATCCAGTCGGTATCCTTGTCAAACTGATCCGGACTGTACAGGACAGTTTTGCCACGCTCGCTTATCAGTTTTGGATTCCTCAGCAGTGTATCGAGGTTGTCGGGAGTGATCGGACCCGTTTGGTAATCAAGCTGATAATCTCTGCCATCCACAGTAGTAAAACCTCTGGAGGAAGTCACATGCGTGAGGTACTCGTCGATCGTGATTGGCCAGATTTTCTCGTCGGGGTGAAACTTGTACTGCGGCGAGTACTTGACAGCCAAGTCCTCCCAGAACGGATCGCACGCGGGGTTTGTTTTTGGGTCGGTCTTGCATGGGTCGGCAGGCGGGGGCGGGTCCACCTTTCCAGCAGGCATGGGCGGGTTGGCGTAGCGAACCAGCGCGGTGAATTGCGTCTGGAACCACTGCCCTGCGCGGGGCGCGTTCGATTGGGCGTCCAGGCCCAGCGCGTCATTGGGGTCGCACTCGCGATCCATGGGGAAAATGCCCAGAATCTTTGCTCTGGGGAGATGAGAGGATGAAGGAAGAAAGATGAGTAAAGGTGTACCGAGAAGCGTACTAACCAACTGTTTGATATGATAAATAAGCGACTGGCAAGGAGGAACGGACACACACTGCACTAGCAAAATACTAGGACCACCCCGCAGGCGCACACTAAGGGGAGGGACTAGGAACTTACGAATGGCCATCGCTCTCCCCAGGTGGCTTGATCCAAACCAGAGCATCAACTGCGGGGTAGGCAAGCAAAAAGTGTGCGGGAAAGGGGAGGGAGCCGCATGAGACCACCCGAGGGCCCCTCGGGAAACGCCGTTTCAAAACAGGATCGCCGGGAAGAGAAGAGAAGAGAAGAGAAGAGAAGAGAAGAGAAGAGAAGAGAAGAGAAGAGAAGAGAAGAGAAGAACAAAAGCAGCAGCAAGAAAGAAAGCAAGGGTGCTCACCTTGCGGCGCATTAGCGGGATTCGCCTCGGGGCGCTGTCCAATCCCCGCGCCCTTCACGTTGCACCACGACCCCCAGCGGTTGCGAATGCCAGCGCGGCCGGACCTACTCGTGTCCACGATCCACCTGGTGGGCAGTCCCGCGGCTCCCAGGTACGCATTCATGCGCGCCGTGAAGCGGTTCTCGTCGATGCATGGGTTCCAGTCGTAGTTCATTTCGCCCGTGCTCGGATTCTTCGCGAGCGGGCATTTTTCCAACGCCGGGCAGCCGGTCACGAAGAGCGGGCTGTAGTTGGCCACGTTGGACGCGAAGCCGCGGATCTTGGCGTTCGCGCGAATCTGCCGCGCGCGCGCGAGGACCTTCTTGTACACCGCCACCACGCGCTTCATCCCCTCCGGCCACCCTGCTCACGCGTTGGGAGGCGAGCGGCGTAGGAGTGAGGGGCGGGGTGAGGGAGACGAGAGCAAAGCGAAATGGCGGAAGGGGGTATGGCTGAAGGGGGAGGAAGAAATGGAGGGGGGGAAGCGGGCTACGGCTGAAGGGGGAGGAAGGATAAGAACGGATTGGCACGAACCACTGGCAGGCACGGCACACGCACTCACCGAGCCAGCCGCCGAAGCCCGAGTCGAGGTAGAGCGTGGTGTCGGGGATCTGCGAGAGCTCCGCGATCGCGTACGCGACGCCCTCCGTGTACTCCTGCTCCGTCGTCGCGTCGCATTGATTCGACCCCATGTTCGTCGCGATGTTGGGCAGCGAGTCGGGCTCGATCACGAGCGACAGCCGCACGTTCGCCGCCTTGTTTTTAAGGCGCGCCACGGCAGCATCAATGTAGTCGGCTTTGTACGTGTCGAGGCCGCCCTTGGGAATCTCCCCGTTGGACGACCACGCCTTACAGTCGCGGCCCGGGAGGTCGTAGATCACGAATTGCACGAGAATCGGATTTCCCCCCGCCTGAGCCGCTGCGGCGTCCAGGTGGCCCTGGATGGAATCGAGCTTCGCCATTGTATCGAGCCACACGGCCGTCGGATGCTCCGCCACGCTCGCAAAAAATGGCGCATCCTCGGGAGTCGCGGCGCGCATCGCGGCTTCCACGCTCGCCTTGTACTCGGGGTTGAGGTACTGATGGACCTCCGTGTACGGGTTGCCGGTCGCGCTGTCGGTAACGCGGTAACCGCACGACGTGCCATTGGCGGCGACCAACTCTGTCGCGTTGATTGCCCCTTTGAGAAAGCACGTGCCGCCATTTTCGGCCGTCCACGTGAAGTGCGTGCAATCCGCGCTGCCCAGGCACTGCTTTCCGCACGTGTCGCCCATGCCGGCGGCTTGGCCAATGTCGTTGCCCTTCCAGTCGCAGTCGAAGGACCACACCACCTCCCCCTGCTCGGAGCTTGAGAAGTTGAATGCTGACGTGGCTCTCACTGAGAGATTGAGAGCCACCAGCACTACCACTAGTCCTACCACTGCGAATGCGTTTCGGAAAGACCTAGCCACCATCGTTTCGATTGGTTGTTTGAAAGGAATGTTTGAGTTTCGAATAATTGAGTTGCGACATACTCAAGGGACCGTCGTTTTTTATAGCGGGAGACCAGAACTGCGGCTCGGATCGCATCAGGGGGAAGCTTACAATGCCTCTCGTTTCCCATACTGCTTTCCGACCTACGGTCCGAGACGTGTGTTCTGACAGCTCTTGGTGACGCCATGGCTTGTGAGACAATTCCCGTGTAGGTGTTAGCTGCGCACAGGTTTTTGTAATGGGTGGATGTCGTGGCGTGCACTGGTGAGGATATCTGGAATCTGCTTGAAGATCTGAAAGGGGTTGTGTGAGGCGAAGTGATACTCCATAATTGTCGTTCAGAGTGATTGTGAAGGTTTTGACGCGGTACCACACGGTACTGTATTGACCAGTTTGAAATGAAACAGACCAAACAAAACCGTCGTCGGCGACCTACGAAGCCTGGTGACGCTCCGAAACAAAACTGTGATGCATGTAACATGAATAGCGATAAAAACCTGACCTGGAACCGCAACTGCGAGCTTCGTCGAGCAGTCACATCTCTTCGTCCGCTTTTCGCCCCCCTCGCCCAAAGAGGCTGAAATCGATGCGAGCGACACCTCGTCAGGTTTCGCCAACCGAATGCGATGTTGTGCTGCAAGCAGCTCTGATCAGGCCTGGCGCGAAATATGAACATGTTTTCTGTTGCACCAAGCAGATCTGACGGGAAGTGTCGTTCAGTGGTTTTCAACACGGTTGATTACGGTTTTATCTGAGCTACATGTCTGGAAAACAAAGCCCCAAATCCGTTCATGTACAGCACAGGCGAAGGAAGGCGCGCAGCCTTCAGCGCGTAACGCAGATTTTCATGTGAAAAGGGATGGCGAGGGAGGACCGGCCAGGGGATGCCCAGCGATTGTTCAGTTCAGAGTATCATCGCTAGTTTTTTTCGCACACGGGTATAAATTCGTAGCGAAAATGTTTCCAGGTTTCGCAAACTGTATGCGATGTAGCCCTAATTGCAAGCACCCTGATCACAGTCGCAACAGCCCGCACCAGGATAACCTTCACACGAGGCAATTCATGGTGTTCCGTCCCTTGTTTCACGCAATCCTTACCTAATGTAGGGTATTCACTCTTGTTCATGCTACGTCTGATAGCCGAGATAGTGTAATTCGGTACGTTGTCTCACCGAAGTCAGGCCCATGCGGTTTCGTTTTTCTTTCGAAACCGCCAAGTGGCATTTACTCGTCAACTCCCAAGAAACGTCGCTATCGCCATCCTAACCTACTGCTACGATCTTGAAGCAATCTCTTGCCGCCTCGACCGACCGTATCGGCAATTTCATCGTAGGCTCGAACCCCGAGTCGCTGCGCGCCGAGCTCGCGGGATGGCTGCAGGATCGGATCATGCAGACGTTGTCGCAATTCCGGAGCGGGCTGTTCGGCGCGCCATGGCATTCGCATGACTAGGCGGGGAGTGCTACGGCGCGGGAAACAAACAGTTCTACCGGCGCTACCAACTCTACTGGCGGTACCAGCAGCGGGTAAATTTAACGAGCCACTGGCACACTGAATGACTGTAACGAGTCAGCAGAGCGCGCTCCCCTCACCACCAGCTACGCCAGGCACGGTGGCGTCTCCTCTCACCATCTGTTTCGACTCAACACCCTCTCCCCTCCCCGCCGCCTTTTTCTCCCCGCTCCCCCCATCCCCGCTCCAGCGCCATTGGCGCCAGCTGTACCTCCCTTCGCTGCGTCACTCAGAGCCTCTCCGCCTGTTTTCACCCCTGCTGCCCGATCCGCCCATCCCCATGCGCGCGGAATCAGCTGTGCCAGGTGCGCGTGCGGGTGTGTCGCAGGCTGAGCGAGGAGCAGCAGCGGGCGGGCGTGGGAGGAGCAGCACGATCGGGGCGCGGAGATGCAGGGCTTTTTTCTCAAGGTACTTGAGTGTAGAAACAATGCAACCACATGCAAGGCTCCGCTAGCAAACGCGTCCCCACCCCGCGGGCATGGGTGCAATGACATTTCCTCTTTGAAGTGACCCTTGAGGCGACTCAAAGGTCGCCAGCCCGGGTGAGATGGCATCGGGTTTCAGACGCCTCAAATCTCGGGAATGGCTTCAAGGCATCGGTGTATGTGCTGCTCTCTTCCCTCATCCTGCGTCCCTCGTCCCTCCTCCCTCATCCCTGTGGTGCAGATCCGGTACGAGTTTGATTTTGCGCACGAGGCAGCAGCCATGGAGCGAATCAGACACGCACTGGCACTGCCGGAAAAGGGCGAGATGGCAGGGTTAAGGCGGGAGAAGCATGGGGGGTCGCAGAGCAGAGCAGTCGGCGCAAAGGCAGATGCTGTGTGGGCGGTGGTGTTACCAGCAGCGCAGACCTGCAAAGGGGGGTAGGGCAGTAAAGGGGATTATAGCTGGGGAATGATGGGAGGAAGGGGGGGACGAGGTGTGGGATCGACATGGGGGTGAAGACAATGCGAGGAGTGGAGAGGGGATGGATATTTGTGTGTCACCTGTCATCATACCAGCAGCCATATCAGCTATCGTCACCAGGTGGTAATGGTGCTGCCACTGCTGCCCCATACCTGCTTGATGTTTGTATAACTTTCCTCCGCCTATTTCCCACTATCCCCTCTTTTCCTGCTGCCCATCGCACCCCCCAATTCACCTCCAATGTTTCCCCCTCCTTGCTTCTTCCCATGCCCAACATCCTCTCTCCATGCGTCCCTTCCCTTCCCCAAGCCCTTTCCCCTCCTGTCAGTCTCAGGTGCCTACTGGTCCTTAGACATCTTCCTGTTAGCAGCAGTGTTTGGGATCTAGCTTTAAGCAAGTAGAAAAAGCAGTGGAAAAATAACACTGACTACTAGCTGAGAGTCTGTGAAACTGGAGCTTTTCTCGTTTCCATGCCCTTCTAGCCTTTTGATCTTCGCACGTCCTTCCCTTCCCCCAGCCCTTTCTCCTCCTGTCAGTCCCCCGTGCTTACTGGTGATGGTTTGATCGATCACTCGCCCTTGTTGTTCTGGCCATTGCCCATTTCTCCCCGTTTCCATTCCCCTTGTTCCCTGCCTCTTCGCCCTCTCCCGGTGCCCACTCTCCCATCGTTGCCTGCTGCTGCACGAGCAGGGAGTGCAGCAAAGACGCCTTGTTCTTGGTCTGCAGGGTGGAAGTGCCAGTCTGTGCAATCGCCTGGGTTGCATGCAGATTTGTGTTCGTAGGGCTGTATTCATACCGTAGTGTTTATCTTCAATAAATACTGTATTAGTACTGCGTGCAAACAAGGCTGCCACACTATGAAAAAGACACTCTGCAAGCTCACAAACCCAGATTCATGCCACATGCACCGGGCCCTCTCACATCATTCTCCACTCCATGATGCATCAACCTACACTAAGCCATGCCAAGCCATGTGCCACAAGAAGTGACACATCCTCATTCAATGAGAGGAGAGCTCCCTCCCTCGCACAACTGTCGACTTCAGCGGGAGATGGGCTGCACCACAAGCGGGGACCGTACGCTGTGACCCTGGTCATCAGCCCAGACTAAAAACCCGTACTTGAAGTCATTACTGGGTGTATCAACCGTGAATGTCAGCGTGTAGGTCGCCTTCTCCCCTGGAGCAAGAGTGAGGCTCTTAGTAGACACAGTCACCTTCACTCCCTGCGGTGCCTTCCCAGATACACTGTACGTGGACCGGGACTGCCCCACGTTGGTGACAGTACGGGTGACCTGCAGGGAGCCCTGCAGGCGAGGCAGAGTGATGGTGGGCAGGTTGAGGTTGCGAACAGCCAGAGGCGAGAGCACCACCCCTGGGAACTCCTTTTTCGCGCGGTTCAGGTCCTGCCCGGCGAGGAAATTCTGGTAGTCTTTGTCGCGGGCGTTGTAGGTGAGACCGGGGTCGAGCATGGCCGGGGGGAACACGTGGCCTGCGCCCATCTCCCACGGGGTGGCCTCCCCGCCCGTCGCACTCCTGATGGCGCCCTTGCTCATGTCTGTCATCCGCGCCGTCGTCATCAGCGCTGACATCACCTGCGCCGGGGTCCAGTTGGGGTACTTCTGGATGATTAAAGCGGCTAGCCCCGCTAAATGCGGGGTGGCCATGGAAGTGCCCGACATGCGCGCGAGGCCGCCGGTTTCGCCGGGTTTCCTGCCGGGAGCAGCGGCTACGAGGTCCACTCCCGGACCGATGATGTCGGGCTTTAAGATGGCGTTGCCTGGCTTGGGCGGCTGGGCCGTGGCGGAGGGCTGCAGCAGGGGGCCGCGGGAAGAGAAGTCAGCCACCACCGGGGCGGAGGAGGAGGAGGAGGTGAAGGTGATCCCCCCGTCCGCAGTCAGAACCGTGCTGCTGCCGTCCGTGCCCTCCATGCCCTCCGTGCGGTTACCATTGAAGCTGCCGCCGGTGCCGTTGCTGCTGATGGCGGCGCCAAGAGCGAGCGACTGGCTGCCGCCAGTAGAGGACGCGAGGGACGCGCCGCCTCGGGCGATGGTGCTGGCGCCGACGGTGAGGTAGAAAGGGGCGAAGTTGTCAAGCGTGCGGTAGAACCCTCCACGGCCGGGAGGCCCCGCGTTGCCGGCAGCAAAGGCGACAAACACGCCGGCAGCATTGGCGCGCATGAAAGCGAGATCGTTGAAATAGTTGTCCTCGGGATTCACACCGCCCAGGGACAGTGACAGCACATCCACACCGTCCGCCACGCCCTGATTGACGGCTGCGATGATATCTGACTCCGTGGCGTACATGTCCCCGTTGCCGTCCGTCCAGAACACCTTGTACGCCGCAATGCGCGCTGCCGGCGCCATGCCGCTCACCTGCCCGCCGCCCTGCACCTTCACGGGGTTCCCCGCGGCTGCCCCCGCGCACCACGTGCCATGCCCGTCCGCATCTCGCGGCGTCAGCCAGTCATTGGTCAACACGGGGCGGCCGCTGCTCTGCTGGAAGCCGGCATAGAAGGCCTTGGCGCCGATCACCTTGTTGTTGCACCGGAACGAACTCGACTGCTCGCACTTGCCCTTCCACCCCGCGGGCAGCTGCGAGGAGAGGCCCTTATCGCTGAACGACGGGTGCTCGGGCCAGATACCCGTGTCCACAACCCCCACCACCGTGCCCTCGCCCGCCTTGCTCTGCCCGCCCACTGCCGGCCACACCTTCCCGGGCAGCCCCAGGAACTGCGGCGAGTCGGTCGTCTGCCGGCGGAACACGCGGCTGGCCCGGACGGACGCCACGGCGGGGTGGCGCCGCAGCCGCCACGCCTGGCGCGGCGTGAGGCGCGCGGCGAAGCCGTTGGACGTGTGCTTGTAGCTGTAGAGCAGCCCGTCCTCGGGTACGCCCGCCTCAGATGCCACCTGCGCCTGCTGCCGCTGCAGCAGCCCCGCAAACGCCGCCACATGGGGGCGGTCCATGCTCAGACTCAGCCGGTGCCGCGGGCACCCCGCGCCGCCACCGTTTCGTCCGCCGTTACCGTTACCTCCGCGACCGCCGCGAGCGCTGGGATTGGCGGTGGCGTCAGATGTGGCGTTTGGGGATGGCGTGGGCACAGTTCCGTTTGAAGAGAAGTTGTCGCCGTCCGTGTCGTCCAAATCGACGGATTCGCCGCCTGTGGCGGCGGCGGCATCGTCGGCGGGGAGAATCATCTGCGGTACGGCGTCACTGTCGCTCTCCTCGTCGCTGCCGTCGTCCCACGTGGCCGTCGCGGGGTAGCCCGCGATTCCGCCGCGATATTCGGAGAGGGGAGGCGCGGAGCTCAAGCGAACAATGTAAACGGCGGAACCGTCGGCTGCTGACGTCGCGGATTTGCCGGAGTTCTCCCTGGAGGGCGCCGCGAGGTGCGAATTATCGCCGCCGTTGCGCCATGCGCGATTCAGGTCGCGCCAAGTTGATGCGCGGCTTGCACTGGATGGCTGCGCGGCTAGGAGAAATGCGCACAGGAGCAGCAGCATAACGATAGTTGGAGCATGCCTCATGGTGAATGTCAGCCTTTCGCGTGCAGGTTGTGAAGGGGAACTTTTGATTTCTGTCGCTTTGCCTACGAATTGAAGAGGATCCAGTGGCAGTAGAAGCTAGTGCGGATGTCCTCAAGATGATGTGAATGCTTGAATTGTTGATGCTGGTTGGAGTGAGGCCGTGCTGGTTTTGTACCCACCAGCTCACATGCGGAGCCGCACATTTGGCTGAGGCCTTGTCGCGCCACGACGCACCTGCCGAGTTGGTCAGAAATGCTGGAGATGCGAAGGTGGGTTTGTTTCGGACTTCACTTTCGCGTCGCGTTTGTTCGTTTGTGCCACTGGTTCACGAGCTTTCGCGAAATGATATAACAGCAATCAAACTCAAAATCACGGCCAGAAGCACTGCGACGAGGTGCCAGCTTCTTGTCGGTAACATTGTCGCAAGCAAGGCCAAGCCCGTAGCTGGCACGCGAAACTGGCTCACTCTGCGATATTCCAAATTGACTTGCAAAGAAAGGAGGATTCGTTCGAGGGCAGCGTGAGCCAGACGGGACGGACACGAGCTGAAGTTCCCATTGGCTGCGAATCCAGTACTGGTTACATCCGATTGCCCAGAAAATTTCGAATCCATCCTTTCATGATCACCCAGCGATATTCGTCAAACCGGAGTCGCGGAAGTCAACGCATGTGATATTGTAACGAAGATTTCATTTGTGATGCATCATCCCACACAAGCAGTAGTACCACAAGAACCCCAGCTGGTCATATAATTTCAGAAAGAATGATTCGAGGCATTTGTTGCCTAAGGCCTAATGTTTACTCCTATGTTCTTAACGTTGCATCCTCACAACTTGTGTCGTTTCCAATGATCTAGCATAAATTTATGTAGGCAGATATGGAGCCTGGCAGGCAGCATGGCCAATCCCCAGTTTCCCCGTTCGATTAAACGAGCTGGCCAAACGACAGCAAGGCGTCACGAAACAAGGCAGCAAACTCGTCAGCTGCTCCTGCCGCCCCCTTCACCTTGCCACTTGCCGTGGCAGCACTCGTGTTCACCTGTAGCTCCACAAGGAACATGCCACCTGGCGCCGCATCAGCCTTTTGCGCGTAGAAGAAGAATCGGAAGGCGGGACGTTGGCCGCCTGAAGCCATGCACTGAATGCTCCTGTGTGCCATGTGCCTTAACAGAGGGGCGGGCGCTGTCAGGGCAGTGATGAAGGTTCCTGGCAGCTTCTCCTCCTGCACATCGGCGTGGAAAAACGGATGGGAAAAGAACCGATTAGGTTGGCAGAAATATCCACCCAGCATAACGACCCATGACCTCACACAGTGACATGCCTAAGACATGAATGACCAAGTGGAATTGACCACACACAACACGAGAGGGAGATGCACTCACGAGAGTGGCAGCCACAGGCAGCTGGCTCCACGTGCGTTGGAAGGATGGTGCATCTAGCGCTGCCTTCGCACTCGGCACCAGCACTTGCTTTCAAAAGTCTCACAAGCCATCCAAAGGCATATGACACCCCAAGCAGCACGACAGGAAGATGCACTTACGAGAGTGGCGGCAACAGGCAGCTGGCTCCACGTGCGCTGGAATGACGGCGCATCCAGGGCTGCCTTGGCACTGCGCACCATCAGCACTTGCTATAATACGTCTCACAAGCCATATCAGGGCACACAAGAGGGACAGGCACTCACGAGAGTGGCAGCCACAGGCAGGTGGCTCCACGTGCGCTGGAAGGACGGTGCATCCAGGGCTGCCTTGGCACTAAGCACCAGCGCTGGCCGCACAGGCGCAGGCGCCCCCGACAGCATGTCCTCCAATCCCGCTCCGCCACCTGGCGCCGGCGATGGCGCTGCAAGACCCAACAGACTGTCGATGGAGTCGAAACCGGTGCCTCCTCCAGTGGCCCCTGCAGGGGCTGCTGGTGCTGCAGCAGCAGACGCTGCAGCTGTCGTGCTGTCTGCTCCTGCTGCTGCTGCTGGCACTGCTGGCGCTCCTGCTCCTGGTGGTGCTGCTGCTGCACTGGGGGCATCGGAATAGGCAGGTTGTGTGCTTGCTAGCTCTGCAAACGGGTCCAATGCTGCTGCAGGGGCAGCAGCAGGAGGGGGAGCAGCAGCAGGATGTGTGGGTCCGTCGGATAGAAGATCCAACGGCAGCAGAGGAGCCGCTGCTGCTGCAGCACCAGCACCAGCGGCACTACCAGCGGCAGCAGCATGACCATTGGGAACTGCATCAGCTGAGATGAGAGGTGAGTTGGCAAGCTCCCTGTCAGAGGCATCAAGGAGCGAGGCAGCTGATTCACCCTGTGAGGCGCGGGCCGATGGAGCAGCGGCAGTGGCAGGAGCAGTGGCAGCGGCTGCTGCAGAAGCAGTGGCGGCAGCAGAGGCCACGGAGGTGTATTCGGCGTCAAGCAGGCTGCGCTGATCCTTGTCCAGGAACAGGTATGCTGGCTGGATGGGATGGAGATGAAAGCACGGGGAGAGGGAGGATGGTTGGTGGATTGGATATTGAGGTGCTTATGAGTGTACTAAACATGGGGAAAGTGTGCTCATGGGACTTGTCACACACTCACCTTTTGGTAGACGACAGAGAGGGAGTTGAACTCATCAAAGATGCGATCGCGCGTCTCACTGCCCTGCGAGTCCACAAACACCGACACCGGCTGCTTCTCTGGGTTGATCACCTGCTCTGCCACGCCCACTCCCGCCCTCAGCAACCGGTAGTAGAGGAGAGCCCTGTCGTGCACGTCCTGTTGTCAGAGAAGGGATAGGGTTGAACACACACAAGGGCATATGAGGGGTTGGCACACCGACACCGGCTGCTTCTCTGGGTTGATCACCTGCTCTGCCACGCCCACTCCCGCCCTCAGCAACCGGTAGTAGAGGAGAGCCCTGTCATGCACGTCCTGTTGTGCCCAGAGGGAAAGGGTTAATCACACACATGGGCGGACGGGGGTTTGGCACTGATACTGGTTGTATCTCCAGATGGATCACCTGCTCTGCCATGCCCACAGCAACCGATAGTACAGCAGCGCGCGGTCATGCATGTCCTGTTGTTTTTGAAGGAAAAGGACAGATCAGGAAGTGCACGCACTGAAAAGTGACTCAATCATGCAACCATGCACGGCCATGCACATGCTGTGGGTTTGAAGGGAAGGGCAGATTTGGAAATGCTGTTCAGCTTCCCCTCTGGCTCATAAGTCCCTCTGGCTTGTATCCCCACGTTCCATCCTGCCCATATCCCCACCCACTCGCCACAACTGCATCACACCAGTCACATACCCATCACACCTGCCATATCCCCACTGCACCTGCCTCAACCGCATCCCACCTGCTGCGACTCAGCGAGCCCGTGGGCGAGCACGGCGCCCAGCATCTTCTGGCACTCGGGGGGGTAGTATGGGAGGTATAGCACGCACACAGCGCTGCCAACTGCCATTAACCCATCCCACCTGCCTCAACCGCATCCCACCTGCCTCAACCGCATCCCACCTGCCCCAACCGCATCGCACCTGCTGCGACTCCGCGAGTCCGTGGGCGAGCACGGCGCCCAGCATCTTCTGGCACTCGGGGGGGCGCTTGAAGAAGAGCTTTGCCACTGCTGTCAGCAGCTCCAGACGCACCTGCAGGTGGGTGGGTGGCAGGTGGATGGGAGGGAAGGAAAGGAGGTAAGGGGTGTGAAGGAGCGTGGGGGAGTAGGGGGAAGGAGGAGGGGCGCTTGAAGAATAGCTTCGCCACGGCCGTCAGCAGCTCCAGACGCGCCTGCATGGTGGTGGTTGGGGTGTGGTTAGTTTGGACGGAGAGAGGAGGGGTGAGGGGAGCAGGGAAGAAGAGGGGCGCTTGCAGCACAGCTTTGCCACAGCTGTCAGCAGCTCCAGGCGCACCTGCAGGTGGGTGGGAGGGAAAGGAGGGGAGATGAGTGAGGGGTGTGGAACGCAACCAACTAAACAACATGCCTACCACACCACCACCTCACGCCTGAATCTTTTGAGTCGACTCAAAAGACGCCTACCACACCACCACCTCACGCCTGAATCTTTTGAGTCGACTCAAAAGACGCCTACCACACCACCACCTCACGCCTGAATCTTTTGAGTCGACTCAAAAGACGCCTACCACACCACCACCTCACGCCTGAATCTGGCCTGACAATCCATCCCCCTACCCACGCAAGGGCGACTCAAAGCACATCTCTGTCTCTGAGTCATACCTCGGCGTTTCCTTCCTCCTCCGAGTTGACAAACCCCTCGAACGTGTAAGGGGCATTGGACATGTGCTGGCCATACATGCTCAGCATCCACACCAGTGCTGCCTTGGCCCGCGGGTCCGACACTCACTCAGTACCAGGACTCAGGATCACCTCTGCATTCGTTTCTTCTTCCCACGAGTTGACGAATCCCTCCAGCGTGTAAGGAGCATCGGACATGTGCTGGCCATATACTCCCCCAGCATCCACAGCAGCGCCGCCTTGGCCCGCGGATCGGTGACTGAGCGAGAGCTCACAGACCCCACCACGGCTCACGAACCCCACCAGTAATCCTATGCATCCCAAAGCACATCTCTCAGTCGTACCTCCGCATTCGTCTCCTCCTCCCACGAGTTGACAAAACCCTCCAGGGTGTACGGGGCATCCCCCATGTGCTGGCCGTATTCCCCCAGCATCCACACGAGTGCCGCCTTGGCCCGCGGGTCAGTGACAGAGCGAGAGCTCACGGACCCCACCACAGCGATGCAGTCCTGCGCCCACTGGGGGTACTTGCGCAGGAGATCCCGCACCAGCACCTGGGGGGGGAGGGGGAGTGGGGGTAACGGGGAGTGAGTGGAGAGAAGTGTGCATGTTGCTGGGCTTGACGCGCCAGCAGCAGGGAGCAGTGACAGAGCGAGAGCTCACCGACCCCACCACAGCGATGCAGTCCTGCGCCCACTGGGGGTACTTGCGCAGGAGATCCCGCACCAACACCTGGGGAGGGGGAAGGGGAGGAGCGGGCTGGAGGGGTGAGGGTAAGGGGGAGCGAGCCCTATGTCGCGTGATAAGACTCCTGACAGGAACGAACCCCACAGATCTCCCAAATGTACCCCGTTCCGAGCCCTGCTCCATACATACCAAACCTCTGCTTCCACTCCCACACACAACAGAGTCTCCGCAGTGACATAGTCGGTGCCCATCTCCAGGAACTGCAGCAGCCGGTCCACAATGCCTCTCATCCGTGCACTCACACACACACTTGCACCCTGACTGCTGGCACGCCCATACCATATCCCTCCCGACCACATTCCATAACCCATCCACCAATGCATGTGACATCACACACCAGCGTCTCAGCAGTGACATAGTCAGTGTCCATCTCCAGGAACTGCAACAGCCGGTCCACAATGCCCCCACCCACTGACACCCTGACTGCGGGGCCACCTACCTACCACTTCAATCCACCGATGCATATAACAGAACAGCACCAGCACAGAGCAGCACCACCGCCCATACCAGAGTCCCCGCAGTGACATAGTCGGTGTCCATCTCCAGGAACTGCAGCAGCCGGTCCACAATGCCGTTCACATCGTAGCAACCACTCTCTGACACCCTAACTGTTGGAGTACCCACACCATATCCCTCCCTACTACCTCCCTGATCCCTCCCTACTCCCTCCCATCCACGCATGCACATACCAGGGTCTCCGCAGTGACATAGTCGGTGTCCATCTCCAGGAACTGCAGCAGCCGGTCCACAATGCCGTTCACATCGTAGCTCTGCAGCGCTATCTGCCCCACTGCTCGAATCGCCTCCCGTGCGATTGAAACATCAACGTCCGCTGCATACTCTGTCAACTCCGTCACTAAGCGAAGCAATGAGAGGGGGGAAGGGGAAAGGAAGGGCGGAGGGGTGAGGGGCATGCTCACATCCGCAGCATACTCTGTCAACTCCGTCACTGAACAAGGAGGGGTGGGAAGGGCAAGAAAACGGTGGAATGAGGCGTGGCAGTCTCAAAAGTGCAGTTCACATCGTAGCTCTGCAGCGCTATCTGCCCCACCGCCCGTATGGCCTCGCGTGCGATGGACACATCTACATCCGCTGCATACTCTGTCAGCTCCGTCACTGGGAGAGGATGGGGAAAGGTTCACGGGTAGAAGGGGCGGAATGAGGCGTGCCACTCCCAGCAGTGCCGTTCACATCGTAGCTCTGCAGCGCATCTGCCCCACTGCCCTGATCGCCTCCCGTGCAATGGACACGTCCGCATCCGCTGCATACTCTGTCAGCTCCGTCACTGGGAGAAACAAAGAGAGGGAGGAGGGCAAGGGGTGTTCATGGGCCGCCCTGCAGTGTGTATATTGACACACCAGTGCTGCTCCCACTGAGTGCCTCTAGAGTGGTATCTGCCCCACCGCTCATACGGCCTCCCATGAGATCGACACGTCCACGTTCGCTGCATACTCTATCTGCTCCGCCATTGGGTAATGGGTAACACGTCTTGTCTGTTCCGTCACTGACAGAAGCATGGAGGGATGAAGGATGGTGGCGTGCGGGAGAGAGCGCAAGTCCAGACGGGCAGGATGAGACAACATCCGTGTCACATTCTCAGATACACTCTCCTCCCCTTCACCTTATCCACAAACCCACTCCACCCCACCCTCCCCCTCGTCCTCCACCCCCTTACCCCCCCTCCCCTCGCCCTCCCTGCCCAGCCCTCACCAATATCGTATGTGTTGCTGTCGTTGGCAATGGCAGTCAGCATCTGCAGCTTGAGGCGCTTCACATAGGGCGGGTCGCGGACCTTGCAGTACAGATGCTTGTAGTCGCCCGCAAACACACACGGCCAGCGCGAGACGACATGCGTCTCACACTCTCAGTGAATTCTCTTCCTCTCCCCCTTCCCCACAAACCATCCCCCACGCTCCACCTGCTCCCTTCCTCCCTCCCTCCCTCCTCCCCTCCTCCACCCTGCACTCACCAATGTCATATGTGTTGCTGTCGTTGGCAATTGCGGTCAACATCTGCAGCTTGAGTCGCTTCACATAGGGCGGGTCGCGGACCTTGCAGTACAGATGCTTGTAGTCTCCCGCAAACACACACGGGCAGCGAGATACGAGCAGGGAGAGGTGGCAGAGCACTGCGTATGACTGCTCCGTGCTGCACGTGCCCATCAGCGTAAGCAACGGGGTCTTGATGCGCTCGTATACCTGCAAACGGGGCGTTTATATGGAGACGAAGGAAGGATAATGAAGCGATTGAATGGACTGTAAACGGAGGGGTGCACACAGAGAGCAATGAGTTCACTCGCTCACGCCCAGCCCAACCACGCCCACCCACCTGGTGGTGCACGTCTGGCATGGAGAGCGAGCACAACGGCACTGTTGGCGTGCTGCAGGCGGTCCTATAGCAGGTTCATGAGGTCAAAGGCCTCGCACATACACACACTCAGCAACATGGAGACAGCTAACATTCACCCACCTGGTGGTGCACATCTGGCATGGAGAGCGTCAGGTGGAGAAACAGCATGGCAGTGGCGAGCACGACGGCACTGTTGGCATGCTGCAGGCGGTCCTCTAGCAGGTTCATGAGGTCAAAGGCCTCGCACATACACACACTCAGCAACATGGAGACAGCTAACATTCACCCACCTGGTGGTGCACATCTGGCATGGAGAGCGTCAGGTGGAGAAACAGCATGGCAGTGGCGAGCACGACGGCACTGTTGGCGTGCTGCAGGCGGTCCTATAGCAGGTTCATGAGGTCAAAGGCCTCGCACATACACACACTCAGCAACATGGAGACAGCTAACATTCACCCACCTGGTGGTGCACATCTGGCATGGAGAGCGTCAGGTGGAGAAACAGCATGGCAGTGGCGAGCACGACGGCACTGTTGGCGTGCTGCAGGCGGTCCTATAGCAGGTTCATGAGGTCAAAGGCCTCGCACATACACACACTCAGCAACATGGAGACAGCTAACATTCACCCACCTGGTGGTGCACATCTGGCATGGAGAGCGTCAGGTGGAGAAACAGCATGGCAGTGGCGAGCACGACGGCACTGTTGGCATGCTGCAGGCGGTCCTCTAGCAGGTTCATGAGGTCAAAGGCCTCGCACATACACACACTCAGCAACATGGAGACAGCTAACATTCACCCACCTGGTGGTGCACATCTGGCATGGAGAGCGTCAGGTGGAGAAACAGCATGGCAGTGGCGAGCACGACGGCACTGTTGGCATGCTGCAGGCGGTCCTCTAGCAGGTTCATGAGGTCAAAGGCCTCGCACATACACACACTCAGCAACATGGAGACAGCTAACATTCACCCACCTGGTGGTGCACATCTGGCATGGAGAGCGTCAGGTGGAGAAACAGCATGGCAGTGGCGAGCACGACGGCACTGTTGGCATGCTGCAGGCGGTCCTCTAGCAGGTTCATGAGGTCAAAGGCCTCGCACATACACACACTCAGCAACATGGAGACAGCTAACATTCACCCACCTGGTGGTGCACATCTGGCATGGAGAGCGTCAGGTGGAGAAACAGCATGGCAGTGGCGAGCACGACGGCACTGTTGGCATGCTGCAGGCGGTCCTCTAGCAGGTTCATGAGGTCAAAGGCCTCGCACATACACACACTCAGCAACATGGAGACAGCTAACATTCACCCACCTGGTGGTGCACATCTGGCATGGAGAGCGTCAGGTGGAGAAACAGCATGGCAGTGGCGAGCACGACGGCACTGTTGGCATGCTGCAGGCGGTCCTCTAGCAGGTTCATGAGGTCAAAGGCCTCGCACATACACACACTCAGCAACATGGAGACAGCTAACATTCACCCACCTGGTGGTGCACATCTGGCATGGAGAGCGTCAGGTGGAGAAACAGCATGGCAGTGGCGAGCACGACGGCACTGTTGGCGTGCTGCAGGCGGTCCTCTAGCAGGTTCATGAGGTCAAAGGCCTCGCACATACACACACTCAGCAACATGGAGACAGCTAACATTCACCCACCTGGTGGTGCACATCTGGCATGGAGAGCGTCAGGTGGAGAAACAGCATGGCAGTGGCGAGCACGACGGCACTGTTGGCATGCTGCAGGCGGTCCTCTAGCAGGTTCATGAGGTCAAAGGCCTCGTCTGGGTGGGCAGTACCCAGGCACACGTACAGTCACAACAACACACACGGACACAGCCACGCCCACCCACCCACCCAATCATTCACCCACCTGATGGTGCACGACGGGAATGGAAAGGGTCAGATGGAGGAAGAGCTTGGCAGTGGCAAGGCACACCCACCCACCCACCCACGTTTCCACCCACCCACCCACCCACGTTTCCACCCACCCACCCACCCACCCACCCACCCACCCACCCACCCACCCACCCACCCACCCACCCACCCACCCACCCACCCACCCACCCACCCACCCACCCACCCACCCACCCACCCACCTGGTGGTGCACGTCGGGCATGGAGAGCGTGAGGTGGAGGAAGAGCTTTGCTGTACCGAGCACAACGGCGCTGTTGGCATGCTGCAGGCGGTCCTCTAGCAGGTTCATGAGGTCAAAGGCCTCGCACATCCGGGTGGGAAGGGGTGTAGCGCGATGCCAGGTCTAGCACCGTGCACTGCGCCCACTCACTCATCTCCTTCATACTGTTGTGGATGGGGGACAGGGGGTTTGGGCATTCGATGCCTTTCTTCAGAGCACACACACACACACGTTTCGAAACACAGAGGAAGACGAGGGAGCAATTCTGCAGCATGTCACGGTCCTTCCTTCACAAACTCAGGGCCTATCCTGCAAGGAGCCTTGGGAATCGTACCGGTTGAGGAGGGCGAAAACGATGGAGCGGCTGTGCAGCATGTCACGGTCCCTGACAGCCTCGGGGTCTCCATTCTCTGCCAGCGACTCCCCTGCCAGTATCTCCTGCAACGCACTCACACAATTAGCCACCACCTGTGGGGGAGGGGAGAGGCAGGGAAAGGGAAGAGAGCAAAAGGCAGAGGATACACAGTGCCTGTGATGCCAGTATCTCCTGTAACGCACTCACACGGTTGGCCACCACCTGTGGGGAGGAGGGTGGGGGGGTGGGTGTGTTGTGAGTCAACTCAAAGCACACCTGTGCAACATGTTGCGGTCCCTGACAGCCTCGGGGTCTCCATCCTCTGCCAGCGACTCTAGCGCCAGTATCTCCTGCAACGCACTCACACAGTTGGCCACCACCTGTGGGGAAGAGGGGACGGAAAGGGAGGCGAGGGGAGGGGAGGGGAGGAGAGGGGTGGGGGAGAGGGGAGGGGAGGGGATGGGAGGGACGGGGATGGTAGGGACGAGAAGGGAGACAAAGGGGAAACACGATCACCTCCCCTGCCAGTATCTCCTGTAACGCACTTACACAGTTCGCCACCACCTGTGGGGGAGAGCGGGAGGGGGAGGACAAGGAAGGGCGAGGGAGAGAAAAACCAGTCACTCCCCTGCCAGTAATCCCCTGTCACACCCCACCTGTGGGGGAGAGGCAGGGGAAAAGGGGAGGATCGGAAGAGGCAGATAGGAGGAGGTCACACACAGTTGGCCATGTGACCATGTGACCATGTGACCATGTGATGTCATCGCATGGCTTGGCCATTATCAGGGGAGGAAGGGAGGGGAGGGACCAGGAAGAGAGACAAAGAAGTCAGCCTGACAGCACCAAGTGTAGTGCGCTCACACATATGGGCACAAAGGACTCTTGAAACAGATCACAACAACCCAACTCACCTGTGCATCTGGGTCGTCTGTGAGTTTCCTCTTGAACATGCCGATGTACCCATGCTCGCGGCACACAGCCATCGCGAGGTGGTAGAGCTTCAGCACGCCCATCACCGCCACTGCCCTCACGTACGCACTCACGTCTCCCAGCCCACCCACCCTCCCTCGCTCCAATAGACAACTCTCAGTCGACTCAATAACAACCCACTCACCTGCGCATCTGGATCGTCTGTGAGTTTCCTCTTCAGCATGCCGATGTACCCATGCTCCCGGCACACCCCAGGAGCCAAATGATACAGCTTCAGCACGCCCATCACCGCCACTGCCCGCACGTACGCACTCACGTCCCCTAGCCCGCGCTCCAGGGGCCCCACGAGGTATTCTACCAGCCCGCGCACCCGCAGGGCGCACAGGTTGCGCAGGGCTAGGCCACGTATCATTGGGTCGTCGTCCTGTAAGTGTGGGGCAGAGGGAGGGGGGAAGGGCGGTGGGATCGGGGGAGAGAAGGTGGGGACAGGAAATCACGGGGTTGAGTGCAAGAGAGGGGAGAGTGGAGGAAGAGCAGCACTCCACTCCTCCCACACCTACCCACACCTCCCTCCTCACACCTCCCCACACCTCCTCACTCCTCCCCCCACCTGGCAGTCGCGCTGCAGGAAGTTGATGGTGAGGAGGGCGAGCTCGGGCTTGGTGGGACAGACACATGGCATACTTGACCACATTCACCATCATGACAACATTCACACCTCCCCACACCTGCCCACGCCTTCCCGCACCTGTTCGCATCTGCCTGCATCTTCTCACACCTCCTCAATTCTTTCCGCACCTGGCAGTCGCGCTGCAGGAAGTTGATGGTGAGGAGGGCGAGTTCGGGCTTGGTGGCGACGTACAGGTAACACATCTTCTTCACCACCAGGCCCGACGCTGCACTGCACTGCGCTGCACCGCACCCCACTGCACTGCACTGCACGCTCTGCTTTGGTTCTCACGCACCTGGCAGTCGCGCTGCAGGAAGTTGATGGTGAGCAGGGCGAGTTCGGGCTTGGTGGCGGCGTAGGTGGCGACGTACAGGTAACACATCTTCTTCACCACCAGGTCCGACGCCGCACTGCACATCACCATCTCGCTGCACGGTGCAGTGCGGTGATACGAGGTGGTGAGCGATGATGCGTGGTGACGAGCGGTGAGAAAAGGTTGGCAGGGAGGAAAAAGGGAGCGAGATTAAGGCTCAGGATGATGGTAAACAGCCTTTGCAGGAACAATGAGTGGACGGGAAGTAAGTCAGACGGCAGCCGAGTGCATGAGTCTGAGAATTGAATGATGTGGAGCATAATGGGTATAGCAGGGCATTTCAGTGGCTATAACGCGGGCCAGAAAGGCTATAATAGCTAGGCCTGTGAAAGCGAGCACTGAGTTGCGGCGTAAGTATGACGCATAACTGAAGACGGGCGACGCGTCAATCCAGATGGTCATGTGCTGTTAACTCGCCCAAAACATGACTTTTGAGTCGACTCAGAAGTCATCGGGTTACAGGGTAGCCATGGCGCCTACCTGAAGACGGACGACACGTCAATCCCGATGGTCATGTGCGATATGACTTTCTTGAAGAGCTCGCGCCGCATCTCCGCCGCTCCCGGCGCCCTGATGGGACGATGGGAGAGACGCGAGGGAGAAAGGGAGATCCGGACTGAGTACCTGCCTGAACACTCTCAATTTCCTTTGTAACGACTTCTGCTACCGTCATACCAATCTGACCTAATCTGATCTCTGGGACAAAATAAACAGCAACCGTCGAAAGCTGGGATCAACCGTCCCTCCGAAGGCGATACCGTCCTGATCGTCGCACACGACTGACCTGCTTCCCGCGAGTTGACCCAGCTGCATCTTCACGTCCGCCATCTCCCCTCGCCTATTATCCGCGTTCATCGTGTTGGTTGCTCTGTCGCTGGATCAGACTAAATGGATAAAGCGAGCAACGAGTTTCTCAAGCTACCTTGCAAAGCAACACAAAATCACTTAGGAGAGACACAGACCACATCCAAGTCCACACCACCACACAGTTTACGCTTTATCGAGTGTCATTGTAAAAGATCACTTTGCTAGAGAGCTCAATCTATACAAAATAAAAGGATCAATGTTTGCTCAATGATCGAAATCCTCTGCACTTATTCCGTCATCCATGTCCGTTATGTCATAAGTCAGCAGTTCCTATGTTTTCCTGAAAATGGTAATAACTGCATGTGGTATGAGCCACATCGCCATATAATGGTCATCAATATTTTCCATTATCAAAAGTGAAAAATGGGAGTATGCATTTTTCTATGTGAAAAATAAGAAAACTCAGTCTGACATCACGCCTAGATAACACATGAGACAACATTATGTTTCATTGATACATCAATTGAAATGAGTATTGTCAAGCACAACTGCTAGATATGAAACTAGTGTTACTGAATCTAGGAGGATGGATTGCGGCCGAGGAAAAGGGTGAAGTTTCAGCCATCGGCACCACGGGAACATGCTGGATGGTGACGTGAAAGGGCCCTGAAAACGGAGGCTCTGCAGAAAGAAACTCGCAATTATGGAGGAAATTTTTGCAGAAATATCGGGTTTGGCACCTGACAACTCTAGCAAATTCGGGCCGGAAAGACAAAATGGAAGGAACAAAAAAAACCAAGCACACCCCATTTGCGATGGACAAGTGGAACGCCAAAAAAAAATCGAGGCTGGGCTGAGGCATTTACATAAACGCCTAGATGCGGGGAGCGCGGGTGGAAGGAGGGTGAGAAGGTACCCTAGAAATAAGGAGGTATACATATATTTTACACTTGTATCATCTACAAGAGTAGTGCAGTGCCGTACAAGTGTGCCGTGCTGTGCATGCATCGTCGTTTTGTTACGATTTGCAAATTTCGCAGCCCAACAAGACAGAACGGGTCAACAAATGAATGTGCAACATTTTGCCCACAAATGATTTGCTAAAGATTCTTTCCGCGTTAGCCACGGAGATTGGCCGCGTGGTTTCGCAAACGAATCGAATTGATCGTTCCAGAACTCCGAAAACCACGTTGATCCGCATTCACGAAGTTGTGCGACGAGCCGTAACGTCCTTGTTTCCATCCGACTTCTTTGAGCATCTTGTCCGAGCCAAGACCGACCGAACCAACCTCCCAAACTGCGCTGCGCGCCTCAATTTTGAAAGGCTGCCACATTTCCCCTGAGCTGGACCTCCTGGCCAGGGGTGGTCCCTCCAGCGCAGCCACATTTTACGTACCCTTGTAGCCTCGGAAAACGGGACCAACGGAGGCGAAATCGCGCGCATCGGCGGAAATCGTGTTTGTCTCAAAAGAATCGACCCAAATTGCTCCCCGCTCGCCACGTGGGCGTTTTTCTCAATTGATTCGACCCCCTTTCCCCCCGCCTCCCCACCCCGTTTTTCTCGCCCTTGCCCTCCGAAATTCGGGCACCCGCTGGAATTTCGTGAAATCACAAGAAGTTACGAATACATGTTTTTTCGTAACGCTAAGATTTCAACATGCGAGCGACATCTGATTGGACAGAACACCTATGACATTTAATGATTACTTTAGCAGTAATATGGATTTCATTAATTATGTGCCACTGCAGTAACGTAATTTTTTTGAATCTTTGTAATACGAGTAAATATTGTTTTTTTCTAAAACAATATCAAGAAGTACAATCAAATAAAATATCTACCTATTTAAAATTTTAATTTGCCCTTGAGTGATTATTATTATATTTTTTTTTAAATTTAACTCTTATTGTTTTATGTTTCATGGAAGAAGCTTCATGTAGAAATATAAAAATCATTTAAAAGTATAGGTTTATTTGTCATGTGTTTTTTTGCGCCCCTATTTACATTACTGGCATGGGCTAATCCAAAAAAATACGATACAATCAGCGTGCATATGAACCTCCTGAGATTGAGAAGCAACCGCCAAAATTATCGATTGCGAAAGCTGATGTGGCATGCCACAACTACATGGTGGATTTGGCATGATGCTGGGAGCACGTATTCGTGACCTTTTGTGATTTCACGAAATTCCGGCGGGTGCCAGAATTTCGGAGGGCAAGGGCGGGAAAAACGGGGAGGGGGGCGGGGGGAAAGGGGGTCGAATCAATTGAGAAAAACGCCCACGTGGCGAGCGGGGAGCAATTTGGGTCGATTCTTTTGAGACAAACACGATTTCCGCCGATGCGCGCGATTTCGCCACCAACGGAACAATTGCAACAAGACCTGGTGTCCAAATGTAGTACAGCACAGCTGGAGTTGCTGCCCCAAACGTACGCACCGACAGAATTGACCTGTCCTTGCGCACGGCAAGGATCGCACGGGGCAAGTTCGCTGCTGCCAGCGCACGGATCACCACACTCGCCATCTGCTGCTTCTGTAATGCAAAGTTGCAGCACTATTGCCTCGCTGTGCTTTCAGACTCCCTCTCATTTGTCCATCCCCTTGCCAGCTCCGTCAACGCACCAACTGGAGCAATCAGCTTAGCTCTTCGCCCTCCCACTCCCACAGTCGAGCAAGCACCCCAACCCAGTCCACCCCTCAACCGCCATAGGTCCTCCTACCTCCACCATACAAATCGCACGCTCCGCGAAGACCGAGCAGCATTCGTTCGCGTAACCTCCATTTCGTATCCACCCACACACGAACAGCCTGTCGAGTCACTACATTTTTGCAGTCCAGTCCAGTCAGCTACGGGCATGGCACGTCATCTTCACAAAGTGCGCTCCGTTCCCGACGTCCATAGCTTGTTCCTGTCCACTGGGCTAGACTCTCCAGACGATACGCGACGTCCAGAGGACCAGTTTCGAAGCCGAAAAGGGCCTCGCCATCGCCATCAGAATTCGGACGGTTTCATACTATTAGACTCGCAGCGCGCGACGTTTCATTCGCCTTCTAACCATCGCGACAGCTCCGCTCCTCTCTCTCCTGCTGACGAGCTCGTAGGCAGTGGGCGCTCCGCAGGCGACAGTACCCATTACCCGTTACCACGATCGCCGCCCTTCGTTCACGGCAGGCCTACGGGGCTTCCGCCACGACGGCCGAATAATTTCCACACACTCGCGGCGGCAGACCCGCGGAACCCCGCCGTCGCTCGCGCTTCAGCAGCGGCTTTATCCGCGGCGGCGCCCGCCGGTGCTAGTAACAGCTCCCAGCGCCGCATGTTTTCATCGATTACTGATTCCTCCTCCGAGGACGACAACACCGACGCGTCGCAAGACATGCTCGGCGACGGGGCAAGGGTTTCGCAAACAGCGGGTTACCCGCCGAGACAGTGCTACCCGCCTCCCGGGTCGCGCGCAGAATCCGCGAGCTACTACCACCAGAAGCAGGGCGGCAATGCCGATGCGGCAGTAGAGCCGCTCGGCCTGAAAGAATCCACGGAAGCCGTTTTACGGTCCCGCGTGCAAGAGGTTCTGTCGGAGCGGCAAGAGCTGGTGCAGCAGCTGTCGTCGTTCCGCGTGACAGCGGCGTACCGGCAGAAGCGGGTGGAAGCGACCTTGAAAGAGGCGGAGGTGCTCAAAACGAAATTGGCGGGAGGGGAGAAGCGGCTGGAGAGGGTTCGCGCGCAGCTTGACGCCACGCGCATCGCGCGAGACGCGGCGGCGCGGGAGCTCGCGGTCCTTCGGCGGATCGCGCCCGCAGCAGATGCTGGTACTAGCGACGACGAGGACAGCGACGAAAGTGATGCGTCGGATTCAGAGAGTGACGCCACGTCGGATAGGGGATGCGGGGGAGCGAGATCGCGCGGAAGAGGCGGAATGTGCCGGGGCGCGGCGAAGACGGCGGGGGACGCGGCGTGGCGGAGAGCGGAGCTGCGGAACGTTCTGCATGAAATGGCGCAAGCGCTGGAGAAGACCGAAAAGAGAGCGCGAAGCGCTTTGGCGCGAACAACGCAATTAGAAGGTACGCAGGTCGGAAATGATTCATGCGACATCTTGTGCGACATTCCATGCTACGTTTTCGCTGATCGCCTCTCGTGTCACTCTCACCTCCGCCGACGCTTCCTCCGCTCTCTCTCTTCCGCCACCCTTCCTCCAAATCACTCTATGCGCCTGATTCAACCGTCGTTGCTCGCCCACTCCGCGTCGTTCCGCTCCCCTCGTATTGCCTGTCCCTCAGTGTCCCCCTAACATCCCCCCTCTGATTTCCTTTCCCCTTCCGGTTCCCCTTCCCCCCGGCCAGGCTTACTGGAGGACAAAAAGGAGGAGCTGGCGGAGGTGCGGAAGGAGTTGCGCACGGCGGAGGGGGAGCGGAACATGCTGGCGGAAGAGTTGCAGGAAGCCTTCAACTCGTGGGCGCAGCCGCGCGCGCCCGCAGGCAACGCCACGAGGAAGTCAGGGGTGGCGTCGGCTCCGCTGCCGCTACAGCCGCTACAGCCACTGGAGGCGCTACAGGCGCTACGAGCCAAACAGGCGCAGCGCGCCACAGACGGACACTGGCCTGGAACGTGGATTGATGAGGGCAAGGGTGGTGGGGATTACATGCCGAAAGGGGGAAGCAGAGATATGGGTCTCATCAGCAGAAGCACGAGTAAGGAGGAGCCCGGGGCGCAGATGCGCGGAAAGGGGTTGAACGGAGAGGGGAAAAGCGCTAAGGGGATGATGAGCGGTAGGGGGAGCACGGAGGAGCTCGGTGGGTGGGCCCGCGCGTCAGCGCTGTTGCTGGCGGGTCAGATGGAGCCGCGCGTGCCTGGATACCTGCGCGCGTCGCTAGAGGTCCCCTGAAGCCCCTTAAGACGTCTCGACTGGAGCACGCTGCTCTTGGCATGTGGCCTGCAGCATCTGCATCAGTTTCAGTCAACGTGGATATTGAGTTAGTGCACTTCTGGCGACATCAGCCATTGCACGTGCTCCTCAAACTACCGTACTTCTCCGTCTGCATTTGTACATAGTCTAGCAGGGCAGCTCCTGTGTGTGGACTGTTTTTTGGGATAGCAATTTTGAGTCCTAAGAAATTTTCCCTTTATCTTGAAGTTGTGTTGTAGCTTTCATGCTAGCCAGGCAAGTGCCCGGACTTGCTTGCAGTAAGATTCATGTTCCAATAAAGCTGATAACGTCTAAGCAGAGTGAACAACGTTAGGTGTATTGAACGCACAGAAGTTGTGTTTGCCCTGTAAAGACGAGCTCGAGCCGCAGATGTGTGACATGATCCAATGACACACTGCCTTTAGCGCGTCATCCGCTCTCAGGGGCTGGCCTTTTGTGGTGCTAATGAAGCCAGCTGGTTAACTCGGATATTGTCGTTGGGGTGATCCAATCTTCGTCGGGATACAATTGGGAAGCCCTGTCATCAGGGATGTCGTCCACCTCAGAGACATGTCTCAGCCATAAGTGCGTTGACAAAAGGGAACGAGCAGACGCACGTGGCTGAAACAACGGATTCTGCGAGAGCACTTTCTGCTGGCGAGGCGATGTTGACCAAGGGCAGTCTGGCAATGCAATTTCATGTGCGCTTGACGGTGGAATGCTCTGAACAGTGTGATCTGTGGGGTGCTTGTCCGTGTGTGATGTGTGTGAAACAGCCCTGGCCGGGCAGCCCAATTATCAAACAGCCTGGCCGGGCAGCTCCCGGGCACCTCATTGGTTTGGTTCCGATCGGACACGTCATGCACGGCGTGTGAGGGCAAGCGCTTGGTGCGGTGAGGGATCTGCTGGCAGAATGTTCACATTCAGAGATTACAGTCCATTCGCGGCGCGAGCCACCATCATTCTGCAATGGCAGGGGGGACACACACACCACACCACGCACCACCCCCACTTCCGCAACGCCCAATCCCACCAGGAAACAGGGATGTGCATTGTGGCGGTTCATGCATTGTCAGTTTACAGCACATGAGTCACTTTTCAGACTGGTTTGTGGCGGTTCAAAGCGGTGGGAGAAACTTACCGCTCTAGAACGCACAAACTCGTAGTCAACCGCTGTAATGAACTGAAAGTTCACCAAGCATGACACGCTCTTGGCACACCAAGCATCCATCCAACTGATATCCTCTTGCCTTATATTTTATCAGACGCCAGGAGTTCGGTCAAGTGAGGTGAGGATTTCTCTTGTTGAATGTCTATCTCAAGATCTCGACGAGAGCGGCAGAGAAGCCGTGAGCAAGCCCTTCGTCTTGAAGTCTCGTCTCTCACCGTCTCGAAGAACAACATTTGCTCATAAACCACATCCTACCCGTTCAGAAGTAAAGACCGTCCCACAAGACCTAGCCTACTTCAACCCGACATTCCGTACGGTACGGCAGATCCGCACAGCACGCGACCAGCTGGTGATCGTCGTTAGACGCGGGCTGCAATGTCGTGCGTAACAAATGAAAACATTCGTGGTACTGCGTTCCGTCCTTCAGGCGGCGAATGCGAGCGGCCGTGCTTTCAGCTTCCGGCTCGCGGCGACATGCGCGCCCAGTGCTCACCCCGCGCTCATCATCGTACGCGCGCGGAAGACGTCACGGATCATTGCGCAGGAAGACTGCCGCCATCGCCCCGCTCTCCCGCCAATCCCTCCCCCAGGTCACACCTTAGACGCGCCCGCGAGCCTGCCCTTCGCCGCGTGTCAGAGGAAGCGCACTCCCCGCCCAGCATTCCGGGAATCTCGCCCCCCGCGATTCGCGGAACAACTCGCTGCGCCATCCAGTCTGTCAGCAGTCCATTCGACGAGTACGACGCGATTGAGGGACTGGAATGGGAGGCATTTGCGCCGCGGAGTCCTCGAATGAAGCAGAAAGCGCGGGCGAGCTTGGACATGGCCGCGGCGGTCAGCACGTGCCATGCCACTGGCACGATAGTACGTAGGAGCAGCAGCACTAGCAGCAGTGGCAGCAGCAGTGGCAACGGCAACAGTGGCGGTGGCGGCGGAAGCGGCAGCAGCCGCAGCAACAGTGACAACGACAACGGTGGCGGCGGAAGCGGCAGCGACAACAGGAACAGCCACCCGTATCGCAGCAGTTTCTCCGAAGAGTATCGACCGCGGGGTGGTAACCAGCTGCCAGGTGGCGTTTGTTACCCGACATCAACGTCATGGCCCGGAGGCGGCGCGCGAATGAGGCTTTCGCGATCAGCCGCGGACCTTGCCACGTTGAGTACCCTCGCGGAGCACGACGAGGGTGAGGATGAGGTGATTCGAAGCTCGTCCGATCAAACCTCGTCATATCGAAACTCGTCATATCATCGAACCTCGTCATATCATCGAACCTCGTCATATCATCGAACCTCGACCTATCGAACCTCGACCCGTGGGGTATTTGACAATCTCTCCGACTCCAACGCCGAGGTCAGCGCGCACGGTCGCGCACGAAGAGCGAGTCTCGTGATTGAGGTGGGACGACCGCGCGAAGTGCGGGACGTGCGGGAAGGGGCCCTCAATAGTCCTGCCGACGAGCATCCCGCAAGCGCCCATCATGCCAGCACGCCGCTCGCCTGCAGCCGCCGCGCAGTTACGAGGTCCGCGGCCAGCAGCTCTGCCCCTGTTTTGCGGGCGGACGGCGGCGGAACGCGCGAGGCGCGCGCGGCGGCGGGGTGCTTGGACGCGCTGATTTGGTTGAAAAGCTCGCAGATTGACGCGGTGAGGCGGCAACGCGCGAAACTGAGCGCAGAGTTGGCGGAAGGGGTGAGGCGGGTGCGGAGCATGGAAACGGGGATAACGGAGCGACGACGCGTTATTGACAGCCTCATTGCACGAATATCGGAGAAAACGGATATTGAACATAAAGTCGGGACGACGGGCGGCGGGACGGGTGTACTGGGGACAGCGGCGGCGGAGAGGGATACGCGGGATGACGTCGAAATCCGAGATCGTCTCAAAAGCCGAGATTATGATGATGGTGACGGAGATATGCTGGGAGATGTACGAGGTGTGGTGGGAGGCTCGGGAGATAGCGGGAACGATGCATCGAGGAGCAGCAGTCACGGTTCCGAAGTAGGATGTGATGGGGATGGCAGCCGCGCGGAGGAGTTAAGAGAGATGCTGCAGATCGAGATGCGCGGCGTCATGGCCGACACGAGACGCGTGGAGCTCGCCGCGATTCACGCACAGTACCGAAGCGGCGAAATCCGACGTGAGTACTGCAGGCAATGTCTATGTATCTTAGTTTCCGTCATCAATGCATGCTTCTATTGCGACTACGACGCTGCCCGTTACTGTCAACGTCTGAGAATCTTGACATTCCGTGCGCTTATTTACTCTAAATCGATCGCAGGCGAGATGCGGCGTAAATCGGCGGAGATGGCGAGTATTCGAGAAGCGAGGGGGCAGCTGTTGCGGAGAAAAGACATGCTGGCGCAGTAGCAGCTGCTGCTTTCAGAAGCCTAAGAAATGGCGACCGATAAAAAAAGATGTGCTCATTTCGTTGCCACCACGCTGCGACGCCAACATATCAAAATTCGATATATCGTATTCGAACTGTAGATACTTTGTGCAATCGCGTACAGCACAGATTTCCCATCCCGAGCTGATTGTGCTTTTGCCATGCTGCCGCCGAATGGCAAGTCTTGCGCACTGCTGTCGCCGCACCGCCGCCAACTGCGCAGCCAGAAAAACAGAAATGGATATAAATCACTACACACCTAAATAGCGCGCGTCTGTCTGAGTAAAGCAACATCTACCGCTGTACCTACGCTGCTTGTGACGCCTAGAACGATAAGCAATTTCTACAAAAGATCACACCCCGCGCACTTGTAGCGACTTTAGCCCTCACTTCGTCGTCCCTTTTGGTTGCTTTGAATTCTCGCACCTACCAGCGCCGCGTCGCTCGCACTGAAGTGCGCCACGCTATCTTTTAGCGCCATCTCGAGTCGCGATGACTCCGCTAAAAGCGCACATATTCGACGAGGCGCACCTGCCGCGAGGGCCGGCGAACTACGCGCCGCTAACCCCGCTGACCTTCCTCGAAAGGGCGGCGCGGGTCCATCCCGACTCGCCGTCCGTGATCTACGGCCGGCGGCGCTTCACGTGGGCGCAAACCTTCCTCCGCTGCTGCCAGCTCGCGGCGGCGCTGGAGCGCGCGGGCGCGCGCAGATACGAGCGCGTGGCGGTGCTTGCGCCGAACGTGCCCGCGGCGTACGAGGCGCAGTTCGGCGTGCCGCTCGCGGGCGCCGTGCTCGTGTCCGTCAACGCGCGCCTCGACGCCGCGTCCGTCGCGCGCATTCTCGCACACAGCGATAGCAAGGTATGCCATGTGGTGCCAAGCGGTTTGAATGCGAGAATATGCCCGCTCCCTGCTCCCGCTGCTCTCCCTGCTCCCTCTGTGCTCCCTTGTGTGCACCTATGACACCTCTCTCTCTTCTCGCACTTCCTTCCTCCTCTCCTTCGCCACTTTCCTTCCCATCCTTCATAACACTCATCACACTCTTCCTCTCTCGTATTTCCATTCCCACCTCCCACGCCCTTCCCCCTCCCCTCCCCTCCCCCCGCCCCCTTCCCCCCGTTGCAGATTCTCCTGGTGGACCAACACTTGGCGTCTCTCGCTCTCTCCGCACTCTCCCTCCTTCCCACCGCCACATCACCCACCCACACAACCCACGTGCGTCCAAAAATCGTGCTTATAGCGGACGGCGAGGTGCACACATCTGCTGACATGGCGGATCCGGGCGGCGAGCAGGCGGATACAGAGGGGTTGGGAGCGGTGGGGGAGTATGAGGAATGGATCGCAGCTGTACCAGCTGGTGATGCTGGTGGTGATGCTGCTGCTGGTGGGAGTGCTGTCGGTTCCAATCGTGCCTTTAGTGCCGATACTGCTTTTAGTACCGACCCCTTGACTTCACGCCCGCAATTGCTCCCTCTCGTTGCTGACGTGGCGAATTCCGACTGGTGGGCATCCCACCAACCGCGGGACGAGCAGGACCCAATAGCTCTCAACTACACGTCAGGCACCACGTCAGCACAGCCCAAGGGCGTGGTTTACTCCCACCGCGGCGCTTACTTAAACGCGCTAAGCGCCGCAATTATGGTACAACTGCGCACACACGCGGTTTTTCTGCTCTCCGTCCCGCTTTTCCACTGCAACGCGTGGTGCTTCTGCTGGTCGCTCCCTGCTGTCTCCGGCACGGGCGTGCTTATAAGGAATGTGAGTGCCCGCGAGATTTTTGCGGCAGTGGCGGAGAGAGGGGTTGAGGTAATGGTGGGGGTGCCGGTGGTGCTGAATCTGATGGTGAATGCAGAAGAGGAGGATAAGGCGTTGCTGGGAGCACGGTGGGGAAGGAACGGAGACGAAAGAGGGGAGGTGCAGCAGATAGGGTGGGGTAACGATGAGCCACACCGTAGGGTAACCAGCAGGGTAACCAACAGGGTTACCAAGAGGGTGACAGTACTGACAGGAGGTGCCCCTCCCCCAGCCGCCATTCTGGCCCAAATGGAACAGATGGGTTTCGACGTAATCCATTCCTATGGCCTAACTGAAACCTACGGCCCGGCCATGTTCTGTGACTGGAAACCCCACTGGGACTCCCTCCCCCTGCCCGACCGCGCGAGAATCAAATATCGGCAGGGTGTGCGGCACACTGGACTGCAAACTGCTACAGTGGTCGATAATAGGACGCTCCGGCCTGTGCCTATGGACGGCGTGACTATAGGCGAGGTGGTGTTTCGGGGAAACACGGTCATGCGGGGGTATCTGCATAGGAGGGAGGAGACAGCTGCTGCGTTTGCGGGTGGGTGGTTTCACTCGGGGGATCTGGCCGTGGTGCATCCAGATGGGTATGTGGAGATTATAATAAGTAGTCCAACCCTTTGTTGGCAACACATTGTTATTCATATGAGGCTGGTTTGCACATGTGTCAAGTTGTATCCATTGTTACCCCTGACACGTACGTGTTTGGACAAGTAAGACGAGTATGCCTATTCACACTCACTCATCAGGCACACTGAAATGTGGCCAGGTGACTGCCAATGCTGGTGATTATATCGACCGTCCCTCCTCTCCCCGCCACTGCCACAAGCTGCAAATCGAAAGAAAATGCAAACCAGGGTTGGGAGGGAATGAGGGAGAACCGGAGAGAGGGCAACGCGCACAGGGAGGAGTGAGGAAGCACAATTGGAGAGGTGGAGGGGAGGAGGCAGTCAGGGAGAGATGGCTGGTACACCAACAAGAGGAGCTGAAACCACGGTATAGGTGCAAGGGAGGAGGCGACTTGCGAGCATGGTAGCAACAGGGATTTCACATTCCTAAGAGCGAGAAACTCCTAGAAACGGTGTTACCGTCTGGAAAGGTGCTACCAGCGAAGGTGTTACCTGGGACGGCGCATGTGAATGGAGGGAGTAGATGGATGGCGTGGCCGTGGCAGTTTGTGACTTGAGCTGGCCGGCAAAAGTCAACCGAGTCAACACAGTGCTGGCCCCCGCCACAAGAATCTGATGCGATGCAGAGAAAGACGGGGGAGGGGGGGAGCGGGGAAGAGGGAGAGATGTTACAACATGACAGGGAAAAGGGGGAGGCTAAAATGGGGGTGAAGAGTGGTGGAGTGGTGCAGGATGGGTAGGTGAGGCGAGTGAAATAGTTGCTATGAAGGACGAAGGGTATAAGTATGCAGTAAGGTGATAGGATAGGAAAGATAGAAAAGAGCCTAGCCCATGTCGCCCCCATGCCTCCCCGATTCCTTGCGCTGGCCTTCCCCATGCCTACCCCATGCCTCCCATGCAGGCGCGCCCAGGGACACGCCCCCTTGCCCCACACATGATTGGGCCAGATAATTGGGCACATGGCAGCCCTTGTCACATCCCCCATGCCCCGCCCCATGGCCCACATATGCCCCCCCCATCCACGACCCTCATCCACGCCTCGCGTGGCCAAGGCATGCACTGGCATGCTCAAAGACACGTGCAGGAGCATTAGATGATTAATGCTGTAAAATTGATTGTACAGGTTGGCATATTTCCGGCCCTTGTCATGGTTTTCCTTGAAGGTTCTGATTCTATGGAAGGAGACGGCTACGAAATGTATCCAAATCCTTTGTTCAAACGACAATCTGATCAATATGCAGAGTTGTGCAATAACAATCCCAGCACTAGTTTGACCTCTTTCAATGGCTCATACTATGGCTAGTTAGTATGGTGCAACGGTACCAACTAACCATTAAACAAAGTCAGACTAAAGCTGGGATTGCTGCTGCACAAATTAGCGTATTGATCGAATTGTCACTTACAAAAAGAATTTGGATGCATATTGTGGCCGTCTCTTTCCACAAATCAGAACCCTCACGCAGAACTGACGAGAGGTGAAATTGCATCAACCTTTACAATAAACATCCTCGCACCCATCTTCTTTGACACCCTTCCCATGCCTCACCTCATCTGCGTCTCTCTCCATGGCCACGGCATGCACTGGTGAGCCCAGAGACACGTGCAGCAACGCAGAGGCAGGCGCCTGCAGGGAAAAAAGAGATGCCGTGCCGCCGCCCGTTCCACACAACTGTGGGTGGCAGAGGAGAGAACAGGCGGGAAGCGGATGGTAAGGCGGTAGAGGAGGGATGGGAGGGAGGGGAGGGGAAGGAGGGAAGTGGAAGGATGAGACATGAGAATGGATGCAGAAGGGAGATGAAGTGATGTGTGTGATTCGAAGAAAAAAAAGGCAATTTGGCACAGGATGAAAGAAATGAGAGAGACAAGCGGGAGAACTCACTGACCATGGAGAAATGGAATCAACTGTCACACTACAGACTTGAGACGAGGTAGAAGAGAAGATGGAGGAGGAATAAGGGAAGGAGAGGAGTGAGAGAGAGGGCTCACCAGCCATGGCGCCGTGGAACCAACTGCCACACTGCTGACCCACGGCGAAGAGGGGGAAGAGGAGGAGGGAGAAGTTGGGGAGGAGGGAGAAGTTGGGGAGGAAACGAGGAGATGAGAAGATGAAGAGATGAGAGGGGGAACTCACCAACCATGGTGCCGTGGAATCAACTGCCACACTGCTGACCCACGGCGAGGAGGGGGAGGAAGAGGATGAAGGAGAGAGGGGTGCTTGGCGCGCAGTAAAGGGGTTGAGACACAAAACTGCGGTGGCTGTGCGGCAATCTGGTGAGCGGTGTGGGAGGAGATGAGAGGAGGGAGGAGAGGAGGCGTAGTGAGGATGGTGAGGATGTGTGAGGATGACTGGGGGGTGAGAAGACAAGGCGATGAGCGGCCATTCAGAAGAAAGGGTTATGTATCAACTTGGCTGCTAAGTTGACTAGGAAAGGGCTGATTGAAGAAGAAGAAGAAAGGAATTTGGTCCGGGCGGCTTTTGAGTCAACTCAAAGGGGTTTGGGCAGTCAGCAGGTAACATCATTTTCATCCCCACCATCCCATGCAATTGCCCATGTCCATGCCCATGCCCGTTCCCCATACCCATGCCCGATTCAAACTCAAACTCATGCATGTGCCTGCCAACCCATCCCCCCACATCACAGCATGCCACCCCAGCGGCCTCACCCACCCCATACTCGGCACGTGCCATCCTCTGACCCTGTCACGATCTGAGCACACACATAAGGTGGGGGGGAGGGGAGCAGGGTGGGGGGAGGAGGAGAGAGGACAGGAGGAAGGAGAAGTAGTGAGTAGAGCATCCCAGCAGCCCCACCCACCCCATACTCGGCACGTGCCATCCTCTGACCCTGTCACCATCTGAGGCCACTGCGTGGGGAGAGGGAGAGGGCGGGAGGAGGGGGGCGGAGATGGGGAGGGAGAGGGGCGATGAGGATGGGGAGGAGGATGCGGAGGAGGATGGGGAGGAGGATGGGGAGGAGGACAGGGAGGAGGGGTAGGAAAAAAAGGGAGGAGAAAAAGTGCGAAGCGGGAAATGAGGGGGGTGGGGGAAGGGGAAGAGAAAAGGAGGAATGCAAGAGAGCCTGTGAGCTGGGAAAGATGAGAAACAGCAGGAGGACGTATTGAAGAATACCGGGTTTTAGCTGAAATAAGCCACCTGTTTGACTTCAGACCACCTCAGCTGTTCATGCCTGGTAATATTTGGCTCTGTTGTTCTCACCTGGTGGAACGTACATTCACCTGGCTCTGTTGTTCTCACCTGGTTGTGCTGCGGCCGTGCCACCACACAGTGCAGGTAGTCTGAGTGGCCCCTGAACTCTGCGACCTGCTTTTGACTCTCCTGAAGAAACACATGAGAGGGAGAGCAGGTAAGGAGAGCAAAGTGTGTGTAGAAGTGGATGAGAGTAGAAGGCGTCAAGAAAGCGAGGAACAAGAAAGCGAGGAACAAGAAAGCGAGGAACAAGAAAGCGAGGAACAAGAAAGCGAGGCACCAACTTTTGAGGCGTCAAAGAGCATCAGAGCAGGAGGCGTCCCAGGTAACCCCCCTAACCTCTACTAACCCACCCACCATCGCTCATCTCATCTCATCTCATCTCATCTCATCTCATCTCATCTCATCTCATCTCATCTCATCTCATCTCATCTCATCTCATCTCATCTCATCTCATCTCATCTCATCTCATCTCATCTCATCTCATCTCATCTCATCTCATCTCATCTCATCTCATCTCATCTCATCTCATCTCATCTCATCTCATCTCATCTCATCTCATCTCATCTCATCTCATCTCATCTCATCTCATCTCATCTCATCTCATCTCATCTCATCTCATCTCATCTATACACACCACATCCCATGCGTACGCACACCCGTTGCCTGCTGCACTGTAGATGGTGTTTCTCTGCAGTGGCGTTGCAGGTGTTGGGAGGATTGGGTGGGTGGACGGAAGGTTGCAGAGGGATGCAAGTGGTGCGTGAGATGCAGGGAGGAGAGAGAAGCAGGGAAAAGAGAGTCGTTGATTAATGGTAGGTCAATGTATCATGCACTTTTCAGGAACCATGCATCACATGCCCCTCATCACGTGCACCATATGCCATGCACAGCACACCATGCGCGTGCACCATGCTTCACACATTCACACTACGCACGATTCGTCACACACTCACCTGCTCGTCAACATCAATGGCGTTTGTTTCCGGTACCACTGCCATGCCCCTTGCAGCACACTTCACGATCACATGCCATGCGCCATTCCTCACACAGACACAAGTTATGCACCGATCAACCACACACACACTCCCACACCTGCTCGTCTACATCGATGGCGTTTGTCTCCGGCACCACTGCCACGCCCCTTGCAGCAGCCCACGTGGTGGGGGGGTTGACCAGGTCAACGCACGGGGCCACCTGGGGGGCTGGGAGTTGGAGAGGGGCGAGTTAGGGACGGAGAAATGGGGGTGGATTGACCTGGTCAATGCGGTTTTGGACCTTTTAACAAACACATTTGAGTACTCGTGCGCTTCTTTTGAGCCGACTCAAAAGTCAAAGCTGAATGGTGGACTCACCTTGAGCAGGAGTGGATGAGAGGAGGTCTCCCCACCGCCAGCCTGCAATGCGCCCGTCGTCGCCACAACTGCCACGTCAGCAGAAACAAGCCTCCTGCAGCCTGTTTAAAACTCGGAATGCCACGAACTCAGCTGTACTCCTAGAAGACAAAACTAGACTGGGAAGTGAGAAAAATAAGCTCCATCTATTCTGCCAGGCCTAAGAATTAAAACCAGGGAATAGGGTCTATAGATTAAGGACTAGGGGCTAGGGCCTAGGTCCCCCTCCCCACCTGAACAGCAGCGGCTGCCCGCCCATGGCGCACGATTTGAGCCCAAACGCCGCCCCCCTGTGCGCCTGCACCGCTGCTGCGGGCTGCGCCTCCCCCAACCGCCGCGCCCCCTCCCCCGCCTCCCCCCAAGACCCGCCGCCGCGCTGGCCGTGCGCGGGGACAGGGGAGGCGGGAAGTGGGGAGACGGGGGTAAAAGTTGAAGGTAACTAGATGAAGGGGGAGGAAGGGTTTAGGTGTTGGGGGGAGGGGAGGTGGACACACGGGGAATGTGCAAAGGGAAGGGAGATGTTTTTTCCTAAATTAGAAGCAGGTTTTCTTCGCCGATCCTGGGCTAGAAATACCTGCGAGGCGACTAACGACGCCAGGGAGTGAACGGATACGCGACCGCTGCACGAAGCGCATGCGACGAACCGCGGCGCTGCTGACGTGGACGGCCATGGTTCGTCCACTAGCTCCCCAACTGGCACGCTGACGTGGTCAACCGGAACGAGCAGCGCCGCGTAGATCACGCTCCCGGCTAGCTTTCGCTCACGCAAAACGCGCTCGGCGTAAGCCGAAGCGTCATAGTTGCGACAATCCATGGCAGACGGAGGAGCAGCAAGCGCGGTTCGATGATTCGTGCTTGCCATCGGCTGACTGCCATGATCACCGGGCGGCGAATGCGGCACTCGTGCTTCGGCATCGTCTGCAAACCATGAAACTCGGTCCTTAAGTACGTCTTCATCTCGCCAGTCCTCTCCGTAGTCCACGGCGTCCAAATCCATGGTATCTCGGACGCCTCACTAGGCTGGCGGTGGCATCTGAATCGAAATGAATATATTATAAAAAGATCTTTCGACTCGGAATTCGTACCCGCGTGGCCTAATGGATAAGGCATCTGACTTCTAATCAGAGGATTGTGGGTTCGAGTCCCATCGTGGGTGCACCTTTTCTGACTGGGAAGTGGTCCCCAATACTACGTTTTTCTGATGATCCTATTCATGCATGCTGATTCCGACCGAACTCTGAAATTACAAGAATTTCTCAGCGTTTCCCATCCTTTCGTTTGGTCAAATGATCTCATTATCCAGCAATCCTCACAAGACCCCCAGGCATGTTACATGATCCACAAGTAATCAGTATGAGCAAACATGAAACCCCCTGGCAAACATGAAACCCCCTTTCCTACGGCAGTCTCTTGCTCTAACTAAACCAACTCATGTGAAGATGGTAACCACATCACGGCGGTAACCACGGACCATAAGCAAGCGCGGAATGTTGTTGACAAGCAAGTCCATGTACTCCATGTAGCAATAAGGGGGATGGTTCTGGGGGGGCGGCGGGAGACTGACGAGCACCACAGCAGCCATGCGCGAGTACCGCAGTATAATGGAGTTGAGCTTGATTGTGGTGTAGAGGAACTTATTCACCTTGCTCTCGTCCAACAGCGAGTGGTGTGTCTCAGCCTCGGGATCCTCGCTCATTCTCTTGGCAATGTTGCGCCGCGCCTGGGGATTGGGTGGGGTGGTGTGGGAGGTGGGGGTAGGATGGGTTGGCATGGGATGGGTTAAGATGAGATGGGACGACAGGATAAGAGAGAACCAGGATCTGTGCTGCAGCATAGACATGTGCCAGCACCATCATTATCACTTCCAGCCACTCAACGCCTGCCACGCTAAGCAAACGCCTCCATGGCGCCTTGCCTAGCCAGTTCAGTCTTGCCCCACTTCAACCTCTGACACATGTAGAACCGCACCTTCATGGTGTCACTGCTAGCCCAGCAACCCATGTCAGAATGTGAATGTGCAGGCATGGAGGACCACGGCACCCCCATGCACCCTGCTTGCGTGGCTCGTTATGCTTGTGCCCATTCCCATAGCCGATCCTGCACGCCCCCCTGCTCCCACTCACCCGGGTGAAAGCCTCCATGGCGCCTTGCCGGGCGAGCTCAGCCTCTGCCCCCTCAGCATCCGACACCACATCCTCCCAGGCCTTCATGGTGACGACGATGACGTCTGCCTGCATGCGCAGGTCGTACAGGAACTTGCTCACGTCCAGCTTCAGGTTCTCCGCTCCCGTGTCCTCCTCTGCAATGCAGAACACCTGAGGGCGTACAGGGGCAGTAGGGGAGAGAGGGATGGTGGTTCCATAAGCTTCAACTTGCTCACGTCCAGCTTCAGGTTCTCCGCCCCCGTGTCCTCCTCTGCAATGCAGACACCTGCAGGCGCGCAGACGAGTGCAGAAGAGTGAGTGCAGGGGGTCGAAGCAGCATGACTCTGTATTCAGTACACGCGTCGAGAGTGCCGCACTCCTTCTGGCACTCCCTCTTCTACGGTGCTTGCGAGTCAACTGACCAGTGAACTGATAACAGGTATTTCTGCACAAGACACTCACCTGGATCTTGCAGTTCTCGAAGCTCTCCTTGGCTCTGAGCAGCTGGGACAGCAGCAGCATGACACCCCCATCTCGCACGATCCAGTAGATGTCAACGGTGCCATACTGCTTCTGGTACTCTCGCCCTTTCAGCATGGGCTTGCGAGTCAACTGACCAGTCAACCAATGGCATTTACGCACGAGGCACATACCTGGATCTTGCAGTTCTCAAAACTCTCTTTTGCCCGCAGCAGCTGGGAGAACAGCAGCATGATGCCTCCATCGCACACGATCCAGTAGAGGTCGATGGTGCCGTACTGCTTCTGGTGCTCTGCCCTTCCAGGATAGACCTGCATGTCAACTGACCAGTCAACAAGTGGCATTTATGGACAACACACATACCTGAATCTTGCAGTTCTCAAAACTCTCTTTCGCCCGCAGCAGCTGGGACAGCAGCAGCATGATACCTCCATCGCGCACGATCCAGTAGAGGTCGATGGTGCCGTACTGCTTCTGGTACTCGCCCGGCCACTCGTCCAGCCCCTTCACAATCACACACGCCTTGTTCGCCGTGTTGCAGTCGTTGATTATGTTCACAAACGTGCCGGGGATATCCCTGTGGGCGGCAGAGAGGGTAAGGGAGTGAAAAGTGTAGATGTGAAGCAAAGAAGAAGAAAATCTCCTTCTTTATGGTAATTGAATGTGATCGCAAGTGAGTTGACTTATGCAGTAACTTCTAAACGAACTCAAGAGTCACCGACATAGTGGCCTCACCTCTGGATGTCTTCGCGCCAGATCTCAGGGTAGCGCATGCACACGATGTTGGGCTCAAACTGATCTTTAATTTCAAGGGCCTAAATACCCCCCAAACCCCACTCACCAAGAAACTTCTCCTCACCACTCACTCTCGCCTCAACTCTCGCCCGACCTCGTGCCTCACCACTGGCCTCACCTCTGGATGTCTTCACGCCAGATCTCAGGGTAGCGCATGCACACGATGTTGGGCTTGAGGTTCGCCAGTCCCATGGTCTGCACGGCGATGCGGAATCCTTCTGCCACACCTCAGACGGAACTCCTCTCGTCTTGCCTCACCTCTCGCCTCACCAATCGCCTCACCTCTGGATGTCTTCACGCCAGATCTCAGGATAGCGCATGCACACGATGTTGGGCTTGAGGTTCGCCAGCCCCATGGTCTGCACGGCGATGCGGAAGCCCTCGTTGAGCGAGTCAGCCACGATGGCCTCGGCCACTCCCTCGCAGCGCTTGTAGTCAATGTAGCTCAGCAGCAGGTGCGATGCTGATCGTGCGTCCTCTGCTCGGTCCCTGGGAGAAGGCAAGAGGGGTGAGTTGGCACGTTCGCGGGGTTGAAAAGGACAAGGGAGTGGAGTGAGAGAAGGAGCGAGGGAGCAAGGGAGTGGGGAAGTGAGGCGATGCGGACGCCCTCGTTGAGGGAGTCAGCCACGATGGCCTCTGCCACTCCCTCACAGCGCTTGTAGTCAATGTAGCTCAGCAGCAGGTGCAATGCTGACCGTGCGTCTTCTGCCCGGTCCCTGGGCGGGGGGATAATAGTCACCATCAGAGGGTGATTGGCAAGGAATGGGGTTCACCAGCAAACGGACACAGGGGTGGAGCAAAGGAGGGAGGGATTGAGGAGATGGAGCGAGCGAGGGAGTGGAGAAGTGAGAAAGTGCAAGAGCCCTCATTGAGCGAGCCGGGAGGAGGGATTGAGCAGATGGCTCGCTGACCGCGCATCCTCCGCCCGAGATGGAGGAAGACAGCGAGAGAAGTCAGAAGCAGGGACAGGATGGAAGAAGGGAGCGACAGTGAGGCGAAGTGAAGGACAGAGAGGTGCTGAAGGACATGGGTACAAGGAAGGGCACGGATGAACCAAGACAGAAGGGTAACAGGAGAACCATAGTCTGTTTAAGAAGATGGTGGCGAAATGGGTTGTGTTTGTTTCTGGAAGATTCTGTTCCAGGTTCTAGCCATGGTCATGCAGACGCACGCACCTGAAGCGGCCCTCAAGGATGGTGGCGAAGATGGTCATTCCGCGTCCCTTCTTCTTCATGCAGTTGGCAAAGTCCGCAAGCTTCGGATGGCATGGCATGTCGGGCGGGAGGATTCCCCATGGCTTGCAGAAGATGAGCGGGATGGGGTACCAGTTCTTGGGATGCACCTGACTCGCTGCAGGGGGGAGAGAGGGCGGGAGAAGGGTGCAGGGAGGCGAGAGAGTGGGGTTAGAGGGGAAAGGCGCAGGTGGGGGGGGGATCAATTCCGAGGCGAAATGCCCCAGGGCTTGCAGAAGATGAGTGGGATGAGGTACCAGTTCTTGGGGTACCAGTCGGTCCATGCACAGCCTAGCCTGGATCATACCTCCGAGGAACTTGAGGGAGCGCAGGGCGAGCTGCAGGTAGGCGGACTTGAAGCCGTCGCCCCAGTCGCCGGCCTTGCCCTTGAGGCTGACGTAGTAGTAGATGAGCACTGCTAGCAGGAGGCACAGCAGCGTGAAGAACCACGATATCATGAACATGATCGCTGCAGGGGGGATGGGAAGAAGGGGGAAGGAGAGGGGGGGGGGGGGGGGGGAGAGGGAGATAACGTTCGAGACACAGCAGCTGACAAACGGGATGATATGCCAGGTGGATCACGCCTAATCAACGCAAAAGAACAAGCAAAAAAAGGAATAGAGCAAGAAGAAAAAAAAAAAAAAAACTATTTCTTACCAACGCAGAGGATGGCTCCTGCCAGGGTGGTGAGCGTGTGGTGCCACTTCCACCGTGGCCTCCACGAGGGCGCATCCAGCAGATCCAGCAGGAAGCAGGAGAGGTTCACCCTGAGATAGCCTTTTGAGACATTTCAAAACTCACCAACGCAGAGGATGGCTCCTGCCAGGGCAGTGAGCGTATGATGCCACTTCCACCTCGGGCGCCATGAGGGCGCATCCAGCAGATCCAGCAGGAAGCAGGACAGGTTCACCCCGAGGTAGCACAGCAGGAAGAACATGGTAATAACCGGCGTCACATAATCCACATCTCCAATGCACACGAAGCCGGCGCAGATGAGGAGAGTGCAGAGCGTGGCGAGGTAGGGCTCCTGGCCGTCGTCTGTCTTGAACCAGTCCAGGATGGGGAGAATGTCATCGTTGGCAATGGCTGTGAGCAGGCGTGGCGCGCTCATGAGGTTCTGCATGGCGGCGCCGAGGGTGGAGAGGATGATGCCGATGTACACCACTGCTGGTGACGGCCAGGCTAGTGTGGCTGTCAGCAGCCTGGGGAAGGGGGAAGAGGGTGCGGACGGGAGGCGGGAGAGTGTTTTGGGCGCCTCACAAGCAGGCGGGATGGAGAGGATGGTGCTGATGTAAACCACTGCTGGGCCATGGGCAGCGTGGCCGTCAGCAGCCTGGGAGGGGTGGAGCGGGGAGTGGAGGAGGGACGTGTCTATAGGTGTCATTAAAGTAGGTGCCAAGGGTTGAGAGGATGATGCTGATGAACACCACTACTGGGAACGGCCATGAAAGTGCGGCCGTGCCCCCTTCCCATCACCGATCTATATCCCCCTGCCCACCCCGTTCCAGGCACTTTGGAGAAATTTCAGATAGTCATCGAGCAGGAGGTCAGTGTGATGTCATGGCCCAAAAAATCACCCTTCCACTCCCATTCCAGCCCCCTAGTCTCTCCCCTCACACTCCTTCACCAACCCCCTCTTCCTCCCTCCATCCTCCCTCACCGGTCAGTGAGCAGCAGGTCTCTGACGCCACAGAGCCGAGCATGAAAATGGCAAACACATAGAGCACGTGGTGGTGCCGATGGCCCAGAGTGTCCCAATGGGAATGGACTTCTGCGTGTCCTTTCCCCCTATAACCTTTCACCCACCTCCCTCTCCCCTCCCTCCTCCCTCACCGGTCAGTGAGCAGCAGGTCTCTGAGTGCCACAGCGCCGAACATGAGGACAGCGAACACATAGAGCAGCGTGGTGGTGCAAATGGCCTAGCGTTTCCTACCAACCCCCTTCCACTCCCCTCCCAATCCCCTCCCCTCCCTCGACCCTCACCGGTCAGTGAGCAGCAGGTCTCTGAGCGCCACAGCGCCGAACATGAGGACAGCGAACACATAGAGCAGCGTGGTGGTGCCGATGGCCCACAGCGTCCCGATGGGAATAGACTTCTGTGTGTCCTTGAGCGATGCCGACCGGTTGCTGCCCGCCATTATGCCCGTGACTGCGGGATAGAATAGACCCAGCAGCTGACTGGCGGAGGGCACAGGATGAACGGGAGGGGTGGAAGGGAGCGAGGGGAGAGGGACGTGAAAGGAAGAGAGAGGTTAAGGGATGCTTGGGAAAGAGAGATTGGGAGAGAATGGGACGTGAGACAAAACGATCGAGGAGGGACCTGAGTGAAAGAACAAATGTGAAAGGACGGAGGCTATGGAAAGAACGTGGAGGAAGGTGAGGGTGTAACGAGCGTGGAGGATTGTGTGAAGACTGCAATGGCAGAGAGCATTGAAGGTGAAAGGCAAGAATACGAGGCTTACGTGAAGTCCCAGTTGAAGTTGCCGTTTTCATCAGGAATGCCGTTGGCGTTGGTCTTCTGATAGTCTGACGCCCAGTTGCTTGACATGGTGCTCGTACTCAGCCCAGTCAGCCCCTCTGTTTACAAGCGCTTGCACACACATCCCATCACCACACACGTGATACCACACACACACACAGGCCCGTGACATCCCCAAAACACCACGCACATCCAATCACCACACACGTAATATCACATACACACAGACCCATGACATTCCCGAAACGCACACGCACATGCACACCACATGTGCGGGGACACACAGCCAGAGACACGCAGGGTAAGCCACATACCAACCAGCACATAAAAAAACACGAGAAAGCACTGTGCAGCACAGGAAGAGGGAGGAAGGCTGCCGTACCTGGGCTTCTGCTGCGGGGAGCAACGATGATTCCGATGAAGATGCAGATAACGGCGAGGATGGAGGGGATGAGGAAAGAGGGATTTTAAGTCGACTGATTCAAACTGGGAGACCAACTGCCGTACCTGGGCTGCCGCTGCGGGGAGCAACGATGATTCCGATGAAGATGCAGATATTGGCGAGGATGGAGGGGATGAGGAAGAGCGACTGTATATGTCAACTTGATACAAGGAGGCAAGCTGCCGTACCTGGGCTGCCGCTGCGGGGAGCAACGATGATTCCAATGAAGATGCAGAGGATGGCGAGGATGGAGGGGATGAGGAAGAGCGGCCCCACGCGCACAACCACGCGCACGCCCCCCAGCACCACGATGCAGAGCACGACGGTGACAATGACTCCGTACACCTGCATGTCCGCCGTCGACGCCAGCTCCACTGTTGAGTTGGTCGTTGCGTTCACGCCAAACGTCACCTGCTCCGCTGTGGGCAGAAGGGGATGCGCAGTGCAGGGCATGTGGGGGGATACAGGGCATACGGGAAAAGGACGTGAGAGAAGGAGCGTGTCTAGGATGATTCTTGAGGCGCCTTAGAAACCGCCCCCCCAGCACGACGATGCAGAGCACGACGGTGACAATGACTCCGTACACCTGCATGTCCGCCGTCGACGCCAGCTCCACCGAAGAGTTGGTCGCTGCGTTCACGCCAAACGTCACCTGCTCCGCTGCGGGCCATGAGGGGATACACCAGGCATATGGGAGGATACAGGGCACGCGAGGAAACAGCGTGAGCAGAGGTTATGACAGATATATATCTGGCCGGGAATGTACAGGACACTGGGGAAAGAGAGTCGTGGGGAAGGACTGGGATGGGAGGCGGGTTACGCAGGTATGTGGGCAGGTGGAGGAGATGGGAGATGGGTTACGCGGGTACGTGGGCAGGTGGAGGAGATGGGTGGACGACGGGAAAACTCACGTGGAAAGAGAGACATCTGGGGGAGCCAATCCAGCAGCGTTTCGACCGCACCAAGAATGTATCTGAGCAAACGAGTGGAGGGGGAGGGGGAGATAGGCACTTTGACATGAGGGATCAGCCTCGTGGCGGCCAGATTCTAGGTGCTCAAACTGTACGGAAGAAGAAGTACAGCAGCAGACTGAGGGAGTGTAGGGTGTACTCACAGGGAGCCAGCGACTGCATTGCCGAGGAAGAAGCAAAGCCCTATACTCACTCCCACCTCAGGCCCTAGCGCTCGCCCTATCAGGTAGTACGGCCCGCCTCCCTGCAACACGCAACGCGCAAGATTGCACGGATCAGGACGGGATCTCCAATCCACATCCCGACTCAAAAAGCCAGCGCCAGGAACCGACTGATCGGACGTGAGACATCATAAAGCGCACTAGTTCTCTCATCAATACGCGTCTACAATACGAATGCCTTCAGTGTTTCCGAATTCTTCGACCAATCTAAGCTAATTCATTTCCCGCATAATCCGTGATCGCGCTGCTGGGATATGTGTGCGCTGACGTGCAACTTCCAGGATCCGCATAACACACTTGTGAAGGGGACGGTGCTCACCTTCATGGCGCCGTTGGTGGCAATGGCAGAGAGGGAGAAGCCCGTGAGGACCGTGCTGAGGCACGTCAGCGCAACCAGCAGCAGGCTCTGCCCGATTCCCGCAATACCCACAATCCTGGCAACATGTAAACGAGACGCCAGGGCGTGGTGTGAAAGGCGATCGGAAAACGGGGGCGAGATCAAATGCCGTATGGATTAGTGGATGATCCCAGCTGGGCGACTTGATGGTTGATTGCGTGGCACCGGTAAAAACATAGGGAACGGCAGAATACCACTTGCAGTACGTACCAGGAAAGACGAATGTAGAAGATAATCCCGAGGATGTTTTGAACGCACGGGATGTACACGCCGGTCAGTGTACCCAGCTTCGCTACTTTCATGCTCTGCACAAGACCAGACGCGATCAGGTGCGTGAGCCACATTACTTTCCCAAACATGTTCTCTACTATATGTGACTCATGTCAAATTGAAACCGATCTGACTTGAAAGTTTTCAACCCTGAAATGTGTTGTCGCTTTTCGACTGTGAAATGAACGTACCCTGTCGGAGCCTCGGTGAACGTGCATCTCATCGCCGTCACGAGGACTCATGGGATGCTCACCAGCCATCCTGCACGTGCTCGTAAAAAGTCATTAGCCCGATGTGTAAGGACAATCAAATGTAATGGAAAATGAGAGGGGAATGCGATTGGAAGGATTGGGGTGTGGTTGCTTGTACCTTCTCACGCCGACCGCATCGACGAGAGGGTCGCTCTCGAAAAGCTCGAGCTTGGAGTCTCTCTCCCGTACGGCGCTGACAGGTGCAGGCTCATCCCCTCGCTGTCCATCTTCCATTGATATCCTGAAGACGAGAAATCGAGAACGTCGAAGGAAGATAAATTGCACGGAACATCATAACTATCGCCATATCGGGTTAGCAAAACGGGTCCAAGAGGCGTAAATGGGTTTTCCGATTGGGTCAATCAGTGAGTGCGTTGTGAACTAGAAGAGCGAGTTTCAACGAATTCGAAGCACTTACTCCTCGTCACCATGAAGATCAACGGCGGACATCTCAAGAACTTGCTGCTGACCGTCTGTGACTCTCCCGGACCCACCCCTTTCCGGCTCCATTCCGACCTATGCTAGGTACTATCCAGCAGCCACAAATACCTAGCCCAGCGAAATCTGAAAGAAATCAGGAAGCGTATTCTGCACTGTCCTGGGTTTGAATCTCTAAGAACAAGGCTTCACAATCATGGAGCCGAAGAACCGCGGATCCAGCTGGGAAACTAGTGAAGTAGGTATTGGCTGTAAGGAAAACTTCTAGGCTGGCTTCCTGAATGCTGAAACTTTGCAAGACAGCAAAGCGGCATCAGAAATTCGGAATTCGGGAAGCCTCTGTCAGCCAAACATCACCGAACTTGGATCTGGGCAGCTGCGCAAAGCCCGAGAGAGCTCAGGGACTGTCCCACCTAACCAGTAGATTCAAAGCTGAAGGCTTGCCTCGGAATCGATTTTCTCCCCGCTTCGACATCGACTTCGCCGCATCAAACCCCTGAATGGCAGGCCTGGCGACGAGCCTGCGACACGGAGGGCCTGCCACATCAGAGTTTCCCGCCTGATACGCAGTCATCTGGCTCGTCCAAAATTTCGGTCTGCTTCTAAATTAATCGTGGCCGTCAAATTACCTCTTAAAACCACATCCCTGTCAGCACGCCTGATTATTTGTGCAGACAGGAATTGGGTGCCTGATTTCCTGCTTATCATTTTATACTAATAAGTAAGCGGAATTCGAAACATATTGTCGATTACAAATTTCTACTAGGTGTCAGGTGCAGCGAATCACTCTGTAAAGAGTAGTGAACTGATGCCCCCGAACGCTTGTTTTCGGGTCGTCGCATGCGGTTCAATTGGTTCCTTCACGGTCTAACCCGGTTCTCTTACATTCCTGCTGTGGACCAGAAGGCGATGCACAAATGCTTGTCGTTGTGCTCTCCTCGGCGCTACACGCGGCGCATCCGTTCCCTGCGTTCTTTTCCAAGTGTGCGAGTTGTATTGTCTCTAGTAAACGGCTAGATTCTTAGTGTCTTTTCGCGCTCGATACCGTTTTTGTTTCTACCAAGGTGGTCCCGCCTGCAGCGAAACACCTACTGCCTGAGCAAGCTGCCAACACCTTATCAGGATGCTGCATCAGAAGCAGTTCGTCCGCAAGACGCGTAAAGGAGCCATACAGCGGGTGCGTAGTGGGGGTGTTTCTAGCTTAACGTGGTAGTCGCCTCCAATCTCCACAGCCACGGCGTGGGGTATTGCCAGTATGAGCTTACTCATTTGCATTGCAAGAGGTCAGAAACGTTAGGCGCCAAGAGCGGAGCAACAAAACTTTTGTTCGAAGGTGACTTCCTGGAAGTGACGTTGTAGGTAGACAGGACACGGAACCGCTTTTCACGAACAAGGATTTAGGAATCTAGGGTTTCAGGGCACAAGGTTCAGGGTTTGTGTGGAAGAGAATGCATCACGCACTCAGTAACGCGCAAGAATCTTCAAGATTTTCTTAGTCGACCCAAACGTTAGGTCGCTTTTCTAAGATTTTCTTAAGGTCCACAGAAGCACATTGACCGAATCAACCCTAAATTGCCGAATTCTCGTCCATCCCCATACATTTCACCACTCCCACATCCATCTCCGGCACTATATCAGGTGGTGCGGGAGCACTACCTGCGCGACGACATTCCTTGTGGCGCGCTGCCCTGCGCCAAGTCGCCCGCCACCGCCTGCGACAAAGACTCCGCTCGCCTCTCGCCTAATAACGAACCCATCCTCGTTATAGACACCAACGTCGCCCTGCACCAGGTGAGCTCTGGACCATGCAGGCCGTGCGGCCAGCATTGGTTGTCATAAGTGGCTGGGATTCCAGGAGAGCCTTGAATCCCACTCATGATCCATGCTTCACACATCAATCCGCCGAAGAGCACTGCTATCAGCAGCAGCGTGTTGGTGTGGCAATGGTGCTGAGGAGGGGAAACTGTTGCGGTATCCCAATGACCCCATGACCCGATAACCTTGTCACGATGCCTCCTCTCAGATCGACCTGTTGGAGAATGCGGCGATCAGCAACGTGGCGGTGCTGTCGGTGGTGCTGGGGGAGGTGAAGAGTCGCAACGTGGCGGTGTATGGTCGGCTCAGGGCGCTTGTAGCAGAAGAATCGCGCCGCTTCTTCGTCTTCTCTAATGAGCACCACAAGTGAGTGTGCGCTTGCAGTCCTGTTGCGAGACAAGTCAGAAGAGTTTTGAGGCGGTACTGGGGGAGGTGAAGAGTCGCAACGTGGCGGTGTATGGCCGCCTCAGGGCGCTTGTGGCAGAATAATCGCGTTGCTTCTTCGTCTTTTCTAATGAGCACCACAAGTGAGTTCGAGCATGCACTCCCATTGCAAGGCGAGTCAGAAGGACAGTAGCAGTGTGGCGGTCTCGGCATGGTCTTCTTTGGTGAACGCTACAGGTGAGTGAGTGGCAGCGTACAGGCATGTCTCTTACACCACCCTCTCCATCCTCCCCCTTTCTCATGTTTTGTTCCCTTCGATTTTCTGAATGCTCCTTCTTGAGTTTCCTTCCCACTCTGCGCTCCACTCTTTCCTCCTCCCTTCCCTCTTCCCCCTACCCGTCCCCCTCCCTGCGTCCCTTCTCCCCTCCCCATGTGCATGGGCTACCATATGTGCGGCCCAAAATCAGGGACACGTACATAAAGGCGGAACCAGGGGAGAGTCCCAACGACAGGAATGACCGAGGTGAGAAGGGCGCCATCTCCTCATCTTCCCCACTTGCTTTTCTCCCTTTTCTTTTCCTGATTCACCCTCTCTCTCCTCGCTCTCTTAACATCTCACACACCCTGTCTTACCCTTCCACCCTCTCCACCTCACTTCTCGTCCCTTCTTCACCCTGTCTTCTCAAACCTCCGCCTGTCTCTCACCTCACCCCCTGCAGCCATCAGGGTGGCAGCGCAGTGGTACCAGCAGCATCTGGGCGGCAAAGTGCCGGTCGTGCTCATAACAGACGACAAGGCCAACCTGGCAAAGGCAGTGGCGGCCGGCATGAAAGCCATGAGAGTGCGCGAGTATGTGGCGTCATTAGGGAGTGTAGAGCTGATGGATTTGGTGGTTAGTGCGGGGAGTGGGGAGGAGGGGGAAGGAGGGGAGGGAGGGGAGAGAGGGGAGGGGGATAAGGCGGCGAGGGAGGAGGAGAACCGGGGTCTCCGGACCAACGTGTCTCGCAGCAAGAGGAAGAGGATCTACTCTGACGTGAGTGGTGGGTGGCAAGGTGGTGGTAACTAACTGGGATGGATGTGTTGGGATGTGGTGTGGCGTGGTGTGGTGTGGTGTGGTGTGTGCCACCACCAGAGCAAGCTGAGGCTGAGTTTCTGCAACTGCTTCGACTCCTCACCTCAACACCTTTCCTTAACCTCTCCTGTACCCTCAACCACTTCATACGCATGATGTTCCTCCTGTCCCGTCACCAGCACAAGCCCATGTCAGCCATTACAGCGGGTTTGCAGCGCGGGCTGTACCATCAGGGCAAGCTGCGTGTGAGCCGCTACAACTGCTTCGAGGCGTTTGTGGGCTCTGAGTCTCTGGGCGACGAGATCCTCGTTATAGGCCGATGCGATATGAACCGTGCGGTGGATGGGGACGTGGTGGCGGTGGAGCTGCTGCCGCGGGATCAGTGGAAGGAACCGACCAGTGGTGCTCTACGAGAAAGGGAGGATGACCATGATGAAGCTGCTGGTGAGTCTGCTTTTCTTGAGGGGCGATTTAAGGGTGGACGGGCACGTGGTGGCGGTGCAGCTGCTGCTGAGGGAGCAGTGGAAGGAACCACCTAGCGGGGCTCTGAGGGAGATATCGGATGGTCACGATGAAGCTGCCGGTGAGTCCTTTTCATCGTACGGGCACCCTATGAATGAATCAATGTGTGAAGTGAACCGTAAGGGTGCATGGAACGTGGTGACAGTGGAGACGTGGTGGAGGTGGAGCTGCTGCCGCGGGCGCAGTGGAAGGAACCGTCTAGCAGCACGCTGAGGGAGAGGGAGGATGGTCACGATGAGGCTGCTGGTGAGTCTGTTTTTCCCTTGGGCCGAGGGTGGACGGCGGTGTGGTAGCGGTGGAGCTGCTGCTGCTGCTGCTGTTCAAACCTGTTTGAGTGTTTTGGTCCCTTTCCCTCTCCCTCTGGGCATAATCCTCTCTTCCGAATAACCAGCGGTGGAGCAGGGCGAGGAGGAGTCAGTGGGTCTGCCACCCGCCTCTGATGCTGACGCACCATGCTTCCCCAACTCGTCCTGTTCCGCTCCTTCCTGCCCTCACAATCTCCCACTACCTCTGTCCGTGCACCAACCAACCAACCTCACCAGCAGAGGAGCAGGGCGAGGAGGACTCAGTGGGTCTGCCGCCCGCCTCTGCTGACACTGCACTGTGCTTTCCTTTTCATCCCCTCCTTTCCTCTCCTTCCTCGCGTTTTCCTCCACTTGCTTCGTCCCTGCACCAATCAACCAACCCCACCAGCGGAGGAGCAGGGTGAGGAGGACTCAGTGGGTCTGCCCCCTGCCTCGGCTGACGACGCGCCGTCCACTCTCTCCTCTGCTGCGGCCGCGCTCTCGCTAGACAAGGAAGCTGATGGCACGGGGGTGGAGGGTGGCGGGGGAGGGGGGGAAGGGGGAAAGGGGCCGTCGGAGCTGGCAAGGCCAACGGGGAGGGTGGTGGGGATAATCAAGCGCAACTGGCGCACGTGAGTGGGGAGGGGGGAAGGGGAGACGAAAGTGTGTGAGCTGCTTTTTCGTTGTTGAGATTGTGCCTTTAATGTTGCCTGTTTGTTTCTGCCAACTGCAGGGTACCCCGTAACACAACTCTCACTCCTCCCTGCCCCCACTCCCCTTTTACCTCTTCTTCCCCCCGTTCTCGTCTCCCCAGCTACGCAGGGTCGCTAGCCCCCATGCGCACACCCCCAGCATCAGCAGGGGCGTTGGTCCCCGCTCTCTTCGCCGCTGCCGACCTCAGGGTGCCTGTTCTTACTCCTGTCTGCCGCCTCGCCCCTGCTTTTTCCCTTCCTCCCCCTTCCTATCCGCCAGCTATGCAGGGTCCCTAGCCCCCATGCGCACGCCCCCAGCGTCAGCAGGGGCGTTGGTCCGCACCCTCTTCGTCGCTGCGGACCGCAGGGTGCCTGCGCTCACTCCTTTCTGCCCCCTCCGCCCCGCTTCTTCCTCCCCCCCGCCTTCCGCTCCCCAGCTATGCGGGTTCCCTAGCCCCCCCATGCGAGTGCCCCCAGCATCAGCAGGCGCGTTGGTGCGCGCCCTGTTCGTGGCTGCGGACCGCAGGGTGCCTGCGCTCACTCCTTTCTGCCCCCTCCGCCCCGCTTCTTCCTCTCCCCAGCTATGCGGGTTCCCTCGCCCCCATGCGCACGCCCCCAGCGTCAGCAGGGGCGTTGGTCCGCGCGCTCTTCGTCGCTGTTGACCACAGGGTGTGTCGTGACTCAACTCTCGTTTTTCCCTCCCCGTCTCCCCTGCTGCTTCCTTCCCCACCCCTCTTCCTTCCCCCAGCTATGCGGGCTCCCTAGCCCCCATGCGCACGCCCCCAGCATCAGCAGGCGCGCTGGTCCGCGCTCTCTTCGTGGCTGCGGACCGCAGGGTGCCGCGCATCCGTGTGGAGACAAGGCAGGCCGGCCAGCTGATGGGCAAGCGCGTCCTCGTGGCCATCGACAGCTGGCAGCCCGACAGCGCGTTCCCCTCGGGGCACTACGTGAAGACGCTGGGGGATATCGGGGACCGGGAGACAGAGAGCGAGGTAAGAAGGGTGGGGGTTTTAGGAATGAGGGGCAGGGGGGAAGATTATGGGGAGAGGCTGGAAATGGAGAGAGTGGGGATGAGTTGGGCTCAGGAAAATGGGCTGGAAAGGGCTGTTCTGGTGGGGTGGGCATCAAGGCAGGCCGGCCAGCTGATGGGCAAGCGCATCCTCGTGGCCATCGACAGCTGGCAGCCCGACAGTGCGTTCCCCTCGGGGCACTACGTGAAGACTTTAGGAGATATTGGGGACAGGGAGACAGAGAGCGAGGTGAGTGAGTGGGGGTAGGAATGTTGGGTGATGGTGGGGACCAGTGGGGAGAGGGGGGGGAGAGGGAGAGAGTAGGAGTAGGAATCTGAAAAATGGGTTTAAATCTTGGGCCTGTTCTGCTGGAAAATCAGCTGGGCTTTAGGCAGCCAGGCCGGCCAGCTGATGGGCAAGCGCGTCCTGGTGGCCATCGACAGCTGGCAGCCCGACAGCGCGTTCCCCTCGGGGCACTACGTGAAGACTCTGGGGGATATCGGGGACCGGGAGACCGAGAGCGAGGTGAGAGAGGGGTTAGCTGGCGGTAAGGGATGGGGGAGCAGCGTGGGAATGGGTGGGAAGGGGTGGGATGAGGCGGTAAGGGGTTGGCAGCCCGACAGCGCGTTACCCTCGGGGCACTACGTGAAGACTTTAGGAGATATCAGGGACAGGGAGACAGAGAGCGAGGTGAGGCAAGGGGAGGAATGAGTGAGGGGAAGGGAAGGGGGAGGAGTGGGGTGAAGGGGGGTGGAGAGAGAGAGAGAGTGATGATGAGCTTGCTGGTAGGCAAGGGAAAGGGCCCAGGAGATCGGGCAGGGCCCAGGAGATCTGGCAAGCAAGGGTTAAAAGGGGGTTGGCTACCCGCCCCGCCGGTGCATTTTCCTTGGGGGATTTTTCTAAAGACGCCAGGTTTTGGGGACAGGGAGACAGAGAGCGAGTGCTGAACAGTTCTCCCGTTTCTCCCTCCCCTTCCCCAACCACCCCCTCCAGCTGCTCCTCATGGAAAACGACATTGACGCGCGCCCCTTCTCGCAGCAAGTGCTGGCGTGTCTGCCGCCGCTGCCCTGGTCCGTGTCACCAGCAGACATCACAGACCCACGCAGCAAGAGGGAGGACCTGAGGCACGTGCGCGTGTTCAGTGTCGACCCCATTGGGTGTCGGGATATTGACGACGCTCTGCACTGTGTGCCGCTCCCCAATGGCAACTTCGACGTTGGCGTTCGTAAGTGCTGGTGCTGGTCTTGATGTGAAGGGAAGATCCTCTCACTGTGCATGTGATACACGCCTTGCTGGGGAGGGTGTGTTGTTGAGTGTGAACCGAATCGGGTACCGTGTTGTTGACGACTCGCTGCACTGTGTAAAGCTACCCAATGGCAACTTCGACGTTGGCGTCCGTGAGTAAAGCCAGTCTTGTTATGGGGGAAGTTTAGGGCTTGTGCGTGTATCACTCTGGTTTGGAAAATCCGTCACGGCTGGGACAGTGAAAACGCCAAGCATGTGTGTGGTTCACTTCACCGCTCAATTTTCAGGCCAGCGTTTCCCCATGCCACCGCCCTTGCCCATCATATTCATGTCCAATGGTGCTCCAAGTTCGATTAGACAGCGGCCCCTTCCCTCAACCGCAACTTTTACCCACCCTTACATCAATCCCAACCGTCTGCCACCCCGCCTGCCCCACACCACAGACATAGCAGGCGTGACCAACTTTGTGCTGCCAGGCACGCCACTAGACATGGAGGCATTGCAGCGAGGCACATCCAACCCCAATTGCGCACAATCCATCAATCTCTGCTCCCTACGCCCCCCACGACCCCCTCTCATCAACCCCACCGTATCCGCCCTTCCTTTTTCCACCAGACATAGCAGATGTGACTAACTTTGTACTACCGGGAACGCCTCTAGACGTGGAGGCATCACAGCGAGGAACATCCGTGTATCTAGTGGAGCGCCGCATAGACATGCTGCCCAAGCCCTTGACGGAAGGTAGGCCCATGCTTCCCCAGCCTTCACTGGGGGAAGGACAAAAGGTGACTGTTTCTTGGTCTTGCCTCATTCCTGCGCACAGCGCTCCTGTCTGTCGTGAGCCGTGCATGCACCAACGTCACCTGTTTCTTACCCTCCTCATGCCTTTTGGCCAATCCTTCCCACACCTGTCTCTTCACTCACACCCTCCCACTCTGCCTCACCTCGCCTCACCTCATCCCCATCCCTTGCCCCACCCTCCCTCGCCAGACATATGCTCCCTGCGTGGCGGTGTGGAGCGACTCGCCTTTTCCTGTATCTGGGTCAGTGCCGCCGCCGCCGCTGCCGCTGCCGCTGCTGCCCCTGCCTCTGCCTCTGCTGCTGCTGCAATGACGACCCTCGAGTCTTGAGCCACACTGTGTGGTTGAATATGATATGATAATGTCAGTGTGGTTCACCAAGAGCTTCATCACTCATGTGATGGGTCGATTTTTTAGTTGACTCAACAATCGTCTCGAGTCTGAGATCATATCACTGTGGTTCACCAAGAGCTTCATCACTTGTCGTCTTTGCTAACCCATTCCTATCCATGCTACACGTGTGTGCATATCCCACATCCACATACCACATGCCACATGCCACACCCCACCAGGAAATGACCCCCGAGGCGGAGATTGTATCTGTGCGATTCACCAAGAGCGTGATCAAATCCGCTGCTGCGCTGTCCTATGTGGAGGCACAGGCGCGCATGGATGATGAGTGAGTGATGCATTGATGCATGGTGGGCATGCAGGTTTGCGCATGCACATGTGCGTGGAATTCTGCTATGTGGAGGCACTGCGTGCATGGATGATAAGTGAGTGATGGACGGATGCATGGTTTGCATGGAGGTATGTGCAAGTGCAAGAGCATGTGCATATGCGTGTGCATGGCGCTCTCATATGTGGAGGCACATGCACACATGGATGATGAGTGGGTGTGAAGGATGGATGATAGTGGGCATGCACGCATGTGTATGCAGCATGAGAGGTCACTGAGTTTCGACATTGTGGGTGACATGTGTGTGAATGATGATAGAGGCCTGCCAAGCTCCTGTCTCCGCGCCCTTTTTATGCCTACGCTCTCTTATATTGCGTTACCACCAACCCCTTCCCTTGCATCCCCACTCAACTCGCATCCATCCTCTTCCTCCCGCCTTCTTCTCACCTTCTCATCCCCCCCCCACCCCTGCTGACGTCACCATGGCATCAGGCGCATGCATGATGACCTCACAAGGGACCTTCGCAACCTCAACCGCCTCGCCAAGGTGCCACGCCATGCCATCCCCTGCCCTGCCATGCCATGCTGTACCATGCCATACCATACCATACCATACCATACCATACCATACCATACCATACCATACCATACCATACCATACCATACCATACCATACCATACCATACCATACCATACCATACCATACCATACCATACCATACCATGCCATGCCATGCCATGCCATACCATGCCATGCCATGCCATGCTATGCCATGCCATGCCATGCCATGTCATGCCATGCCATACCATACCATGTCATACCAGACTACACCACCTTCTTCATTAAGTCACATGGCAGCACCCACCCTCGCTTCACAAGGTCGTTTCAGCTTCTTACCCTACCTCCGTGCTGCCCCCCCACTCTCTCCCCATCCCCATGCCCACGCCAGGTGATGAGGCAGCGGCGCATAGACAAGGGAGCGCTCACGCTGGCATCACCGGAAGTCAAGTTTGAGATCGACACTGAAACGCACGACCCCCTTGACGTTGGTACGACCCTTGTTGCTTCTCTGCATGACAATGCCCCAGAGTCGTCCCCATGCCCATTTCCCCCGTCCCCCACCCCCCATCAGTATCTCTGCCTTGCCATCGCTACCCTTCCCTGCATGCCTCTCCCCCAGGCGTGCAGCCTATTTTCAACCCAATCCCCCAGTCTCCTTTCCCCCCACCAGGCATGTACCTGGTGCGCGAGGCCAATCACAATAGGGGAGTTCATGCTGGTATCAATGCCCTCCCCCTTGTCTCCTCACTGCCTTTCTCTGCCATTCGTCTTGTCCCCTTCCCCTTTCCCCTCCAGGCATGTACCTGGTGCGAGAGGCCAATCACATGATAGAGGAGTTCATGCTTGCAGCCAATGTGTCCGTGGCGGAGAAGATTCTCCAGCACTTTGCCTCTTGCTCCCTGCTCAGGTGATTCTCTTCTGAGGCCGCAGGTGAAATCCCAGGTGAAGCCTCAGGTGAAATGCCAGGTGAAATCTTCAAGTCTAGTCTCGGTTGCGATGGAGGACCAGATGTAGTACAGGCTGCAAACAGAATATCTAATGGTAGCATCTAGGGATGAACAGGTTTATTTTTTTGGCTTAAAGTGTTCGCCGAACAGTGTTCGAGGTTCGCCCGAACACGTTCGTGTTCGGGCCGCTGCTGCAATTTGCCCCTAGACGAACACGAACGTGTTCGAGGTTCGCCCGAACACGCCTTCATAGGCGAACGGCGAACACCTGTTTTTGCTTAAGGTGTTCGCCGAACCGAACAGTGTTCGGTTCGCCGAACAAGGGTGTTCGTGCATCGGCGAACACGAACACGTTCGTGTTCGCCCCTTGCTCATCCCTAGCATCTATTGGTGCTGCGATATTAGATATTCATTCTCTCACCACCATCAACCTTTGAGCACCATTCGCATGTCCCTCACCTTTCTCTCCTACAAACCCTTCTTCTTTCGTATGCACAGGCGGCACCCTACCCTGTCGCCCAGCATGTTTGAGCCGCTGCTGCGAACAGCAGAGGCAGTTGGGCTCGGTGGAATGAGCAACACTCGAATCCCTCACCTGTGCTTCTCCCCCCCCCTGTCCCTCCATCTCACCTTCTCTCACGCACAGGCGCCACCCCACCCCGTCGCCCAACATGTTTGAGCCGCTACTGCGAACAGCAGAGGCGGTGGGGATTGCCATTGACACCTCCTCCTCCAAGAACCTCGCTGACTCGCTTGACCGCGCTGTGGTGAGCTGCTTGACTCGCTTGACCAGGATGCAGTCTCGTTGACTCTTGTTGACTTTCCTGACATGCTTGAACATCGGTATCTCTTCCTGATATCCTACAGTTTGTTTGTCACTTCCGTTACTGCCACTGACTTTGTTGCCTATTTTCCCTTCTCCATCCCGTATGCCCCTCCGTCCCTCTGCCCCTCGGCCCTTTCCACTCGCTGCCCCTCTGCCCCATCTCACCTCTCTCCCCTCAGGGCCCAGACCCATACTTCAACAAGCTTATCCGCATCCTCACCACTCGCTGCATGACTCAGGTGCGATATGACAGGATACACAGGGAAGCGACATGCGTGCATGGTATAAAAGAGTGTGTGCTACACACTCTCTCACACGCTAGCTGGCACGCATGAGAGCTGGCATAGGTATGCTGCATGCATGCATCCATGGGGCTCGGGTGCATGCATGCAGGTGCGGTGCAAGCAGGGCTTTCGAGGCCCCTCCCAATCCGCTCCCAATAATCTCTCCACTCCTCTTCCCCCCAACACACTTCTCACGTTCCCCACGCCTCCTTCACCAGGCGGCGTATGCCCCCAGCGTTCAGCCTGCCCCTGCAGAGTACCGCCATTACTGCCTCGCAGCCCTCAAATCTGTGACCTGTCACTCTTTCCTTTCACGCACACAACCTGTCTCTTTGCCCCTCACCCCCACACTCACCATCTCCCCAGGCGGTGTATTTCCCCAGCGGCCAGCTCGCCCCTGCAGAGTACCACCACTACGGCCTGGCAGCTCCCATCTACACGCACTTCACCTCGCCCATCCGCCGATATGCCGGTGAGTTCCGACATGTCTGGTTTCTAAGTAGTCGCAAAAGCCCCAGCCAGAGTACCACCACTACAGCCTCGCAGCTCTCATCTACGCGCAATTCACCTCGCCCACCCGTCGTTACGCTGGTGAGTTGTGAGTCGTCTCAACAGTCGATTCGAAAGCGACAACCAGTGCTTGCCTTTCGAGGTCCCCAGCAGAGTACCACCACCACCACGTCCTAGCAGCTCCCATCTACATGCACTTCACCTCTCCGCACCTGGTGGTGCATGGTGCATGGTAATTGGTAATTCACCCACGCCTATGCAGCCATGGTGGTGCCCTGCCTGCTCGCCACGGGTGAATGTTGAGTCGCCTCAATAATAACTTTCGCTCTCTCCATGTGCTCTCACCCCTATCCCACTCCCCATGACTTACCCACATCCGAACAGACGTGGTGGTTCATCGCCTACTGGCCGCAGCCATCGGGTTGACACCGCTGCCAGATCAAACCAAGGATAAGACTGCACTCACCGCCCTCACTGACAGTAAGCACCAACGCAACAGCAGAAAATTTCTTTTCCAGTCTGTCCACACTCTCGTTGTCTCTCCCATCACCACAGTAGTGTGATTTTTTCCTAGTAAAATCCCATTTCTGTGAGTATGAAGTCATAATGGTACGAGGCATTGACAGCAAATAGAAACAGCAGGGGCCAAATTGCATAACATGTGCTTATGTAGGCTCTGCATGAAATATGCAGGTGACTCTGATCGCAAAAACCATCGTCAACGTGCCATAGCTGTGTCAAAAAAGATGTTGAAAAGCCTACCCACTCCTCTCCCTCTCGTTGCTTCTACCCCTCCCCCTCACCCCATGCCTCCCTCGCCTTCCACCTGGTTCGATCTCTCCTCCTTTATTCTCCTTTCCTCCAACCCTTCTCCCCACTGCGCCAGACCTCAACTATCGCAACCGCAATGCTCAGATGGCGGGGCGAGCATCAGTGGAGCTTCACACGCTCATCTTCTTCCGCACTCGGTGAGCTGTCAGCGTGTCGTGTCCCTCTCACCATTTCTCCCTCTCCTACACGCCTGGTGACTGTTGAGTCGACTCAAAACCCACCTGGCGAGCATCAGTGGAGCTTCACACCCTCATCTTCTTCCGCATCGGTAAACTGTCAGCTTGTTGCTCTGACCATTAATTCCTCTCCTACACACCTGCTTCTTTTAACTGCATTCGTCTTCCTATGCTCCCCGTGCACAGCACATATCTTGTCTTGCACATGTCTGTCTTTTTCGCCCTCACTCTCTCACATACTCACCCCGCTTCCCTCAAAAATCTCTCCTCTCATGATTTCCTTGCCAGCCCAACGGATGCGGAGGGGCGGATAGTGATGGTTCGCTCCAATGGGCTCATCGTCTTCGTGCCAAAGTAAGCCATGCACTATTCTCTTTTTCCTCTTTTTTTTTTTTTCCCTTCATTTCTTTTTCCCCCTCTTGTGCGCATATTGTGTACAAAAACCGCACATTCTATGTTGTTCCATGTTTTCACAACTCACACCTGCTGCACAACCTGTGTGATGCGCTTTCCCTTTCCTTGCCCGATTCTAGGTATGGCATAGAAGGCCCTGTCTACCTCGTACCCAAGGAACCTCCCAAGGGAAAAGCTGCTGCTGTTGCCGCTGCCAACAAGCTCGATGGGTATGCGCCGTCGAGTGACTGGGTGGTGGACGAGAAGACGCAGACTGTGGAGTCGAAAGATGGGAAGCGGCGTTTCAAGGTGTTGGACACGGTGACTGTGCACATTGAGGTTATTGAGCCACAGCCCAATCGGCCCAAGCTGTCACTCACACTAGTGAGCCAATGATGTTCATGGAGAATAACTAGACTTCACAAAGAAAGGATCAGATTGTCCATTGTATTGCAATAGATACAAATTATGTGCATCTGTTATAAATTGTACTAGAAGAGTGCGCGGAAGACTTTATAAAAAGGATGAGAATTACAGAATGTCGAGAATGATAATGAAGTGAGCATTTATAGGGTCGAAACCGTGCTAGGCGAGGACCTCGATGTGCGTGGCTCGGGAATGTCGCAATTGGTGCGGGGCGACTCGGGGCTGGTTCGGTGCGAAAGTGTAGGCCGAGCCCAAACTGACGCGAACAGTTCGGGCTGTCCTCGCTAGGAACAGCCTCTACAGTAATGAATTCTAATTCATTACAGCATCCTTCCCAGTTTTCCACGCTGGTTTCCTTGCTCCACCAGTTGACTTTCCGTGACTGCCACCCCACCATTGGTAGGCTCGCTTCAATGTTACCAGCACTTCGTGATTTCTTCAGCAGACATCTCCCAAGACCAGTGGCAAATTGCGAAAACGCAAGTGGTAACCACAAACTTCCCTTCTCGTGCACGCTCGGACCACCTACTTCCCGCGCCGCATTCCTAGCTGCACAAAATTCAGAATGCTCAGGGCCAGGCTTCAAGTGCTCGTCACGACGTGCAGACGCTGGACGATGGAACGTTTGCGAAAGCGTGAGCAATGCGAAGCCATGCACGAAATTTTAGCGCCGTAACCAGTGCTTCGCTGTACTACGGCATGTTTTACGAAAACTGGTGAACCATGGTTCAACCAAGTCCGAGACCCCCCGCACCCAGCTTCGGACCTCGTGCAATTTCTCACCATGGGCGGGTGCATCGCGGCGCGACAAGGCCGCTCCGCATCTGGGCTTGTGGGTACAAAAGCACAGCCCCACTCGAACCAGCAAGAACAATTCAATTCTTCCGCATTCACAACAACTCGACATCTGATCCTTCTGCAGTCGTTCTACTAGAACAGTTTTAGGCCAACCGGCGTCAGTAGTTAACGTTACAGGCACCTCAAAAGCAATCCCTGCTAGATACAAGCTGAGTTTCACCATGAGGCGCGGTCCAGAGATCTTGATGCTGCTGCTCCTGTGCACATTTCTCCTAGCCGCGCAGCCATCCAGTGCAAGCCGCGAATCGGTTTGGCGCAACCTAAACCGCGCATGGCGCAACGGCGGAGATAATTCGCACCTCGCGGCGCCTTCCAGGGAAAATTCCGGCAAATCCGCGACTCCAGCAGCCGACGGTTCCGCCGTTTACATCGTTCGCTTGAGCTCAGCGCCTCCCCTCTCCGAGTATCGCGGCGGAATCGCGGGCTACCCCGCGACGGCCACGTGGGACGACGGCAGCGACGAGGAGAGCGACAGTGACGCCGTACCGCAGATGATTCTCCCCGCCGACGATGCCGCCGCCGCCACAGGCGGCGAATCCGTCGATTTGGACGACACGGACGGCGACAACTTCTCTTCAAACGGAACTGTGCCCACGCCATCCCCAAACGCCACATCTGACGCCACCGCCAATCCCAGCGCTCGCGGCGGTCGCGGAGGTAACGGTAACGGCGGACGAAACGGTGGCGGCGCGGGGTGCCCGCGGCACCGGCTGAGTCTGAGCATGGACCGCCCCCATGTGGCGGCGTTTGCGGGGCTGCTGCAGCGGCAGCAGGCGCAGGTGGCATCTGAGGCGGGCGTACCCGAGGACGGGCTGCTCTACAGCTACAAGCACACGTCCAACGGCTTCGCCGCGCGCCTCACGCCGCGCCAGGCGTGGCGGCTGCGGCGCCACCCCGCCGTGGCGTCCGTCCGGGCCAGCCGCGTGTTCCGCCGGCAGACGACCGACTCGCCGCAGTTCCTGGGGCTGCCCGGGAAGGTGTGGCCGGCAGTGGGCGGGCAGAGCAAGGCGGGCGAGGGCACGGTGGTGGGGGTTGTGGACACGGGTATCTGGCCCGAGCACCCGTCGTTCAGCGATAAGGGCCTCTCCTCGCAGCTGCCCGCGGGGTGGAAGGGCAAGTGCGAGCAGTCGAGTTCGTTCCGGTGCAACAACAAGGTGATCGGCGCCAAGGCCTTCTATGCCGGCTTCCAGCAGAGCAGCGGCCGCCCCGTGTTGACCAATGACTGGCTGACGCCGCGAGATGCGGACGGGCATGGCACGTGGTGCGCGGGGGCAGCCGCGGGGAACCCCGTGAAGGTGCAGGGCGGCGGGCAGGTGAGCGGCATGGCGCCGGCAGCGCGCATTGCGGCGTACAAGGTGTTCTGGACGGACGGCAACGGGGACATGTACGCCACGGAGTCAGATATCATCGCAGCCGTCAATCAGGGCGTGGCGGACGGTGTGGATGTGCTGTCACTGTCCCTGGGCGGTGTGAATCCCGAGGACAACTATTTCAACGATCTCGCTTTCATGCGCGCCAATGCTGCCGGCGTGTTTGTCGCCTTTGCTGCCGGCAACGCGGGGCCTCCCGGCCGTGGAGGGTTCTACCGCACGCTTGACAACTTCGCCCCGTTCTACCTCACCGTCGGCGCCAGCACCATCGCCCGAGGCGGCGCGTCCCTCGCGTCCTCTACTGGCGGCAGCCAGTCGCTCGCTCTTGGCGCCGCCATCAGCAGCAACGGCACCGGCGGCAGCTTCAATGGTAACCGCACGGAGGGCATGGAGGGCACGGACGGCAGCAGCACGGTTCTGTCTGCGGACGGGGGGATCACCTTCACCTCCTCGTCCTCCTCCTCCGCCCCGGTGGTGGCTGACTTCTCTTCCCGCGGCCCCCTGCTGCAGCCCTCCGCCACGGCCCAGCCGCCCATGCCAGGCAACGCCATCTTAAAGCCCGACATCATCGGTCCGGGAGTGGACCTCGTAGCCGCTGCTCCCGGCAGGAAACCCGGGGAAACTGGCGGCCTCGCGCGCATGTCGGGCACTTCCATGGCCACCCCGCATTTAGCGGGGCTAGCCGCTTTAATCATCCAGAAGTACCCCAACTGGACCCCTGCGCAGGTGATGTCAGCGCTGTTGACGACGGCGCGGGTGACAGACACGAGCAAGAGCGCGATTAAGAGTTCAACGGGCAGGGAGGCAACCCCCTGGGAGATGGGCGCAGGCCACGTGTTCCCCCCGGCCATGCTCGACCCCGGGCTCACCTACGACGCCCGCGACCGTGACTACCAGAATTTCCTCGCGGGGCAGGACCTGAACCGCGCGAAAAAGGAGTTCCCAGGGGTGGTGCTCTCGCCTCTGGCTGTTCGCAACCTCAACCTGCCCACCATCACTCTGCCTCGCCTGCAGGGCTCCCTGCAGGTCACCCGTACTGTCACCAACGTGGGGCAGTCCCGGTCCACGTACAGTGTATCTGGGAAGGCACCGCAGGGAGTGAAGGTGACTGTGTCTACTAAGAGCCTCACGCTGGCTCCAGGGGAGAAGAAAAGCTACACGCTGACATTTACTGTGGATACACCCAGTAATGACTTCAAGTACGGGTTTATAGTCTGGGCTGATGACCAGGGTCACAGCGTACGGTCCCCGCTTGTGGTGCAGCCCATCTCCCGCTGAGGGGGAGAGCCGTGTGAGGCTCCTTTCATGTGGAGAGTTCAGCAGGTGGGACTTGGTGTCCCTTTCTCAATTCAAGGGATATCACTGTGGCGCATGGTTTGGCAGGAGCATTGGTGCATGGCTTGACAGCGCCGCTCCTCATGGCACATGGGATGGTTATATAGTGTTTGGCTGATTATCGTTAGCATGGTATCTATTTGAAGAATTCCCTTCCAATCCAAGAGCAAACACTAAATAAGATTACAAACACGTCATACATAATCAAGGTAAACCCACAGACACTACCACTCAGAAAACCACAGACAAAACCACTCACTCAGCAAACCAAACACAATGCAGAGTGTTCTGAGAGAGTAGAGTTGAGCAGAAAATCAAGTGCAACTACAGTTGAAGTTCCTACTCCTGGAGGTCAGCCCATCAGAGACCATCCAAGTCCCAGCTGCCACAGCAGCTCGCGCCTCCTCAAGTACGAGGTGACTTTTGAGTCGACTCAAAAGTTACCCCTGGAGGTCAGCCCATCAGAGACCATCCAAGGCCCAGCTGCCACAGCAGCTCGCACCCTCTGAAGTACCTTGCAGGCTTGCAGCATTATCTGTCCACACACATCACTCACTCCAGTCAACGCTGATTCCTCTCAACATTCACTCTTGCCTGTCTAAGCGCATCGCTCACCCCATACAACACTTATTCCTCACAACACTGACTTTCCTCACATGCCCCACGCACCAGCCAGCTGGCACCTGTAGTCACCACCAGAGCGACCCACCTTTCTGCCCCTCTGCCTTGACCTTCCTGCCTAGGTCGCAACTACTGCAAGCCACACCACATCCACTGCCATGCCATGAATCACACTACCACTCCTCACATGCACCACGCATCAGCTTGCTGGCGCCGGCAGTCCCCAGCAGACCGTCCCACTCGTGTTGTGTAACCCCCCCATCTACCTTACGCCGTCTGCCTTGCACCCACTGCCTAAGATACAACGATCAACCACCAATCCCCCCCCATCCTCACATGCCCCATGCATCGGCCAGCTGTCACCGGTAATCGCCCGCCGATCGCCCCACCCAGCTGCCCCCATCGGTGCTCACCACCTGCCTAGGATGCAAGCCACTCCTGTCCTCCTCACATGCCCCACGCATCTGCCAGCTGGCGCCGGTAATCCCCTGCTGATCGCCCCACCCAGCTGCCCCCATCGCCGCTCACCACCTGCTGCAGCGCTGCCAGCACATGCTGCTTCAGATGCCCATCCACTGCCGGGCCCTCTGCCCCATAGGGGAGAGAGGACTCGTCCGTCACAATGTCCAGTAACTGGGGGGGTGGTGAGCAAGGGGAGGAATGGGGGAGCAAAGTGTGGGAGGGATAAGCCTGTCAAGCACGACGCGGTGCTTCAGATGCGTGGCCACTGCCAGGCCGTCCGCCCCATACGGGAGAGAGGATTCGTCCGACAATATGTTCAACAGCTGGGGGGTTGATGGGAGAGGGAAGTGAACATGGGGAGAGGGGAGAACAGGACACGGCAAACTCAAGCACGTGCGACTCACACATGGGTTCACTGGCGGGCCCTCTGCTCCGTATGGCAGAGGGGACTCGTCTGTCACTATGTCTAAGAATGGAAGGGCGGTGACTTTTGAGTCGACTCAAAAGTCACCGCGTATGGCAGAGAGGACTCGTCCGTCACTATGTCTAAGAATGGAAGGGCGATAGAAAGAACTCCCGGCAGTGAGGGGAGGAGAAAAAAGGAGAAAGCCAACTTCTTAAGTCCATACTGCTGCAGAAGGGAGAAAATGAACGGTTGTGATGGCATGTTAGCAACCAGTGCATCAGCAGCCCACCCAAGCCATCTTTCACACACGCCACCTTCCACACACTACCTTCCAGACACCACCTTCCACACACCACCTTCCACACACACCACCTTCCACACACCACCTTACCACTCACCACCTTCCCCATAAGCCACCATGCATCTCCCCCCCAACACACACATCTCAGCACAGCACCCCTTGCCTTATCTCACCTGCCGAACCCACAGTAGCAGGTACTCCACGGACGTTCCCCTTATAAGCAGCTCCACCATGCGCCGTATAACCTCCGCCCCGGTATCAGGTGACAGATGCCCCAGCACAGGCCCGGTTCGCCCCATCAGCCGCACCATAGCACCCGCATCAGCCGCCTTCAGCACCTCTTTATAAGCACCCTCGAACCCCCCCGTTCATCTTCCACATAAGTCACCATGCATTCCCCCCCCACACCCCCCACAACCCAAATCTCAGCACATCACCCCCTCTCTAATCTCACCTGTCGAACCCACGGCAGCAGGTATTCCACCGACGTCCCCCTTATGAGCAGCTCCACCATACGCCGTATAACCTCCGCCCCAGTATCAGGTGACAGATGCCCCAGCACAGGCCCCGTTCTCCCCATCAGCCGCACCATAGCACCCGCATCTGCAGCCTTCAGCACCTCTTTATAAGCACCCTCGAACCCCCCAGCCTTGAGCTCGTCTAAAGCCACAGCCCACGACCAATTGGCTGGTGCCACCTGGCGCTTCAGCGGCCCTAGAGGCTTCTCTGCTGCTGCTGCTTCTGCACCTTCAGATTCTCCTCCTCCCCCGCCTCCTCTCCCTCCTCCTCCCTCTGCTGCTCCTGCTGTTGGCAACGCCTCTGCTCTGAGTTGCTGCTGCTGCTGCTCGGGCTGAGCCTGGGGGAGGTTCATCTGGGGGAGGTTCATCTGCTCGGTTTGATCTTGCCGCCACTGCAGCAACAACTGCTGCTGCTCCTGCTCCTGCTCCTGCTGCTGCCGATCTATCTTGTTGCTTGTGACGAGAGGGAGGCGAGGGGACGAGACAGTAGAGGAGTGGGGAGGAGTTTTGGCTGGGCCATTGGGAGCAGCGGAGTTCTGTCCGCGGTTCAGGGAAGAGGTTCTCCTTAGAGTTAGCAGCTGCTGCTGGTGCTGCTGCTGCTGCTGGTGCTGCTGGTGCTGCTGCTGCTGGTGCTGCTGCTGACTTTGCATTGAAGCCACACCTGCCGCCTCAGCTGCTATTGCCGCCGCTGCTGCTTCGGCCACAGCAGCAGCAGCAGCAGCAGCGTACTCATCCTCCATATAAGCTGCTTCTGCCCCCATCATCCCTGCTCCTACCCCACCAAACGCACCCATAAACGGCTGTGCCTGCACGAAACCACCAGCACCAGACCCACTGCCTATCCCCCCTGCGTTGCTTCCCATCCCCCCCATCCCGCCTCCTCCCTGTAATGACAACCTTCGCCCAGAGGAAAGCACCCTGCTGCTGTCACCACCCGCAGTGGTGCGAATGCGAGAGGGGAGGTAAGGGGAGGGCATGGTAGGGAGGGTGGTGGCGGAGATGGGGTGAGGAGAGGTGGGGAGAGTGTGGGGTGAGGGGGAGGCAGCGGCATTGGAGGCCCAAGGGAGAGAGGTGACCACTGGGGAACCAGCAGCACTGTGCATGGCTCGTGTGGTTCTCAGTGCTATTTGCTGCTGGTGTTGCTGTTGTAGCTGCAGCTGCTGCTGCTCGTGGTAAGCCTGCTGAAGCTGCTGCTGCTGCAACTGAACCGCTTCTGCTTCAGCTAACGCCAGCTGCTGCTGCTGCTGCTCGTGCTGCTGCTGCTGCTGCTGCTGATGCAGGGACTTTAGGGTAGAGAGCGAGCCTTCCAGTGAAAGCATTCGCAGCTCGAGGCTATCCATGGTTCGCCTCATGGCGCTCATGAAACCCTGACAGGCAAGCGGAGGGGAGGGGGGAGCAAATTGGGGGAGATAGCAGCGGGGGGAAGTGAGGGGAGGGGAGAGCAGAAAGAAACATAGAGCATTCGCAGCTCAAGGTTATCCATGGTCCGCCTGGTAGCACTCATGCAACCCTGACAAGCGGAGGGAAGGGAGTGAGGGGAAAGGTGGGAACGGAGGGGAATAAGTGGAGTGGGGAGAGCGAAAGCGGCATTGAGCATTCACAGCTCGAGACTATCCATCGTTCGCCTGGTGGCGCTCATGAAACCCTGACGAGTTGAGGGCAGGGAGAACATGGGAAAGGGGGGAACGGAGGGGAATAAAGGAGTTTAGGGAAAGTGGCATTGAGAATTCGCAGCTCGAGACTATCCATGGTGAACCTGGTAGCGCTGATGAAACCCTGAGGAGCGGAGGGCAAGAAGATTATGGAGTGGAGAAGAGAGCGGTGGGAAGAGTGAGGAGGGGAGAGGGAAAGAAGCATTGAGCATTCGCAGCTCGAGACTATCCATCGTTCGCCTGGTGGCGCTCATGCAACCCTGAGGAATGGAGGGCCGGGAATGCAGGGAAAAGAGAGGAGCGGAGAGGAAAAAGTGGAGGGGAGAGAAGGAAAGCGGCATTGAGCATTTGCAGCAGCTGGAGGCTGTGAATGGTTCGCCTGGCAGAGGTCATGCAACCCTGAATCAGATGAATCAAAAGAACAGCAGCAACTCACCACCAATGCGAGCCACTCACCTCCACCATGCCCTGGTAGCTGTCGTGCTGCCGCTCCATGTCTGCCGCTCGTTACCCTGATTTCTTGCCTTTCAGAATTTCTACCTTCATGCAGCGCAGCACGCCTTGTTTAAGTGAGCCACTCACCTCCACCATGCCCTGGTAGCTGTGCTGCTGTCGCTCCATGTCTGCCACTCGTTGCCCTGATTCTTGAGTCTATAAATCTACCCTCGTACAGCACACTTATCTGAATAAGCCACTCACCTCCACCATGCCCTGGTAGCTGTCCTGCTGTCGCTCCATGTCTGCCACTCGTTGCCTCAGCCTCTGCACCTCTGCCTCCACCGCCGCAGCAGCATCAGCACCTGCAGCAGCTGAAGCGCCTCTATTGCCCCTCCTTCCCCTCCGCCCTTCCATGAGCCCATTCTCTTCTCTATCCATCCCCCCCTCATCCTCATCCTCATCCTCCTCCTCATCATCCACTCCCCACTCCCTACCGCCTGCCTTCCTATCACCCCTCGCTCCCTCCCTCGCTCTCTCCCTCTCCCTGCCTCGAGTCCACGGCCCCACGCCACTGCCAGAGTCACTCATAAGCACCATCTGTGCCGTCTGCCCTCCCCACTCCGCTCGCCGGCCCCTCCCCTTCCGCTCCCACGGCTGCGGCTGCTGCTGCTGCTTCTGTTGCTTGCTCTGGTAAGCCTGACTCAAGTCATAGGAGCGTCTAACTTGCATCTGCTCTCCATCCGCCTTCTTCAACCCGTTCTGCCTCGTCTGCTGCTGCTGCCCCTGGTGCTGACTCTGCTGCGCCCTCCTGCGCCCGAGCTTCTCCTCCTGCCGTGCCACCTCCTGCTTCTGCCACGTGTCGCCCTGTCTCTGCTGCTGCTTCACACCCTTTCCAACGCCGCACCTTCCATCTCTCCGCCCTCCTCTTGGACTCGACTCTGGATCATCCTCGTTATTAGCCCACCCACGCCGCATACGAGCACGAGGAAACGACTCCACATAATCCTCCTCTTCCTCGCTCGAAGACAAATGACTACTCAGTGACCCATACCTCCTCCTCCCCCTCCCATCCTCCCGCCCCTCCTTTCTCCTCATTCGCCCTCTCTCCACCCTCTCACCCTCCTCTTCCTCCTCATCCCACCACCCTGCTTTGCACTGCACGCCCCTAGCTTTCCCTCCACCGGTGGCATCAACAGAGAGACTACTGCTCCAAGAATTACTCCTCCTCATACCACCCCCTCCTTCTCCCCACGTTCCCCTCTCCCTTCTCACACCCCCAGCCACCCTCTTCCCCTTCACTTCCGCCTCTTTCACTCCCTCCTTTCTTCCCCCACCCTTACCTCCCCTCCCAGCCTTCCCCGCGGCCCCCCAGTCATAGGATTGGCGCAGCTCCCCTCCCCCTTCTCCCCTCCCCATCTCCCCCACGCCCCTGCCCCTTCTACCCGCCTCCTCCTCCCTTTTTCTATACTTCTCCCCCTCTGTCTCCCCAGCCCCCTGCCCCTGTCCTTGCCCCTCCTTCCACTTGTTCCTGCCCTTACTCCATTTTTGTCTTTCCAAGGCATCACCCCGCCCTGTTGCTTTCCAACCCTTCCTCTCCTCCCAGTCGCCTGCCCTACCGCCCTGTTGATGCTCATCCTCGTCATTGTCTGAATCGCTAGAACCATAAGCGCCATCCTCAACGGGCTTTTCCTTTTCTGGTGCCTTTCCCTCACATTCTTTCCCCTCCTCTTCCTCTTCCTTCCATCCCTCCCTATCTTCCTCCTCACTCTCCATCCCAGTAGCATATCTCGTTGCAGGCCCTCGCGCAGCATTCATAACGCCCCCCACTCCCTCCTCCTGCCCCCTGTTATAGGCACCACTGAATTCAGTATTTCGTCCTGTCTCCTTCTCTCCCTCTACCTCTCGAAGCATGTGCTGAAGAAATTCTTTCTTCTCGTCCTCTTTCCTCTCCTCCACTCGCTGCTGCACCGGCTGATTATGGTACTGCTGCTGCTACTGCTGCTGCTGCTGTTGCTGCTGCTGCTGATACTGCTGCTGCTGCTGCTGCTGCTCTTGCTGCTGCTGCTGCTGCTGCTCCTCTTGCTGCTGATATTGCTGCTGCTGCTGATACTGTTTCTGCTGCTGCTGCTGCTGCTGCTGCTGATACTGCTGCTGCTTTTGGGCCACCTCTTCCTGCTGCAGATCAGCCTTGCCCAAACAGTCCGTCCCCTTTATCTCCAAACTCATCTCCAAACTCTTCTCCTCATCAGCCTTGCTAACCACCTCCCGCTTCTCCTCTGGCTCGCAACCGCCCTTGCCCCATCCGCCACGCGTCTTAGGCACTAAGATCTCCACATTCCAATCGCTCCCTGATCCTCCTCCTCCTTTCCCGCCCCCTGCGCCCTCCTTGCCTCTCCCACCAGCAGCGGCCGCAGCCTTGAGGGCAGCAATCCCCGAAGTCGAATGCCTACGAGCCTTCACACCATCCGCTTGCGCTCGACTCTCTTTTGCCCCTGCCCCTGCCCCTGCCCCTGCCCCTGCTGCTGCCCCCTGCCGGCCCTCCCCCTTTCCATCCCCCTTCTTCCCGCCACTGGCTTCACCAGGGTTACTGTCACCCTTCTCCCCCACTACTCCGGCCTTCGATTTAGGAACCATCACTTCCACGGACCAGTCGTCACCTCCCCCAGCCTTCCCCCCTGCGCCCGCCTTCTTGAAGAACAGAGGGTTCCCTCGCAAAGGTTGCCGCTCAAACTTAGGCCGAACAGCCTTCGCTCCAGCTCCATTATCCGCGTTAGAAGCTTCTCGTTTAGAAGCTTCCGCGGGTTTTGCCTGAGATAGTTCTGGAGCCCATGCGTGGGACCCAATCCCCCCTTTGCTCAGTCCGATTTTCCTTCCGCCCTCTTCTCCTCCCTCCCCTCCTGCTCCTCCTCCTGCTCCTGTCACCCCCCCTGCAGCAGCAGCAACACTCGCTGCTGCTGCTGCCGCCACTGTTGCTTCCTTAGCTCGAGCTCGGCCCAGACCACTGAAGGTGCGGGCCAACATGCCGCCCACTCCACCACGCTTCACAGCAGGGGTTGCACTGGCTGCAGCAGCAGCTGCTGCTGCTTCTGCTGATACTGATGCTGCTGGTGCTGCTGATGCTGCTGATAGCAACTGCTGTTTTTTCTGCCTCTGCTGTCTCCCGAGTGTCTTGAAACGGGTCCGTTACAAGCGAGGACGAGCGGCCTTGAAGCTTGAGAGAGTGGCCGCCGATGCTTCTTTCTTTATCTGCCGCAGCAGGCGAGAAACTGGCGCGCCTTCCTGGAAGGCGCAGGGGGGCGGAATGGACAAGAATGAGAAATCGACTATGCCAATGTTGTCGCACACTGCCTCATATGCGTCGCACACTACCATATATGTGTCTCCCACCACCTCATATGCCTCTCCGCATCTCATATGCGTCTCACAATGCCACACAATGCCTCTCGCAAAACCCCCTACGCGTCTCTCCGTACCTGAGGCGCTGCCGACAGCAGCAGCAGAGGACAGCGACGGAGCTTGCACTGCAGTGGCTGCTGATTCCGACGAGAGAGACGGCACAGACAGCACTTGGTGCTGCTCTGCTGCTGGCGGGTCCTCCCACTCCACACACGCCCACGCCTGCTTCGCCTGCGCCAGGGAATCGCGTACATTCTTCACCTGCGGAACAGATTCAGAGTAATGGGTGGAGAGGACCGGAGAGGTGTGCATGTGGTACATTCAAAAGGTCTAGGTCTAGGTATAGCTGTCGCAGCAAGTCTCCGTTACAGTGTTGCGCCCTCCCAACGCCGCGCGGCTCTCCCCCGGAAGCTCCGCCGGCAGGCTGATGGCGAGCTGCCCCAGCAAGTCCCATTTCCCACACTTCCCGTGCCCTGCCGCCCTACATTATCCCCTCCATCTGGCCTCTCGTTTTTCCCCTCTCTCATGATCGCCCCTTTACCCTATCTCCCCTTGATCTCGCCCCCTTCACCCTCCCCCTCCCATGCCCCGTCGCCCTACCTTATCGCCTTTGCACTGATCCAGTGCCTTCATGACCGCCGCACGGCTCTCCCCCAGAAACTCCGCCGGCAGGTTAATGGCGAGCTGCCCCAGCAGGTCCACCGCCGCCTTGCGCGTGGCCCAGTCCGCGGACGCCACGGCGGCGGTCGCGGCGGACGCCAGCACGGGTACCTGCGCGCCCATGGACTCCCCGCACACCTGCGCGGAAAGACGGCGCGGAAAGGAACGGGGGCGGTGGGGGGCAGCACTTGACAAAACGGACGAGAATGGGACGAGAGAACGGAGAATAGCAGCACTTGACGAGTTTCGAAGGACCTAAACGAACAATTTTCTATGAATCTAAAGATCCCGAACTCGTCCGTGACACCCTGAAAGCAAGGCATAGACTCACTGGAAGGCACACCGCGCACCTAAGAGAGGCTCGCAAGTCCGTCCAGCTCAGGCTGGCAAAGTACCAGACACCCGAACAAGGTGGGAAACGTCAACGTACCAAACACCCGAGCAAGGCGACTACGTCAACGTACCTCAGCAAGGCTCGCAACGGCGCCCAGAAGCTGCGCCTTCGCTTGAAACCCCTGCCGCGAGAGCATCCCGTTCGCTCGCATCAGCACGCGAGCCGCGCTCGGCTCCATTTTCTCCCGGGCAGCCCGGAAAACGCGGTCGAGACAGATCGCCGCGCCTGCCTGCGAGTTTCGGCTCTGCTCGCCGAGCGTGTCGAGCAGCGGCCGAACGTAAACACCCATGGCTCCGAAGCCGCCGAGGGGAATAGCTCCGGGAACGGTATCGTGGGGAGGGGGGGGTACGTGCTGAACGAGTGTCGCCATGGCTTCTGCACAAGATTCGATTAAGGTGGACTCGGGGTCGCGCAGGCGACGGACGACGGCTGCGACGATCTTGGGGAGATGCGGCGACAGAAGCGGGCCGAAGGTCACCGCAAGGATGGCGAATTGCCTGCGACGGCGAGGAAGAAGGTGTACGAGATGGTTGTTCAGGTGACATGGTAAGGAGAAAAGAGTGTACGTCTGGGAGTGATATAACGGCAATGATAAGAAAACACCAACTACCGTGCCCTTGTAAGGGACGATGGCAAACCTTTGAAAGCGACAGCGAAGGATTAGAGGAATTGACAGCAGAAAGGTGATTGTGACGGGCATCTTTCCGACCAGCACGCGAGAAGCGGACATACAACGCACGTATGACATTTGCGACTCGGAATACATGCTTTTTGTCGTCGTTTCATTCTCCTTCAAGGCAATTTTTCACAATTCTGGTGGGGATGATGGAGGCGTTACCTGAGGCATTATTTCCGGACGAAGGTGCGACGGGTGCTGTCAGTCTCGTAGAGGCAGGAGAGGAAGACGGGAATGCCTTCCGGCGGTAAGCACTCAACGATTTGTCTATTAGAGTCGACTCAAACATAGACTCATCATACGCGGAATACCTGAGGCATTCCTTCCGGACGAAGGTGCGATGGGTGCTGTCAGTCTCGTAGAGGCAGGCGAGGAAGACGGGAATGATTTTAAGTCGACTTAGAAGAAATTTTTAGTGGAGATTATCAGATCGTTACCTGAGGCATTCTTTCCGGACGAAGGTGCGATGGGTGCTGTCAGTCTCGTAGAGGCAGGAGAGGAAGACAGGAATGCCTTCCGGCGGTAAGCACTCGACGATGTTCTGCAGATCCCCCACGGCGTTCTGCTGCGTGTCGCGATCGTTGAGCTTCCCGAGCGCCACTAGAAGGCTCTTCTTAACGTCGTTTAGCGCCACTCGACTAGTCTGCAGCGGCTGCGGCTCGATTAACTGCGTGATTGCCATGGCTACGGACCAGCAGCTATTGAGTGGTTGTGGATTATACTCGCACGTGAGTTTTATTTATTCCATACGCTTTGCTAGGCCAACTCGGGCTAATCTAATTACACCGATGTATCGTGAGGGAGGGAAGGAGTCACGATTGTGGAAGAACGAACAGCCACACCTCTGGTGATGGTCAATCTGGCTTTTGATGGGACAGGACAATCAGCTAGTCCGAAAGACGAGGAGACGAGTAAGACGAGGTCGCGAAAGGGGAAGAGACTTCAATGCAAAAGAACAACCAGCTCAAATCAACTAGAGCCTGGAAGTGTGGCGAGCATGTTCACATAGCGTCAACACCCCCCGCAACCCAACCATAGAATGGGATCTGAGGCTGTTGAGTAGCGGTCTTGAAATTCGACCGTTGGGGGGACTTGACTGGGACATTGGAGTGAGGGAGGGGGGTGTTGGGGGGTAGGGGTGCGTGTTTCGTCAACTTTTCTTGGTGTTGCCTCCTCTTGGGATTTGCTAATTCGTTTCGGGCCGGGCAGCCTCTGGAAATTGACTTCGTGCCACGATTCGTTCATCTAGGGTGTTGAGATGAAGCTTGCCCGCACTTCACGCAGCCCCTTGGCTCCACGCTGCCCGCGCCGCCGTGATTCCCTCCCGCCATCTTTGGTCCCCTTTCCTGACAACCCTCGATATCAACTCGATATAGTAAACCTTTTTTGTCCACAAGCTATATTGTTTGGCTTCGAAACTATAGCGATCCCACTGAAGTGTTCAATAACGTGTACACCTTCAGAATCCTTCCCCCCCGTACCCCTTCAATAGCGTCTCCAAACCGCGCAGATCTGACGTTGCCTTCATCCGCGAAGTACGAATGTAAGCTGTTTATTTCCGCAGCATTTGCACAGCTCACCAAGTGCTTCGTCTGACGCGTCCTCCCGGCGTGTCGGCTAGTTGGTCTTGTTCATAGCGTTTTCTCCATCTGAATTGGTGTGTTGCGGAAATCACGTTCTCATAGCGATGGAGCAGCAACCGTCTGTAGAGGAACTTAAGACTCTAGCTCTCGATTACTTCACAAAGGCTGAAACCTCCCTATGGAATGTGCTTCCGCCTGTTGTGCAAGAATCCCCCGTATTTCTCGATATAAGCCGAGCTCTTAATGTTCGCGTCGAGACAGCTCTCTTGCTGTCCACGATCGGCGTCCTACTGGCCTCTCTTATTTTCCTCTTAGGTACGTGAATTCACATCGTATCACTCTAATAAATTGTTTTTTTGCTGATATAATTGGAAATATGCACGTTTTTGTTTTTGTTCCTCATCGCTCGAATTCATCCTTTCACGTGCCTATTTTCCGCTCCAGCTGTGCGGTTGGCCTTCTCGGGCCCTCGATTCAACACCATCGTGCTTCTGGGCCTGTGCGGAGCCGGCAAGACTTCTCTCTGGTACAAGGTGCGAATAAGATCATCTCAAGCTTGTACTTAATAGCATTTTTCTTTTCTTTTTTTAACCGGAAACTGTTGACGGTATTTGAAACCCTTTTTTTCCCTTTTTTTCTCATCTCCACAATTTGATCCACGCTTCCACGTGTCCCGTTCTTTTCTGCCCTTCCAATGGCCTGCTCTTTATTGTTGTTCCTCTCTCCACTGCCCCTCTTTCCACGTGGCAGCTGCGGGATGGGTCAACCCACGGCGGTACAGTGACGTCCATGGCGGTCAACGATGACAAGTTTCCCCTGCACGCCGAGCTGAGCAAGGTAATCTAGTGGGTCGATTTTAATACAGTTAATAATGACAAGTTTTTTCTGCACGCCGAGCTCAGCAAGGTAATTTTTTGGTCGCCTCAAAACTGTCGGCAATGACAACTTCCCTTCCCGCCTAGCCGAGGAAGGTGAGTCAAAGGTGGAAAGCTGGAAGTGCATGGTCAGGGATACGCAGGGAGCATAGGACAGCCCGTTTTGCAGCTTATGCCATTCCTCTCTCTTTCCTATTTGCCTTCCTCCAAACCCTGGTCCTTTTCCAGCATGTTGGTCGCACTACATGATGCTCATTCTCTTCATATCCGTTCTTGAATTTGGTTATGCTTCATAATGCTCCTTCCCTTCTTATCTCGTCTTGGATTCCTCTTTCCTTCCCTTCTCTGGATCTCTATCACTTTCCTTGGCCTCCTTCCCACACCAAATTTTCCCTCTACAACCTGTTGTGTGTTTCCAGAACCCCAGAGCCCGTCCAGTGCATCTGGTGGATCTGCCTGGCCATCCTCGCCTGCGCTCCCTGGGAGCTCCGTTCCTCTCCCGCACGTGTGGGATTGTGTTCCTGGTTGATGCCCTTGACTTCACTCTCAACATCCGACCTAACGCAGAGTAGGTGCTCTACCAGCCTATGAGTCATGCGCTTCTCATCTGATGCGCGTTCGCATGCGTGAATGCTTGCTATCTCATGCACTTGTGCTGACCATGTCATGGGCTGTCTGCTTATTGTTATGTACTTATTGTGTATGCTTCTGCTCCAGGTATCTATATGAGCTGCTCTCATCTGCTGCGGTGCAACGGAGGCGGGTGCCACTGCTGCTGGCGTGCAACAAGATGGAGAAGGTGACGGCACATTCGGTGGAGTTCATTCGGAAGCAGCTTGAAAAGGAATTGTGAGTCACATGCACATGCGCATGTGCCACATTTGCTTGTTCATTCCTGGATTAAACAGCACCGCTAGCATTACCGCTATCTTACTAGTGATATGACATGCATTCCTCCTCCCGTTTTCCTGTTTTACCATGCACCACTGTGCTCGTGCATTATGGCACACACACACATTTCTCTCTTTATCTTATGGCAGAGAGAAGCTGCGCTCGTCACGCCATTCCATGGCATCTGTTGGCTCCAGCAAGGACGGAGGGTCACAAGGGCTTGTCCTGAAAAGCACTGGAGGAGTTTTCCGGTTCGCTGACTGCATCAACCCAGTGACATTTGCTGAGTGTTCCGTGGCTAGCGATAATCTGAATGACGTAGAGACCTTCATTCGTGACCTTGTCAGGCCTTAACACCACTGCACTCCAGGCCTTAACAATAAGGCTGCAGGATGCTGCTATAATCTATGACCGCCAGTGGCAGCTTACAACCTGGTTATGATGATGTGGTGAGTTTGCAATTACGTGTGGTGATAAATTTGGGTTCTAAGAGACTGTCTAGAAGTGGAAATTTGGGTTCTAAGAGACTGTCTAGAAGTGGAAATTTGGGTTCTAAGTGACAAAACAGGAGCATTCACAAGAGAGAGCGTAGGAAATTTGGACTTGTCAGATCCAAAACTGTGCGGTGAGCGTGGATCGAACACGCGACCTTCAGATCTTCAGTCTGACGCTCTCCCAACTGAGCTATCCCCGCAAACTTGGAGAAGTGGGGTATCGATCCCCATACCTCTCGCATGCTAAGCGAGCGCTCTACCATCTGAGCTACATCCCCATGCCATCTGAGCTACCTCTCGCATTTGTTTATAGATTTTGTATTTTTATTGATCTCCAGTCACATCAAATTATGTCTCTTTCTCGCAATCATGGCTACCGCGCAGCCGCTGGAAGCCAGTGAGGAGGAATGCGACAGGATCCTTTTCGGAACGAGCGCAGCGGCCTATTATGAGCAGAATAGAGTGGTACATTCCTCCGAATATATCACGAATTCGAGGAACATCCGCCTCTACACGCAGTCATGGTTGCCTGGTGAGGATCACAAACGTGCTCGACTGAATTCGAGAATCAACAAGTACTACTTCAGCAAACGTCCAGTCGTTCTCACTCCCCTCTCAGCTGTTGTATTATCCTCGTCCCGCTCCCGTTTGCTCCGTGCGTAATCGAAACACTTCCTGCTGCTATTCCCATTTTTCTCCCATGGTATGCGTCCCTCTGGTCCTTCTCGTCGTTCAGCCGATCGCAAGCCGTTGGCCCTTCTCTTCTTCTGCCACGGCTACGCCAGCAGCTGCAGTTGGATGATGCAGGCAAGGCACCCCTTCCCCGATTGTTTTTCACAATACATTTCCTGAATCCGACTCTCCCGCCACGACCAGCTGTTTTCATGATTCGTTTCTGCCTCATTCCTTCTCGCCTGCGATTCTCGCAGCTTACAGCTGCTCGATTCGCCTCGGAGGGCTTCGCAGTGTTTGGCATCGACTACGAGGGCCACGGCAAATCGGACGGCCCGAGATGCTCGTTCAGGTCCGCGGAGCATCTGGTGGACGACTGCTGCGCCTACTTCGCGGCCGTCAAGGCGAAGGCTGAATTCTCAGGGCTTCCATCGTTCGTGTACGGGGAGTCGCTGGGAGGCGCCATCGCAATGACCGTCGCACTGTAAGAAACCAGCAGCATCTCCTCCTTGCTCTTGTATCATGTGAAGTGAGCCATCCGATTCGTTCCGTTTATTTGTTGGAATGACAGTCTCTAGATCAGTCAACTTTATGTAAATTGTCAACATCATTCATCTTCAGTAGGTTGTAAGTTTTCGTAACTGTGTTGTGAGCCTCTGTACATGGTGTTTTCCTATGCTGTTTCTGTTTTCTCAGGCGTGATCCTGATAGCTGGACTGGGCTGATCATGGTGTCTCCCATGCTGCGCATCAAAGAGGAGCTGCAGCCCAGCTGGGCTGCACTGCAGGCTCTTCGAGTCCTTGCAACGATCATTCCCGACAGTGCCCTTGTACCCACCAAGGGTGACTTGATCCAGTGAGACTCTGTGCTGTTTCTCTGGCAAATTTCCTTCCTGCCTTAACTTGTTACACTGTCTGGCCATCACTTTCTTGGACCTACTTTTTACCTTCTGCACCTGTGCTCCTCTTTTTTTCTCTCTCTCTCTCTCTCCCCCGTCTTCCACCTCTTGTTTTTGTCCCATTGACCATCCAGTCTCTCGTTTCGGGATCCTGCAAAACTTGAAGTTGCAATCAAGAACCCACGCCGCTACTGTGGTAAACCACGCTTTGGTGTTGCCTTTGAGCTCCTGCGTTTCGCCGATGCTGTTACAGCCTCCATTCCAAACCTGCAGTTGCCATTCCTCATCATGCATGGGGGATCAGATGGTGTAACAGATCCAGACCAGTCCAGGGACTTGCATGAGAAGGCTCCAAGTAAACACAAGACAAGACGCTCCATATTTATCCGTCAGCTTGGCACCAGCTGCTGCAAGGCGAACCAGAGCCAGAGAGAGAGGAGGTGTGGAAGGATGTGCTGGCATGGCTGAAAGAGAAATCACAAGTTGAGTGAGCCATCATAGGTTGTTTATATGTCAATGGTTTTGAGTGCCTCAATTTCACTGTAGTAAATACAGCCAGAAACAACTCCCAACACCTCTCGCTAACATCTGAGCTACCGTACATCCCCATGCGAACGAGTTCAGCAGGGTGGTTCACAAAACCTGATCACGCTTCGACCATTCTCCAGTCACGGAAACTCCGTCTTTTGTTCGGAATCATGGCCACTACGCAGCCACTGGAAGCTACTGAGGAGGAACTCGACAGGATCCTCTTCGGAACGAGCGCAGCGGCCTATTACGAGCAGAATAAAGTGGTTCACTCCTCTGAATACATCACGAATTCGAGAAACATCCGCCTCTTTACGCAGTCATGGTTGCCTGGTGAGGATCACCATTGTTTGGATCGATAATCAGCTAGTAGCTCTGCATACGAGCTAGCACGTCTACTCATTCTCGCTTCGCTCTTGTTTGCTCCGTGCCTGATCAAAACAGTTCCTACCCATTCCCATTTTTCTCCCATGCTCTGCGTCTGCGTCCTCTGGACCTTCTCGTCGTTCAGCCGATCGCAAGCCGTCGGCCCTCCTTTTCTTCTGCCACGGCTACGCCAACTGCTGCAATTGGCTGATGCAGGCAAGGCACCCCCTCTCCGACCGATCTTCACAATTTGTTTCCTGAATCCGACTCTCCCGCCACGACCAGCTATTTTCCTTTCCACCTCATAACTTCTCTCCTGCGATCCTCACAGCTAACAGCCGTCCGATTCGCCTCGGAGGGCTTCGCAGTGTTCGGCATCGACTTCGAGGGTCATGGCAAATCGGACGGTTTGAGATGCTCGTTCAGGTCCGCGGAGCATCTGGTGGACGACTGTTGCGCTTACTTTGCATCTGTCAAGGCGAAGCCTGACTTCGCAGGGCTGCCGTCGTTCGTATACGGGGAGTCGCTGGGAGGTGCCATTGCCATGACCGTCGCACTGTAAGAAGCCAGCAGCACCTCCGCGTGATCTTTCTATCGGTCTGACCATGCCATTCGTTCCCTTCTCCCTTTCGTTCTGCAAGTGTCAGGCTTCAGACCGGTCAACAGCTGCTCAGTTCCTTCTCCTATTTGTTTTGAACGCCTGCTTATGGTGGTGTGTTACTTTTCCTGTTCTCAGGCGCGATCCCGACAGCTGGACTGGGCTGATCATGGTGTCTCCCATGCTGCGCATCAAGGAGGAGCTGCAGCCAAGCTGGCTTGCACAGCAGGTTCTTCGAGTCCTTGCAACGATCATCCCTGACAGTGCCTTCGTGGCCACTAAGGGAGACCTAATTCGGTGGGACAATGTGTTGTGTTGTTCTGGCAATTATCTTCCCGTCTTTCGGTCTTAACACTCTTTTGGGCATCATTCATCTTGCACTAGCTTCACATCTTCTTCAACTTTGCGACAATTTTTCTTTTCTCCATCCCTCCTCTCCCATGGACTATCCAGTCTCTCGTGTCGGGATCCTGCAAAACTTGAAGTTGCTCTCAAGAACCCACGCCGCTACAGTGGTAACCCACGCCTTGGTGTTGCCTTTGAGCTTCTGCGTTTCGCCGATGCTGTTACAGCCTCCATTCCAAACCTGCATTTGCCATTCCTCATTATGCATGGGGGATCAGATGGTGTAACAGATCCGGACCAGTCCAGAGACTTGCACGAGAAGGCTCCGAGTAAAGATAAGACGCTCCATATATATCCATCAGCTTGGCACCAGCTGCTGCAAGGCGAACCAGAGCCAGAGGGAGAAGAGGTGTGGAAGGATGTGCTGGCATGGCTGAAAGGGAAATCACAAGGGTGAATATAACAAAAACATGTTCAGTGAGCCATTTGTAAGTTGTTTTCATGTCAATTGTCTTCAAATTCACCGTAAGAGGTGAAGCAAAAATGACTTCTAAATCATCTGAAAATTCCAGACGAGCGATACAACTACATCTTAGAAGCACTCGGTGTACACATTCCATGGTAATGATAGCGGAGGTTCGGTTTTCCAGGCCATCCACCGAGCCTCCGCCGTTGACCAAGCTCTAAGCAAAGATCCAGAGAGTCTCGATGCATCCGAACCGTTCAGTAGCGCGGTAATCTTGGTCCTAAGCTCCTCTGGCAGCTACCTAGGCTCCGAAGGAGGCTCGCTACTCCCTAACCTAAGTGCACGTGGCGTCGGCTGATTGCCGAGGTCGAGAGATCAAGGTTCCTGAAGTATCCATCCTTTATGAAGGTTTCAGGACCTGACACAGCTCCCATTTCGTCGCTCACCTGTTTCTCTACTGCCCAGTCCTCCTCCAACTATCAAGGTGTGTTCCGACTCCTAAGTCAGTGCCAGGTTCAGTGGCTCTGCATTAGGTCCTCTTGTCTCCCATAAAGTTCTAGGCTCTTGTGATCTCTGCTTAATAGTGTCTCCCTGTTTACTTTACAGCTACTACTATCATAAAGATGGAGAAGGAGCGCGAGAACCACGTTTACCTTGCTAAGCTTGCGGAGCAAGCCGAGCGCTACGATGGTGAGTAAATGCAGAGCTAAGCACATGTCGCTCCCCTTGATGGTTTGTTTTATCTTCCTTAATTTCCGCGACTACAGATCTGTAGTGCTTTTTATAACACGATCATTTTTCCTCCTCAGAGATGGTTTCATCCATGAAGGATGTTGCCAAGCTCGACGTTGAGCTGTCCGTTGAGGAGCGCAACCTTCTCTCCGTTGGCTACAAGAACGTCATTGGAGCTCGCAGGGCTTCGTGGAGAATCATGTCTTCCATCGAGCAGAAGGTACAACCTGCGTATTTTGTAGCCAATCCTTCCATAGTGTCTTTATTTAGATCCCTGAAATTCTGTCTTCGTAGCTCCTCATCGTTCCGTTTTGTCCCATACGTTCAGGAGGAGAACAAGGGCAACGAGCAGAATGTGGCGAGGATCAAGGAGTACAGGTCCAAAATCGAGGCGGAGCTCTCCGATATCTGCCAAGACATCCTCAACATCATTGATAGCAATTTGATCCCCTCATCTGGCACTGGGGAGTCGAAGGTCTTCTATTACAAAATGTGCGCGTTCGTTTTGTTTCATGCCTAAGCAGGGTTGCTTTCAGTCCCTTATTTTACGCTTATCACGTCCTCTCTTTCAGGAAGGGTGACTACTACCGTTACCTCGCGGAGTTCAAAACCGGCGCTGACAGGAAGGAGGCTGCTGAGCAGTCTTTGAAGGCGTACGAGGAAGCTTCCAAGATCGCCACTGTCGATCTTGCACCAACCCACCCTATCCGCCTTGGCCTTGCCTTGAACTTCTCTGTGTTCTACTACGAAATTTTGAACTCACCAGAGAAGTACGTACTCTCTCTACTGTGCAGACATTTCCTCTTGTGAGGACTTGCTTCTAACACCTTGTTTCCGTTTGTCAGGGCATGCCAATTGGCCAAGCAAGCCTTCGACGAGGCTATTGCCGAGCTTGACACTCTGAGCGAGGAGTCCTACAAGGACAGCACCCTCATCATGCAGCTTCTCCGTGACAACCTGACACTCTGGACATCTGATCTCCAGGACGAAGCCGCTGCCAAGGACGAGCCTGGTGAGTAATGCGTCCAATGGAGTTGTGAACGGCAATCTAAGGTTTGTTCTGAATGGCAATCTAAGGTTTTGCTTTCTGTGATTTTGCAGCTGACGAGAAGAAGGATGAGAAGCCTGCTGACGAGTGATAGTCTATTCTGACCATCGCACTTCTTCACACTTAGCTAGCCTTGGCGAGGCGACCCATTCTCTTGTTTTTGTTCTTTTGTTCACCTCTTTACATAGTCTAGTTCAGTGCTTGTATTGAATCAGCTGTACAATCAATACTGGTGGAATATCCAAGGTGAAAGAATGCTTCAAACACAAACAAATGAGAACCATTCCATCCTCATTTCATGCCTGTTCAACGACGTGTTACTTTCTGAAACCTAACATTGCAAGCTACAAAATTGGGACTATTTTATGACTGTTCAGTGGTTTATTCATTGTCAATTGCATGGGCTAGTAAGGGTAATTAATAAACGAGGAGACACACTTGGGCTTTTAAAGCCCGGGTACAGCATGGTATTTTTCCAGTTCAAGATTCTTGAACTTGAAGTCGCAAAAAACAGGGTAACCCTCTTTGGTTTGAAACACAACTCGCGACCGAGGGAAAACCTCGGGCGACTCTCAATTCTGATTGGTTTCTGTGCAGTGTCGCATAAGAGATCCGACCATCGCCCACAATATTGCCGTGATCACCTCTCACATATCTTGAAGACCAAGTAGTACTCCTAGTCCGCCATGCCACTAAAGTAACTACGAAACGCGCGGCAGAGCGATATAAGCTAGCACAGGTAGTTGCGTTTCTTTCCGGCCAACTCTAGTCGCTCACACTGTCTGGCCCAGCACAACTACAGGCCAAACACGCGCTTACCGTACCGCTTTCTGTCAAACATATATGCTGCATATTGTCTAGGCTGTAGTGGGGTAGCCCATATGGGGTACAGCCCAATTAGGGTTTACTACTTGTACTCCTGCATGCTGCTAGTTCATCCATTCCTGCTGCTAGATTCTGACATGGTTTCAGAGCACTAAGGTCCGTAGGACCGTTTTTTTTTTTTCGGGCCCACCTACCGCTGCGGTTACCGCGCTACCCCACGTACCTGCCTGCCTTGCCTTGCCTTGTGACGTGCTGCACTATGTGCGCCGTCCAGCAGCCCTAGCGCTGCCTCCTGCTGCCCTAGGCCAGCGCGCTGCCCCTAGAGGCCCGTAAGGCCCACGCGCCGCCCCTAGAGGCCCGTAAGGCCCGCGCAGCCCGCTGCAGCCGCGCGCAGCCCGCACAGAGCCCGCGCAGCCCGCGCCGAGCCGCGCGCAGCCCGCACAGAGCCCACGCAGCCCGCGCCGAGCCGCGCACAGCCCGCTGCAGCCGCGCGCAGCCCGCACCGAGCCGCGCGCAGCCCGCTGCAGCCGCGCGCAGCCCGCAGCTGCCGCGCGCAGCCCGCGCCGAGCCCACGCAGCCCGCGTCGAGCCGCGCGCGGCCTGCTACGGCCTCGCGAGGCCCGCGCGCGGCCCGCAGCAGCCCGCGCCGAGCCGCGCGCGGCCTGCTACTGCCTCGCGCGGCCCGCGCGCGGCCCGCAACAGCCCGCGCCGAGCCGCGCGCGGCCCGCTACTGCCTAGCGCGGCCGCGCGCGGCCTGCAGCAGCTCAGCGCGCTGTCAGCGCAGCCCGCGCCGAGCCGCGCGCGGCCCTCTGCCTCGGCCACGACCTGCCGCTGATGCGGACCCGCCCTGCAGCTACCACGGCCCCGACCTGCCGCTGATGCGGCCCCGCCCTGCAGCTGCCACGGCCCCGACCTGCCGCTGATGCGGCCCCGCCCTGCAGCTGCCACGGCCCCGACCTGCCGCTGTCGTGCGCCTACTCGGCCGCCGCCCGTCGAGCGCCGGCCCTGCTCGCCCGGTGAGCGCCTGCTCTCCCAGCCTTTGGTGAGCGCCTGCCTGCCTGCCTGACGGCCTGCCTGTCTGCCTGCCTGCCTGCCGGCCTGGCTGCCTGCCTGCCTGCGCGACTGCCTGCCTGCCTGCCGGCCTGCCTGTCTGTCTGCTTGCCTGCCTGCCTGCCTGCCTGTCTGCCTGCCTGCCTGCCTGCCTGGCTGCCTGCCTACCTGCCGGCCTGCCTGCCTGCCTGCCTGCCTGCTTGCCTACCTGCCTGCCACGCCTGCCCTGCCCGCGCTACTGCTGCTACTGCTACTGGCAGGTGGCCAGATGCAGCTCCAGCGACGTTCACGCGAGCCTCTCACGCCCCAGCAGCTTAGTGAGTGGTATACTAGCTGGGGTTGTCGCAGTAGCCGTCGTAGCTGTCGCCCTGGAGCTGGTCAGTTGGGAGCGTCTGGCAGTGGCCAGCTGCAGCTGCAGGGGCGTCCACGTGAGACACTTACGCCCCGGCAGCTCCAGGAGTGGTACGCTCAGTGTAGCAGGTCTACGCGTACAGTTCGCTGCCCGTACGTCATTCGCACAGGTGCTAGGACTGGTCAGCCTTGTGGGACGCTTGGTCACACACAGTCCCGCTGCTTCGCCCGTCTGAGCGACGACTGGCGCACAGTGTTTGGCGACGAGGCTGAGCTCCCCACCTGGCTGGAGCTGCATGGACAGAGGGTAGATATCTTTGCGCTTGACTATGATGCTATTCTCACTGCCATGTATGCATTGCCTACTAGTGCTGATCGTGCCTGTTATCTGTGCGTACCGCCTGACCCTGGTGAGGCTGCTGCTCTAGGTGCTAGTGCGTCTCCTGCTCTAGGTGCTGGTGAGGCTGCTGCTCTCGGTGCTAGTACGTCTACTGCTCTAGGTACTGGTGAGGCCGTGGCTTCAGGTGCTGGTGAGTCTGCTCTCTCTGGTACTGCGCCAACTACGGTCTCGCACACCTTCACCCTTGACTCAGGAGCTTCTCGCTCCTTCTTTCGCGACTGCACCACACTCACGCCGCTTAGTCGGCCAGTTCCAGTCTCCCTGGCGGACCCCTCCGGGGGTCCAGTCCTTGCCCACTACTCCACGGTTCTGCCGTGTCCGGCCGTCCCGTCCGGCTCGCTGTCAGGTCTTTACCTCCCCTCGTTCTCTACGAACTTGGTGAGTGGAGCTGACCTCCAGGATCGGGAGGTTGACCAGTTCACTCCTGCGAGTCAGCGAGTGACTCACTGTACGTGTGCTAGGACGGGCCGGCACTTGGCCACGTTCACCCGTGCACCTGGCTCGAGTCTGTACACACTGACCACTGAGTCCCCTCAGGTAGCTGCGTCTGCGTCTACGTCTGGTCAGCTGGCGGCCCCCTGCGAGTGTCGCGCTTTGTCGCACGACACTCTCCTGTGGCACCACCGTCTTGGTCACCCCTCCTTGCCTCGCCTGCGTAGCATGCACTCTCGCTCCCTGGTCTCTGGTCTTCCCAGGTCTCTGCCTGCCCTCCCTCCCTCGCCTGCGCCGCCCTGCATTCCTTGCGTCGAGGGGCGGCAGCGCACCGCTCCTCACTCCTCCTCGTTTCCTCCCACAGAGGCTCCACTGCAGACGCTCCACCTGGACGTGTGGGGCCCAGCCCGCGTCCAGGGACAGGGCCGCGAGCGGTACTTCCTGCTGGTTGTCGACGACTACACGCGTTACACCACGGTCTTCCCCTTGCAGAGCAAGGGGGACGTCCCTGATGTTTTGATCCCTTGGATCCGCGCTGTTCGTCTCCAGCTCCGCGAGCGGTTCCGGCGGGACTTTCCTGTCCTGCGTCTGCACTCTGACAGAGGTGGTGAGTTCTCCTCTGACCTCTTGGCAGCCTACTGTGCGGAGCACGGCATCACCCAGTCGTTCACGCTTCCGGCCTCTCCACAGCAGAATGGGGTTGCTGAGCGTCGCATTGGCTTAGTCATGAAGGTCGCTCGTACCTCCATGATCCATGCGGCTGCCCCCCATTTCCTGTGGCCGTTTGCGGTCCGGTACGCCGCGCATCAGCTCAACCTCTGGCCCCGTGTCTCCTTGCCGGAGACCTCGCCCACACTGCTGTGGACGGGGAAGGTTGGTGATGCGTCGCGTTTCCGGGTCTGGGGTGCTCGTGCCTTTGTCCGCGATACCACCGCGGACAAGCTCTCCGCCCGCGCTGTTCCCTGTGTCTTCCTTGGCTTTGTCCCTGACGCGCCTGGTTGGCAGTTTTACCATCCCACCTCGCGCCGTGTCTTTGCGTCTCAGGACGTCACGTTCGACGAGTCGGTTCCCTTTTACCGTCTCTTCCCCTACCGCACTGCCCCGCTCCCCCCCCCCGCCGCTCTTCCTCGCTCCAGGTGCTCCCCAGGTAGACCCCCTCCCCACTCCTGGTCCTGCTCCTTCAGGTGTTTCTCAGGTAGACCCTCCTCCCTTGACTGCGCCGGTTGAGGTCACTGGTGACTCAGGTCCTACTGAGGGTGGTCCTTCTCGGGGTGCTACTTCTAGGGGTGCTGAGCCTGGGGGTGCGGAGCCTGGGGGTGCTGAGCCTGGGGGTGCTGAGCCTGAGGGTGCGGAGCTTGAGGGTGTGGAGCCTGGTGGTGCTGAGCCTGAGTGTGAGGGGTCTGGGGGTGCTGAGCTTGGCGGTACTGACGCTGGAGGTTCTGGAGCTACTGAGGGTGCTGGCGCTGGAGGTTCGGGAGCTGCTGGAGGGCCTAGTACTGGTGGCGCTGGAGCTGGAGGTTCTGGAGCTGCTGAGGGTGCTGGAGCCGCAGGAGGTACTGGTGCTTAGGGTACTGACACCGGAGGTTCTGGAGCCGTTGGGGGTGCGGGCGCTGAGGGTTCTGAGTCTGCTGTTGCGCGGTCTCCTTGGAGTAGCCGCCTTCGTCCACGTGTGCCTCTCACCCCACAGCAGCTGCAGGACTGGTACGGTCGCCGTCAGCGTCGCGCTGCTGGAGCTAGGAGTGGTGCTGGTCCTTTGTCTACTGGAGGTGCTGGAGTCGCTGGTTCTGGAGGTGCTCGTGCTGGAGACACTGAGGCTGGAGACCCTGGGACTGGAGGTGCTGGTTCTGGGGGTGCTGCTGCTGGAGACACTGAGGCTGGAGACCCTGGGACTGGAGGTGCTGGGTCTGGGGGTGCTGCTGCTGGAGACACAGAGGTTGGAGACCCTGGGACTGGGGGTGTCGGCTCTGGGACTGGAGCTTCTGGAGCTGCTGGAGGTACGGGAGCTGCTGGAGGTACTGGAGCTGCTGGAGGCACTGGAGCTGCTGGAGCTGCCGGTACTGGTGCAGCTGCGCCGACACGACTGTTCTTCGCTCCGCCGTCTCCGTCGTCTCTGCCGCCGCCTGACTCTGCTCTTCGTCAGGTTGTTACTCTCCCGTCGTCTACTGGTCTTCCGTTACAGACTGGCTCACCGCTACCTGCTCCCTCTCCTTACACTGAGCAGACAGGCAGTCCTGCTACGCGTCGTGAGCCTGCGTCGCGTCCTGTCTCGCCTGTTCGTTCTGGTCGTACCGTTCGTCGTGTCGCTCGTGCGCGTCAGCCGGCTGTCCCCAGCGCACACCTTGTTGTCCGTCGTCCTTCCTCTGCTCCGCAGCCTGTTCCTCTGCCGTCTCCCCCTGCGTCCTCTCTGCCTGCCGTTCCGGACCCTGAGTCTGACCGATTTCGTGCTGAGCACCCTACTGTCACGCGTCTCCTAGCCACTGTTGTCACTGACCCGTCGTTTGAGTCTACTGCTGCGTCTGCCTTGGTCGCTGAGCTTGTTGACTTTGCTGCTGCCTGTCGTCTAGACTACGCCGCCAGTCTTGTTGCTGAGTCTGAGTCTGTCTGTCCTCCGTCCGTCGGGGGTGAGTGTGCTCTTAGCACGGACGTCCTTGAGGACAGGCAGGAGGAGTTCCAGTGTCTTGCTGCTGCTTTACCTCATCTTGTGTCCTCGCTACTTGCCCCTGAGGGAGACCCGGATGCACCAGACATCCCGACTCCGCGCTCTTACGCAGAGGCGATAGAGGGTCCCTACTCCTCTTAGTGGCAGGCAGCCATGGACGCAGAGATGGCTTCCTGGAAGTCCACAGGCACCTACGTTGACGAGGTTCCCCCACCTGGGGCGAACATTGTCAGTGGCATGTGGATTTTCAGGGTGAAGCGGCCGCCGGGTTCTCCGCCTGTCTTCAAGGCGCGTTACGTGGCTCGAGGCTTCAGTCAGCGAGAGGGAGTTGACTTCTTCCAGACCTTCTCCCCCACCCCGAAGATGACCACTCTTCGGGTGCTGCTGCATGTTGCTGCTCACCGTGACTACGAGCTTCACTCTCTTGACTTCAGCACAACTTTCTTGCAGGGCAGCCTGCACGAGGAGATCTGGCTGCGCCGCCCCCCGGGCTTCACTGGGTCGTTCCCTCCTGGCACCCAGTGGAGCCTCCGACGGCCGGTCTACGGTCTCCGCCAGGCGCCACGTGAGTGGCACGACACACTGAGGACTACGCTTGCGGCTCTTGGGTTCGCGCCTTCTACTGCTGACCCGTCGCTGTTTCTGCGCACCGACACTTCACTGCCGCCGTTCTACATCCTCGTGTACGTCGACGACTTGGTTTTTGCCACTGCTGACACTGAGGCTCTCGCCCACGTGAAGTCGGAGCTGCAGAAGAGACACACGTGCACAGACTTGGGCGAGCTGCGCAGCTACCTTGGCTTGCAGATCACCTGGGACAGAGCACGCCGCACCATCACCTTGACTCAGTCACACATGGTGCAGCAGGTCCTTCAGCGCTTCGGCTTCACCTGGTCTTCAGCACAGGCCACTCCTCTGGCTACAGGTCACACGCTCTCAGCTCCACCTTCGAACGAGTCCGTAGAGCCGAGTGGTCCTTACTCAGAGCTAGTCGGCTGCCTCATGTACCTGATGACTTGCACTCGACCTGACCTCGCGTACCCTCTTGGTCTTCTGGCTCGCTACGTGGCTCCTGGTCGGCACCGACCTGAGCACATGGCTGCTGCTAAGAGGGTACTGCGCTACTTGTGCAGCACATCAGGCATGGGGCTAGTGCTTGGAGGGACGAGCCCAGTTGTCCTCACTGGGCACTCAGACGCTTCTTGGGTTGACGACCAGGCTACTCAGCGGTCGTCACAGGGTTACACCTTCAGCCTTGGCTCTGGTTCAGTTTCGTGGCGTTCTACACGCTCGTCTTCAGTTCTCAGCTCCAGTTGTGAGGCTGAGATCTACGCCACAGCCATGGCTGCACAGGAGTTACGCTGGCTCACCTACCTGCTGACTGACTTGGGAGAGCAGCCTCGTTCTCCTCCAGTGCTGTACGTCGACAACAAGGCCGCCATTGCCTTGTGTGAGGAGCACAGACTGGAGCACAGAACGAAGCACATTGCTCTGCGTTACTTCCTGGCTCGAGAGTTGCAGCAGCGAGGCCAGCTTCGTCTTCGTCACGTGGCCACTCGGGCCAACACTGCTGATATATTCACCAAGGCACTTCCGTCTGGTGATCATCAGCGCTTTTGTACCCTGTTAGGCCTTGTGCCTACGTTTCCACACTTGCTGTGGTCTCTGCTTGTACTGTGATCTATATATATACATGCATGCCTGCTCTTGCTAGGTAGTCATCACTGTACTGTTATTGTTGCATATATATCTCTGCATGTGGACTGGCCTTGTGGCCCTTTGCTTGTGCTCAGAATGTGTGGTGACGTTGAGATCCACCCTGAGCTTGCTTTGCTTCTCTTGACTGGTCGTTTGACCCCTTGTTCTCCCCCACTTTGCCTATGGGGGTGTGTCAAACATATATGCTGCATATTGTCTAGGCTGTAGTGGGGTAGCCCATATGGGGTACAGCCCAATTAGGGTTAACTACTTGTACTCCTGCATGCTGCTAGTTCATCCATTCCTGCTGCTAGATTCTGACACTTTCGCATTCCATACACTACATCCGTAGTAGCGCGCGACGCGCCATGCTCGTAAATGGCATGAGTTGCCACCCTAAACAGTTTTAGGATGTGGAGTGCGGGTTGCACTCGGGCGGCGCGCGTTCAAGCGACCCCAGGGTTTCTGCTTGCCGCGCACACTTTATCATGTCACGATATATACCATTCGTCGCCACGCTTCCCACCGTCCCGCGCTTCTCCTCGTCGCACGCGCGCACGTCTCCTCGTCGCCCGCAAGGCCTTTCCACGTCGCGACAAGTCAGCTTCTCCTCGTCAAGCAACGCGCATCTCCTCGTCGCCCCCGGGTCTTCATTTCGCCAACGCTTATACTCGTCGTCCTCGCCCCTTTAGTTCGCCCACGCTTCTCCCCGTCGCCCCCGCCTCTATATTTCGCACGCGCTTCTCCTCGTCGCCCCCGCCTCTATATTTCGCACGCGCTTCTCCTCGTCGCCCCCGGGTCTTCATTTCGCCAACGCTTATACTCGTCGTCCCAGCCCCTTTAGTTCGCCCAACCTTCTCCCCGTCGCCCCCGCCTCTATATTTCGCACGCGCTACTCCTCGTCGCCCCCGCCTCTATATTTCGCACGCGCTACTCCTCGTCGCCCCCGCCTCTATATTTCGCACGCGCTTCTCCTCGTCGCCCCCGCCTCTTGATTTCGCGCAAGCTTCCCCGTACCCGCCTCCATCCCCCCCATATACTATTCCCTACGGTAACCTCCGTCCACCCTCTATCCCTTCCTCCCTCCATCCCTCCCTCTTCCCTCTCTTCCTCTCTCCCTCTCTTCCGTTTCTACCTTTATTCCTCTGTCCCTCTCTCCCTCTCCATCTCTTCCCTTTCTCGCTCTCTTGCCTTCCTCCCTCTCTTCCCTCTCCCCCGCCCTTTTTAGCTATCTAGCCCATTCCCTAATAACGACTTTCCGTCTTGCCCTCTCCCTTCTTCCGTCTCTCCCTCACTTTCTCCCTCTTCCTCTTGGACTCTCTGCACTCCTTCCTTCCCACCCCTCTCTCTCTCTCTCCTTCCTTCCCGCAGTCAGAGGTTGAAGGACAAGGGGGAGAGGGGAAGGACAGAGGGGGAGAGACACAGAGGGATTGCACAGGGTGGCGGACATAAGGGGATAGACAGAGTTTGAAGGACACATGGGGAGACAGAACAGTTTGGGCTGACGCAGTGTGAGAGACCCAGGGGGAAGGACAGTGGTGCGGCATGAACGAAGGGGAAGGACGGAGGGGGAAAACAGAGGGGGAGGGACAGAGAGGGAGAGACAAAAGTGGAGATTGTAAACACAGAATCGCACCCTTTCTCCTACCAGCTCGGTTTACCCCCCAACCTATTTTCCTTTGCCTCAGGTGCCACTTCCCCCCCCTCCTCCATGCTTCCCCCATCCCTCCTCCCTGCTTCCCCCCTCCCTCCTCCTTGCTTCCACCCTCCCTCCAACTCTGCTTTCTCCTCCCTCGTAAATAGCTTTCCCCCTCCCTCCTCCCTGCTTGCCCCCTCCCTCCGCCCTGCTTGCCCCCTCCCTCAGAGAGGTGGGCGTCACACATCAGGTGAGCATTGGCTTTCCTCATATGCCCCTCCCCGTATCACTATCTTATCATCTCTCCAGTCCCTCCCCCATGTGCCTCTCCTCTCCCTCCCATGCACCCCTCCTCTCTCGTGCACACCCTTTGCCTCTCCGCTCCCTCCTGTTCCTGCTGCAAACCCTCTCACCTGCCAGTAGCACGACCGAGAAGCCTTGCAGAGGGACTACAGCAATGTGCGATGCATGAGTCTGTTGCGCTTCCTAGTGGACCATCTCTTCCCTCCATCGTTATCTATCGGCCTCATGGGTTTGCATCGCCCACCACACACCACCCGCCTTCCCCCCTCATAGCCACGGCCATATCCCCCCACACACCACCCGCCTTCCCCCCTCATAACCACCTCCATATCCCCCCACACACCACCCGCCTTCCCCCCTCATAGCCACCTCCATATCCCCCCACACACCACCCGCCTTCCCCCCTCATAGCCACCTCCACAGCCCCCCACACACCACCCGCCTTCCCCCCTCATAGCTACCTCCATATCCCCCCACACACCACCCGCCTTCCCCCCTCATAGCTACCTCCATACCCCCCCAAACACCACCCGCCTTCCCCCCTCATAGCCACCTCCATATCCCCCCACACACCACCCGCCTTCCCCCCTCATAGCCACCTCCACAGCCCCCCACACACCACCCGCCTTCCCCCCTCATAGCCACCTCCATATCCCCCCACACACCACCCGCCTTCCCCCCTCATAGCTACCTCCATATCCCCCCACACACCACCCGCCTTCCCCCCTCATAGCTACCTCCATACCCCCCCAAACACCACCCGCCTTCCCCCCTCATAGCCACCTCCATAGCCCCCCACACACCACCCGCCTTTCCCCCTCATAGCCACCTCCATATCCCCCCACACACCACCCGCCTTCCCCCCTCATAGCTACCTCCATATCCCCCCACACACCACCCGCCTTCCCCCCTCATAGCCACCTCCACAGCCCCCCACACACCACCCGCCTTCCCCCCTCATAGCCACCTCCATATCCCCCCACACACCACCCGCCTTCCCCCCTCATAGCTACCTCCATATCCCCCCACACACCACCCGCCTTCCCCCCTCATAGCTACCTCCATACCCCCCCAAACACCACCCGCCTTCCCCCCTCATAGCCACCTCCATAGCCCCCCACACACCACCCGCCTTCCCCCCTCATAGCCACCTCCATAGCCCCCCACACACCACCCGCCTTCCCCCCTCATAGCCACCTCCATATCCCCCCACACACCACCCGCCTTCCCCCCTCATAGCTACCTCCACAGCCCCCCACACACCACCCGCCTTCCCCCCTCATAGCCACCTCCACAGCCCCCCACACACCACCCGCCTTCCCCCCTCATAGCCACCTCCACAGCCCCCCACACACCACCCGCCTTCCCCCCTCATAGCTACCTCCATATCCCCCCACACACCACCCGCCTTCCCCCCTCATAGCTACCTCCATACCCCCCCAAACACCACCCGCCTTCCCCCCTCATAGCCACCTCCATAGCCCCCCACACACCACCCGCCTTCCCCCCTCATAGCCACCTCCATATCCCCCCACACACCACCCGCCTTCCCCCCTCATAGCTACCTCCACAGCCCCCCACACACCACCCGCCTTCCCCCCTCATAGCCACCTCCACAGCCCCCCACACACCACCCGCCTTCCCCCCTCATAGCTACCTCCATATCCCCCCACACACCACCCGCCTTCCCCCCTCATAGCTACCTCCATATCCCCCCACACACCACCCGCCTTCCCCCCTCATAGCTACCTCCATATCCCCCCACACACCACCCGCCTTCCCCCCTCATAGCTACCTCCATACCCCCCCAAACACCACCCGCCTTCCCCCCTCATAGCCACCTCCATAGCCCCCCACACACCACCCGCCTTCCCCCCTCATAGCCACCTCCATATCCCCCCACACACCACCCGCCTTCCCCCCTCATAGCCACCTCCACAGCCCCCCACACACCACCCGCCTTCCCCCCTCATAGCTACCTCCACAGCCCCCCACACACCACCCGCCTTCCCCCCTCATACCTACCTCCACAGCCCCCCACACACCACCCGCCTTCCACCCTCATACCCACCTCCACAGCCCCCCACACACCACCCGCCTTCCCCCCTCATAGCCACCCGCTTCATCCGCCTCTTCCACCTCCCCAACCACCACCTCTTCCTGCACGTCTCCCCTCATCAGTACAGCGATCCAGGTAATGATCGGTTTGGTGTGGTGTGGTGATGCGTGGTGTATAGAGGTGTCGTATGGTTGGGAGAAGGGCGAAGAAATGCTCAGTCAGGGAGTGGTGAAGGTCATCACAAACACCAGGTACCATTACGGTTGGTGATGCTGTGATAGCGTGATGCTGTGATGCTGTGATGCTGTGATTCTGTGATTCTGTGATGCTGTGATTCTGTGATGCTGTGATTCTGTGATGCTGTGATTCTTTGATGCTGTGATTCTCTGATGCTGTGATTCTGTGATTCTGTGATTCTGTGATGCTGTGATTCTGTGATGCTGTGATTCTGTGATGCTGTGATTCTGTGATGCTGTGATTCTGTGATGCTGTGATTCTGTGATGCTGTGATGCTGTGATGCTGTGATTCTGTGATGCTGTGATGCTGTGATGCTGTGATTCTGTGATGCTGTGATGCTGTGATGCCGTGATGCCGTGATTCTGTGATTCTGTAATGCTGCCTTGATGTTGTGATGCTGTGATTCTGTGATTCTGTGATGCTGTGATTCTGTGATGCTGTGATTCTGTGATGCTGTGATTCTTTGATGCTGTGATTCTCTGATGCTGTGATTCTGTGATTCTGTGATTCTGTGATGCTGTGATTCTGTGATGCTGTGATTCTGTGATGCTGTGATTCTGTGATGCTGTGATTCTGTGATGCTGTGATGCTGTGATGCTGTGATTCTGTGATGCTGTGATGCTGTGATGCCGTGATTCTGTGATTCTGTAATGCTGCCTTGATGTTGTGATGCTGTGATTCTGTGATTCTGTGATGTTGTGATTCTATGATGCTGTGATTCTTTGATGCTGTGATTCTCTGATGCTGTGATTCTGTGGGGCTGTGATTCTGTGATGCTGTGATTCTGTGATGCTGTGATTCTGTGATGCTGTGATTCTGTGATGCTGTGATTCTGTGATGCTGTGATTCTGTGATGCTGTGATTCTGTGATGCTGTGATGCTGTGATGCTGTGATTCTGTGATGCTGTGATCCCGTGATGCTGTGATTCTGTGATGCTGTGATTCTGTGATGCTGTGATTCTTTGATGCTGTGATTCTCTGATGCTGTGATTCTGTGGGGCTGTGATTCTGTGATGCTGTGATTCTGTGATGCTGTGATTCTGTGATGCTGTGATTCTGTGATGCTGTGATGCTGTGATTCTGTGATTCTGTGATGCTGTGATGCTGTGATTCTGTGATGCTGTGATGCTGTGATGCTGTGATTCTGTGATTCTGTGATGCTGTGATTCTGTGATGCTGTGATTCTGTGATGCTGTGATTCTGTGATGCTGTGATTCTGTGATGCTGTGATGCTGTGATTCTGTGATGCTGTGATGCTGTGATTCTGTGATTCTGTGATGCTGTGATGCTGTGATTCTGTGATGCTGTGATTCTGTGATGCTGTGATTCTGTGATGCTGTGATTCTGTGATGCTGTGATGCTGTGATTCTGTGATGCTGTGATTCTGTGATGCTGTGATTCTGTGATGCTGTGATTCTGTGATGCTGTGATTCTGTGATGCTGTGAATGATGAGCTGGTTTGATGGTTTTATGCTGAAGCCATATCTCAGAACCCTTGTATTTCCCGCTTGCCATTCCACCCAGCCACGCCTCTCCCACACCCCCCCACCTCCTGTTTCTGTGCCCCGCTTCTCCACACGCACCCACTGCCATCCCCCCTTCCCTCCAGGTCCCTCTTTCTTCCTCTACCTTCCCCCGAACCCACTCAGGATCTGAGTGCGTCAGCCAGCAGCAGCACTGTAGTGCTGTTGAGAGAGGTTCTGATCTACACCCGGCCGCTCGTCCCTTCCATCCCCGACCATATCCTTCTCCCCCACACAGATCCGTGCCCCACCATCATCTCTCCCCTAGCTCACCCAACCCACTCAGGAAATTTGAGCGCTTGTAAGCAGCAGCCGGTGCTGATGTTCAGGGAGGTGGGTCCAGATGACCTGCCGCTCTAAGAGAAGCATGGTATTCCCATGTTTATGCGTACAGAAGCATGAGGAGCAAACCTTCACGCAGATAGAGACTGCACTGACTGCTAGAGGGGTTGGCATTAGTATAACTTGTCGTATGCATGGGCGACCGGCGCCAGTTCACAGGGCTAATTTGGGGTCGCACGTGTAACTGCCTAAATTGTATATTGCAACTATAATATGTGCAAGCGGCCCTTCATGCTGTCGCTATGCAGATTGCATCAAGCTTATTACCATCCTATCACATATAGGTTTAGGCTAGAACGGCAAGGTCCAATAAAACACCTCAAGCATGGCATGTTCAAGACCACAACAGCGAAGTGGTGATGTAACACAAAGCATTCACTCATCCTGACCTGCCACCCACACCTCCACCTCCTCTCCGTCATAGCGGCCTTCTACCCACCACTCATCACTATTGTCGCTCCACTCTTCCACATCCGATGAGGTTTCAGCCACATCCCTCTCACAGTGGTAACCTGCAATCATCGCCAATGAGAAGGATGATAAGCCATATTTGCTGGTGGTGAGCCTGTCACTAAACCTAATCTCATCTCGCTCACCACGGCAGGGCATGGCAGAGGTAGGGCCTGCCTGGGGTGGGGGGGGACAAGGGCGGGGCGGAGCCTGACAGGGCAGGGCAGGGCATGGTATGACATGTATGTATGGAGCAAACCAGGGTGGGGCGGGCCATAACAAGGCAGCGCCGGGCATGGCCCCTCTAGGCAGGGCATGACCTGCATAGAGGTTGCAGACAAGGGCGGGACGGGGCAGTACAGGCCAGGGCAGGGAAGGGCATAACAGGGCAACTCATGTCCTGGGAGCAAACCAGGGTTTAGGCGGGCCTGCACAAAGCAGGGCATGGCATGGCCCCTCTAGGCATGGCATGGAACGCACATAGAGTGCAGACAAGGTTGTGAATGGGGCAAGACAGGGCAGGGAAGTGCGGGGAATGGCATGACAGGGCACACGAACATGGAAATGGCCGCCCATGTCCTGGGATGGCATTGCAAGATTAGAAAGAGCACACAATGGCGTTGCGTGCTTGGTCATGGAAGTGCATGGCATGGCATGCTTAGCGATAGCAAACAAGGATGGGATGTGGGGGCCAGGACACGACAGGCACCAAGCATGGCATGGCTTTATGGCTGTACCGATTCTAGATGCGCTTTGACATAGGGCGTGGGGTGTTAATCAAATACCTTGGGGGGTGTGGATTGTTGTGGTAGGCGACATTGTGGTTATGTGTGATGCCGAGCAAGCCTCGCGAGGGTTTGACAGCTCGCTAGATGTTCGCCTCAAACGTTTAGCGGGGGAGGTTCGACACATCACCTACAAACAACATAAAGAGGGAGCGAAAAACGCGGATTGGTGATCATCTTACGCTGGATGGCATGTTGACGACATGACTAAGAGCCATGTACCGATTCAATGACACCATTCACTTTGCGCCCCCGCTGCTTACCCAAACGACGGCGTGCGGATCCACGAGACGTGCCGCACTCTCGACGCCCCATCCCGCCTTGGCGCACTGGTGTCTCGGGCTGCAGTACGGATGCCGTGGGTCGTGCGATCGAAGCCTCGACCGGTTGCGCAGGCGTCGCTGAGGTGTCCGGCGTCCCTTCAACATCTACACTATCTCCAAATCGCAGTGATCGTTGCCATTCTCCCATGATGCGATCAACCCAGCCCCAATCCATCGGGGTCAAGATGCGCTCCTTGGATCCGCGTCGGATCCTCATCACCTGCCGGACTCTCGTGCGATATGCGGTCACCAGACGATCCATGCCGTGATTCCAATGAAGAACCGCGAGACCGACTCGTGCCGGAAAACTGCCCTGAAACCTGATCCGCTTTGGTGCGTACTTGATGATCAAAGAATGAAACGACTCGTTGAGTGAACTCGATGCACCATGCACAAACGATTCCACCTTCTCAGGGCTTAAGTGCTTGGAGAACCACTCACGAACCGCCTTGTGTGTCGATGACCCAAACTCGTAAATGGCATGGTCCTTGCCCCACCCCTCTCTGACGCAGCGAGGTGGGGTATCTCCTACCCCACCACATCCGGAGTGGTCACCTGCCCAGTGGTTGGGTGGGCTCCCAAGCTCCCTCGCCACGTCAGCAGGGGTCATAGGATGCCCCTCTTTCTTCATCGCACCACATCGCATCATCACGTGATAGAAATGGGAGGATAAGCGTTGTGCCACAGTTTGTTCTTCCTTGCCAGAATCGATCTGGTCTTCACCTCGTTTACGCTTTCGGCGACCAGTCCACCGAGGTAGTGTCTCGGGCTCGCTGAACGCATTCGGGTTCTGCACTTCGGTATCAGCTCCGCCTCCATCAAGCGCATCTGTGAATGTTAGAAAATGAAAGCCAAGATTTGAGTATGAAGATGCACTTTGATCAAGCATGCTCAAAACTTGGGTAGAGGGTGCTCGCATACCGGTCCCAGTGTCTAGGCTGGGCCAAGGAGTGGATCCACCGATGAAATGGGAGTTTCCGTTCGCGCCCGCGTGCGCAAGCATGATGAGGGTGCTCGCCAAAGATGCCGGTCGCGCACCCTGCGTCGGGTGCACATCATAACTCCATAGCTCCTCCATGTCCTCCCACTGCACGTCAACGTTCCACTCCTCCCGTGTTGGCACGTCCACGGCGGGCCGCTCGGCTCCCTCGTCCCGCTCCCGCGCATCAGCATCAGAAGCACCCGGCACCTCACCATAATTCACAGGCACCTCCACCGTACTACACCCCCCCCCCCCATCCGCACCACCTTTCTTAGCTCAGGAAACTTCCATTTCGCCTCTTCCGGGGTCATCTTTTTGTAAACAATCGTGCCCATGGCTTCACAAACTGCTTTCACCAAAGCCTCTTTCAAAGAAGCTTTCGCCTGCTCCGCCAACCCCCGTGCTGTCAGCCATTCCCGTAGCCCTGCGATAGTCGCATGCCAGAGATCCTCAATGCAGCTCGCATTGTCCACCGCCACTGGTGCACGGACCGCATCCTGGAGTTCTTTCAGAAACAACTTGTACAGAGTCCGCTTCACATGCCACCAGTCCACCTGGTGGTTCAATCCCCTTTCCGACGCAGCGCCACGAAAAGTAGTCCCTTGGTCGGAGATGATCCCCTCCACCACAAATCCTTTCTGCGCCAGTTCATCTAACCCTTTATCGAAAGCCACCCTTTCCAGCCGCACCGCAGAAGTGTCGTCCACCTCTTTTCGTGTCGTGGCACAGTACATTATCTTCCTAGACGGTAAATCTAGGAACGATACTGTACACCACTCTCCCTCACGAACATGTGACCATCGACCATCGACCACCACATATTCTGTAGGAACTTCTCGCTTCATCATCTCCTCTCGTACAGCAGCCATAGACTTGTCAGCTTCTCGCAGAATAGCATTCCATAGCCCATTATCATCACCAAGGTACTTGTAAAAAGTACCCTTCCCCGGTGCTGGCAAGCCAAAGTTGCGACAAAACTCCCACATTTGCTGGTACCCCATTCCGGCTAGAGCGAATGCACCAACTAAATTTTGACTGTAGAATCGGAGAACGCGCGCCTACACCGGTCTGTGCTTTCTCTATACGCCGACTCGGACATGTCCAGAACTCTACACCATACGAGCATGTGTCACATCTCCAAAACATGCCGATCGAGGCCCATGAGAATTTCCATGATCGTAAGGTCATCCCCTCACTACACGCGCGCTCATGTGAACACACCAATCGACACCCTTGGAAGAACCCAACCAACTGTCGTGGCTCGACAAGACATACCCGCTGCTTGTCGATGTCATCCACACTCGGAGCAGAAGGCCAGTGCCTAGGGACACTCCCACGCCCGACTGCCCGTCGGTGGCTGTTGGCAGGCCTATATGACATGAAAGGCGGGGGAGGGTTGGACATGGGTACAATAACATGTAAGTTAGTGCACTATGAAACGAAGTATGCATAAAGCCCCACCCATTAATCTTACCCCTGCCCTGGCCGTTCTGGAGTCGTCGTCGAGCACGGTGTGGGCGCAGCCACCTCAGTATCTCCACGAGCTATGGCTACGCCCTCATCAGCATCCATGCCTGCTCCCTCCACAATCCCCACGTCTGGCGCATCCGACGCTTCGGTCCTCACGACGTTGCCACCCCCTCCATGGTTAGCCCCTGTATCATATTGGGCATGATGAATGGAAGACGGTCATTACTCAAATACGATACAAGCACACGTCATATTCGTCTTCCAGATCTCACCTGAATTGCGCATCGCCGCAAATGCCGCGCCACGTCTAGCCCCTCCCCATGATCGACCGGAAACCTGTCGCAGTCTTCCGCGATCATCGTACTGCACCAGCGGGAAAGAATACCTCAGCCCAGCCAGAACTCGATTAGGCCGTTTCTGCAAGTCAGCGACGTGCTCGATACTTCCATTTGCGTGTTCCTTGAAGATACGACCGTACTCCTTTCGGTGCCTCTCCACAATCACGCCGGTTTGTGTGTCGTTTGCAGCAGGATCTGTAAAGCAGAGAATGCACAGGCATGTGATACATTTCACTAGTGTAACACCTCCAACGTGAAGATTCCCAACAGTGTATATCATCACACTTAAAACGCCCGCCCAAATCCCTCAGATTTACCTACTGCAAGGCCCGCCTCAATAAGTCGCTTGGTCGCTTGAGGTGCTGACTCCGCCAAGAAATGTATCACATCATCCGTCGTCGCCATGTTGTTCCCGAAGTACAAAGCCGAGAGCCCCACGCGGAGCACGCACAGAAATGGCCGCATGTGGACCGAAATGTTGACCGTCCCTCGTTGGGCATCTTTACATGCTTGTATTACAGGATGCACTCCGGTCCCTAAACCCTCAGGTGCCATTTGGAAGCCTGTCCACACATACCCCAAGGAGAGAGTGAGAGGTTGGTGGTCCGGGGTGGGCAAGGCTGAGTCAATGTTTGCATGATCTTTGGATCGTGAGAAATGCGCAAAAGAACGACAAGCAACACCAATTATGGAAGATGTGCCTTGGTTGTGGGCTGGTGAGTGCATGCAAGTGCAAGCAGGCCCAAGGCAGCAACAACAAGTGCTTGCTGTGCCTTGGGCGTGGGCTGGTGAGTGCATGCACGTGCAAGCAGGCCCAAGGCAGCAGCAACAAGAGTTGCTAAGCCTTGGGCGTGGGCTGGTGTGTTCATGCAATTGGATGCTGGCCCAAGGCAGCGGCAACCATAGTTGCTTTGCCTTGAGTGTGGGCTGGTGTGTGCATGCAAGTGCATGCTGGCCCAAGGCAGCAGTAAAAAGAGTTGCTGTGCCTTGGATTCGGGCTGGTGTGTACATGCAAGTGCATGCTGGCCCATGGCAGCAGCAACCAGTGCTTGCTGTGCCTTGGGCGAGGGCTGGTGAGTGCATGCAAGTGCATGCAGGCCCAAGGCAGCAGCAACAAGAGTTGCTTTGCCTTGGGCGTGGGCTGGTGTGTGCATGCAAGTGCATGCAGGCCCAAGGCAGCAGCAACAAGTGCTTGCTGTGCCTTGGGCGAGGGCTGGTGAGATGAGCGTGATAGGACCGGCAAAGGCAGCAGCAACCACTGTTGATGGTTGATGCTGCCTTTGCCTCGGACACGTGAGCATTATAGGACGGGCAAAGGCAGCAGCAACCCTCGTTGATGGTTGATGCTGCCTTTGCCTCGGACACGTGAGCGTGATAGGACCGGCAAAGGCAGCAGCAATGCTGTTGATGGTTGCTGCTGCCTTTGCCTCGGACACGTGAGCATTTTGGACGGGCAAAGGCAGCAGCAACCATTGTTGATGGTTGATGGTGCCTTTGCCTCGGACACGTGAGCGTGATAGGACCGGCAAAGGCAGCAGCCCCCATTGTTGATGGTTGCTGCTGCCGTTGCCTCGAGCATGATAGGAGGGGCAAAGGCAGCAGCATCACATTGTTCATGGTCGCTGCTGCCTTTGCCTCGGACACACGAGTTTCATAGGTCCAGCAAGGCAAAGGCAGCAGCAACCATTGTTGATGGTCGCTGGTGCCTTTGCCTCGGTCACATGAGCGTGATAGGACCGGCAACGGCAGCAGCAACCATTGTTGATGGTTGCTGCTGCCTGTGCCTCAAGCATGATAGGAGGGGCAAAGGCAGCAGCATCACATTGTTCATGGTCGCTGCTGCCTTTGCCTCGGACACACGAGTGTGATAGGTCCGGCAAGGCAAAGGCAGCAGCAACCATTGTTGATGGTCACTGCAGCCTTTGCCTCGAACACGTGAGCGTGATAGGACCGGCAAAGGCAGCAGCAACCCTCGTAGATGGTCGCTGGTGCCTTTGCCTCGGTCACATTGAGCGTGATAGGACCGGCAAAGGCAGCAGCAACCACTGTTGATGGTTGATGCTGCCTTTGCCTCGGACACGTGAGCGTGATAGGACAGGCAAAGGCAGCAGCAACCTTTGTTGATGGTCGCTGGTGCCTTTGCCTCGGTCACATGAGCGTGATAGGACAGGCAAAGGCAGCAGCAACCTTTGTTGATGGTCGCTGGTGCCTTTGCCTCGGTCACATGAGCGTGATAGGACCGGCAAAGGCAGCAGCCCCCATTGTTGATGGTTGCTGCTGCCGTTGCCTCGCGCATGATAGGAGGGGCAAAGGCAGCAGCATCACATTGTTCATGGACGCTGCTGCCTTTGCCTCGGACACACGAGTGTGATAGGTCCGGCAAGGCAAAGGCAGCTGCAACCATTGTTGATGGTTGCTGCTGCCTTTGCCTCGGACACGTGAGCATGATAGGACCGGCAAAGGCAGCAGCAACCATTGTTGATGGTTGATGCTGCCTTTGCCTCGAGCATGGTAGGAGGGGCAAAGGCAGCAGCATCACATTGTTCATGGTCGCTGCTGCCTTTGCCTCGGACACACGAGTGTGATAGGTCCGGCAAGGCAAAGGCAGCAGCAACCATTGTTGATGGTTGATGCTGCCTTTGCCTCGGACACGTGAGCGTGATAGGACAGGCAAAGGCAGCAGCAACCTTTGTTGATGGTTGCTGGTGCCTTTGCCTCGGTCACATGAGCGTGATAGGACCGGCAAAGGCAGCAGCCCCCATTGTTGATGGTTGCTGCTGCCTTTGCCTCGAGCATGATAGGAGGGGCAAAGGCAGCAGCATCACATTGTTCTTTTATTGCTGCTGCCTTTGCCTCGGACACACGAGTGTGATAGGTCCGGCAAGGCAAAGGCAGCAGCAACCATTGTTGATGGTCACTGCTGCCTTTGCCTCGAACACGTGAGCGTGATAGGACCGGCAAAGGCAGCAGCAACCCTCGTAGATGGTCGCTGGTGCCTTTGCCTCGGTCACATTGAGCGTGATAGGACCGGCAAAGGCAGCAGCAACCACTGTTGATGGTTGATGCTGCCTTTGCCTCGGACACGTGAGCGTGATAGGACAGGCAAAGGCAGCAGCAACCTTTGTTGATGGTTGCTGGTGCCTTTGCCTCGGTCACATGAGCGTGATCGGACCGGCAAAGGCAGCAGCCCCCATTGTTGATGGTTGCTGCTGCCATTGCCTCGGGGAGTCGTGAGCATGATAGGACCCCCAAGGCAGCAGCAATGGTTGGCTTGGAATTGGGCACTCACCTGGCTCTCCTTTCGAGCGACCCGTAGGGGCGTGTGCTGCCACTGGGACAGTACAGGTGCGTGCGTTGTGGTGACAGCAGGCCCAAGGCTGAAGCAACATTGGTTGCCTCTCCTTTGAGAAATGCACAGGTGCGTGCATTGTGCCTTGCGCTCGAACAGTAGCATGTCGGACCCCGAGGCAGCAGCAACTCGCTGTAAATACAATAATCCACTTTCAGGGAATTCGGGTCTCACCTGTTGTAACCTCTTGATCGATCCTTCACGCGCGGTTGCTGCCCCGCGATCCCCTTCAGTGCGCAGCCCCCCCAAGACACTCGCGAGCGGGGGTCGTAGCCCGGTGACCCCACGTGTGAGCGGCGTGTCGCGAGCAGCGCGCGCTCGTCGCACGGGCTCCTCCCCTTCGTCCCGCGCGCTGGCTCCTCCGCTGCTACGCACGCGGGCTCCTCCGCTCTCGCGAGCTCCTCCGCAGATACGCGCGCGGGCAGGACGGCCCCTCGTCTCGCGAGCTCCTCCGCTGCTACGCGCGCGGGCTCCTCCGCTTTCCGTCGCGCGGGCTCCTCCGCTGCTCGTCGCGCGGGCTCCTCCGCTGCTCGTCGCGCGGGCTCCTCCGCTGCTCGTCGCGCGGGCTCCTCCGCTGCTCGTCGCGCGGGCTCCTCCTCTGCTCGTCGCGCGGTCACGCGGGCTGCTCGTCTCGCAGTGCGCGCGAGCTGCGTTGTCTGGAGCGTCCGCCCTCGGCGCCCGTGGCGGGAGCTTGGGGCTCGCGTCGCGCGTGGGACTATACGTGTGACCCACGCGCGGTTTGCACCTTCGCTCGTTGAGTGCTAAGCTCTCCGCACTGTGGGCGCTTTCGGTGGACCGCACTCCTCCCCTCGTTATTCTCGGGTTGCGACCCTATTACTACAGGTAATCGATGGTTTCTCGTTGTGACTAGCTGCTGAACGTGTAGGAAATGTGCTTCCTCTATCCATGGAATGCTTCCTCAACAAGCATGCTTCCCGTGTGTCCCATTGGGCGTGCACGTCACTTCACACCTCTCCCCTCTGTTGTTGCCAGCTCCTGAGATGTTCGCGTCGCCAGTGCCCTGAGGTAATATGTCGAATACGTTTCCGTTGTCGCAACGTTTTACCACCCTATGTCTGAGTAGGTGGTGTTGTCAGTAGCACGTGCGCCGATGGTTTTCAATTTCCCGTTAGCACAGGTGAGTTGAGTTTGTGGTGAGGTGGAGACTTGTGCTGCGGCCTTGTGCTGCGGCCTTGCGGCCTTTCGTACAAGTGTGAAAGCTTATGATTGGCTAAGCACTCCGTTCATGCGACTCACTTTTCGCACAGGATCGGTGGGTGTCGCTGGTTTGGTGCGTGCGAAATGGGTACGTCCTCGTGGAGGAACATAATTCTCGCCACAGCCTTCATGGCGAAATAGGATTCGTACACCCTCACCTATTGCCTCTTTCAAACCCACATAACTTGAAGATTTACCATGCTGACCCCGGGCTTTAAGATCAAGCAGGAAACAGTGTAGCTCCACTCCAGCCATGTCAAATCAACCTAGTCATGATCCATGTCAGTGACCTCAGCCGCAGAGTTATTGTCGCCTGATGCTTCGTTCTGAGGTGCTGCATAATGGTGCGAGCTCCCCACTCTACGGTAGAAGAGCACGTAAGCTGCAGGTGTTTCGATCTGTGACTCGTTTGCAGGAGAAACAAAGCTGTCGTCGAAGGTGTGCCATTGGCGCTCGTTGCCCAACTGCAACCATAGTGGAGGCAAACGGAAAATACCCAAAACTTGATGAAATACAGAGGATGCAGAAGGATGTGAGCAGCTCACTTGAATGGAACTTCATTACTTGTTTTCCAACAATTGACCCCCCCTACTCACCTGAACATATGCAGTATAGTGCCCTCCACCCATGCCACCGTAATGATTGCTGATCGCATACAGCTCATACACATTGCCGCCTCCTTCCGCGTTGCAGGGCGGCAGGTACGGCGAGAGGTCAAAGTCATGAATGGGGAAGGTGACGAGTGTGTCGAGCTTGTTCTTGAAGTAGCGGCTGTAGGAGAAGCGCTTCAAATGCACCACGAGGATCTCCGGCAGTCGCCACAGGTCGAGCTTCTTGGTGGCCTGCCTGTGCTCCTTGCACTGCGGGCAGTACCTGAGTGGGGGGGAAAGATGCCAGAGAGAAAGGGGGCAAAGAAAAGGAGTGAGAGGATACAGGGAAGACGAGTCAGAGCCAAATATGTCAGACAACCATGGGGCTAAGCAAACAGAGAGAAGTCATAAAAAACCACGACGTCAGACACCATGACTCAGTGTGAGACCATAGCACATGGCACCATGCACATACAAGCAGCAAAATGTGTAATCAATCGAAACAAACGGAAAAAAATCACCACATGATGCATAAGAAGTCACCGTGCAATGCAAAGCCACGAGAAGAAGTAAAATAGCTCACCACATATCATCAGGGCCCAAAGGTTCCTCCTTGATAAACGCATCCAGGCACGAGAACAGCGTCACTCCCTCCTGCCGCTTGTTCTTCATGGGCAGCCCTGCACTGCCCGAGCTCACCTCGGGCAGCTCCTCAAGCTGCCCGACATCGTAAAGTTCCTTCAGCCCCTTGACCGACCAATCCAGAAGCAGCGCGAGTCCATCCTTGGAAAGCATATCCGGAGTAAATCCTTTGGGCAAATCAGTCCCATCGGGGATCCGAATGGCATCAGCAGCTGTCTCAACATGCGCTCGAGTAACTGACAGCGAAAACAGCGGCTCCTCTTCTGCTGCCACTGCCTGTCCCTCTCTTCCTTCCTGCCCCACAGCATCCTCAACTGCTCCAGATTCCCCTGCAGTCGCGCCGGTCTCTCCTTCTCCCTCACCGCCTGAAGCTGCATCACCAGCATTGGCGTCCCTCCCTGCGGAATCGTCCATAGGCTCATCTTTCCCTTGCACGTCCCCGTCCCCTGTGCAGCCTGCACCAACACTACCAGCACCGCCAGCACCACCATCACCAGTCACACCACCAACACCGGAACCAGCACCACTGGCACCAGCACCATCGGCATTGGCAGTGCCACCAGCAACAACACCACCATCAGCAACTGCAGCAGCAGGAGAAGGGGTAACGGCTGGAGATGCAGCAATGCCCCCAGCAGGGGAGAGAGAGGCCCCGGTCTCAGATACCCCTGGTCGCAGGAAGGGCCTGAGGGCAGTGCGCACGTGGTGGTAAAGGTCGGCACCGGAACGGATGTCAAAGCGGGAGACTGGGAGGAGGAGAGGCGCGCCGTGCAGACGCCAGAAGAAATCGTTTGTGACTGTGGAGCTGCGGATAGGAGAGAAGAGAAAAGAGGGGATATGTTGGAAGAAGAAAAGGAGAAAAGAGAAATAGGAAAGGGAGAAGAGAAGAGAGGAGATAGAGAGAAGAGAAGAGGAAAGGGGAGAGAGGGGAGGGAGAAGAGAGAGGGGAGAAATGTGGGGATGAGGGAAGGGAGGAGTGGGGAGGATAATGGGGAGGAGAGAAGGGAGGAGAGTGGGGATGATGATGGGGAGGAGTAGAGGGGCGGCAAGCAGTCGCCAGAAGAAATCGTTTGTGAGTGTGGCGCTGCGGAAGGGAAGGCGAGACCGGATGAGAAGGGAGAGTGGGGAGGAGGATAGGGGAGGAGGAGAGGGGAGGAGGAGAGCGGTGGAGCAGAGGGGAGGAGCAGAGGGGAGGAGCAGAAGGGGGAGGAGGAGAGGCGCGCTAAGAAGCCACAAGTAAAAATCGTGTTGTGACTGTGAGACTGTCACGAGCGGAAAGCGTTGCGAGGGGGGCAGATTGGGGAGGAGAAAATGGAGGTGAGGGGGAGGAAATAGCGAAGTCATTTCATTTCTTGCATAATACATTCAGACTTTCTTTGAACAACCTTCCTAGATTTACCCCCCAACCCTCCCATCCCCTTCCCGCCTTCCTCCTTACCCACCTCCCACCTCCCCCCTAGAAGCACACTCACGATTCCTTGATTCGCTGTGTGACTATAACGGGGGCTTCACACCCCCTTGGCACGCGGTAAGCCAGCAGCCTGTCGCGGTCCTCTATGGAGGAGATTTGCTCCAGCGGTGGGAACGAGCGGAAGATGCGATTGTTGTAGATCTGGTGTGTGTGTGCGTGTGTGTGCATGTGTGTATGTGTGTAAGAGAGAGAATGGGGAGGATGGGGGAAAAGGGGGTGGGGATGGGGGAAGAGAGGGGAGGAGGGGGTGGTATGGAAGATTTAAGAGAGGCAAGCAAAGGGCACTCGGTAAGCCAGCAGCCTGTCGCGGTCCTCTATGGAGGAGATCTGCTCCAGCGGTGGGAACGAGCGGAAGATGCGATTGTTGTAGATCTGAAGTGTGTGCGTGTGGGAGAGGGGGGAGGGGGCAGGGGAGAGTGAGGGGCGAGTTGGGGGTGATGGGAGAGAGAAAACGGAGGAAGGGGTGGTGTGGCAGAAGCTTAGAGAGGCAAGTAAAGGACACTTGGTAGGCCAGGAGCCTCTCTAGGTCCTCAATGGACAACAGCTCCCTCCCTCACTACCCCCTCCAACGGAGAGCAACAGCTCATCTCAGAAACGTGCAATCCAACGCCATCAGCCAGCACGCATCACAGACTGACTCAACGCCTACCCTTCTGTTGAGATGCAAGCAGGTGCAGCTCACCTCAGCCACGTGCAGTCTCTCTCCAGCGGGCAGCTGGCACGCCTCAGCCAGTGCTCTCTGCAGGTCCAGCACCCTGCCTGTGCGCGGCACCGTGACAGTGAGCGCTCGGGGGGGCTGGTCCCCAAACGAGGAGAGCAGCTCACCTCAACAAGTCTTACCTCGGCAACATGCAGCCTCTCTCCAGGAGGCAATTGGCATGCCTCTGCCAACGCTCTCTGCAGATCCAGAATCCTGCCTGTGCCCGGCACCGTGACAGTGAGCGCTCGGCGTGGCCGGTCACCAGAGCACAAGAAGGGGGAGAGCAGCTTACCTCAGCCACGTGCAGTCTCTCCCCAGCGGGTAGCTGGCACGCCTCAGCCAGTGCTCTCTGCAGGTCCAGCACCCTGCCTGTGCGCGGCACCGTGACAGTGAGCGAGCGGGGGGGCTGGTCGCCGAAGGAGGAGAGCAGCGTGAGGTGCAGCGAGCGCGTGGCCTTGGAGGGCAGCGGCAGCGAGAGGTACATGAAGGGATCGAAGGTGACTGAGACCTTCTTGCAGTGCGGGCACACCAGCGTTGACTTGTATTGACCCTGGGGGGTTGGAGGGTTTTGGGAGGGGTTGGAGGGGTGGGAAGGCAGCGAGAGGTACATGAAGGGATCGAAGGTGACTAAGACCTTCTTGCAGTGTGGGCAGACCAACGTTGACTTGTATTGACCCTGGCCAGAGGAGGGTGGAAGAGGGACGGGAAAGCAAGGTTGGAGTTTGGAGTTTTCTCACAGGAGTTCACCAGTTGCATGATACATACCACCCTGGATACCACCTGGTTACCACCTGGATACCACGTGGTTACCAGCACACCCACCTGGAATTTGTCAACGATGTTGGAGTCGTTTCTCACCTTGTGGTTCTCCCGGTTCTCCCTTCGGCTTCGCTCCATCTGGAAAACTGGCAATCACAGTTGACCTAATTACAACATGGCGGTACCCCATCTGGTTACCACATGGTTACCACCACAACACACCTGGAACTTGTCAACAATGATGGAGTCGTTTCGCGCCTTGTGGTTCTCCCAATTCTCCCGCGCCACCTCTTCGTCCGGCCGCCCGTCAGCATCCTTGGCTTCGATGTACGGCTTGCGCATCACCCTGTTCAGATCCTCGTGTAGCCCGTCCAATAGAAATGCCAGGAGTTCCTGTGGGTGTGTTGAGGCAGGGGGGAGGGGAAGGAGAGGGTGCACCATGAGCGTCCTTGGCTTCGATGTACGGCTTGCGCATCACCCTGTTCAGGTCCTCGTGCAACCCATCTAAAAGAAACGCCAGGAGCTCCTGTAGAGGGTGGGCGGGAGAGGAGAGGCAGTGGCAGTGTGGGCAGGGGTGCACCATCAGCGTCATTGGCTTTGATGTACGGCTTGTGCGTCACACAGTTTGATGTCTCGATGTTCTCATGCAGCTCCTTCAATAGGAATGCTAGCAGCTCCTGTGAGTGCGTTGAAGGGGGAAGGGTACCAGTGTGAGCAATGGGCGCACCAACAGCGCACTTGCAATCCCTCCCACCCACTACAGGCACATTACCTTCCCTCAGGCTTGCACACCACGGGGTTCAGACCCTGGTGATTCCTCACTCGCATTCCCACCCACTACCAGCGCGTCACCTGTCAATCATGCCAGTCGTTAACCCACCTGCGAGTCATGCTGGTTGTAGCCGCTGAACTGAGGGGCAAAGCGCGAGAGGCGCGCCTTGAACGCCCTGGGAGCCACGGGGTCTCTTCCTGGCGCCCACAGCTTGCGCAGCAGCTCGCCAAATGCTGTTGCCATCTCACCCTGGCGTCGAGAGACAGGGGGGGTGAAAACGGGCAAAACGAAATGGGAAGAGCGCATTGGAAGAGGGGGGCACAGGGGGTTAGGATTGCAAATGCTATTGTTGATCTCTCTCATGTAGGCCCCCATAAAGTCCTCCACTAGCACCACAGTGTGCATCAGGCTTTTACGTTGACTACTAAACCGCCACTCACCTCCATTCCCCAAGGGTTGCTTCTGTCTCTCATATTATCCCCCATAAAGTACTCCACTAATGGTACAGTGTGCATCAAGCACTAACGGTGGTGAGTCTACACCAGAATTGCCACTCACCTCCATTCCCAAGGGGTTGCTTCTGTTGATCTCTCTCATATAGTCCCCCATAAAGTACTCCACTAATGGTACAGTGTGCACCAAGCACTGCAGCGCACTGTTCATAAAGCACGTATTCCCAAGGTTCACCAACCCTGTCAACCCCACTGGACCGCCCTGAATCCCCTGCGACCCCCCTGCTCGCGCCCCTGCTCCGGCTCCCACACCAGCTGCTGCCGCACTTGCTGCCTTGGCACTTGAACTACCGAACCCAAACCCGAACCTGAACGGGAACCCCGAGCCTGAGCCCGAGCCTTTCTTCTCCTCGGCGCCAGGCACGGGGACTATAGCCATGGAGGAGGAAGAGGAGGGGGGAGGAGGAGGGGGCGCAATGGATAGCGTAAGCCCAGACGTGGGCTTCTTAGCCGGCCCCACATCTGCTGGGAAGGCTGCTTTCAGCTTCCCTCTCACGTCACCAGCACTACCCCCCCCAGCAGCAGCAGCAGCAGCAGCAGCGCTGGTATCGACTCCATTTGCAGCGGTCCCGCCCCCTTCACCCTCTTCTTCCCCCCCTGCCGCCTCTGCATCAGTCATTTCCCTCACAGGGGACCAGGTAGATCCCTCCACCCCTGCACCTGTGTCTGCCCCTGCTCCTACTCCCTCCATTCCTTCCTCGGCAGGGTTGGGAGGCCATGAGGTGATGAACAGCGCGCCAGGCGGGGGAGCAGCCCCCACACTGCTATAGTGCGAAAGAGGGCCTCCTGCTATGGAGACGTTAGGCTCGGCTGCGGTAGGTTCGGCTGCCGAAGCGAGAGTGGAGGTACGGGGGGAGGTGACGGTGTGGAAGGGGGACGTGCTGGCAGGTTTGGAGGTGCGGGAAGGAGTGGAGGGAGAGGAGGGGGACGAGGAGGATTCTAGATGCACGGCCTGGGCTGGCCATTGGCCGTTATCTCCCACCTCCACCAGAATCTGAGAGTGGGATGGGCAATAGGATACAGGTGCACAGAAAATAAGAGAGGAGGGGGACGAGGAAGAGGAGGAGGATTCTAGATGCACGGCCTGGGCTGGCCATTGTCCGTTATCTCCCGCCTCTACCAGAATTTGACAGAAAGGGGGATGGGGGGAGGGGATTGGAAGGAGTAGGAAACATTGAAACGTAACAAAGTTAAGTAACGACCAAGGAGCACTTCAAAAAACACTTGGTCAATCGCCTCTCTGAATTTTGTTTGAGTGATTGTGTGTGTGCCGTTGTTTTTTTTTTTTTTTTGTTAATTATTATTATTTTCCAGGTAGATTTCCCCAACACTCACCTGGTTGCCCATCTGCAGCTCTGCGTCTTCCAGGGCCTGGGCCTCATCACTCAACACCTTGTGACGCACCCACACCTGCTCCCATGCACACACGCATGCACGGTTGCATGTTCACAGGTGCCCCCTCTTATTTCCGGTGCTCACCTGGTTACCCATCTGCAGCTCTGCGTCTTCCAGGGCCTGGGCCTCATCGCTCAACACCTTGTGGCGCTTGCCCCCGTAGTTGTCCCACACTCGCACCTGCTTATGCACACGCACACATGCACACCAACGCACACATGTACATGTGCACACGTGCACACGTGGACACATGCAACATGCCACATTCGCGCAAGCACACACACACGGCACGCATCCACAACCACACACCGCAGGTTGTGAGGGGAAAGAGACACTTGGCTCACAGCAATGAGCATGGCATGGGCTCAGCTGAGCAGCAGGCGACCATTATAAAGACTCATAGAGCGCCTGATCCTTCAAGCAGACTGAACAATGAACAGACCAGGCTCTTTCTTTCACAAACAGGTCACCAAACGCACATTCTCTGGCTGCTGGCCGAACAGCTCGCACGCGTGGTGCCTGAGGTGCCCCACAGTCGTATGATTTCTAATAACCTCCCCCTCCGCATGCATGATTTCACAATCACTCATCACTCCCAAGTCATTAAGACGCACATTCTCTGGCTGCAACCCAAACAGTTCGCACGCGCGGTGCCTGAGCTGGCCCACAGTCGCCCGCTTGCTGATAACCACCGACTCCACGCGAGGGGGCAGCGAGGTGGCAGCAGAGACGCAGGAGAGCTCGAGAGAGAGCGGGTAGACCTCCACTGATAGCTCCTCCCGGCCCCCCATGCGCACCACGTGGCGGGATACCACTGGCCCGCCTCCGTACCTGCATTTGCAACGGAAACAAAACGGTTGGAAAAGGGAGCCAGTGCAGGAAAATGGGTGAGGAAAACAGGATGAAAGCTCCTGACAGCCTCTCCTGTGCCTTGCATGAGGTTGTTCTGTTCCTCAGAAGGTGGTGTGGCCTCGTGTGATGTTTCTATGTGTAGAGTATCTCTACAATAACTCTAAAATACACAGACAGCTGAGGAGGCACAAGTGCAACTCTGCTGATGGCACCTATCTTCCTCCCATCTGAGCCACGACGGCAGCAGGCATGCATGAGTGCGGCGTTGCTAACCAGGACTCACCACGAGTGCAGCACGCGCCACACTGACTGCGGCACCAGCACGTAGTCCCCCTCCTCCATCAGCTCCAGCCGCAGGTGAGGCTCGGCACTGCCGGACCTGTCCTGCGCCTCCCGACCCACCAGGCTCGAGTTGTCTATGGGTAGCGGCTTCACAGTAAGCTTCTGCGCCTCACCCTCTGATTCCGAATAGCCAGAGTATCTGGACCACGCGCGCCACCACCTGCACGAGTCAACGCGAGTCAACGCAAGTGAACGGCGGCACACATACGAGAGAGGAAGCGGGAGTGACGGAGGTGGAGAATGGAGTAGAAATTGTCACATTCTGAAAACACTCAAGAGTCCCCAGCTAACTCCAAAACACCTGCAAGCTCTTTTGAAAAGTGAATTCAACATAGCATCTACGAGGTTATACGCGTCCCCTTCCTTCATTTGAGAGCATCCGCCGCCAACCCCATCATCTCTCCCACCACCCCTCGCGTTCTCGTCCCACCACCCCTCGTGTCCTCGTCCGATTTACGCGCGCCTCTAGATGCCCCGAATCACGCGTACGCACCTGGCGTCTACGAGGTTGTAGGTGTCTCCTTCCTTCATCCCAGCATCCGCCGTGTTCATCAGCTCCCTCACCACCTTCGCCTCTTCATCTGCAGACGACGGCTGCACCAGCTGCAGCTTCCCTCTCCCCTCCAATCCACCCAGCGCACTGCTACCGCCGACGCTTGGAGGCTGAGTGTCCATGGCGACTGGATCGCTGGTCGACTCCAGAGCTGGCATTCTCCGCCTGGGGTGATAGAAAAAGCCAGGAGGCCGAGCAGGAAGAGACGCTACAAGTGAGTTGCTTAATCAAGTGTTCCTTGTGAACTAGAATGGGCTATGTCTGGAATTTGAGCGGTCTGAGAAACCCAGAAACCTGGCGAATCCGGCTTCCCCCACAATGCGATTACATTCCAAAAGGAATGAAGGCAGAAACGCTAGATCCGCCATTAAGGTACTATAAAGGCAATGATTTATCTTCCTTTCTTGGAGTTCCAATAAGAAACGTCAAGTTCGGGTTGAATCTCATTGAGAAGACCATGATTCCTTTTCGGAAGACGATCAGCTCTCAAACAGGACAAAAAAAATTAATAAGCTGTTGTCAACGTTGAATTAAAACCTACCGAGGACAAGGGCCCGAAGCGAGGCCTCGGGAGAATGGTGCGACTGATTCAAATTATCATGGTGAGATTCAAGTTCTTCCTCGGCTTGGCACAGAATTATTCCAGAAACGAGCCTCGTCCAGAGCTTCGAGCCACCACTCAGCTCGTTCAATCGCTTCGATCGCTTCAGCGAAAGGACTGATATGCACAAGCTACTGAAAAGAGGGAATGGATTCTGATCATGTGTTGTGAAGGGAGATCATGGGAGGAAGAAATGTTCCTGGAATTCCAGAAGGCGGTCTCTGGAATCTAAAAATGAATGGTCAGCCCAGGCTTGGACGCTGGGGTCAGAAACACAGGTAATTGCGAGCGATTCGCCGCGCCGAACCTTCCGTCTGTCGAGCCTCGCGTCTTGGCTAGGTTGGGGAAGCCAAACTGTGGATCCATGCATTGCCGAGATTCATTTGGAAATCCCGAGGCAGGAGTTGAGTGACCCAATTTCTTGGCGGGAATTGATAAGCCAATGGATTTGCAGCATGTTGTCGCAAAGTCTGTCGCCGAATCCGACCAACGTTGACCCATCAGCTGAGCTGCTTTCAGGATGCCTTTTTGCAAGACGGCACACTGCCAATATTTGCAATATGTACTTATTATCCTAGGTTGATTCATATCACCTACATATTCAGGACATTCCATGTGCAAGTGGTTTTGCCTTGCGCTTGTGGCCAAGAGCGTTCACCAGTGCCCTCCGTGTGCACACTGGGAACATGTTTGGTTTCACCAGGTCGAGCCGGCGGAGCGTGTAGCCAAAGCTGAGTTGATCACGAGCAGTGAATCGCACCATCTCGTTGAACCACAGGCACATGAACAGGTTTGTGGCTGCGGTGTGCTCCCTCACTATGATAGATGCCTCTGCCAATGCTGGAGAAAAAAGGAGGGAAATATGCTTTGGTCAGATACCTCATGCAAAAAAAAAAGGTCAGCATTGAATGTAACTGTAGACCCAGCAACAAGCCCACCCTTTCGAACCACCACACTCATTCGCTCTCCCTCACCTTTCTTCCCATTGTAAGTGGCATTAACAGGGAGCCCCTCGGTGCGATACTGGTTCAGCTGCACTGCCACCTCCTCCGGCTGAGCCTTGTGCTTCCTCACAATCGCCTCCCCCTCCGCATAGATGCAGCTCCTTGCCCCATGCTCCGAGATTGCAAACTCTGCCCGCGGCTGCTGCCGCCACAGCAGCGTGTGGAGCACTCCGAGGGGGTCCCGGCGGAACTGGTACTTGGAGTCGACCCAGATGGAGAAGCGGGCGCGGGGGAAGAGGCGGTGAGACAAGATCTGTACGGGTGCCATGGTGAGTAGGCAGGGATGGCAGATAGGGAGGGAGGAATGGGTGTATGGGGGTCATGCACAGGAGATACAGGTGGATACAGGGGGATATGGGGGCACAGGGTGAGATGAGAGATAGGAAGAGCGTGTGGAGCACTCCGAGGGGGTCCCGGCGAAACTGCTACTTGGAGTCGGCCCATATGGAAGCGGGCACGGGGGAAGAGGCGGTGAGACAAGATCTTCCCGTTTCTCCGCTGGTCCACAAACGGCAGGTCCTTGACAATGACGATGCGCCATAGCCCCACTTTCATGGTCTCTGCGTCTGGCATCACCCCCACCCGCCTTTGCTTTTAGAGGCACCTACAAAAAAGTGCCTCACCTTTGGGATCTTTCCGTTTCTCCGCTGGTCCACAAACGGCAGGTCCTTGACAATGACAATGCGCCATAGCCCCACTTTCATGGTCTCTGCATCCGGCACCACCCCCGCCTCTGCCTGCGCTGCTGCTGTCACATCGTCCCAAAACGCCACATAGCACACCTGAAGGTACGCCAGGGGTGGATGAGAAATGCAATATGGATTTCATTCATTCGTATGCGAAGCCTGTGCGTAACTGCTGGTCAGCTTGTCTCAAACCCATCCCAAAACCATCCTTACCTCATTCACTTACTCATAACCAGAAACACTCCCATGCCCTTAGCCTTTCTCATACTCCAAGTTCACACCATGCATTAAGATTCATTTCCCCATCCTCACACAGCGCCAATCCCACATCCCACCATCCCCACGCACCCATGCACCTTCTCTAGGGACGCCTGAGTCATCCCAATCGACTGCACCAGGATGTCACCTCCCCCGAATATCGCCATCACCACTTTTGAGTCAACTCAAAGGTTCACCCACCCATGCACCTTCTCTAGGGACGCCTGAGTCATCCCAATCGACTGCACCAGGATGTCACCTCCCCCGAATATCGCTGTCACCACTTTTGACTCGACTCAAAAGTTCACCCACGCACGCACCTTCTCTAGGGACGCCTGAGTCATCCCAATCGACTGCACCAGGATGTCACCTCCCCTGAATATCGCCGTCACCACTGCCACCTGGCACCGCTTCAGCCACCGCTGGTCCGCCTCAGAGACTGTAAACCCCGTGTTGGGCCCCGCAAACCCAAGTGCACCTCCATGCTCGCCTGCACGCGGAAGCTCTTGGCCCTCTCGCCCATCCCCATTTCCAGAACCCACCATGCCCCTCTCAACCATCATCCACCCCACACCAACCATCCCCACCCACCCACGCACCTTCTCCAGGGACGCCTGTGTCATCCCAATGGGCTGCACCAGAATGTCACCTCCCCCGAATATCGCCGTCACCACTGCCACCTGGCACCGCTTCAGCCACCGCTGGTCCGCCTCAGACACCGTGAACCCCGTGTTGGGCCCCGCAAACCCACAGTGCACCTCCATGCTCGCCTGCACGCGGAAGCTCTTGGCCCTCTCGCCAATCACCATCCCCATCCCCAGAACCCACCATGCCCCTCTCACCCATCATCCTCCCCACACTAACCATCCCCACTCACACACGCACCTTTTCCAAAGACGCCTGTGTCATCCCAATGGGTTGCACCAGGATGTCACCTCCCCCGAATATCGCCGTCACCACCGCCACCTGGCACCTCTTTAACCACCGCTGGTCCGCCTCAGACACAGTAAACCCCGTGTTGGGCCCCGCAAACCCACAGTGCACCTCCATGCTCGCCTGCACGCGGAAGCTCTTGGCCCTCTCGCCCATCGTCTGCTTCCCCGTGAACATGTCCAGCTGGACCGTGCGCCCCAGCTGGCCCTGCCTGGCGCCTAGTGTACTCTCGATCTCGATTGCGTCCTCGTCCAGGTGATAGTAACGAAGGCGCGTCACTACTGTGTCGGGAAAAGGTTCGGGCAGCTGCAGGTGCGAGAGCTCAGGCTCGGCCGGCAGAGGGAGGCAGGCTGGGGGGTTTGGAAGAGGAAAGGATTGGGCAGACGAGTAGGAAGAGTATAAGTGGGTATCTTGATTTGAAGGAATAAGTGACAGAAGAATGAGACACGGGAAGAAACACCAAGGGCGAGACGCAGGAGGATCAAGAAAGGATAAGCTCCCACTTTCCAGTACTCAAGTAACAGTTTTCAAAAACTCACGTTCCAGGACCCCGTGTACTTTGTGGATGGGCATGAATTCTGAGGCGCCTCAAGGGCAGTTTTTAAAACACTCACGTTGCAAGACCCCGTGCACTTTGTGCATGGGCATGTCCATGTTGCCCACATTCGACAGGTCCTGCTCCTTCCCCTTCTTCCGCTTCCCCCCTTGCCCCTCTCCACCGCCTTTCCCATTCTCCCCCCCACCGCCCGCCGTTCCCCCAGCGCCTCCGCTTCCCCCCACATCCCCGCCACGCTCGTCCCCCTCGGACGTGCCAGTAGCGAGGGTTTCTGTAGCGGAGGCTGAATGCGAAGACACGCTGCTGGCGTCATCATCGTCGTCCTCGTCTGGTCGGGCAGACAGACAAGGGAGCACATACACACTCAAACAGACAGGGGGAAACCCGTATGCACATAAACAGGCAGGAACAACATAGGGACGGCGAAGTTGGTCCGTCATAAGTGAAATGACGAGCTCGAACAGGTAACAAATGAGCAGAAAACGCACGCCTTGGCAGAATTCCAGGGAGCATTTGCAAATCACCAATTTCTAACGGGGTGAACCTTATCACGGAATGACACCTGGAACCTGAAAAGTTGGTACACGAACCAGCTTACGTTGCCATCTGACAGAAACCTGAAGCCCCCTTCTCGCAAACCAACTCTTTCGGCCCCAGCACCCTGAAGCTTCTTTCAACACACGAGCTACTGGCGAACACGAACCCACCTCTTCCAGCCCCAGCACGAGACGACAGACGGAGTCTCGAGAGGTAATGTGAGAACCAGCCAATGTTCTTGTCGATGGCGGCCTGAATTTCCATCTCGTGCTGCCTCAGGATCTTCCTCAGCGACTGCTCTCGCACTGTCCCAGCGATGATTGGATGGAAAGAAAACAATGTCAGAATTGAAGGTGAATAAGGATAGCGAGGCCACTAAGAAGGCGAACTAGCGATAGTAGAGTAGTGACCCCGAATCAAATTCAAACGGAGACTGAGAAGAATTACGAGGAATTACGGAATCCCAAGTTGGGAGAAACGTATGCGTCATATAAGTAAAGTTCTAAACGAGCGATCCATTGGAAGCGGGACTGGCGCAGAACATGGGGGATGCGTTTAAACTCGGGAAATGCTTTTAAACTCGGAGGTAAGAACCTTACGCTCTTCAAACTCCGACTTTCGTTGTCTGTCTGCGAGCTTTCCGGTCTCTAAGATAAATACGACCATAACGACGACAAACAGGAGGATCACAAATCTGAGGCCGAAACGGAAGAGGCCTGCTGGCGCCTTCTTTAACGGCGTCCGCATCGATCCCATGGCACCACGACAGTAAGCTCTCCGCTTCCCTGGATGCGGACCCGCTACCATTCAAAAAGGACGACACGACAGCAGTGGTCAGAATGCGGAGGAGGCCGGCAATTTCAGACACGCTTCATGATCACAGACTCGGATTTAGACAACTATATGCGTCGAGGATTGCGATGACGAGCCTAACGGCTCCAGTAAAGATACGGCCCACAGCCGACAGACTAAATGCTAAATCAACAAGAGGTCGTGTTGTCTTGGGACGAAACGCAGGGAGCAGATCATGCGACTTTCGTGAAATACGGTACGAGTCTCCCGAAGGCGGAACTTCCAAGAAAACATGAATCTGGCCTTCAGGGCTTGCTGGGCGGCTCATGTGCCAACAGTTTTCCTTCAAAGATAGTTGTGCTAGGATCATCAAGCCCAAACATCTCCCGCCTGACACAACTGTGTTGTGTGTGCCTGACGGGTCGCGGCTTGGTGTGCCCGCGACCTATATTCGTTTGAACCCGCATTCGATAGTGGCAGTTTCAGTGAAAAAAAAAAAACATAAATTCATGATTCCAACTTCAAGGCTCAAACAACACATTTAACCCGTTACATGCAGTATGCGAGCACTAAGCTTGAGCAGCATACAGATTTTTAATAGCCTCAACATCATCATAACTGCCCAAAAAGATTGGGGACCTGTCATGGATCTTGGTTGGAACAAGCTCCAGGGCCTGCAAGCATAGAAAACAATCATAGTCATTTCTATTCCTTAGTTAGGACCCCACCCAAATACAACTAAGCAGAAAGAAGAGAAAGAAAATAACGGAAAAAGCTCTGCGGCTAGACACTTACACGTTGCTTTCCTGTGAAAGCCTGGCCACCTGCTTGCTCAATCAACATAGACATGGGGAAAACTTCATACAGCACCCTGCACAGAAGAGGGAAGTTGTATCCATGAGCCATGAGCTACTCGTAATCAATAAGACCACAAAACTTATCAAATGTGTCCTCTTTTTACAATCTTGAACATCACTTACCTCAGTTTGCCATTGGGACTCTTCTTATCAGCCGGGTACATGAAAACTCCACCATACAGAAGTGTCCGGTGCACATCCGCCACCATACTGCATAAACAGAATGGATAACAACACGTGAGCACTTCCACTGAAGGCTGACAGTAGGAGATACAGGCACTTGATTGTTTGCCTTACCTTCCAATGTAGCGAAGGGAGCGCGGGGCCGAGCCATCAGTTGGGAACTTGCAGGACTCCACAAACCTGGACCCCAACAGCTCAAAGATGAGATACCAGCAATGCACTGCTACACATACGTTCATTGAAACAAAAAAAATGCTAGAAGATGGCGTTTTTACTTACTTTCTGGTTGGCTCATCCCAATTCAGTGCATTTCCTTCATTCACCGAGTAAATTTTCCCCTTCTTGGGCATCTGCAGGTGCATGCGCGAAGGGCGTAACTTAACACTGAGAGAGCTGAATTGCTGAAAGAACGAGCTTTATGCACATGCGCTCCCGTGCACGTTTGCTACATTTCCCACACCAAAATACTGCTATCTTCACCTGAATATCCGGGTGCGTGAGGATGAACTCCCCGAGAGACGGATCCAGGGTGAATCCATTAACTCCATTACCAGTGCTCAGCACCAGCTGCAGAACCACACAATAGAGCTGTCAGTACCAGAGCACAAAATGAAGTTCTACGAGATAACACAGCGAACGTGTAAGCTCCATTGTAGCAGATCGGGGCCAGCGCAAGAACCACAGCCGTACCGTGCATGAACTGCCATACATGCAGTACCCTGCTGCCACCATCTTGGTTCCAGGCTGCAGAACATCCTCAATCGTGCCTTCGGGAATGACGCCATCGTCGCCAGCTTGGAGCATGTAGACGCCGAAAATCTGAAATAAGTGATGGGGGTGCCTCGGTTATTGTCATACATGAGTAGCAGCGAATGTCATGGCACATCTCACTTTTTTGACTTTCATAAATTGGCCATTAGTTTCACTAACAGCTTGCTGTCTATCTGGCTATCCATGTTCTGCGTTCATTCAAGTCCTTGTATGATAGCTCACCTTTGGAAAGTGGGAGTGCGTGGAGATTTTGGGAGCACTCATCAGCTGTTCGTCTAACTTCTGATGTACATCAAGCTAAATCATCCAGCACTCACTGTTCCAATGGACACTCCGCAATCGATGTTGGAAGATCCATCAAGCGGGTCGAAGACCACAATATACCTGAAAGAAGAACAACAACGTCGTTCGCATACTCAGTGAGGCAACTCAAGAAAATAACAAGGCCAGAAATAGCATCATCAAAATCGTTACCTTCCGCGGAGTCTTTTATCGACGAAAATAGGATCTTCCAGTTCCTCTGACACGAGAACGTTCTGCAATCAAGAATGCCAAACGCGCAGTCAATCTCGCATCGCTATATTTTCTTGGCCTATCGAGCGCCTGGTCACTGGAACGTACCGTTCGGCCGCTGCTGACGAGGGCCTTGACGAACACATCGTTAGAAAGGATGTCAAGCTTCTTCTGCTCCTCTCCTTGGACGTTTGTCTCACCGGCCAATCCAATAAGTTTTGCGAGGCCAGCCTGCAATAAAGATATGATCACTCGTATCAGCAAGACTGGAAAGGTCGGAAAGGTAGGGGGAAAGGTCGCGCTTATTCAGACGGAATGCGTTTCTGAGTGGTCTGTGCACCTTGTTAACTGCAGAGCAGACGAATTTGCAGCCAAGGACAATGTGATTTAGCAAAATGGTGAGATCTCCGCGAGCTTCTGGGTGCTTGGACTGCTCATTCAACACATGTCTGGTCAGTGTCATAAGATCGGTCCTGGCAGCTTCAGAAGCGGGATCCATGGCTGCTAGACGTGTGAGATGACAGCCAAATATCTGTTGGTCGAGAGAACGGAGTTTCGGAGTGGAGACAGAATGAAGCTTGCTATTTCAAGAATATCAAATTCAATTGAAGGTATCTGTTCTTGTTGAAGCTGGATTCTCGTGGCGTGGGATGGACGCCCCGAAGGTCGTGTCAGTCAGATTGCCACCGTGTAGAAGTGACCAACTTTCCCGCCAAGCCCGAGTGGTCCATTTGCGAACGTCCTCCTTGTGCGAGGTCGCGATGGTTTCGTGGAAGAGCATCTAGCAGGCTCTGGTAAGTCTACGTGGCGTCGCAGGGAGACAGCGACGCCATGTAGGCATTTGAGGACCAATGATTCAGATGTCGTGGAAGGGATGGTGAGGTGAGGGGACCACCCCACACCCACCCTCAGCATAACCGGCGGGGTAGCTCCCCAGCCACAAGTGCACGAAGCGCATCTCTCGCTGCGCCTGTAACGATTCCTTTGCGACGACGACGACTGCACTGAAACGGGATGCTTCCATAAGAACAAGCAAACAATAATAGCGGAACCAGCAATGACCTCGTACAGAAGACAACGTCTTGAACTGTAGTATTTTACATATACATAAACACAAGCCACTTCAATCCACACAACCCGAGGCAGCCAATACCCGCAAGCCCTCTCGCAAATCCCTTTCCAAGCTGCTTGGTTTTGACAGCCCCTCTGCTTCCTATCCTTCCCTTCAACCCTAAAACTTGTCCCATTTCCTCGTTTCTCTTATCTGAACCCTTCTGCTGAGGGAAGATCCGTCGGCTCTTGTGAAACCCTCATGCCTCTGGGTTTCGTTTTTCCAGGCATCGACCTGATCAAATTTACGTGACTAGTTTTCGGGATTTCCAGCTGAGCGGTGATGGCTGACTATAGTCCACAGCCTAGGCAGGCAAGGTAACTGATACAAAATTTGTCATGCTGAACTAATGCGTTCATGCATGTGCATTGATATCCGTTTTTGCAAATGCGTAAGCCCCGCAAGACAAGCAATCCTTGTCTCTCTGCCTTGTGTTTCGTTGCAATGTCTCCCTGCAGTGGATCCAAGCGACCCGTTCCACTGGAAGACGGGAACTGGGTCTGTGAAGATTCGGCTTGTCTCAATGTGAACTACCCTCGTCGCACTGAGGTACGGACTGTCATTACCTAGCTTTGTATCTTACTAATATTGAATAATAGTTGTAAAACCCGAATCTTTTTTTTTGTGACTCGCTAACTTACGACGCTGGTGTTTTGCAGTGCCATAAATGCGGGAGACAGCGCGGACCTGTTGGCGACACGATCGTGGCGGAGTACAACAAGCGAATGAGAGGCCAGCGCACGGGCGATGCTGGTGGTTACGGTTACAACCAAGGCAGAGTAAGGATGTTAAAGAAATTGCTCAACGCGTGTTTACATTTCCGGTCTAGGTCGTAAATGGTTCTATAACATGGTGCTCTTGGTAGACTTACTATTCGATTCCGTATTTCCGGTATTACTCTGGTGGTTTGCACGGTCGTCTGCTCTTGCGCTGCGTTTCTCGTTGGTTTGTCGTTTATCTTAAACTCGGTGCGTACTGTGCTTGTGCCTTACTCTCGTGGGTATACCGCTGCTGGTGGTAAACCACCGCATTCATTGTCCGCCGGTTCAGGTGCAGGTACTGCAGCATGACCCCTACGGTGCAGCTGCGGCAGCTGGTTTTGGTGCTGGTGCTGGTGCTGGTGGTGGTGGTGGTGGTGGTGCTGGTGCGACTCTTGCTTCTCAGTACACGGTGGCTGCTGATCCCGGTTATGGTGCTGGTGCAGGCCGAAGGTCCACGCTTAGGTAAGTAACGGCGTTTAGCCACGAGTGCAGTTGTTTGTTAGGAACAGGCGTTTGGTCGTCGGTATGCCGTCTTGATCTGGTAAGTTGCTTAGTCCAGCCGCTTTCTTGTACCCGCATTCCATTCACATTCATTTCTTATACCCCCTTTTCGCGTTCACACAGCTCGCACGATCTCTTGTGTCCCTGCTCACTCTCCTGGTCTACCTTCCCCCCCTTTTCCTTCCCAGTGCGGCTGCCGAAGGCAAGCGGTTAGCGGAGCAGCTTGTAGCGAGCTTCGCCATGTCAGCCGACCCCATCGCTGACGCGGGAGAGTGCCTCGCCTCCGCGACGCTCTGGCTCCAAACCATGAAGTCGCGCATGAACATCCCCGGGGGAGGCGGCGGAGATCCTTCCGCCGCCGTCGCGAATAACGCGGCAATGGCGGCGGCGGCCGCGTACGGTTACGCACCTGCGGGCCCCGTGGGAGGGGATCAAGCGGGAATGGCGTATTTCTACCAGCCCGCAGCTGGGGGGTTTGTGCAGATGGGCGGGATGCCGCAGTTCGCGGCCATGGCTGCTGCGCCTGCGCCTAGGCCTCCGTCTGTAAAGCCCATCCCCGCTAATATCAGCTTCGAGGATTATAAGGATCGCCCGAGTGATTTCCTCCGGGTGAGTGCTGCTTGCGTTTGCTGCTCTTACTAGCCACCTTATTTTGCATGTGTCTGATAGCTGGTCTTTGTGAAGAGATTCGGTTCTGGCTGTGTGTGAGTGTAACGGGGGCGATGAGGACAATCGCTATGGCAAGGCCGCAGCAATGCTGCCGTTGTGCCGAAATACACAAAACTAATGAACTTCAGGCTGATGCCCCCTTGCGAGTTGTCTCTTAGCCTTCATCCTTCCCTTCTCCTGCACTTAAGCCTTCCCTGTAACTTCCATCCCTTTTGTTGCCGTGATCTGCGTTACTACTGTGTCTCGTATGACGAGATGTGCTAATATTGGGGGCAATGAGGATAACCTATTCAGGCAAGGCAGGAGATGGTCCTCCGGGCCTCTGCTACCCTTGTGCCTACAAACACAAAACTAATGAACTTCAGGCTGATGCTCCCACTCTCCCACCTCGGTTAGCTTTCCCCTGTCTTCCTCTCCCCTTTCTGCTGTAGCTGTCACTAGTGAGTAGCAGAGCGGGGTTAGGGTTCATGAGCTGCTTAGCTGGTTGTTTTTTACATTGTTGCATCGTCCATGTTTGTTTCTTTCGAGGGCACAGATGATGTGGAACTACAAAAAGGCAGGGAACCGAGTGTGCATGGATGGGGTTGGCTCTACGAGCTCTCCTTGTCCATGTCATGCCTGCGGATGACAATGTAATCTGATGAGACTGATGTGCCCTTCTGCCCGGATGCCTTGCTTTTTCGGTCTGTTCTCTTGTAGTATTCTCAATGTTCCATGTGTTCTCATCTTCCATGTTCTTCCACCACCCTCCATGCTTTACCTATGTCGCTCCTCAGGAGTTTGGAGATCCAGCAGCGCTGCAGTCCCAGCGGGGGCTGAACCACACACGCCCAGTGGTGGGAGTGAACGGCAACTGGGCGTGCTCCTCGTGCCAAAACGTCAACTTCCCCCGCCGCCACAGCTGCCACCAGTGCGGCGCCAAGCGGGGTGAGGAGGGCGAGGAGATTGTGCGGAACTATGTGAAGCAGCTGATTGAAGATTCGAAGAAACAATCTGGGGTTTAGGTGCTGTTGCGTGCCACGGCTGCCTGCTACCAGTGTGGCACCAAGAGGTGTGAGGATGGATTTGGGGGAGGAGATTGTAACTATGTGAAGCAGCTCGTTGAAGAGGTGAAGAAGCAAGGTGGGGTCTAGCCTCTTGGTGCACTGCTTTTGAGGGTGTTGATCTGCTTTTGCTAGTACGGTAAAAAGTATTGTAACACCCTGCTGTACATCTTATTACCAGTAACTGGGTTTGTACTGCCTTGTGCATACGCACTGGTGAATTGCCTCTTTCAGATTTCATTTGCTTGGGGAACCCTTGAAATATCCAGAACTAGCTGCTCTGTCATGATTACAGTTCATTTTAACTTGTAAATTGTCAGAAAAGGGGTAGGTAACTGTTCAGCTCTATGGTACATTGCAAGCAAAGACTCATCTCACGATCCCATTGTACACTAGCCTGACTGAATTTTGCTGCCTACAATATTACCCGTACAGCCTCAATAGGACGTCATCAGGCTTGCTGGTGTCGAATCACTCATTAACACATTGCCATCAATACAAACGTCAACGAGCCCACATCAGTCAGTATGCTGCTGAGATTATTTCTTTATGGCTTCAATCTGGTCTTCATCCTCTAGGTCCAGGTCTGCTGGTGTCGAATCACTCCTTAGCGCATCGCCATCGAAGACAAACTTAAGCGAGCCCACTGGCAAACCCCCCACCTTGTTGGCATATGCAGTGAACAGCTTTTCCAGCTTGTCACCCTGGCAGGGATGCAAGAGAAGAGAGAAGAGGGGGAGGGAAAGGTGGACACATGGGTACCAGAGATGACTGGCTAAGTCCACTGGCGACCCCCCTGCCTTGTTGGCATATACAGCGAACAGGTTCTCTAGCTTGTCGCCCTGACAGGGATGCAAGAGAGGGGGGGGAGAAAGACAGGGACATGGGGACGACAGACTGAGGCAAGTTGCAACTGGTGCCCCCCCCTTGCTTGCCATATGGCAGTTTGTTGCCCTGTTGCCCTGGCAGCAAAAAGCTTGTCTAGTACGTTCTAGTGCAGGAGAGAGAGAGAGAAGGGTTGGAAGAGGGAATGGACTTCAAGTAGTGAAGGACAGTTATGCTACAACACAGGAGCACTTTCACCTTACCTTGCCCAGTCGAAACATGTGCTCTCCCAAGCTCCCAGTCACCCGCAGTTATTGTTTTAGATGACTCAAAAAGGTCCCTCTCGGCCTACCTTGGCCAGTCGAAACATGTGCTCTCCCAGGCTCCCAGTCACCCGCAGCCGAATCCGCTCGCCTCCCCCCTCCCCTTCTTGCTCCGCTGCTTCTCCCCCTCCTGCCCCGTGTCCCCCATTCACGTCCCCTCCTCCCACATAGCCTGCACCCGCACTTGCATTCCCTGCAGCAGCACCAGCGGCACCAGCAAATCCTGCTCTTTGCTGCGCTGGGGTCCTGTAACTGGCGGGAGTAGCTGCCCTAGCAGCGGCTGCTGCTGCTGCTGCTGCTGCTGCCCTTGGCTGCACTGGGGCCCTGTAGCTTGCAGGGGTAGCTGCCCTAGCGGTGGCGGCTGCTGGCGTTGGTACTGCTGCTGCAGTTGCTGCAGCTGCAGCTACTGCTGCGGCCCACCCTTCCCTTACTACTTCCACAGTTGTCGCTCCCCTCCTGCTACCTCTCGATCTCAACCTTCCCGCTGCCTCCGCCATCGCTGCTGCTGCTGCTGCTGCTGCTTGTAATTCTGCTGGTGCCTCTCCTGTTATCTGTGGCGCTCCCGCCGCCGCTGCTGCTCCATTCAACCGGCTCTGAGTTTCGTTGCAACCAGTAGCCTGATTCGGCTGCGGCTGTGGTGAAGACAAGGGGCATGCTGACATCACGTGTTGCCTTAGCTCGCTCTCTGATAGCTGCTCCCTCATCCGAGCCAACTCAGCTTTCTGCTGCCTGAAATGGCTGCAAGAGGGACACGCAATGACAACAGGGAAAAAATAGGAACGTTTGACAGCAGAAAGTTCATAATCTGCTGGTACCCCTTTGTTCAACGAAACTGCAGCATGCACTTCATAACTTGCTTCTACTGACCTCAGCTCATCCCAACAGGCCCTCACTTAACCACTCGCCTCACTTCTCTTCGATACAGCTCCAACTGAGGGTTTTGAAGCCTCCTCACATCAGCCTATCAGCCCCTCACCCAACCACTCACCTCACTTCCCTTCGATACAGCTCCAGCTGAGGGTCGTCCAAGTCACCAGCAGCACCATCATCACTCCCTTCCGCCCACCCGTCCCACGCATCCCCCTCATCGCCCCTCTCCTTCCCTGCTTCTGCATCCCCATGTGCTGTTGCATGGCCTGGCATGGCTGCTGCATGAGAAGTTGGATTGCCTGGCATGGCGCTATGCATGGAGGACGGATGTGGGGCATGGGGCATGGCAGAGGAAACCCCAGCTGCGGTTGTCTCGCCTGCCTTGGCCGAGCCTGAACCCGAGCCTGCGGCAGGTTCGGAGGCGAGGAACGCCAGAGCCCTATGGCGATGATTTTGACCCTTGGATTGGTGCAGGCGAAATCTGTTTAGCTCACTACGCGCGTCTGCTTCTCCTGGTGTTGCTCCTGATCGGGTGGGACTTAGCACATCTTGGCAAGCAGGGTTCTGGCCGGTACCGGTAGGACTCATGCATCCTCGGGGGCTGAGAGGATTTGCACGAGGCTTGGCACCAGGCGAGCCGAGCGGGGAGGCTAGGCGAGGGGAAAGTGGGCCGGGGTTGATAGGGTTACCACCACCCTCAATTCTCTCCTTCTCCTCAGTGCCATCACTGGCAGAGGCACCCACGGGTGTGTACGGCTTGCAAGGGAGTGCGGGACGTGAAAAAGTCATACCCAGCTTGCCATACGCGAATAGGTCCTCTATATCTTCATCCTCTTCGTCTTCCTCATCCTCAGCATTGTTTCTGGTGCTGCCATTTGTTTGAAGTGCTGCCACCTGTGCTGCTCCTGCCACTGGTGCTGCCGCTGGTGCTGCTCCTGTGGTAAATGCTCGAGTAATTGCACCAAGGTATGGCTTACGGTCAACCACTTCAGTATCGCTCCCCTTCACAACGGCCTCCTTTGCACTGTCTGACACCGCTTCAGCTGCTCCTTTTCCTATCTTCTCCCTCTCCTTCTCCCTCTCCTCCTTCCTCTCCTTCTCCCTCTCCCTCTCTCTCTCCCTCTCCCTCTCCCAATCCTTCTCCTCCCTCACCTTCTCCCTCTCCCTTTCCTTCTCCCTTTCCTCCCTCTCCCTTTCCCTCTCCCTCTCCCTCTCCTTCTCTCTCCCCTTCTCCCTCTTTTCTTCCTCCTCCTCCTCCTCATCATCATCCAGCACAATAAGAGCAGCACTGCTGCACGCAGCAGCGAATCCCTTGCTAGCTGCACAGCCCTTTCTTCTACCTCTCGCGCCTCTGCCACTCCTCCGCAGCCTCCGCGGCCTGGCGTAACAGTCACTGTCACTGTCGTCGCTCAGTGCAATCACATCCGCTACAGGCGGCTGAGCTGGGGCGAAACAACCTCTTCCAGCCACGTGGTCCACGTCTATTGGTACACGTGTCACGGATCCATTCGCTGCTGGTTTGCTTGACGCTTGCATGGAAACAGGCGCGACGGGTAAGCAACTGACGGCTGCTGCTGCTGCGGCTGGTGCTGCTGCTGCTGCTGCCGCTGCTGCTGTTGCTGCTGTTGCTGCTGCTGCCGCTGCTGCTGCTGCTGCCGCTGCTGCTGCTGGTGCCGCTGCTGCTGTTGCTGCCGTTGCTGCTGCTGGTGCCGCTGCTGCTGTTGCTGCCGTTGCTGCTGCTGGTGCCGCTGGTGCTGCTGCTGCTGCTTCCTTGACATCCTCACACGCGGCTGCGACTGAAACAGGTGAACGATTCTTAGACTCTGCAAGAACGGCTGCATCCGAAACAGGCGAAGTCCCTTTCTGAGAACCCTCTGAAACGGCTACAACTGACGCAGGAGAAATGTCTTTCACTGCTTCACGCGCGACTGCATTCAATCCAGGCAACTGCCTATTCCCAGCCTCGGAAAACGCCACGTCTGAAGCAGGCGAGAGGAATTCATCCACCTCGCAAGGGTCCTCAGGCGACCGGAACAGAGCCTTCTGAACCGGCTCGGATGGCTTTACCTCCACCGCCGGTGAAAAGAACTTCTCGGCCGAATCATGCGGAGAATGATTCACGGAACCTCCATCGTCAGGACTGCTGCTGCTGGCAAAAACCATATTGACAACCTCCCGGCTCACGGTAGCGGTGGTAGGTCCTCCATTTCTGCTGCTTCTTCTGACGTTAATCGCCTCGCGTTGGTTAATGTCTCTGCTTCCGCCTTTGCTCCCGCTTCTGCTTCTAGTGGAAACCCTGCTGGTGGTAACCCTGTTGGTGGTAAGCTCGTCAGGCGAACTGATCGCAACTGAGCTCGCACTGACGCCATCCTTCGCAACAATCGCTATTTTCGAATTCCTGGTATTGCTCGCGGCCTTGCGGCTCCTCGCGTCTTTAGCAATAGTGGCAGCGGTAGTCGCGTTCTTCGCATTCGTCGCAACCGTCGCATTCGTCGAATTCGTCGCAGCCGCTCGTCGATTTCGGCTGCTGCACGGCTGACTATCCGCTTGTAAGGCGACAGAATTCTTATTAACGCGTTTTTTGGTAGAGAAAGAGTCCGAATGCTCCTCGAAGGCCGACACTAAGGATCGCTTACTCCTTGATCGCGTTTGCATGGTTGCTCGGCCTGGCTATCGAGATCGTCCACGTTAGACGTCACGGACCACTAAATAGACCTAACGGCGAATACTAAGCAGAAACACAATGTTACCAGCTGAAGGAAAGCTAGACAAATGCCAGGCAATGATGTGCTCGTCAAAACTGACTGTCAGATATCGAAGACACTGTCAGAAGCTATGACGCGGGAATTCTTGAGTCGCTCTTGCACTGAGTCGCTCTTGCGCTGCGTAGGTCTGGGGTCCGGGGGCGTGTTCAGAGTTACGCTTCCGTCCGCAAAAGTTCCTTGCCAAAGGTTCTTGCCTTCATTCATACCCAGATTGTCCCCATACTGGTCGAAAACGACCAGTGGAGCTTATAAGCGTTTCCTCATACCGCCTCCCAGATTCACTCACACTGAATCCACTGGACTTCTCGAGTTGATCGATAGGGAACACCTACCCTCGCCATAAGTGATTCACATCAAACACTAACTCTGTACCTGAGCGTTTTCATTTATGTAGTACCAACATCAGTCCTTCATATGTTCTTTAGGGCCGGATGGGGAGGAAGTGGGGGGGTGGGTATGTGCAAATAAATTGTGGCCTTCTTTTTGGATGTGGCAACATTTGACCAAGCCCTGCTCCTTCGGGATTTTTTTTCCTAGAGTGCCATTGTTGATTTATTGCACCATATAAAGCATAATGGTACAAAAAGCGAATACAAATGGATTCAGCCTTCATATGATTTAAAATCTTGAATGAAATGTTTGATTACACATATACAACATCAAAAAATATTATTATGAGTTTCACATTTCACTCGTCCATACTCATGCAAAGAGATCTTATACACTACAATTCTCTCTTTCGTTCCCACCATTTGCCTCTCCTTTCTTCCCTCATTCCTCTCCTTCCATCCACCATTCTTCACCTCCTTCCTTCTGTCCTTCCTTTACTCCTTCCTCCTTCCCATCCTCCTCCGTTTCGTTCTCTCTTTCCTCCCCTTTTTCTTCCAACCATTCCTCCAGTTCATCCTCCTGCCCTTCCTTCTCCCTACCCCTCCCCCCTACCTCCAGCTTTTCCTTCTCTCCTTCATTCCCTCCTCCCTCTCCTTCCTCCCTCCCTTCCTCCTCTTGTTCCTCCTCCCCTTCCTCCCGTCCTGTACAATTTTCCTTTCCTTCCTCCTTTCTCTTTTCAAAAACTACCAATTGAGAAAGCTTGCTTCTGTCGCAATTGGCATCGTTCTCATTACAATGGGTTCAAGTACAACAGTTCCTAGCAGTTATACTAATATACTATCACATCCAAAATGTCTAAGAACTACTACTCTCATAAGCTGACTAGCCTGGGGAGGGTGGGTGGGAATTGAACTTGAGCGATTGTAAAATGAGAGACGTGGGTGGGGGAAGAATGACCCCAGCCCACATTATATATTCGGAGAAGGCGAATACCGCGCTTCGACGATGCACAAATTGCGTTACAGTCAGCTTCGCTTTCACAATACGCAAATTTGAAAGCGATAAAACGCTTAAAAAATTTTTATTCTTATGCTCCCATAACGTCTCTCCACACAATGCCTTCTCTCCCTGCTCCCCACACACGCTTAACATCTGTTTCTCGCTCTTCCTCATTTCCTCCTCCCTCACACCCTCTGCTTGCCCTCCCCTCTCTTCTCCAACCACCGTTCCTTCCTCCTCAATGCTCCTTGCCTCCTCCCTTCGCTCAACCACACTCCTAACCTTCCGCCTCCTATATTCGGTCCCTACCTCCTCCCCTCTCCCATCCTCACTCCTAGACCACTCTCCTCCCACCACGTCACTCCCAGCCCTCTCTTTTCCCACCACCTCAATCCCAGCCCCCTCCCCTCTCCCCACCTCACTCTCTTCCTTCGAAGAATCACACACGTCCTCAACCTCACTTGCTCCTCCTCGGACTGAATTTCCAGCCCAGCCTGCTTGATGCCCCCCTGACACGGGAGCAGCCTTACGTCCTCCTGCTGCTGCTGCTGCTGCTGCTGCTGCTGCTGCTGCTGCTGCTGGTGCTCCTTCAGCTGCGCCACCCCCGCCTTGAACACTGCCGGCGCCTGCAGACTACAATGCAAAGCATTGCTGTGGCTGTCGCTGTCGACAAGGCAGTGAGGAAGCGAGTGAGCAAGAGAGGGAAAGAGTGAGTGAATGATGGGAGAGGGTGAGTGGAATTGGGAGAGAGTGAGTGGGGAGTGGGGTGATAGAGAGGAAAAGAGGGAGGAATGACTAAGAGACAAAGAGGGAGTGAGAGAGTGAGAGAGAGGGAGCGAGGGACAAGGTGCAGGAATTGTTGGAAGGCTGAGGTTCAAATGGCGAAGTATTCAACACAAACAGATGATTCAGATGACTGGGAGTGCAAAGCAGAGGGAAAAAGAAGGCTAAAGGGAACATGGAAGGCGGGGAAGAGGAGAGAGGAGGAAGAGGTGCGAACAAGAGGTGCAAGGGGAATAGCTATCGCTGGGATGTGCGGGCGGTAATCTGACGGGGCCTCAAAACAAAGGCTAAGGCAGGGAGGCACACCAAGGTAGCTGAGAGAGCAGGGAGGCACACACCTGATCCCGGAAGAGCTAGAGAGCTGGCGTTGGAGCGTCCGGTTGGTGGCGGCAATGCCCACCTTGCCGCACTGCTCCCGGTCCGTTTCTCTCTCCTCCTCCACCCCGCACCTCCTCTCCGCCTCCCTCCGTGCAAATGCCTCCTCCATGCTCGCTACCTGGTGGACCGGGAGCAGTGAGGAGGGGGTGGGTGGGGAGAAATGGGGGCATGCACCGAGAAAACTTTTGCACTGCAGGTCCATTTCCCTCTCTGCTGCCTCTCTGCCTCCACTCCTCCGCCTCCTCTCTGCTTCCCGCCGTGCATACGCCTCCTCCATGCTCGCTACCTGGTGGCGAGGCATCGGGGGTGGAAGTAGGAGGAGGGGATTGAGTGGCTATCCTGCTTCAACCAGCGCTCTTCCATTCCCACTAGTCCATCACCCAACGCACACCCCCCCCCAGTCACCTCCTCCTTGTGTTGTGAGGCCAGCTGCTTGATTCTGCGGCCTCTTTAATGTGCATCAGGTGCACCTTGCTCCCCAGCATCTAAGATAAACGCTGCGACCACACAAGCCCATCAACCCAGCTCTCACCTACTCCTCGTGCTGTGCTGCCAGCTGCTTGTAGCGTGCCACTATAGCCTCCATCTCGGCCTCCTTGATATGCATCAGCTGCAAAGTGCTCAGCACCTGGCCCTTTAGGTGCGTGTGAGGTGAATGGTTTCACCACAACAGCTCAGCAACAACCCGATTCTCACCTCCTCCTCGTGCTGTGCAGCCAGCTGCTTGTTACGTGCCACTATAGCCTCCATTTCAGCTTCTTTGATGTGCATCAGCTGCACCGTGCTCACCACCTGCCCCTCCAGCTGCAGGCGCCTCTGCCTCTCAGCTTCCAGTGCTGACTCCAGCTGCTGCCTGCGCTCCTGCAACTGGGACGATTCAATACGCAGCTGCACCACTTGGTGCGACATCTGAGGGTCGTGCGGGGAGGGAGGAGGGCGGAGGGAGAGGGGTGGGGAGGGGTGATTACGACACGTCGAGCTGTTGCCTGCTCTCGTGCTCAGCGTCCAGATGCTGCCGCACCTGAGACGACTCGATTCGCACCTCCAGCCACCCACCACCACGACTCACCAGCCACTGACCTTCCATACTAGACGGCAGCGGCACAAGTCACCACCACAAACATAGAATAGGTTGAGACCCCTCTCCCAGCCCCCTCCCTAAACATCCCAGCCCACCTCAATGACTCGGGACTTGTAAAGCCCCGCCTGTGCCGCCTGCTTTTTCATGCGCTGCAGCATCTCCTCCACCACCTCCCACCGCCGCTTAAATTCACTACTGAGCATTCTAAGAACTGAGCCCACCTCAACAACATGAGATTTGTACTGTTCCGCCTGTTCCGCCTGCTCCTTCATGCGCTGCAGCGGCTCCTCCACCACCTCCCACTGCCGCTTAAATTCACTACTGAGCATTCTAAGAACTGAGCCCACCTCAACAACATGAGATTTGTACTGTTCCGCCTGTGCCGCCTGCTCCTTCATGCGCTGCAGCGGCTCCTCCACCACCTCCCACCGCCGCTTAAATTCACTACTGAGCATTCTAAGAACTGAGCCCACCTCAACAACATGAGATTTGTACTGTTCCGCCTGTGCCGCCTGCTCCTTCATGCGCTGCAGCGGCTCCTCCACCACCTCCCACCGCCGCTTAAATTCACTACTGAGCATTCTAAGAACTGAGCCCACCTCAACAACATGAGATTTGTACTGTTCCGCCTGTGCCGCCTGCTCCTTCATGCGCTGCAGCGGCTCCTCCACCACCTCCCACCGCCGCTTAAATTCACTACTGAGCATTCTAAGAACTGAGCCCACCTCAACAACATGAGATTTGTACTGTTCCGCCTGTGCCGCCTGCTCCTTCATGCGCTGCAGCGGCTCCTCCACCACCTCCCACCGCCGCTTAAATTCACTACTGAGCATTCTAAGAACTGAGCCCACCTCAACAACATGAGATTTGTACTGTTCCGCCTGTGCCGCCTGCTCCTTCATGCGCTGCAGCGGCTCCTCCACCACCTCCCACCGCCGCCTCACCTCCACCTTCAGTGCTGGCTTGCCTGTCACATGCACGCACGCACGCACGCACGCACGCACGCACGCACGCACGCACACGCACACACACACACACATACACACACACACACACACAGATGGTTGATTGAGCGTATATTACACATCCACCACACCTGCCATACGCACATGCCTCCTCGCCTCCACCACCGCTTGCCACTGACTCCCTTCCACATTTAACGCCGCCTCGCCCACCCCCATCTCCCTCTCCCATCCGCCCTCCCTCCTCAACCAAATCATTCAAGCCTGCCAAAGAACCAAGTACCAACCGCAAGCACCAAAGTCATCACTCACCTCTGCAGCACCGGTTAAAATCATTAACATCCTGCTGGGTAGCCAAGTACCCAAACAAATTCCGCTTGCCAGACCGGTCCACTAGTGGCACCAACCGCCGTGCGAACCCCAGCCGTCCGCGCCCCTCGCATTCAAACTGCTGTGCCAGATGCTCCGCCTCTCGAAATCCGTCGGGAGTGGCATCAAACACCAGCGCGCTCATGCCTCGATGGCCCTGATGATTTTGGGGGGTAGAGGGGGAAAGAGGGGGAATATAAGAGGGAGAGACAGGGGATGTGGCGCCCCTTGTGCTCAAACTGCTGCGTAGGCAGGCCGCCTCGCGAAATCCACCCGGAGTGGCATCAGAGACCAGCGCGCTCATGCCTCCATGGCCCTGATAAATGGGGGGGCAAGTGAAGGAAAGAGAGACAAGAGATGTGACGCCACTCATTCTCAAACTGCTGAGCCGGAAGCTCCACCACTCCGCCTCCCTAAATTGGTTTGGAGAGGCCTCAGGTAAGGGTGCGGCTGGTGGTTAGAGAACAAGCAACAGGGTAGACGCTGGACTTGCAGAACGAGTAGCAGAGATGGTGAACGGGGGATGGCACTGTGGGGAAGCAAAGTAGCAGATGGGCCAACGTGAAATGGACGGGAGGAGAAAAAAATAGAGGGGGGGGAGAGAAATGTTTCCATAGCCATGTTAGGTCCAGGTTTGACTGAGAATGTGCGAACGGTCACCTGACGGTCATAGGCGTGCTTGGCCTTCACAATATGCTTGTAGTCAGGGAAGGGGTGCTGCAGCTCATAACCATCCATGCCCACCCACTGTTTTTCATGCACGAGACAAATAGACGGTGGGCAACACGGGAAAGGGCATGGGAGGCATGGGGGAAGGGGAAATATGAACCCTGAGAAGAATGAAACATAAAAGTTCTAGAAAGGCAGGAGAGGACAGCGGAGATAGTAGTCCAGAAAAGCATGAATTGCGAGGCGATTGTTAAGCCCTCAACAATCAAATAAGGAGCCTATTCAATTCCTTCCATTTTTATAGATTGTAGCCTTTCCTTCCAACACTCACCCCTCCTTCATCACTCACCCGCCCGTCCGGCCCGGGTTGCAAGCGAGTATTCCTAACGATCACAACGGGCGGCCATAGCACCATCGCATTTTCCTCCTCCGCCCTCCGCCCCTCCACTCCGCGCCACAGCCCCTGCAACATCCTCTCCTCCCCCTCCTTCCCGGCCCCCCCTCCCTCCAGCACCACCCCTCTCTCCCTCAGATGCACATGCACGGCGGCAGCAAACGCCCGGTGCTCACTAATTCGTCTGGAACGAATTGTCTCTGCGTGCTGCAGCAGCGAGTGTATGCCCGGCCACCAGTGGGTCTCGCCCTTGCCACCCCTGCATGAGGGGCACTTGTATTGAGTGTCCTGTGCGCAGATCTGGTTCTTCCCCATCATTGTGAGATGCTTGATGAAGCGCGTAATAGCAGGCGAGTGCTTATGATCAGTGGCACACGCGTGCCCGGTGGCTGCAGCGTTGGGGGAGGATTTCATATCCTCCTCCTCATCATCGTCATCATCGTCTTCATCTTCCTCCTCCTCATCCTCCTCATCCTCCTCCTCGTCCTCCTCGCGCTCGCCTTCCCCCTCCCCTTCGTCCTCGTCCTCGTCTTCAACTTGCAGCTCACTCACAGTGTGCCCTATGGTTACATCAACACCATCATTACCACAAACACCAGCACGAGCAACAGCAGCAGCAGCAGCAGCAGGGGCACTGGCACGTGCACTAATGCTGAACCCACCACCACCAGCTCCCCTAACCCCCACAAGGGCAAGGGCAGCGGCGGCACGGGCCCTATCAGCCGCACCCACATTGCTAACACTATCGGAGAAACCGACCTCAAGCTCACTCACGGGGGGGACATACTCGCTCCCGCTCTCCCCCGCTATCGACAACCGCAGCACACTGGAGTGCGGTTCCGACTGTGGGTCGTAGCTTGACTGCGACCATATTGAGGCCCCACCCCCCATGTCTTTTCCCACAACTTTTCCCAAGTCCCCCCTTGCACTCCCCCCCACATCTTTCCCCAAGCGCCAGCCACCAATTGCATCGCCCGCACTGTCTCTAAGCAACCCCTGTCCCCCATGAGGCAGAGACTCAAACTCACCACGAACAAAAGCGCCGGTGCCCTCGCCCGTGTCCATCCCCCATCCTCCACCCCTGCCAGTTACCAAAGGACCCCTTACCGCACCCTGTGCACTCTCGTTCGCTGATGTTGCTGACTGCGAGGACGTGAGCGAATGAGTTGGAGAGTCGCTCTCCTTACTCCGCCACTCCATCCTATTCGCCCCCATGTTGTTGAGGGTTAGGCCCAGCCCACTTTTGCTCAACCCTCCGTTTGCTGAGCCTACTCCCCAACCATCAGCACTACCAGTGCCACCACCAGCAGCAGTAGCACCAAAAGAATCGCCAGCAGCAGGGTTGAAGCCACCACTACTACTTTCCCAAGTGGATGCACCAACACCAGTACCACCCGCACTGCCAGCGCTCATACCGTTGCTCCTCGTCCCACCACCACCAGTAGCGCTCTTGCCACCAATTCTTCTCTCCCATGTGGTCCCACTACCACCAGCAGTGCTCCTGCCACCTCTGCTTCTTTCCCACGTGGTCCCACCACCACCACCACCAGCAGTGCTCCTGCCACCACTGCTTCTCTCCCACATGGTCCCACCACCACCAGCAACACCACTCTTGCCACCTCTGCTTCTCTCCCACGTGTAAGTCCCAGCCTCTGCACTCCGCTCCGTGCCTCCCCTCGGCCCCGCACCTAGCGCCTCACCCTGTCCCCTCCCACCAACCCACTTGCTGGGTGGCACATACCTGCCAGAGGTCCAACCTGAGCCTCTGCTGCTCCTGGCCGGGGCACCCCCCCATCCCGCGGCCTCACGCCCTCCTGATGCATTGGCGCCACTTTTGCTGGCGTTGCTCCTACCCCCACTGCTCTGCCAGTAGGCGCTGTCGCCCCATTGGTTGCTGAGGTCTGACTTGGCGTCGGACCAGGTGGTGCTCACTACACTCCCGTCCTCGTTAGTAGCTGTGCTCCTGGGGCGCACGTAGCTGCTAGAGGAGCTCATGGAGTCGTCATCATGGGTTTTCCCCGTGGAACCTCCCCACTTTTGCTGCTGCTGCTGCTGCTGCTGCTGCTGCTGCTGCTGCTGCTGCCACATAAGTGTTTGATTCCCAAACTGCTGCTGTTGCTGGCACCAGCGCCCAGCAACCCCCGTCACAGCCCCGTCAGTTGCACCAGCAACAGCAGCAGCCGCACCAGTGGTGGCATCGGCCCTCACAGCAGCAGTATCGACAGCTGCATCCTTCCAACCGACGATGTCGCCCCACCCATTGAGTATCGGCACCTTGCCAGCTGCCTGCCCCACCATGCCACCACTATTCGCAGCCGTGGTGCCATCGCCAGCAGCTGTATCTGAACACGCATCAGTGTTGGCAGCCGCAGAGAAGCCAGTTGCAGCAGCAGAGGAGCCAGCAGGCACAGTGCGAGCAGCGGCAGGTGTGGCAGCAGAGGCAGCGCCAGCAGAGGCAGATGCGTTAGCACTGAGAGGAGCAGGATAGCTGGACCTGCTGGAGTTGCACCTGCTAGTGATGGAGGCAACGGCTGCACTACCAGGTGCAGCCGTGCAAGCCTGACCCAGACCCCATAAACCATGGGGCTGTTGAACCTGCTGACACCAAGCTCGGTTCGGCCCGGACCAAGCTTCAGGTTGGTTCGGCATCTGACCTTCAACACGGGTGGCCGCATGTTAGCAGGAACATGTCCCCACGTCACATGGGAAGGAGCTCTCGTTGCTGCTGCTGCTCCGATCTTTGATGCACCTCCTCCTGCTGCTGCTTTAGTTGCAGCCACAGCCGACCGCGTCGCCGCCTCTTCCAACCAGGGAGCGACGGCGGGTGTGGTGGAAGAGCCCCAACCCGTGCTGTTTCCATGGTTTGTTGGTGCTGTTGATGCTGCTGGTGCTGTTGATGCTGTTGGCGCTGTTGGGGTCACCCCACCCCAAACCGCGTATGTGGCGCCGCAAGCAGCGCCATAAGCGGCACCGTACACGGCACCACACGCAGCACCGCACGCAGCACCGTACGCGGTTGTGCCCAAGGCGCCCCACGAGCCGCAGCCCTTGTCGCGCCAGGACTGAGCGGAATCAGTGTCCTCGGTCTCATTCGCCCAGTGCTGCTGCGTGAGACGCACGGCGGCCTGCTGTTTCCAGTACGCCACTGGGTCGATGGGCGCGGCTGTCATAACTGTGCTGCACTCGCTTGCGCTGTCATCCATGGATTGAAACGAATCAGGAATCATCTCTTGAGGAGCCTCAAATTTCGTCTCTTGAGGCGCCTCAGGTTTCGCCTTTCCAGGCGCCTCAAAAGTCGCTTTTTGAGGCGCCACAAACGATGCTGCGGCTGTCCTCGTGCTGCGCATGTTCGCACGGTCGTCCATAGCACATCAGATCCTATAGGAAGGCGCACGGTCCTGCAAGAATAGCGACGCGATCAAGGAAGGAAATTCAAGGTGAAAGATAATCAACCTTGGAAAAACAAGAAGAAGAAATGGATAAAAAACTTGCGGAATGGCAAGCCAACAACACACCAATGGCCAGCACCGCACTTACACAACGCATATCAAACCGTCCGCAGGCTCACCTCTGCGTCACCTCGAAGAGATCTATCTCAGATCAGCCACTCAGCGCAAGCTCTTCCGCCAAGCACTAAGGGTCCTCTGCCTGCGACTGGCTTGAAAGCAAGATTTTCCGATCTGCGTGGCCAGGGTTTCCAGCAATCAAGAACCTCGTGATCTCGAAATATTCCAAAGCAGAGAAGTTCGCTTGCTGTGCTGGTTCTCTCTCGTACTCCAGAGACTTCCAGAGCAGAGCTCTCTCTGGTTGCTGTTCTCGGCTTCTCTCTCACGATGGGAGCGAATTGGTGAGGACGCATACTATACGGAAGGCCTTTGCACGTGAGGGCTGGTGGAAATGCCATGCACGCCACGTGATCCGGCCGTTCGACATTGCGACACGGTGCAGCAATGCATGCACACGAACAGAGCTCAAGGTCTAATTGAACGCGCTAAAAGGTGATTTTCTCCTCGCCTATGAAGTGTTTTTTTCTTGCTCTGCTAGACTGTAAGCATTCCTCGAGGTGATACCCCTTGAGCTTGTCATCGATAAGAACAACTCAGTACACGGATCTGACAGTCAAACTTCTAACATTTCTTCGCAAAGCTACGATTCGGATGGACCATGTGACACACTGCGCGTGGGGACTTGCCAGCCACAAATCGATGACGATGGCATCATGTCCCGGTTGAGTGGACCAATCAGCGACGAGGAGGCATGATCCAGGTTGCCATCGCCATACCTCCAAACCATAAACGGAGCGACCACACCGCAAAGGTTGGGGTGATGCATCCAAACCGAAGCAAATTGCCAATTTAGCTTTACGAAACGTATTCAACTGCACGTAACCACTTTGATATTTCATGTCCTTACTCTTACGGTTCTCCTGGCTCGGTCTCCTGATACTGTGTGGCAAGAACAGTAAGGGCGCGTGTCCTTTGGTGTAGACGTTTGGAATTTTGGTTGAACTTTTGCTGGTTACTCTTTTCATTAATTTCGCTAAAACCTTCGTCAGGACGTCGTGTGTCCACGTACACTTCCAGCATCGGAAAATGTTGAGCTCCCAAGTTGAACCCTCATCAACAAACAGGTTGGCACGAATGTGCGAGCGTGTGTCCACCTCATCACTGACAGCGACGATGCGAAGTCTGCGACGCTCGCAGCTAGCATCGTGCGCACGAGGGTGCTCGTCAGCGCGAGGCCTTACGTGGCGCGATGTCAAGAGTCCAAACCGGGTAACATACAAGCGTAGGTCGCGGCTCGGCTGGGCTGCAAAAGTTCAACTTCGATAGTTGAACTTTTGTTTGTCGCGTGATTTTCGGGAGGGGTGGAACCGCGGCTCGGTTTGCAGTTGGTGAAAACTCGAGCCTAGCTCGAGCTAGGTTCAAATGACTACAGTTCAACAAAAAAATCGAGTTTTGCATATAAAAACCAAAAGACACGCGCCCTAATAAATAGCAGAGCCGAAGCACAAGGCCAGATCCCGCGGGAAGCTTCACTCACCGAGCATCCTGTGAATCCACTCATCTCTAGCCGTGAGCTGCGTGTTGACGACAGTTGTGCGTGAATCCTCTCATCCGTACATCGCATAGGGTTTTCCCGTACATTAGAGAAGTCGCATTCGCGAGATCAAGAACCGCTTTTGGCGTTGAAATTGTACCACCAGAGCTGCGTCATCAATCTGCCGAGGCGAGAAACGGCTAGCATTTTGAGCGATCGTTACCTTATTCGTCAATCCCGCCAAGTGCCACCGTCAGGTTTTATTCGTGTCAGAAGTCCCCGATGGGTAAGGCGTCCAACGCGAAGCATAGGAACCACCGAGGCGGCGGCGACAAGCCCGAGAAGGGTTACACCGGGGACCGTGACGAAGTGGAATCAGCTGACGAGGGTTCTAGCGATAGCGACTACCTTTCGGAGTCGGAAGACGAAGGGACTGACGATTACAAGCGAGGTGGTTACCACCACGTGAAGATCGGCGATTCGTTCAGGAATGGTCGTTACCGCGTGGTGAAGAAGCTTGGATGGGGTCACTTCTCAACCGTCTGGCTCGCGTGGGATGAAACGGAGAAGGTACGTTGCAACGATGAGATGAATCTGGGAGGAGAAAATGAAGCGGGAATGGAGAGGATGAAATAGATATGACGAAGTGGCGAGGAAAATGAACAAACAAGGCGACTGGAGTCCGTCAATATGAGGGAGGTCAAGTTGAGGAGGACAGGGTAAGGAGGTCAAGGTGAGGGGTTACAATCCTCTGCCTTAACCACTTGGCAACGCCCGCCCTTCCAAAATCGGAACAGGATAATGCAGTGACTGGAAGCTTACCAGTTGCGATCCCATTCCCGCACTTGGTACCCATGAGCTGGAACCTTTCTTTATGTTTACTTCTGGTCCGGTCCTGGTTTTGACTATCTCTGTTCTCAGGAATGGTTTCTTTCTTATCACTATCCTCTCCTCGTTTCACTCTTTGTGGCCTCCCCGGCCCGTCTTTCGTGGGTGCCTACAGCGCTACGTGGCTCTCAAGGTGCAGAAGAGCGCTTCGCACTATACCGAGTCAGCTCTTGACGAGATTCAGCTCCTCAGACAGGTACGGAAAGGATAAGTCGAGTTCAAAATAACACCACGCAATGTCGATTGTGATTTTCGAACGAGTTGCTCGAATCGCCTCCTACCTGCCTGAGGGTCTCCTATTGTCCAGAACGGCAGAGTTTCTCTTGTCCACCCACTGATGTCACTTTTGAGACTTCTCAAAGCGTTTCTTGTTGGCCAGAACGGCAACATTTCTCTTCTCCACTCACGGATCCCCCTCCTTCTTCCCATTCTCCCCTCCCACTCTCCCTCCCCCTTTCCCTGCCAGGTGACGGACGGCGATCCGCGGAACGACAAGTGCGTGGTGCGCCTACTGGACCACTTCCGCCATTCCGGCCCGCACGGCTCGCACGTGTGCATGGTCTTCGAGTGCCTGGGGGAGAACCTCCTCTCGCTCATCCGCCGCTTCCGCTACCGCGGCCTCCCCCTCCCCGCAGTCAGGCACCTCGCGCGCCACATCCTCACAGGCCTAGACTACCTGCACCGCCAGCTTTCCATCATCCATACGGACTTAAAGCCAGAAAACGTGCTGCTGGTACGGTCGATAGATGATCAGCTGGGGATTGGGGGGAGAATGGACGGTCCCCCGCCCCCGCCTCCGCCTCCGGTTTCCGTTCCGCGTGGGGGGGATGGCGCGGGAGCGGGGGGAGGGCGCGGGGGAGGGGCGGGAGGGGGAGGGGCTGGGGGCGCGGCGGAAGGGGGACCGTTGGCGTCACCAGCGGCGTCAGGACTGACGAAGAATCAGCGGAAGAAGCTGAAGAAGAAAGCCAAGAAGGCCGAAGCTGCTGCTGCTGCTGCTGCCGGTGGCGCTGCTGCTAATGGCGCTGCTGGTGGGGCTGCTGGGGTACAGGCGGGAGGTGGGGAAGAAGAGGGAGAGGCGGAAGCGGGGGCGGCGGATAAGGGGGAGAGTGAGGGGGGTTCGAGGATGGAGGAGAGTAGCGGGGGCGCGGGGGGAGGCGCGGAGGGGATGGTGGAAGACACGGCTGATAGCAGAGCAGCAGGGGAAGCAGCGGTGGAGGGAGGGAGAGAGTCATCCGCGTTAGAAGCTGGACTACAAGAGTACCTAGGGCTTGCTGGTAACGGGAAGGCAAGGGGGCCAGGTGCCGAAGCAGGGGCAGGGGGTGGCGGGGATGCAACAACAGCAACAGCAGCAGCAGCAGCCGCTGCCTACGAAGCTAGCGCCATCACTAGCAGCAGCAACAGCAGCAGTGCCAGTAGCGCCACCGCTGGCTGTGGGGCAGGGAGCACAGAAAGGCGTATTCACGTCTTCGTCTTCAATGGAGGATTACCTAGGTCTGACCGACCTCGCTGCGTCTGTTGCTGTCACTGCCACTGGCAACGGCACAGGTCCTCCTGCTGGTGGTGGTGGTGGTGGTGGTGGTGGTGGTGGTGGTGGTGGTGGTGGTGGTGGTGGTGGTGGTGGTGGTGGTGTTGGTGGTGGTGGTGGTGTGGCAGGGGTTGGTGGAGGAGCCGAGGCAAAGGGTGCAGGGGAGAAATCTCAGGTAGCTACAGTGGCAACAGGAGGGGCAGCGGCAGCAGCAGGGACAGCAGCGACAGAAGCAGCAGCAGCACATGCGGCAGCAGAGGCGGTGGCAGAGCTTGCAGGAAGGAGGAAAAGGCCGGTAGATCTCACAGGGTTGGACCTGAGCTGCAAGATCGTGGACCTTGGGAATGCCTGCTGGACGTACAAGCAGGTGGGTGGCTGTAGCGGGTGCGTGGTTGTTGTAACTTGCAAGCAGGTGTGCGGCTGTAGCTGTGAGAATCCCATAGTTGGGATTAGGGGGTGAACTCAAGAGTTGGTATATTGATAAAGAAGAGCAGTACAAATAGGGAATGGGAAGAGTGACCAAAATCAGAGTTACCCCACACCATTATTGGTTGACCAATGTGGTGAGGGTCCAGCCCAATAATTGAGGTTGAGTCAATTATTGGAGGGGCCAAACATTGGAGGGGTTGGCCACCAATGTTGGCTCCCCAACAATAATGGTCGCCTGGGTTGTGGAAACCCAACCAAAAGTTGGGAGACCACCTCAATGTGTACACCCATGATTTGGGTGTACACTATTAGTTCTAGCCATATACATGCTATATTCTAACAGTAGCATGCGGGCAGGCATCTGAGAGGGTTCTACCTGAGCTGCAAGGTCGTGGACCTTGGGAATGCCTGCTGGACGTACAAGCAGGTGCGCAGCTGTAGCAGGAGCGTGGCTTTAGCAGGAGCGTGGCTTTAGCAGGTGCGCAGCTGTAGCAGGTGTCTGGCAGTAGCCTGAAAGTGCTCCTGGAAGCTCTGAGACAAGTCAAATGTTCCCTGCCCCCACGTCAATACCCCCCCCCCCCCCCCCGCCTTCCTCCCTCCTCCCCTCCCTCCCTCCCCTCCCAGTTCACGAGTGACATTCAGACGCGCCAGTACCGCTGCCCCGAGGTGCTGCTGGGGGCGCGCTACTCCACCTCCGCGGACATGTGGTCCTTTGCTTGCCTCGTCTTTGAGCTCGTCACGGGGGATGTGCTCTTTGACCCGCGCTCAGGCCATGACTTCGACCGGGATGAGGTGAGATGTTCCTGCGTAGCTTGTTGACTGCTGTCAACGCATTTTCTTTGAGCTCGTCCGCTGACGAGTCAGCCATGCCTCTTTCTCACTGCACTCCTACCTCACCACGATCTCTCTGTTTGAGTGAGAGTGAACCCAAACCCCTACTCGTTCCGCACAATATTTTTTTAATTCGCTGTTGTGTGGGGTGTGCAGGATCATCTTGCGCTGATGATGGAGCTGATTGGTCGGATTCCAAAGAAGGTCAGTCACACTGCATCCCAATCGCACCTGCATTCATTTCAAACCACACCTTGCACCTGACCATGCACTCTGCACCCATGCATCTGAATTGACGTTTGAGAAGTCCCAAAGGTCAATACAGGATCTCCCTAGGAGGCAAGCACTACGAAAGCTGCTTCTCCCGCAACGATGAGCCGAGCCACAGAAGGCGGGGGAAGTCCATCCCTCATTTTCCTGCATCCCCTCCCCCCCACACTTCTGCCCATGCAGATCGCCCTAGGTGGCAAGTATTCGCGGGATTGCTTCTCACGCAACGGGGTGCTGAGGCACATAAGGCGCCTCAAGTTTTGGCCTCTTCAACCCTCTTTCATTCCCCTTTGTCCCTTCCCTTTGTTCCGCTCCTCTTTGCCGTCCAGATTGCCCTGGGAGGCAAGTATTCTCGGGATTTCTTCTCGCGCAACGGGGAGCTGAGGCACATAAGGCGCCTCAAGTTCTGGCCATTAGACCGAGTGCTGATCGAGAAATACGACCTCCCCCCAGCAGAAGCCACCTCCCTCGCCTCCTTCCTCACCCCCATGCTCGACTTTGCCCCTGAGAGACGCGCCACTGCCCGCCAGGCCCTTGCCCACCCCTGGCTTGCCGAACCTGAGCCGGAGCGGCCGCTAGGTTTGGCTGGTGCAGGAGGTTCGGGTGCGGAAGTAGGGTCGGGTGGTGCGATGGGTCGGGGGGGTGGGGAGGTGGAGGATAAGAAGAAACGGGGGGAGAGTAGGGAGAAGAAGGGGGGTGGGGTGAGGGAGGGGAAGGAGAGTGGTGAGAGGAGGGAGGGAGAGAATGGGGATGTGAAGGGAGAGGTGAATGGGGTAGGTGGGGGAGGGATGAGAGATAAGAGGGAGCGGACTGGGGTAAGGGGAGGGGGTGGTGGTGTGATGAATGGGGAAGGTGAAGGCATGGACTGCGATTCTGGAGATGGTGCAATTGCTGGGCAAAGAGGAGGAAAAGCAGCTGCTAAAGCAGCTGTAACGCCGCCATTAGCGGCCTCGGTGCCTTTGTCGGCATGATTTTAGAGGAGCATTACATCCTCTCACTTCTCTATTTTTTTTTTCCAAAGCATTCACAACGTATTTTTGTTGTGTGTATCATAAAAGTCCAACGAAATACCTTTTTGTTAAAATGTGGAGCCAACAGTTTTCCTAGCTTATTTTGGTTGGGTTTTCTCTTGAGTTCCCTCATAAGAAGTGTAACCGAGAGTTGGAAAAGTTTCGCGAGGATCTTCGCAAAGTCTTGAGGATAATTCCTCTACTCCCTCGATTTCTCCGACTGTCACCGTAGCAGACCTGATCATTCAGGTGATGCCATAGCACTGGGTGATGCCACAGAACACCAAAACCTTATACTACATAGCTGATACAAGTTAATTGACTGGTGGTCTCCTAGACTAACGGCCACGCTTGTGAAGCCCGCGCGTGACAACAGAACCCTACCGTTCGTAGTCTTCTCCCCGGCAGCCATTTCCAGCTTCAACTAATTCATCTGTCGACGTGACACCCTTTTCAGATTGATCAGGCGCACAATAACCGTCAGCCTCAGTTGCAGTCTGGTTTATTCTGATCATATCCTGATTGGCTTAGCCCCAGTTCGATCACGTTAGCGCGACGCAGAGTCAGCAACCAAGTTTTCCCGCCATCGCTGACAACCGTCGACTTCTACCCAGCCAATCCAAATGGCCGCTTCTGGCGGTTTGCCGTTTAACCCCTTTAACGGAGTCAACCCTCTCTCTGACGCGCTCCGCGCTCGGCCACCGGCGGCCCTCCCTGCTCGCTCTCCCAAGGACTCTCGCTCTCGCTGCTCTCGTCTCTGTCTGCCACGTGGCAGCACGGCAAGCACCGCCTTAGAGCCAGGCGAGCATTCATCCCGCAGTTACTTAAGCTCCAAGAAGGCCGAGTCGTTTTCTGAGTATTTGTCAAAGAAGGGAAAGGGATACCACTCTAGGAAGGCTGAGCTTCGGCCCGAACTGACCTTTCGGTTTTTGGGATTCGGGTCTATGAGTTTGGGGTTCGGGCTCCTCTCTTAATGTATAGCATTTCCTTCTGCATCCAACCTTCCATTGACGCGTCCTCCCACATTTACGTTGATGCTGTTACCACCTACCCACTTCTTCCCGTTTTCCCTGCAGTGCATCGGACGCATCTCAGCCGTTGGAAGAACCATCACAGAAGAAAGGGCAATCCGGGTCGTTGCTGGAGGTGGGTAGATGGAAGTTCAACACGCTGACTTTTGCTCACATTGCTAATATTGCTGACATTTGCTCACATTGCTAATATTGCTGACATTTGCTCACATCGCTGACATTGCTGACATTGCTAATGTTGCTGACATTGCTAACATTGCTAGCTAGATTTGCGCTCATTGCTAGCTAGCCTTTCTTTCATTGCTAAGATTGCTGGCATTGCTAACATTGCAAACATTGCTAACATTGCTGACATTGGTAACGTTGCTAGATAGCTTTGCTCTCATTGCTAAGATTGCACACATTGCTAACGTTGCTGACATTGGTAACATTGCAAACATTGCTAACATTGCTGACATTGGTAAGATTGCGAGCTAGCTTTGCTCTCATTGCTAAGACTGCTCACATTGCTGACATTGCCAACATTGCTCAGAGTTCTCACATTGCTATCGTTGTTGACATTTGACATTGCTAGCATTACAATGCCGACGTTGCTAACATTGCCTACACCCCCTCGTGTCCCTCCTATGTCTTTCCCCTCCCCCCTATCATCAGAGAGCGGCACCGAAGCCGGCAGGCCAATGAGAGGGGGATATAGGGATATATTGTCGGCTATTGAACTTTAAGACGTCTCACAACTCAGAGTGAGACAGAGGAGGGTGAACGATCAACATCCTCTTGTTCACCTCTCCCTTGTTCCTTCCCTCCCATGTTCGTCTTGCCACAATCAGAGGTTCCCCCTCAAGGCAGCAGTCACGGCGAGTGGGCTGGCGCTGACGGGGGACACGATAGCCCAGCTAGTGGAGCGGTACCGACGGCGCCAGGCCAAGGAAAAAGAGATAGTGGGAGAAATAGAGGGCATTTTCTTTCCCATGTCCCCGATGCTCTTTTCCTTGAGCAGAGGTTCCCCCTGAAGGCAGCAGTGACGGCGAGTGGGCTGGCGCTGACGGGGGACACGATAGCCCAGCTGGTGGAGCGGTACCGACGGCGCCAGGCCAAGGAGAAGGAGATAGAGGCGGCGTCACCGTGCTGCAGAAAGAGAGTGAGTTGGCCTGGGTGGGGTGGGAGTAATGGGTGGCGTCTGGGTGGGTCCGCCACATCAGTTGCGGGGCGTGGCGGACAAGGAGATGTGGCGAAATTAATTCATTCGAGCCCTTGGCATCAGATGGCCTCCTGCAGCTTCCCGCTCCTTCCCTCCCGCGCTTCCCCCCGTCACATCAGCTGCGGGGAGTGGCGGACAAGGAGATGTGGCGAAATTCGAGCATTGCACGCGTCGTCCAATGGCTTCTTGCTTCATGTATTCCTGCTCCAAGGTCTGCTTGTGCGTGGCTGGTCAATCGAGCCTTCCAATTCCTCCCCACCCCCCCCGTCCTCTCTCCCCATGCTTCCCCTCCCCTTCTCCCCCCCCACCAGTTGCGGGGAGTGGCTGACAAGGAGCTATGGCAGCATGATTTCATCCGCGCCCTCCGCATGGCGTCTTATGGCTTCCTGCTTTACGGCCCTGGCAGCTACGTGTGGTACCAGTACCTTGACCGCATGCTGCCCGCTCCCACACTCCAGAATTTCGTGCTCAAGGTGCGTGGGTGCTTGTACTCGTCAGGAACAAGTACCATCATGTGCCAGCTTTTATCCTGCTCTACGGCCCTGGCAGCTACGTGTGGTACCAGTACCTTGACCGCATGCTGCCTGCTCCCACACTGACGAATTTCGTGCTCAAGGTGGGTGATCGTATTTGAGGTAAGCAGCTGGCACTCGCTATAAGCAGGTGGCATCTCAAAGGCTACTGCTCCTGCTCCACGCCTACTGCCTGCTGCCTACCCCCATTTCTTTCCCCCATTCTTCCTTAAACCCCCCTCCTCATAGCTTTCCCCCCTCCTTTCTCCCGCCATTGCTCCTGCAAACCCTCCCCTGTTGCCTCCCCCTAATAAGCCCAGGTGGCAGCGAATCAGGTGGTGCTGGGGCCGTGTGTTCTGCTGGTGGTGTTTGCATGGAACATGGCGTGGATGGGAAAGGCCAAAGACATCCCTGACAAATACCGCAGGGACTTCTTTCCATCTCTTGTTGATGGTGAGCTATATATGTATACCTCTTGAGGCGCCTCAAAGTGTTTGCATGGAACATGGCGTGGATGATGGGCAAGGCCAAAGACATCCCGGACAAGTACCGTCGGGACTTCTTCCCTTCGCTTGTTGATGGTGAGCTAAAATAGCATATGCATATGTACATATGAGGTAATAAATATAAGATGTTGAGAGGAGCACAGGATTACCATTATGATAGCCAGTAAAGATTTGGAGATGTAAAGGTCGACCTCTACCACATCTCCTCATTGACGTAAAAGCTCTGAATTCTTGGACTTTGAAACAAGAGTTTCCCCTGTCCTGTCCCGTGCTCTTCTGTCTTGCTCCCATCGCCATACCAGGGTGGAAGTTCTGGATTCCAGCTGCGAGCCTCAACTTTGCGTAAGCCTCTCATCCCGCCCAACACTCTGGGTCACCACCACTCTTGCATCTCTATTTAATCACTTTCTCTACCCCTCATCAAACCCGGATTCCAAGTCCCTGCTCCTCAAATCTATGAACCTGAATTCCTAAACCCCAAAACCCGAAGACCTGCCTGGTTCACATCCATTCCATCCCCTTTATCCAGTTTCTCCCACCTTCCCCCCCTCCTCCCCCTGTTTCTCACTCGCCCTCACCTTCCCGCCCTCCCTCTCCTCTCCATCCCCGTTACAGAGTGGTCCCGTTAGAGGCACGAGTGGCGTTCATGTCAGTGTGTGCCATCTTTTGGAACTTCTACCTCTCCTCCTCTGTCGGCAAGGAATCTGCTGCTCCCAAACTCCCACCTGCATCGTCCCCTGCTAGTGCTGCTGTGCCTTCTACCCCTGCTGCTGCCAGTGCTTAGTGGCCTTCATGTCAGTGTGTGCCATCTTCTGGAACGTCTACCTCTCCTCCTCTGTCGGCAAGGAATCTGCTGCTCCCAAACTCCCACCTGCATCGTCCCCTGCTAGTGCTGCTGTGCCTTCTACCCCTGCTGCTGCCAGTGCTTAGTGGCCTTCATGTCAGTGTGCACCATCTTTTGGAACTTCTACCTCTCCTCCTCTGTCGGCAAGGAAGGCGCCTCTGCTGCCGCTCCCAAACTCCCACCGGCACCCCCCCCTGCTGCCCCTGCGGTTTTTTTTGCCTAGAGGTGCTCATGTCAGGAAGTAGCATCGCAACCTGTGCTGTTACCCTGTAACAAGGACGGCATGTCAGTGTGCGCCATCTTCTGGAACTTCTACCTTTCCTCTGTCGGCAAGGAATCTGCTGCTCCCAAACAGGGCTGTCGATTCAAGGGCATTTGCCCTTAATGCCCTGAACATTAAGGGTTGACATCGGTCCAGGTTCCGAATTTAAAGGATTGCTTTCCAGTGCAGCCCGGATTCTTAAAGTGCGTCATCAGGGCCTTCCCCCTGATTCTTACAGGGCGCATTTGGGGCCTAGCCCTGATTTGCCGTACAAGTTTGGGGACTTCCCCGGAGGTCCCCCCTCTCTCCACCCCCCTTCGTCTTAACTCTCCCCTGTCTCACACTCCTTGTTTGTGAAGCAAGCTTGCCACCTCACCTTTGATGGAAGGTGGTTAGAAAATCTGAGCCAATTACGGCTTTCAGTGTTAGAGCAGGTATTTCTTGCCCTGAACGCTTAAGTGTTGCCCTGATTTCAAGTGTTGAGAAGTGGCCTCTCCCGGACGCTTAAGGGCTGGAAAAAGCCGCTTCACGGAAATTTCAGGGCTGGAAACAGGGCACCTCAGCCACTCAAGTGTTGGCCTAAAACCAATCGACAGCCCTGCTCCCAAACTCCCACCTGCATCTCCCCTGCTAGCGCTGCCACACGTGCTGACCCGCTGCGTCAGGGAAGAGTTGCATTGCTTGATTCTCACTTGTCCATCAAGAAGGGGGAAAGTGTAGGCTAAAAGCAGTTGGTTTGTGCTAAAATTTGATTAAGAACTAGTATCAATAGGGTATGTATCGCGTACAACCCCCGCACCACACGCCTCTCATTTCCCCCGCACTTGGGGATTGTCACGGACAATTGTGGTTTTCCTCCTGACAGGGCGCGTGGCGCATTCCTTCGCGCAACAGCAGCCAATCAGCCACAACCATAAAAAACATCCGCAAGTCAGAGAACCAATCACTCGAGCATGCCGACAAGGTGTCGGGCGCAAACACACCCAATCACACTTCCCCGTTCTCCCGGGGAACATCAAGTAAGCAGAGGCAAAGGGGAGCTATAGCGCGAAGAGCTCAAGGAAATCACCTTCCGCCCTTGGCTGCACTCTTTTCCCCAAAGAGTCCCGCGCGCGCAACCATGTCATGTTCTCATCACCGCGCGCGCAAACTGTCATGTTGACATCACCGCGCGCGCAAACTGTCATGTTGACATCACCGCGCGCGCGTCCTCCTCCGCAGCTCATTCATGTTTGTCACCGCTGCATCACGCGCAACCCTTTTCGAGTTGTCCAAGAGCTCCTCTTTTCTGCTTGCATCAGCTGGTAGCTCGCGCTGCGACTCCGTTGCTCAGGCTTTTTAGCTTCGACAGCCGCTGTGTTCCCTGTGGCGGCGCGCGCATCCACGTGAACCAGTCGCCGAAAGCTTATATCTTTATTGGGTTTTGCATTATGGCGTCCGCTATTCGCGTGCAAGTGCAGCTCGGGCAAGTGGCAGAGAGTAAATCCGACTCGCAGTCGTTTTCTGGTGCTGGTAACGCGGTCGCATGCCTCGGCTTCCCCTCTCGCGAAAGCATGCGTTTCGTCGACTCTTTTCGGCACGGAATCCCGCTAAAACGGTCCCTTGCAGCCACTCGCAGCAGAGCTGTGCGAAACGACCGACTTGTAGTTACCACAGCTAGCGATTCTTCCTCTCCCGTCGCAGCACCCAGCGCCCGCCAGGCCTTCCCGTGCTTTCCCTCACGAAGCTTCCTAGCCGTATCCTCACCATCCAGCAGCGGTATGTCTGTAAATCTTCCAGGCGGTTCCTGCTTTGGACGGTCCGGATCGCTTCTTAACTGTAATCAACGATCACGATTTCGCGTCTTCGCTCGTCACAGCAAGCGACCCGATATCGACAAGGCCCCCCCTCCTCCCACATGCGCCATCCTCCCCGAAACCGCAGCGGAAGCCGCCACGCTTGACGCCGACTCCCCCCGCGCTGCCGCCGTTGCGCGCGCTGTCGCTACTGCCGTCGAAACCGCTGACCGCGCCGCGCTTCCTAGCGGCGCGGAGCTAGCAGTGCAGCTCCAGGCGCAGCCGGCGCAAGAGGCGCAGCCCCCCGCGCTGATGAAAGTTTCCCCCGAGTCGCTGACCTACCCGTCTGGGTTCTTGGGGGGTTTCGGGGATAACAACCCCTTGCCCGTGGATTCCAAGGGACACGTGGCGGGTGACGTGGCGGTGGATAAGGACGCGTATTTGAGGCAGATCCTGAGATCGCGGGTGTATGACGTGGCGATCGAGAGCGCGCTGGAGTTTGCGCCGAAGCTGAGCGAGAGGATTGGCAACCGGGTGTTCTTGAAGCGGGAGGACACGCAGCCGGTAGGTTTGGCTAAACACTCAGGTGTTGTGCGACGCTGAGCGAAGCTGGCTAAACATGAGGGCGCACCTTATGCAGCAGCTACATGCGAGGGCACTCTTAGTTTTGCATGGTGTTAATGAAAACCTCCAAAATAACCCTCCCATTATTTCCCCGCAGGTGTTTTCCTTCAAGCTGCGCGGAGCATACAACATGATGGCTCACCTGTCGCCGCGGCAGCTGGCCAAGGGCGTCATTTGCTCGTCCGCGGGTAACCACGCGCAGGGAGTGGCGCTCTCAGCCTCCAGGCTGCACTGCAGGTGAGGCGTATGTTGTTGGGACGCCCTTTCAGCCTGCCGTTGGGACGCGTTGAATGAAGATTTTAAATTCTTGTGTTGTGCCTGTCAGGTTCATGCTATTTCTTTATTTCCTGCGCATGTGGCACTCCATGCGTGTGACTGTATGTCGTGCTTTGCTGCACGCATATGAGTGTATATCGTGAGCTTATCATACCACTGTATTCGTGCCCGTTTCCACTGCACTTGTGTGACTGTACGCAGTGCCATAATAGCGATGCCAGTGACGACACCGGAGATCAAGTGGCGCGCAGTGCAGCGGCTGGGGGCGGAGGTGGTGCTGGTGGGGGACTCATACGATGAGACGCAGGTGAGGCGTGGAGAGGCAGTGAGAGGCAGGTGCGGCATCGGTGCGTGTGTGGGAGGTGGGAGTCACAGGTGAGTTGGGATGTGAGTCATGGATGGGCAGTGCAGCGGCTGGGAGCGGAGGTGGTGCTGGTGGGGGACTCATACGGTGAGACTCAGGTGAGAGAGAGGCACAGCTGGTGAGTGGTCATGACCACGAGTTGGTGATAGCGGGGCAGGGCACGGTGGGCATGGAGATGCTCCGTCAGTGGAGCACGTGCTGCTGCCCTCCCACCTCCTCTCCCTCCCTCATTTCTCCCCTTTCCTCCTGTTTTGTGTCTCAGGCGTATGCAAAGAGGCGAGCAGAAGAAGAGGGAAGAGTGTTCATTCCCCCGTTCGATCACGAGTTGGTGATAGCGGTGCAGGGCACGGTGGGTATGGAGGTTCTCCTCTCCGCCAGTGGAGCACGTGTTAGTCTCCCATACCCCATCTTACTCCCTTTTTCCCCCATCGTTTGGCCCCTTCTCCCACGCCCTTTCCCACTCTTTCAGGCATATGCAAAACGCAGGGCAGAAGAGGAAGGCAGGGTCTTCATCCCGCCGTTCAACCATGAGTTGGTGATAGCGGGGCAGGGCACGGTGGGCATGGAGATTCTCACTCCCGGTGCTCTGCCCCTTACCCACCCACTCCTGCGCCCGTACTTCAGGCTTACGCGAAAAGGAGAGCGGAAGAAGAAGGCAGGGTCTTCATCCCCCCATTTGACCATGAGCTGGTGATAGCGGGGCAGGGCACGGTGGGCATGGAGATTCTCCGCCAGTGGAGCACGTTCTGACCATTCATCCCATCTTCCGCTCCCCTGCTCTTGGGCTTGCAGGCATATGCCAAGCGCAGGGCAGAAGAGGAGGGACGAGTGTTCATCCCCCCCTTCGACCATGAACTGGTGATAGCAGGACAAGGCACGGTGGGCATGGAGATTCTCCGCCAGTGGAGCACGTGTGACCGCACGGGCGGCTGCGGGGGAGGCGCAGGCCAGTGGCGGTTCTTGGACTCTTCCTCAGAGGATGAGCGGGAGGGGCATGGGAGCAACGGGAGCGCGAATGGGGCTGTGAATGGGTCAGCGGCAACGGCAGGAGCCGCAGCAGCAGCAGCAGCTTCATTGTCTTCCTCCTCCCCCTCCTCCTCCCCACCATCATTATCATCGTTATCTTCAGCAGCAGCAGCATCCTTATTATCCAGTGAATCTCCGGAGCAGCAGCAGCCTGAAGAGCTATCCCTAACAGCGGCGCTGGCTGCTACTTCCCACTCCTCCCCCTTCTTCCCTCCTCCCCCAACCCCGGTGAACAACCCACTATCGCCACTATCACAATCAGCATTAGCCGCAGCAGCAGCAGCAGCAGCAGCGGGAGGGGGAGGGGTTGTGCCCTATGGACCCTTCCAGTCTGCACGCGGTGTTTGTGCCGGTGGGGGGCGGTGGGCTGATTGCCGGCATCGCTGCTTACATCAAGGCGCTGCAACCAGAGGTGAGTGCGGTTGAATGGGGTGGATTGTGGTGGGATGTGGTGAGTGAGATTATGCAGTTTGATGTGCTGGAACGGGTGATAGGGCTGGAGGCTGCTGACGGTTGAGCCTGCTAGCGAGTAACACTCTCCGCCCTCACCCCTGTTCTTTCCCGCCCTCACCCCAATGCATGCCCACCAGGTGCGAGTGATAGGGGTGGAGCCTGCTGACGCCAACGCCATGGCACTCTCCCTCTACCACGGCCGGTAAGAGCTGACACACCCACATGCTAAGCCTCACACACCGCATCCCACCGCATCCCACCTAGATCTTGAGGCGCCTCAAAGGCCGCCTGCTGACGCCAACGCCATGGCACTCTCTCTCTACCACGGCTGGTAAGAGCTGACACACCCACCTGTGTCGGTGCCGCCATTGAGACATGTTCGAGGAGACACTTGCAGCTTGCTCAGTCACAGAGCGGATTCTTACCGCTGTTGTTCCTTTGCTTTCAGCCTACGCAGCTCACTAAGACATGACTGAACCTCTTGGTAAGAGCTGCAACACCCACGTGTGCCGGTGCCGCCATTAAAGACATGTTCGAGGAGACACTTGCATCTCGTTCAGGCACAGTGTGGTGTTGATGCAACTCTTCCCCACCTCCCTTCCATCTCCCCCGTCCCTCCAGCCGAGTGGAGCTCTCTTCATGCGGCACGTTCGCAGATGGAGTGGCAGTGCGGCAGGTGGGGGAGGAGACGTTCCGGCTGTGCCAGCAGCTGGTGGACGGGGTGGTGCTTGTCTCTCGAGACGAGATCTGCGCCGCCATTAAAGACATGTTTGAGGACACGCGCAGCATCCTGGAACCGGCGGGGGCGCTGGCGCTGGCAGGGGCGAAGGCGTATTGCCGGCAGTACGGGTTGAAGGGGGAGGGCGTGGTGGCCGTGGCGAGTGGGGCCAACATGAACTTTGATCGGCTGAGACTGGTCTCGGAACTGGCTGATTTGGGGGCGAGGAGAGAGGCAGTGTTGGCGACGACGCTGCCGGAGATCCCAGGGGCCTTCAAGCAGTTTGCCAAGCTGGTGAGTGAAGGGGGGAGGAGAGTGGTGAGGGGCGAAGGCGTATTGCGGGCAGTATGAGTTGGGGAGAGGGTTTGGTGGCAGTGGCGAGTGGAGCCATCCCACCCTGCTCACTCACTCCCTGTCATCCCTAATTTTCCTCCAATTTCCCCTACTTCACCTGCCCATGTCCTCCATGTTCCGCGCAGGTGGGTCCAGGTATGAACATCACGGAGTTCAAGTACCGCTTCTGCTCCACTGATGGCTAACCGTTTTCCCCATCGCCTCCCCTGCTCCATCCCTTGCTCACCGTGTTTCCCGCAGGTTGGACCGGGTATGAACATCACAGAGTTCAAGTACCGCTTCTGCTCCACTGATGCTGCCCACGTGCTCTACAGGTGCGTGCCTGGTGCCCATGGTAGGGTGTGGTGGGGGGGTGTGCGGGGTGTGGAGGGATGTGCTAGGGTGTTCTTGCAAGCCATGGCCAGGCGACTAGAATCTGCAATGATATGCGCCACCTCCCTCCCCCTTCCTCCCTTCCGTTTCTGCCCCCCGCCCATCACACAGTGTGGGAGTGCACACAGAGGAGGATCTGCAAGCCATGATCACTCGCCTCGAGGCAGGGAACATGCCGATGGTGGACATGACAGACAACGATCTGATCAAGGACCATCTGCGGCACCTCTCTCCCCACTCCCCTTTGTCTCCCCTCACAGTGTGGGAGTGCACACAGAAGAGGACTTAGAGGCTATGATCGCGCGGCTAGAAGGGGGGGACATGCCGACAGTGGGCATGACAGACAACGATCTGGCCAAGGACCATCTGCGGCACCTCTCTCCCTTCTCAACTCCCGCCCTACATTCTCCCCTCTTGCAGTGTGGGTGTGCACACAGAGGAAGACCTGGAAGCCATGATCACTCGTCTAGACGATGGCAACATGCCAACGGTGGACATGACAGACAACGATCTCGCCAAGGACCATCTGCGCCACCTCCTTTCCCCCTCCTACTTTGTCTCCCCTTGCAGTGTTGGAGTGCACACAGACGAGGACCTGCAGGCCATGATCGCGCGATTGGAGGATGGCAACATGCCAACGGTGGACATGACAGACAACGATCTCGCCAAGGACCATCTGCGCCACCTCACTCACCATCACCACCCCCCCGCCCCCTTGGGGTCTCTCCCCTTGCAGCGTGGGAGTGCACACAGAAGAGGACTTAGAGGCTATGATCGCACGGCTAGAAGGCGGGGATATGCCAACAGTGGACATGACAGACAACGATCTCGCCAAGGACCATCTGCGCCACCTCGTGGGAGGGCGCTCGTCCCTGCCCAACGAGATTCTCTTCCGCTTCGTCTTTCCGGAGCGCCCGGGAGCGCTCGTCAAGTTCCTGGACCCCATCAGTCCCCGGTGGAACATCACTCTGTTTCACTACCGCCGCACTGTGAGTGTCTCGTGTTCCAATGCGGAAGGTCAAGGTCAAGGTCAAGGTCAAGGTCATGCTGCGTTGGTGCTGTTTCACATGCCCACAGCCCAATCACTCCCTTCAAGTTCCTGGACCCCATCAGCCCGCGCTGGGACATCACCCTCTTCCACTACCGCTGCACCGTGAGTGGTTTGAGCTGAGATGCCATTTTTCAACTCAAATGGTACAGGCAGTGACCGTGGTGCTGATTGCGTTCTGCTTGACTGGGTGGTCACTTGCTCGCTGGCCCATGAGTGCTCGTCAAGTTCCTGGACCCCATCAGCCCGCGATGGAACATTCCGCTCTTCCACTACTGCCGCACTGTGAGTGTGTCAAGTTGAGCCAAGCTGTGGTTGAATATTCTGGGTGGCAGTGGCCGGATCCGAGCAGTGGAATCCTCTGGCGTCCAGCAGAGCTGAGCAGAGCAGAGCTGACTAATAACACACGTTTCCTCTGCTTCTCTTCGTCGTGTTTCCCCTTGCTCTGTTTCCCCCTTTGCAACGCCAGGGGGAGATGATCGCGCATGTGCTGGTGGGGCTGCGGGTGATGCCTCACGAGGAGGCGGAGGTGATTCACAATGCTTCTGCTCCCCGTGTTTCCTGTGCTCCCCCCTCTTGTCAATTCAACCTCAGGGCGAGATGATTGCGCATGTGCTGGTGGGGCTGCAGGTGATGCCTCACGAGGAGGCGGAGTTCAGAGCAGTGGCGGATGCTCTGGGGTATGAGTACAGTGATGAGCGTAACAACAAGGCACTGCGCATCTTCATGCAATAGAGGGGATATTGTGTTGTCATCTGTTGATGTTGCGCTGAATGGGATTAGTACCTGATTGGCCTCTGACTGATAAAAAGAACTCGATGATCATACACACTCAAATACCCTGAAAGAAGTCGACTTACAAATGAAACCTAAAATACAATGTACATACCGTAGACACCAGAATGCAGCATGATTTTCACTTGCCTGGACACAATACTGGGATACTGGAATTCTAGTATTATAAATTCCCCAATGGTGAGTTCAAGCGGTGGTGACATCGCCCACAGGGATTTCAGGGTTCTTGGCCGCCCACCAGTCAAGGAACTTGAAATTGGCATCCATGGAACTGAACTTGTACAGGCCCAGGCCTATGTTGGCTGCTTCCTCTGTAACCGCCCAGCTGGTACCCGCACCCACCACGAGCGTCAGGAAAGCACCTGAAGGTGTGCGTGAGGAGCGTCACAGGGAAATGGGTATTGATGATTAATCAACGAAGATTAGTGTACGTGTGGGTTGATTCTACTGCAGGGCAAGCTAGGGATTGGGGGATGGGAAGCAAGGGAAGGAGGAGCAGATGATTCAGATAGTAGGCCGGCGGCATTTGGAAAACCAGCCCCCCCCAACTGTGACAAGACGAGTTTTAAGCCGCCTCAAAATCGTTCCGCCCATCCCCCCTCGCCCTTCCCCATCACTCACCCCCAGCGCTCCGCGAGTACCGGTAGTTGTACGCCGCGAGCGCCAGCCCCCCCACAGCTCTCATCCTCCCTGCCTTCTTCCCCCCCCCCCCCCCCCCCCTTCCCCCCCCAACCTCCCCCCACCACTCACCCCCAGCGCTCCGCGAGTACCGGTAGTTGTACGCCGCGAGCGCCAGCCCCCCCACGGCCGCTCCGCCAGCCGCAATCAGCGACGCCTGGCGCGACAGCAGCACCTGCGCGGGGGGAGGGAGCGTGTGGGGCGAGCGGGGAGGGAGCGCGGCGGGGGAGTGGGAGGGCGGGATAGAGAACGGTGCGCGAGATTAGGAGCGATCACGAGCACCAACCATCTGCTGAGGTCAGGAGCGGTTTACAACTGCGCAGGACGCACGTTTCAGGAGCGGTCCCTAGAGCTCAAGTTCGAGATCTAGTCAGGGTGCAGTAGTAACTGAGACGGTCCCTAGTAACTAGTAATTGAAACACCGCACCTGTTCGCCGTGAACGGGATCCTCCTTAGCGAACGCCTCGATATCCGCTTTAGTCCAGCGCGGCAGCGGCGTCTCGCGGTCCTGGCTGAGATCCAGCAGGCGGTTCACCGTGGGACAGCTCTTCGCGTCGCCCTCGCCGCTCTTCTTCATCCACCACGGCGTGTAGCCCGACGCCATGCTCGTGATTCTAGCGAGGTGTTATTTCAACGAGATGTGACCAAAAGGAGGGGTGACTGATGGGAGATTGATGGGATGGGATGTAATTTGGTGGATGATTGTGGTTCCGGGTCGGCTGGTGTGAGGGCTATGCGGAAGTTGACGGTGGAAAATGAAGAAGCGGAGAAGACGACGGGCGGAGGGTAAGTCGTAATGGCCGACAAGTGCGCGCAACCAGTGAAATGAGCTGACGGCTGTGCGACAAACTTGGCTTTTACGTGGAATCTCCTAGGTTGTGTGGAACAACGGAACTCTAAATTGTCTTGATTCCTCTCAACTTTACTCAACCGTTCTGAATCAGGCAAACTTCGTGTTCAAGCAGAACTGGAGCGACTCCGAGTTCCGCGGGGTGGAGTGCGCGTGCGCGGGGAGTGCCAGGCGCGCTTTGTCGGGCTGTCCCTGGCGAGCGGGGAGGGGTGCTCCCTGATTGGTTGGGCCGGTTTGTTGAGCCCAGACGTGGCATGACGTGGTGGTGGGCAAAAATAGCATTTATGTCTTTCGTGTTTCGTGGAAGACGGATGCCGAAGAAATATCCGTAAGTTTTGCAGATGGGCGAGTCGGACAGAAACGAGTATGAACTCTGATTTTGAGCCTTCAAATTCTGACCCAAAGCTCCGATTGAATCATTTTGAGGTTTCAAGTTGTTTTCAGCCTCGCTGATTTCGCTCTTTCATTTTTCCGCATCGCACCACATCTAGTAGTTTGCCAGTTACTGCCTCCCCTCACCTTGGTCTAAAATTGAAACCTACCTCGTACCTTACTGCAAAACCCCGGCTTCGTTTACCCTCCTACACCCCGGCTACTGCGCTCGGTTCAGTCACTTTCCTTTGCAGAATCAGCCATTTATCCGTGCCTCAGACGAGTAGTACAACGAAAAGAGGCTAGCCCCGTCCCTAGCGCAGTCGGACTAAACTGTTTGTGAGACTTATCGCCCGCATTTTCTGTCGTGTCGCTTTCCTCGTGCGACATCTGCGTCGCTGATCGGCGATCCAATGGCGGAGGGGAAGCAAGCGAAAGTGGAGGCAATCACCCTTAAAGTTGTCGCCCAAGTAAGTGTGGCTCACGTGTGAAACTTATTCTCATTCTATGTTAACAGGTATGGAAAAGCTAATCGACGGTTCAATTACCCCAGGAATTGTCACCACTAACGTATGCTTGTATGTTCAGGTTTTTTGTAGACCTTCCGCTGTCGCTCGAAAGAGCACGTCATTAGTTTCCTTCCCATTGTGAGCTCCTCGACTTGGCTTACTTCCTTCCGATCTTCTCCCGTGATGATCCCACAGGACGGAACAGAAGTGTCTTTTAAAGTGAAGCCGAAAACCAAGTTCAGCAAGGTAAGGGTTGATCAAGTTATCAATGTTCGTGCATAAAGCAAAACCAAAGACAACTCCAGCAACTTGATGAGGTTTTATAGGGTTAAAGACGAGAAGTAACCCTGGTCGCTCTTCTCATGCACTCCAGAGCCTGATAGCAACTCCAGCAGCCAGAATGCACGCCGTGTTTGCGTCAGTGGCATTGATTAGTCGATTTTTAAGTCGACTTAAAAATCGACTCAGTGGCATTGCGTTCCGTCGAGTTTTTCGACCCTGTCGTTTTGCACCCATGCGATTTTTCCCGTCGCAAGTGTCCGTTCAACCGCACCGCTCTACGTTACCCTTCAGATTGCGGCTCTTATGTTTTCCACATTGATGTGACATAACATTTCCCCCACCCCCAACTGCGGCTCTTCGGGCCGTCCTGGGACAAGGAGGTTCAAGTATCCATTTCTCAGAGGTCCAGAATCATGTGCATGTGATACGGTGAGTCGACTCAATGGTCACCTTGTATTGAGTCGACTCAAAGGTTCAGCCAGAACCATGTCCATGTAACAATGGCTTTGCCTCGTAGCATTTATCATAAGCTTCTCTTCCTTACACCCCTGCCATATATTTTCTTGCAGTTATTTCAGGCGTACAGCGAGAGAAAAGGGTTCAAGTTAGATACCATGAGATTCCTATACCACGGGTGAGTACCCAACCCTGTGCCACGCGTAAGTGCCCTGGGTGTTTTTGAGGGTTGCAGTGTAGTTTTGTTTCCCGGCAAGTTCAGGAGGACCTTGGAGTCTTGGCGATTCCATGGTGCTGTGTTTTTTTTTTTGGGTGGTAGTCCTCAATATGCTCTCACCAAGCTTCACCTGCATCATCTTCTTCTCAAGTTTCAATCGCCCTTCGCTCCTTCCCTCCCCTTCCCTCCTCTTCCCTCCTCGTCTCCTTCATTCCTGTCCCCTACGTCCCCGCTGCTCCCTCTACTCCCGTTCCCACCCTCCCCTCTCTTCCCCTCTTGCTGCACATGCCCACTCCCTCCTCTCTGCCCACTCACATTGCATTGCATCGTGCAGTGGTCGAGTCCTGGGAGACAACACGCCTGCTGAGGTACGGGCTATTGCGACGCACAGCATCCCGCACCCCTTCCAACCCCTTATCCTACCACCACCACCACCACCCCCATCCTCACGCTTCACATGCCATTGCAGCACACTGACTCAAATCACGAGCCTTATTACACGCAACTCCACCTCACTACTTGGGTTTGTTTGTTTCCCCATATGTGCGTCTGCACCACCACCAGCACCACCACCAGCACCACCAACAGCTGGGCATAGAGAACAACGACCAAATCGAAGTGATGGTGGAGCAATTGGGGGGAGGCGTGTGCGTCCAGCAGCAACACCGGTACCCCTCCAGATGACGAATAGGCGGTCACGATTTCATCAGAGGCAGGCTGAGATGGTTTTGTCAATAGACACGCTCCACATGCGTTTTACCCTTCTTTTGAGGCACTCGAAATTCCTTTTTTTTTTTGGCCAGATGAATGGGTTGGCTTGACAGCCAGGCTGTCCTTCCATTCTAACCCGTTTGGTGTTAGCACCAAATCAATGCTGGCGGATTTATCCCCCCAGTGCTAAATGGATCACCTACCTACTGTAGTTTGCTTTAGTGGTGTGCCACATTTTGTTTTTGATACCAGGTATAGTGGATTTTCTCGGGCAAAGTCATATGCAGAGTTGTGCTGCTGAACTCAGCACCAGTTTCTTGCTACCTGAAAGCTAACATTCTGCTACGCAATCTCAACTCAGACGTGTTAGCTTCAACTTGCTGCTGATACCGGTGGTGTCTACGGTCCTTGATAAGTGCATCACTGCTGGTAGGGCAACTCACTGGTCTACCATTGCAATAAGGAGACTACAAGGAATTGATCAGCTGTGCAGCTTCCAGTCCAGTCCCAGGGTAGCTACGGTACAAGCTAGCATCAAGCTAGCATGACATCACAGGGTTACTTACTGAGCCCATATCAGAAGCATCTGCCGTGGACTTTCACAGTCAGCACATGGTTCATGACTGCAGCATCTGGGTAGGTTGTTGAGTTGAGTATGTACAGCTAATTACCGTACTATTTACATGAATAAGCTTCTACATCGGTTAGGAGAATCTGAAAGAGGTGAGTTCCAATAACCCACAACTCCACAAACAGACACGAAAGCCTTCCAACACCAAGAGTCAACCCCACTGGAAGCGAGGTCAGTGCCGCAAGTGCAAGCATACCAAGATGGTGCAATGGTGGTTGACTTTGCGTGTATGCGTGTGGGAGTGAAGTGAGAAACGAGAGTAGATTGTGTCGAAGGAAGAGCCAGAGAGGGAGGAAGTGCAGGCCGGCGATTGCCATGACTCCAACAGGGCTGTGATTGGGCAGGAAGGGAGGAGGACGAACGGGGAAAGGGGAGAAGACATGTAAAGGGACCATGAGACGAAGAGGTACTGAGTTAGCTCTGAAGAAAGAAAGAAAGTGAACGTGCAGTGAAGGTGATGATGTAAGGTTGGTAGCCATTCCATACCGCATTAACCATGAATCTGCTCATCCCACAAACACACAATGCAGCATTTAATACACCTCTTAGAACAGCCCCACAGGTTACATACGTTTTGAAGCCATTCCGCATGACCAGGGAGACCAGAAGTGGAGTGTCACTCCTGCCACCCCACACCTCCTTCCAGTTGCTCCTCTCCTTTGCCCGCTCCTCCAAACCTGCTCCCTGATCCACTCCTTCCCCTACATTCTCATGCTCCAGCCCTTCCCCCACCCCTTGCTCTTGCTCTTGCGTCGCCACCACATCCCCTCCCTTTGTACAATCTGCAACCGCTGTGGTGTCAACACCACGAACATGTGCTGCACTGCCACTGCCACTGCCAAGCGTGCTGGCATGGGAGCAGGTAAACGTGAGCCATTCCACACACGGGATAATGATAGCAGCTGCTTGCAGCATCCGCATACTTATCATGCCCAGCACAGTTCCACCCACGCTGTTCATGCCTAAAACAGCCGCACTAACACCGACGCCGTTCACGCCCAGTAGAGCACTGTTCACAGCAGCTGCCCACATGGCAGTGCGCAGGGCGTTGTCCACAGCAACGTCCAGGATCGCACCAAACGCCGACACCTGGCGCAGGCGGCGAGCCACAATGCCATCCACACCGTCCAATGCCATGTTGAGCAGATAGAGCAAAGCACACAGCAGCACAGGCATGACATGGGTTGCAAAGGGGGAAGCGTATGCATTGGGGTAAGCGGATACATGTGCTATAGATGGGAGGGAGAAGGGTGGGGAGAGCGTGGGAGGGTTGGAGGGGTGAGGTGATGAGAGGGGGAGGTAGAGGAGGAGGGCGAGGAGGAGAGCGATTCTCAGGTACCCAATAATGTTGGGCCAGAAGAGCAAGATTCGGACCACTCCCTGCCTGCCACGTGTCCTGGACGCGTTGCTATCACTTGCAACGTCATCCGATGACGTAGAGTCGTCAGAGGGACACTTGCTTTCGTTCCTGACTGGTTTCTCGCCACTGACGGAGTTACCGTCACCGTCACCATCACCGTCGCTACCCTCCCTTAAATGCGTACGACGATCGACGCTCGGACTGGCTTCATCGCCATTCCGAAGATGGGCACGTGCCGACGCGGATGCATGCGCCGTCCTCGTTTGAAGCTCACTCGACCGCCAGCCGATGCCAGCCATCCCTTCTATTCCTCGGTATAAGCTCTCCCCATTTTGTGCCGCTCGAATCTTACCAAAACGCTGCATCCAGATCCTATTTCCCCGCAAATTCTCAAGTCTGCCATGAGTCCTGCTTGAGCTGTTAAGAACCCGCACCGTTCTTCCGCTGCGAAATCCGTTTCTCCCCGCAAAACATGATGTCGCAGCGGGGACGTCCGCTGAAATTTCTCGCAAAAAGGCCCTGCGACTCGGAGGCCGGACCAGCTCTCGGGGCGTCCTAGCAGGCCGTAGCCGCGTTCCGGACGAAGGTGCCATTGGAGAGTTGAAGGCGGGAGTCGGGGAAGCCAGAGCATGCCGTACGGGGCAGACTCGAAACATGTCTGTGACGCGCGCCTTTCGCTAGCCCGAAGTCGTGTACCGTGCGCGGCTTTGAGCTGACCTGTCAGTGTACTTGGTCCATGAAATAGGGAATTACCATGCCAGATCTTAGAATTCAGGCCTCCTCCCCTCCCCAGTGAATTCTGCTTTGTTGATGCATAACGTGACAACATACAGTCACCCGCCAGGCCCGAAACTTTTAGCTGAAACGATCCTGATTGTATGGGAGATGTTTTCTGTGGAGGGTTCTCAGTGTGTAAATTCGCTGTCTTGCAGCTTGGCTGCCTAATCCAACGGACCTCGATGCAGCTCGACGCGCAGGGCTGCCAAGTTCAGCAGCCAATGGGCGGCCAAATAATCCACACGGCCCACTGTCGTTTATTCAAGTTCCCGTAACTCACTGCCACAACACCTATCCCCAACCTGCCCGACCCATGTGTAACCACCAACTGCGTCGCACTTTCAGCCAATCAACCACTCGTTCTAGCTTGCCCGCCGGTCGCACTTTACATGCACGCGCGCTGCCGACAGCTGCCCTGCTGCCCCAAATACTCCCTCTTGCTTCCTGCGTTTCACATGATGCTCACACCCTGCACGCGAATTTGCCCTGCGCCGGGCGGAAACCTTGCACCCGTGGTTTTTGTACCAGCCAGTTGCCCCCACGTTATAAGCGCGCCGAGCAAGTTGCAGTGATATTAACCAATACGAACCACAGAAACTGAAGTTTGACCGAAGAGACTGAAGTCAAAATGTTACAAATTTTCATATGAGCCCTTATAAGCACCTGACGAATCCATATTTGCTAGCTGCGAACTGGCGAAATTTTTGAAATCATTTACAAGCCCCCTTCACAAGGCAACCTCGGGTTAGTCAAACGAGCATCATGTGTACTTCGTTGACGCGAGGCGAGGGCCGCGGTCAGGCAGAACAGAATAAGTTAGTTGCCAGGCTTCCGCACGCCAGCACAGGCACACCCTCTTGCATGATCTTTATTACCACAGTAGGAAAGGTGAACGGGGACGCTTCTTGCACGAGCGGAGTCGTACGGTGGCGTGCGATCAACGTCACGCACGCATGCGTGCTGACGAGGCAGGCTACTCCGGTTCGACTTTAATTCAGGCGGCTCGAGGTTATCAGCGTCAAATAGTTGCGAGATGGGAGAGGAAGTCGTTGACACGTGCGACTGCAGTGTGCCATCGACTCACTCGTGTGTAAAAGTATGTAGTACCACTCGGTTAATTTAGTCGGGCACGCGACCGAGAGCGAGGCATAGGCGAAGCGAGTTCCACTAGGGCTCCTAGCACAAGACGCCACTTCGATTCCCTTTTCGCCTCGCTCCGAGTTCCTTCCTCTTCGTACCTTCGTCGTTGCGCCTTCCGCGCCTCCCGCCTCGTTTTTGCGCGCCCTCTCCGACGTCCCCCATCCGGGCCTTTCCCCATCTCCGCGTTCTCGGATTTGGTTCGCTTCGCGCTTCTCGTTCCCCCGCTCCCCGCCGCTCGCCTTGCCCCGTTATTGCGCCATGGCGCGGAGCTGGATGGTCGGCGGAACGGCAGTGGCGGCGCTGGCGTCCGTGGTGGCGGCGTGCGCCACCGCGCTGCACGCGAGTGGCGGAAACATGGGGTGAGGCAGGTGTATGGGGACTTTGTTTGAGGCGCCTAAAAAATGAACATGGGGTGAGGCAAGTGAACGGGGACCTGATTGGAGGAATGGGTATGGGACTTTCAGTCAAGCTCTACCCCTCATAAATGTTCCGGAATTTGTACTCACGAACATCTGCGTTCAGGCGACCATGTGCCCCCCCCATCCGCGCGCCCCACCTTCCCCCCTCCCTCCCCACCCTTTTCCTCCCCCTCTCCCCTTCCCCCCCAGGCTGCACCCCATGCCGCGCATCTTCCCCTTCCTCTGCCAATGCGAGGACGAGCACGGCGTGCTGGATGAGGGTATTGCGCGCTGCCAGCTCGCCAGGTGCGAACAGGGGAGGGGGGAAAGGGGGAAAAAGGGGGGAGAAGAGTGTATGGGGTGTGGAGCAGCGGGCGAGCATGGCGTGCTGGACGAGGGCATTGCGCGCTGCCAGCTCGCCAGGTGGGTGGGAGGGGGTTGGGGGGGTGGGGGGAGAGATGATGGGTGGATGGGGTACGCATAGGGAAGGGGGAATGAGGCACCAGGGGAGCAGCAGACGAGCACAGCGTATCTCACGCTGCCAGCTCGCCAGGTGCAGGGGAGGAAAGAGAAGGGGAAAAAGGGGTTAAGAGGGGGAGATGAGGGAGGCGGAAACAGAGGAGAGAGGAGAGGGGAAAGTGTCTGGCTCTATTTTTTCACTGTAAACCCCCTGCTTATTTTATGAGGGACCATTCGACAACACCCTGTCCTTGCATTGCCCCGTGGCATACCTCTCCATCCCCTTCCATCCCTCTCGAGCTCCTTGCATTCAATCCGCCCCCTCGCTCTGCCCCCCTTTCCTTCCTCCCCACCCTCGCATCACAGCGACTTCCTCATAGCTCTGGCCTACTTCTCCATCCCTCTCGAGCTCCGTTACGTCTTCCTGCGCTCTAGATTCTTCCAACCTCACCTACTTCCCCCCCCTCTTGCCGCTAATGCATCCCGTGCGCGTCCCCCCCCCCCCTCCACTCCACAGCGACTTCCTCATAGCCCTGGCCTACTTCTCCATTCCTCTCGAGCTGCTCTACTTCTTCCTGCGCACTAAAGTCTTCCAATTCCCTGCTATCTCCCCCTTCATTCTCCTCACATTCTCGTCCCTCCCTCCAACCCCCAGCGAATCCTCATAGCCCTGGCCTATGTCTCCATCCCCTTGGAGCTCCTCTACTTCTTCCTTCGTGCCAAGTCTTCCCTCACCGCCACCCAGTGCATCCCCCTCCGTGCCCTCACAGCGACTTCCTCATAGCGCTGGTTTATTTCTCCATCCCCCTCGAACTCGTCTAATTTCAATCATAGTGCATCCCCCTTCCTCCCTCTCCACCCCTCTTCTCATCACAGCGACTTCCTCATAGCACTGGCCTATTTCTCCATCCCTCTCGAGCTCCTCTATTTCTTCCTGCGAGCCAAGGTCTTCCCCCACCGTTGGGTGCTGCTGCAGTTCGGCCTCTTCATTGTGCTCTGTGGTGAGTGAGCCTACTTACTTCCCCCTTTTTTCTGTGTCGAGCCTTCAAGTCGCCTTTGTGAGCTTCAAGTCGACTCAAAGGTCTTCCCCCACCGCTGGGTGCTGCTGCAGTTCGGCCTCTTCATCGTGCTCTGTGGTGAGCCGCCGTGCATTTTCCTCTTTGAAACGTACTATTGTCATTGTCCCTCAGTCGCTCGGGTCGCTATGGTTACCGCTGCGAGCTTGCTTCATCGTGCTACTCCTCCCCCAGCCCCCAGTTGTGCTGTGCTACTCCTTCACCTCTCTCTTCCAGTCCCCCCTCTCGCTCCGCCTTCCCTCGCTTTCTGGTCCAGGTCTGACTCATCTGGTCAACATGTGGACGTACTTACCACACCCCAGCGCAGTGGCAGTGCTACAAACAGTGCTCAAAGTGCTCTTTGCTGCCATCTCGACCTCTCTCCCCTCTCTCTCTCCCCTTCCACCCAGGTTTGACCCACCTGGTCAACATATGGACGTATGGCCCCCACCCCTGCGCAGTAGCAGTGCTACAAACGGTGCTCAAAGTGCTTCTCAGTCTCCTTTCCCCCTCTCGTCCCCCAATCTCCCCCTCTTAACACTCGCCCCCTCCCAGGTTTGACCCACCTGGTCAACATGTGGACGTACGGCCCCCACCCCAGCGCAGTGGCAGTGCTACAAACCGTGCTCAAAGTGCTCTGCGCGGCTGTCTCCTGTGCCACGGCCTTCCTGCTCGTCACCATCATCCCCGCGCTCCTCAACGTCAAGGTGCGGACTTGATTTCAAGGTGTGCTGTGCGGTGGAATCAGGCATGGCGTTAGGTACACGTACACTCAGTGCGTTAGTCATACTCCTGTGCCACGGCCTTCCTGCTCGTCACCATCATCCCCGCTTTGCTCAACGTGAAGGTACGTTGGGCCGTCCCGTCCTCTCTGTTAGAGGACGCTTGCTGTGGCGGCACGGGCCCATGCTGACATACGAGATCCGCCAGTCACTGGACTGACACACCATCCTCAACACCACTCTTGTGTGGCAATGCCGTGCGTGCCTCAGCCCCACAAGTCTTGTCTCCATTCTCCCACGCGTTCCCCCATTTCCAGATCCGGGAGCTGTTCCTGCAGCATAAAGCGGCGCAGCTGGATAGAGAAATGGACGTGATGAGGCGCAAGGAGGAGGTGGGGCGGCACGTACGCATGCTGACATACGAGATCCGCCAGTCACTGGACCGTCACCCTTGTGAGGCCCTTCGTGGGGCACAGGTCTCAAAAACTCTCGCAATTCCCCACCTTTGCACGCTCCTTCACACCATCTGGCAGGTCCGCGAGTTGTTCCTGCAGCACAAGGCAGCACAATTAGACAGGGAGATGGACGTGATGAGGCGCAAGGAGGAGGTGGGGCGGCACGTGCGCATGCTGACATACGAGATCCGGCAGTCACTGGACCGACACACCATCCTCAACACGACACTAGTGGAGCTTGCTCAGGCTTTGATGCTCGAGAACTGCACTATTTGGATGCCGCATCCTTGTGAGTGGTGTTACCTATCAAGTGCCTGTGGATGCTGCTACCTGTGACTGCTGCTACCCCTGAGTGCTGCTGCCTATTAGTCGCTGGACCGACACACCATCCTCAACACAACCCTTGTGGAGCTGGGCCAGGCTTTGATGCTCGAGAACTGCACCATCTGGATGCCGCACCCCTGTGAGTAACGGCTGTGAGTGCTGCTCTGCTACCCATCAGTCGCTGGACCGACACACCATCCTCAACACCACGCTAGTGGAACTCGCCCAGGCGCTCATGCTCGAGAACTGCACCATTTGGATGCCGCACTCCTGTGAGTAACGGCTGTGAGTGCTGCTTCCTGTGAGTGCTGTTATCCGTGAGAGTGGTTGCGGTTGTTCTATTGGTAACACTTTCTTTCCAACTTCCTTCCCACTTCCGCTCCCCACCAGCCGGGTCATATTTGGAGTTGACACACGAGTTGGAGCGGAGGCTAGTGCAAGCACCGGTGCTCGTGCCCCTCTTTGACCCCACGGTGTCTCAGTCTTTCTTTTACCAATCTCCTTTTCCAATTTCCATTTCCCTTCTTCGATCCTCCCTCTCCCACCAGCTGGTTCGCATCTGGAGTTAACACACGAGTTGGAGCGGCGGCTAGTGCAAGCCCCAGTCCTCGTCCCTCTCTCCGACCCCACGGTCCAGTCCCTCATCCACACGCCCCGCGCCCTCCGCATCTCCCCCACCTCCTTTATCGGTCGTGCCTCCGCCTCCCATACCGCGCACAGCACCTCTCTCGCTGCAGTGCGCCTGCCCATCCTGCCCCTTGAAGCAATGGCTGATGCTGCTGCTGCCGCCGATGCTGCTGCTGCAGCGGCGGCGGCAGCGGTGGCGGCTGCGGGTGTGGGTGCGGGTGGGGTGGAAGCAGCTGGCGAGGATGTGGATGGAAGTGGGGGAGAAAGGAGTCCGCTGCTTCGGAATGGTGGTGGTGATGGTGGTAATGCAGCAGGAGGAGGGGAGGGTGGGAGTGGCGGGGGAGGCGAGGAGAGGGTGGGGGGTGTGGCGCCGGTGTATGGGCTCATGGTGCTCGTGCTGCATGGGGATGCTAGAAGGTACGCAGCAGTAGTGAATCGTGACTACCATTACCATTTTCATTACCATTACCATATACCATGACTATTACCATATACCATTACTGTATACCATTACCATTACCATTACCATATACCACTACCATTACCATTACCATTACCATTACCATATACCATTACCATTACCATTACCATATACCATTACCATTACCATTACCATATACCATTACATTACCATCACCAGTAGCAATACCATCACCTCCTCTCCTCGCCTCTACTCTCTCCCCTCCCCCCACCCACCAGGCAGTGGAAGGCACACGAGGTGGAGATGGTGGAGGTGGTGGCTGATCAGGTGGTTTTCATGACATCTCGTAACTCCCACTGCCTCTCTCCTGTCCTCCCCACTCGTCCCCTCTCCCCCACCAGGCAGTGGAAGGCGCACGAGGTGGAGATGGTGGAGGTGGTAGCAGACCAAGTAGCAGTGGCTCTCTCGCATGCAGCGGTGCTGGAGGAGACGCAGGTGAGGGTCGATGGGGGGATCAGTCGGGTTTCCAGGCTCTGATAATGCAGACCAGGTGGCAGTGGCTCTCTCGCATGCAGCGGTGCTGGAGGAGGCGCAGGTGAGGGTTGATGGGGGGATCAGTTGGGTTTCCAGACTCTGATAATGCAGACCAAGTAGCAGTGGCTCTCTCGCATGCAGCGGTGCTGGAGGAGACGCAGGTGAGGGTCGATGGGGGGATCAGTTGGGTTTCCAGACTCTGATAATGCAGACCAGGTAGCAGTGGCTGTCTCGCATGCAGCGGTGCTGGAGGAGACGCAGGTGAGGGGTGGGAAGATAAGTTGGGTTGTTAGACTTAGTTTGGGGAATGAGAGCAGGAGGATTTTGCAGTGAGGGGCAGGGGTCGACACAGCTAGGGAACTGCAAGAAGGAACCTTTTCATGTAGATTCCCACTCCCTTATCGTTCCTCTCCCTCTCTTTTTGTCCCCCAACCAGCGGCGAAGGGACGAGTTGGAGGAGAAGAACCGAACGCTGCAGAGAGCAGAGGCGGCAGTGATTGCAATAAGAAACCGTTTTCATTTCCCGTCTTCCCACCCGAATCGTCCCTCTCCCGTTACTCTACCCCGCTCCCCCCAACCAGCGGCGAAGGGACGAGTTGGAGGAGAAGAACCGAACGCTGCAGGCAGCAAGGCAGAGAGCAGAGATGGCAGTGATGGCAAGAAACGACTTCCTAGCAGTGATGAACCATGAGATGCGCACTCCGCTGCACTCCATCACTGCGCTTGCATCGATTCTCAATGTGAGTTCGATCTGTGGGAGCAGTGATTGTGGGTGGGGGCTCTGTGTGTAGGACCCGAATTTCTGGCAGTCACGAACCATGAGAGCGCACGCCCCTGCACTCCATTTCTGCGCTTGCCCCGATTCTCAATGTGCGCTGTTGACGCCAGTTGGAGTCAGCAAAGTGTCCGAAAAGCTGAAAAAGCAGAGGCCAGAGGTCGCTTTTTTGGCAAGGAATGGCGTGCTGGCAGTGCTGAATCAGGACATGCGCACGCCGCTGTCCTCTGCCACTGCACCTCACCTTCATTCTTAATGTGCTTCCCTACTCTCCCCCACCACCAGGAGGAGGACCTGACTCCAGAGCAAGCACCCATGGTGGCAACTGTGCCTTCTGAGTTGACCCCCCCACTCCTTCGCCTCCACCTCTTCCCCCCTTTTACCCCCGCGCTCCACCAGGAGGAGGACCTGACCCCGGAGCAAGCGCCCATGGTGGCAACTGTGCTGCGCAGTGCTTCCCTGCTCACCTCATTGTAGTGACAGCCGCACCCGCTCAACTATCCACCCACTCCTTTGACCCCTCCCCTCACCAGGAGGAGGACCTGACCCCGGAGCAAGCGCCCATGGTGGCAACTGTGCTGCGCAGTGCGTCCCTACTGACGTCACTCATCACTGATGTGTTGGACTTCAGCCGACAGGAGGAGAGGTGAGGAAGGGAGGTGGGAGAAGTGAGAGGGAGCTGCGAGAGGCGAGCTTCTTGGTGTGCGGTGCCAGTCTATGCTGAGCGTCGCTGCTGACTTCTCTCATCACTGACGTGCTTGACTTCAGCCGACAGGAGGAGAGGTGAGCGGGAGGAGAGGGAGTCGAGCTTTTAAGTGTGCATTGCCATGCTGTGCTGTGCTGCGCAGTGCGTCCCTACTGACGTCTCTCATCACTGACATGCTCGACTTCAGCCGACAGGAGGAGAGGTGAGGAGGAAGTGGGAGATGGAGGTGAGAGTGGGAGAGGGAGGCTGTTAGGCGCTTGTGCCATGCTCTTCTGTGCTGCGCAGTGCTTCCCTGCTAACGTCGCTCATCACTGATGGCTAGACTTCAGCCGACAGGAGGAAAGGTGAGGAATGAAAGAGGAGTGTGGGAAAGGGAGAGGAGAATTCGAGGGGAAGAAGGAATCGAAGCAACATGTAAATGAACTGTTGACCTTTTTGTTTCTTTCAAGAGCACCTATTTACCGCCTCTTCCCAGCTCCCTTCCACATTCCGCCACCTCCATTTTTTCCGCCCACTGTCCTCCCTTGGACTTCCCACCCACCTCACCACCCCAGTCTGCATCTGGAGAAGCATCCCTTTGACCTGCGCAAGCTGTGCAGAGAAGCCGGCAAGCTGGCGTGGCCGCTGGTGCGGTCCAAGGGTCTGCGGTTCTCTCTGGAGGTGGCGGGGGTGGTGCCACGAAGCTGGCATGGTTGCTGGTGCGGTCCACAATCCCCTGCCAGTCTGCACTGTTCTGAACCTATCCAAATATTTCCCCACCTTCCATTGTCCCTCTTGGAATCCCCCCCGCACCTGTCCCGCCCCAGTCTGCATCTGGAGAAGCGTCCCTTTGACCTGCGCAAGCTGTGCAGAGAAGCCGGAAAGTTGGCATGGCCGCTGGTGCGGTCTAAGGGGCTGCGCTTCTCCCTGGAGGTGGCGGGGGTGGTGCCTCATCCTCATCATCCCTTCCACCGTTCCTTCCTGGAATTCCCCTCCCACTCCCTCCCAGCCTGCATCTGGAGAAGCGCCCGTTTGACCTGCGGAAATTATGTCGGGAAGCAGGCAAGCTGGCGTGGCCGCTGGTGCGGTCCAAGGGTCTGCGCTTCTCCCTGGAGGTGGCGGGGGTGGTGCCTCGATATGTGGTGGGCGATGAGAAGAGGCTGCTGCGACTCATGCTGCATCTGATCGGGCGGGCCGTGAAGAAGACTGACGAGGTGAGCGAGGAATTAAAAGACTGCTGCATCTCCTGGCAGGATGCCAGGGAGAGGGGCGAAGGTAGAGAGCGGCATTAGGGGGGGGGGACGGGGCAGCATCAACCGCAGGAAGTGGCGGGCTGGTGCGGTCCAAGGGCTTACGGTTCTCCCTGGAGGTGGCGGGGGTGGTGCCACGATACGTGGTGGGCGATGAGAAGCGGCTCTCACGCCTCATGCTGCACCTCATTGGACGGGCTGTGAAGAAGACTGATGAGGTGAGCGGGAGCGAGGAGGGTCAGGGGAAGGGACTGGGGCAGCAGGGGAGGGAGGGGGCAGCAGGGGAGGGAGGGGGCAGCAGGGGAGGGAGGGGGCAGCAGGGGAGGGAGGGGGCAGCAGGGGAGGGAGGGGGCAGCAGGGGAGGGAGGGGGCAGCAGGGGAGGGAGGGGCGGCTGGTGAGGGAGGGGCGGCTGGTGAGGGAGGGGCGGCTGGTGAGGGAGGGGCGGCTGGTGAGGGAGGGGCTGCTGGTGCGGTCCAAGGGGATGCGGTCCAAGGGGATGCGGTCCAAGGGGATGCGGTTATCACTGGAGGTGGCGTGGGTGGTGCCGCGGTATGTGGTGGCGTGTGTCAGTGGACGATCGGCAGGCCCAACCACCCCACTCCTCCCAGTCCTCCTGTTCTGTGTCTCACTACCCCCCCTCCCTTCCCCCTCCCTTCCCCCTCACTTCCCCCTCACTTCCCCCTCCCTTCCCCCTCACTTCCCACACCGAAGCAGGGTTTTGTGTCGGTGCGCGTGTCAGTGGACGATGGGCAGGCCCAACCACCCCACTCCTCCCAGTCCTCCTTCACTGCCGGTGATGGCCCGGCTGCATCGTTCCGCCCTGCTGCTGCTGCTGCTGCTGCTGCAGCTGCCACCTGTGGAACAGTGGACAGGCCCCTCAACCTTGCCACCACCCTCCCCACCTCTGCTGCTGCATTCACCCCGTGTCTTGTTGAGCAGGGCTTTGTGTCGGTGCGTGTGTCAGTGGACGATGGGCAGGCCCAACCGCCCCACTCCTCCCAGTCCTTTTGTTCTGTGCCTCACTACCCCGCCTCACTTCCCCCTCACTCCCCACACCGAAGCAGGGTTTTGTGTCGGTGCGCGTGTCAGTGGACGATGGGCAGGCCCAACCGCCCCACTCCTCCCAGTCCTCCTTCACTGCCGGTGATGGCCCTGCTGCTGCGTCTTTCCTTCCTGCTGCGGCTGCTGCAGCTGCTGCGGCAGGGGAGAATTCTCTCGGCCTCCAGCCGCACACACCATGGGAGGTACGCACTCTGAACAGGTGGGGCCGTGCTGCTGCTGGTGACACGCCCTGGTTGTCTGCTGCTGCTGCTGCCGCTGCTGCTGCGGCAGGGGAGAATTCTCTCGGCCTCCAGCCGCACACACCGTGGGAGGTATGCAATTACTTTGACTATCGGGACATGCAGTCTCCCCAGTCAGGCTCTTTTTTTAGGCGCCTGAAAAATTGTCTCCAGCTGCGCACACCGTGGGAGGTACGCACTTTGAATATAGGGACATGCAGTCTCCCCAGTCAGTCTCCCCAGTCCACCCTTCCCAATACTTGTAGCTGCTGCTGCATCAAGGCTTAGGGAATATCCGTGCATACATCAAGGGCTTTGGGCGTGACCTCAAAGGGTGTTCAGTCACCTTTATTATCATTCCTCAAAGGGCTTCATTATCATTCCTCAAAGGGTGAACATCCGTGTGGATATCAAGGACTCGGGGTGTGGGCTGGGCTGACAGCCATGGAGTTCAGACAGCACCAGGCGCTGCTGAACTCCAGGCACCAGGCTCTTATCCATCTCAAACCTCCCATTCCCCCTTCCCCCCCTGTTCAGCTGCTGGGCCAAAATTTGGTAGCTGCTGTGCAGCCCCCTTCTGACAGCTGCTGGGCCAAGACCTGGTGATCCGTGTGATCAAGGACTCAGGGTGTGGCTTGATGCTTTGTCAGTCGACTCCTACAAAAATTGCATCCCAAACACCCCTTCCACCCCCCATTATTCACCCCTGCAGCTGCTGCTGGGTCAAGATCTGGTGAACATCCGTGTGGATATCAAAGACTCGGGGCGTGGCCTGACCGCCATGGAGTTTAAACAGCACGAGGCGCTGTTGCTGCAGCAGCAAAGAGCGAGTAATGCGGATGGGGAGAGTGGAACAGGAGAAGGAGGAATAGGAGGAGAAGTGGGGGCAAGCGGAGCAGAGGGAGTAGGGGAGGAGAGGAAGGGAGGGACGATGCTAGGGTTCGAGATCTGCCAGAAGTTTGTGCAGCTAATGGGGGGTTACATTTGGATTGAGAGCGATGGGGAGGGGTTGGGGGCGACGGTGACATTTGTAGTGCGGTTGGTGCTGGATCGAACCAAGAGGCAGAATTTAGGGTTTAGGGAGAGGGGGGGGCGGGTTTCTAGCAGCAGAGCGAGGAGGAGAGGTAGAAGGGCAGGACTTGATGGGGTTGGTGGAGGAGATGAGAGGGGCAATGGATTACTGTGGAACAGTGGGTTTGATGGTGCTGGTGGTGGTGTGTGTGGGGAGGAGGGCAGGGGAGGAGGGACGAGGAAGGGTGGTGAGGGGTATTCGTTTATGGATGGGGATGATGATGATGAAGACGAAGATGAGGAGGACGAGGAGGATGATGATGAGGATTCGGCGTTTAGTGACAGCACGGTTTCGTCGATGGATTCTTATGTACAGGAGCTTGAAGGAGTGCATGTGCTGGTGAGTGCATGTGTGTGTGTGCATGTTTGTGTGCAGTGTGCGTGTATGCACACTCTTGTCCTGCTGCCTGGTGTCACTGAATCCACCATCCTTCCATCCTTTTCACCCTCCTTCCTTCACCGTCTTCCCTTTCGTTGTCTCCTTCCGTCCCTCTCCCTCCCCGATCTCCCTTGTGCGTTCCTTCCTCCTCCCTCTCCCCTCGACCATCTCTCTCCCGCAGCTAGTGGAGGACAATGTGGCGAATCGCATCGCGACACATCAGATGCTGCTGACGCTGCGGTGCCACGTCAGCAGTGTGGGCAGTGCGCAGGAGTGCCAGATGGAGCTGACCACGCGCAAGAGCCCCGCAATCCCGCCGGTGGATGTCGTGCTGCTGGATGTCTGCATGCCCGATGTCGACGGCTTTGAAGTCGCCCGCCGCATCCACTCCCTCTTCCGGTATGCTCACTTGCAGGCCTCTCCCCCTCCCCCACCTTTTGTTTCGAGGTGACTTTTGAGTCGACTCAAATGTCACCTGGATGTCTGCATGCCTCGTATGTCGACGGCTTTGAAGTCGCCTGCCGCATCCACTGCGTCTTCCGGTATGCTCACTTGCAGGCCTCTCCCCCTCCCCCACCTTTTGTTTCGAGGTGACTTTTGAGTCGACTCAAATGTCACCTGGATGTCTGCATGCCTCGTATGTCGACGGCTTTGAAGTCGCCTGCCGCATCCACTGCGTCTTTCGGTATCGAGCTTAGAGAGGCGTCAGAAAGATGTTATCTTGCAGCACCCCTCCATTCTATGCTAATGTTGAAGCTGATTAAAAAATAGTCGTCATGCTGCAGCATGCCTGCATGCCTGATAGGGGTGGTGTTGAGTCTACCTTTTGTTTCCACATCCTCTTTCTGTACTGTCTGTTTCCTTGCATACTGCTTTAGAAATTAGGAGAGGTCTGCCATGCTACTGTGTGTGCTGGCAGTCTGTGAAGCCCGCCGCGCCTCCATTTTCCACTAAGGCCTCCCACCACCTTGTTCTCCTTCTCAACCTCCCCTCACCCCCGAGCATTCACTGTTATCATTTCCCAGTCACGATTCAACCTCCTCCGTTGCTTTTGCACCCCATTCTTACATTTCCTTGCCCTCTCCCTTTCCCTGTCATGTTCTCCGGCAGGCCCGACGAGCGGCCTTTGATAGTGGGTCTCACTGCACGCACGGACAGCGGCATGGCGGAGGCATGTGTAGCAGCAGGCATGGATGCTGTATTACTCAAACCAGTCACAGTCCGACAGCTGGCGGCCACCTTGTGCCATGTGTTGAATGGTGTGTGAACGAGTGAGTGGCATCTGCAGCTTATGGTATTTCCCCGCGTCGTGAATACATGCCGGGTTGTGTTTCACATCCTTGTGCACACCAGCTCATCTGTCCACTTGGCCTGAGATGAGGATTTTGAACCCAGTTTACAACCATAAGTTGTATCTTGAGCAGCTGACAATTGATACTATGTGAAGAAGCCAGCACTTGTTGCATATGCCCAATGTTTTCTCCAGGATCTCTTTTGTAGATTTTGTACCAGTACCTGTAGATGTGTAGACAGTTAGTGGGGCTATGTACCATACTAAAGAATGCAACAATTCATGTCACAAATCATCATTCCAACACTAAATCCGACCATCCAGCAAAAAAACCGCACATATGCCACTTACGAGGAAGCTCTCAACATGGAATCCAATGAGGAAGCTCTCGACACGGAATCCAATGAGGAAGCTCTCAACATGGAATCCAACCCCGCTACACCCAGAATTGAGGCCTCTAGACCAGTGCAGCCATAGTAGCAGCAAGAAGGGCAGCTAGACCAGCACCAAGCAGGGAGCCAGAGGAGGAAGCAGCCTTGGGGGCAGGTGGGGGTGAGCTGGGAGTGGGTGAGGGAGGAGGTGAGCTAGGAGGGGATGAGCTGGGAGGGGTAGCTGGAGGGGATGCCGGTCCGGGAACCTCAGGAGTAACAATAGCTGAGCAGGCAGGGATGATGGGGTTAACAACCTCCGTGGGGTCCAGGGTTGTGCAGTTGGCTGCAGAGACCACAGCACCCGTCTCCAACTGCAGAAGCAACACCAGAAGAGCGAGTTAGCATGCTGGGCACATGTTTCCACATGTGCATCAAAAAATTGCCAGGAGAGGCAGAGGTTACAATACACACCTGAGCAACATTGTAGAAGTAGTACTTCTCGGGAACAGACACATCGCCGGGATGCATAATTGAGATCAGCTCAGCAAGGACCACCTGGGGCTGAGCAATGGCGCTCTCATACCAGTCTGCATAAGAAATGGTCAGCTCAGAACAAGGTTAGCAAGAGAAGTGAATAAGGCACAGAACCTTTTTTGCTAGGGTTGTGATACAAATACATACCAGTGGCGTAGTTGGGAGCTCCAGTGGCGCGGCCATACATGCTCCAGACATTGGGAGTGGCAAGAAACTTGTAGGTGGCGGTATCAGTGACATCGATGCCAGCATTCTTTGCAAACGCATCAATGCTGTAGCCTGACGGGCCAGTCATCAGATAGGTCTCGTCAAGGACGATGTCAAGAGTCTGTCATTGCAACAAAGATTTTCCAGATTGTTTTGCTCAGAATTAGTGACTAAATTCCAGGATGATCAGCCATCGCGAAGCAAGAAAGCCTTACCGCAAGCAGAGACTGGAAAGCCTTCTTATCAGATGGAAGAGACATGTTGTAGGTCCTCAAAAACGCCTTGGCGGGGCTCACACCGCCAGCGTCCGCAACGTACTGGGAAAAGCAAAAGTTATGTTAGAGTTCGTTCAGCCATACACGCAGCGAGCATTGCACTTGGCAATCAAAGACGCACCTGAAGCTTGTACGTAGCACCAGAGACGGTCCACGAATCCTGGTAGGGAAAACAATTTTCCAATATAAAACAGGAAAGTTAGCACCCATACAGTTGTTTTTCACTCACCGGGTATATTGTTCCACTGATTCAGACTCACCATGAAATAGCTCAGCCAGCCAACCACTGGCGTGGTGGTCTTGGGAGCAGATGCTTTCAAGCAGTTGTACGACGTCTCAATCTGGAAACGGCAAGGCATAAAAGTTTCTTGCGTATTTAAAAAAATGGGCCAGGGTTTCTCTGATCGCCATTAAAGTGAACATCCTTAGAATAAACGGACGGCTTACGTCAGAGTAGACTTCCGACGCGCGCGACTCGGCATTGAACCACAGAGCCATGTACTTGATCCATTCCGCTCGCTGAAAGGCAGAAAACCGTATCATAATGCCGCATTAGAACCGTAACAGTAGTAGATTGAGTAGACATGAAACAGAGAACATTAACTCGAAAAAAGTCCTGCATGTGCACCTTGAGCGGCCCAGGGTCGGTCGAAGTGTCCAGCGAGACATAGTTCTTGGGAAATGGCTTCAGGGTGTTCATTCCGGTGAAGACCGTACCAGGGAAAAGGCCGTCGCTCTCATTAAAGACCTTCATGGCACCGTCAGCCACAAGCTTCTGAACGCATGGAGCTACAGAGTAGCTGCTCGTCTCGTTGAGAAGGCTGGTCAGGCCCAGCATCTGCGGGTGAGGACAGGATTAAGTACTCAGTGGCAAAGACCATTGAAAGGACAACATTGCTATAGAAAAATTATGATACGATGCTTGTGGCTTGGTTACTACGTTTCTGGGAAATGGTTTAGTTACCTGGACGTAGCTAACTGAACGATCCATAAGCAGAACGGTTCGACGAAAGCCAACAAGCCAAAATCACAGCACAGAAGTTAGTCAGATCAATTGAGTAGCAGGAATAGGTAAGGAACGAAGCAAAATAGCGTCCCACCTGCAACGGATGAGTCGACGGCGAAACCCTTCAGGGGGATCTCAAAGAACCGGGTGGTCGCAGCAGGGAAGTTCGTGGGCTTGACAGCTCCACACTGACACAAACAATACAAATGTAGTAATGCATGAGTCAGAACGCATTCAGGAACAGTGAACACGACCGCAATGCGTTTCCAGATCTGGAGCTGAGAACGGGAAGTGGACGTACCTGATAGAGGACGTAGGTAGTGTTATCATAGCTGTTCTTAACAACCTTGTAGTAGTTTCCGTACTGCACCGTGAAGTCATTCGCAGTCTCCACGATGGTCTGGCTGATCGGCAGAGCGAACGGCTCGTCCTGGTACTGGTCCGGGAAATAGTTCACGGTGGGATCGAAGTTCGTGATACAGCCATCCTGGGCTTGCTGTGCAGACGCGGAAGCATGAACGGCCAGCGATGCCACTAACAACGCGATCAGGGGGTAAGCCATGGCTTGCTATCCTGAAGTTAGAACCAAGAAAGAACTTTCAGCCAGACACCCTATTATGAAATAGAAATTCTTGGGGAATGGGGTGGGATAATGAGGAGGGAGGCGAAGGAGCGGACAGCAGGGGGACGTGACGTCACCACCGTACAGTCGGTGCTCATTTCAAGAACACCAGGTAGGCGGGCGGCATGTGCGTGAAACGAGTTTGGGGCGGTTCGTCATGTTCGCCCTTGTCGCCACGGGCAAAATTGTGATTGTAAAATGAAATTGGAATTTGAAACGAGTCCGGGGGTTTAAGTTCGTAACCAGGTAAACAATTCTGATGACGGGCAATCGCTGTTGTTTATGAACTGTAGATGTTTTTCTTCCGCAACTTGGTGACTGTACCCGAAATCAGCACAATCACCACTCACAGGGAAAACGTTCGCGAGTGACTAATTTTCTAATAGTGGTAAGCAAATTTTTGTGATAGGCTGAGCATCGACTGTAGCAACAATGGCTTGCGGGGAGGCAGGTTGCAGGATTCATGGCTGGGGGGGGATGCGGAGGAAATGCGGAGGTTTGGAATGGGAGGCTCGCTGGGCACCAACAACAGCTGAATGGGGAAATGCGGAGCGGGGGGAGGGAGCGGATTCAGCAATTGCGGCTGGTGGTCACCGCGGCCACGTCGGACAATCGCCAGAAGCTCCCTGGCTGGGAAGCGCTTTTGTAAACCGCTAGCGTGGCAGACCAGAAATCCAGCGCCACACAGCTAAGTGCCCAAATTGGGGCAATGAGGCAATCGAAAATGCACTGCATTGGTATCGGAAAGTGTTCGGGCAAACCGAAACCATTTCAATACAGTTATCCGCGGAGATCCTGGAGGTGCATTCTGCTTACCCTGTTTGACAATCGTTGAATTCTCTGTAGCGAGTCCTCTGGAGCAATGATCGCTTCGACATCACAAATTCGAAACACACCTCTGGTGCATCAAGTCGTTACAAAGTTTATGCGAGAAATCTAGCAAGCATGTACCAAGAGCACTCAATAAGAGATCCCATCAGACACAAGCATCCATGGAGATATCTCCTCATACGCAAGCATCCACACAAGAGACAGCAAATCACGTATCATCAAAAGTCATCAGGCAAATGCGACGTCAAATGCGCCTGCACAGCCAACGCAGCTTCCTGTTTCTCCTCGTGCGTGCGCGGCTTCAACCCCTTGTTAAACTTCTTCTGATACAACCTCAGCGGCACAAACGAGCACGTCACCTTCCTGCCCGCATACACCCTCCCATGCAACATATGCGCCGCCCGTTTCGCACTCTCCTCCCGCGAAAACTCCACATACGCCCGCCCAACCCTCCACTTCTCCACCTCCCTCTCCCCCTTCCTTGCCGCTTCCACCAAATCACCCATCCCTCTCGACCCAGCCAGCACAATAGCCCCTGGTTGCCCTGGCTTACCTGCTTCTCCAGGCTTTCCCACCTGCCCTGGCTGGTGCCCAAGCAACCCCTTGCCAGCAGCAGGGGGGGGAGCACCAGGGGCAAACGGGGCAGGGAAGCGGATAGACCCTGGAGCAGCAAGAGTAGCAGCTGGGGTGGCGACACCTGGGGGAGGTACATCTGTGCCTGGGGGGACGAGGATTGGGGGGCGGAAGGGGGCGGGGAATGTAACTCCTGGGATGATGGGCATGGGAGGCCCGGGGGCAGGCATGCGTACGGGGGCAGGAAAGGCCACTGGGACTCCAGGGGGTCGGATGGGGGCAGCAGTGGCAGCAGGGCCAGTGGCAGCAGCGGGTGTGGCTCCAGTGGGAGGAGCAGTAGCAGCAGGGGCCGTGGCAGCAGCAGGGACAGCAGGGGCGGCAGGTGTAGCAGCGGCAGCAGCAGGAGAAGGAGCTGCTGCTGCCTCGGATTCCAGCTTGCTCTCCTCACTTCCCTTGCTCCCCTGCTTCTCCTCTGCATCCTTCCCCTCCTCTGCTGCTTCCTCTGCTCCTCCCTTTGCTGCTCCCTCTGCTGCTCCCTCTGCTGGTGCTTCTGTGCCTCCTCCCTCCTTCACAGCACTCCCAACTGCCGCTCCCTCCACTGTGTCCGCCTCCTGCTTCCAATCCTTCTCCTCACCTTTCCCCTCTTGTTCCTCCTCTTTCCCCTCCTCTGCTTTCCCCTCACCCTCTCCCTCCTTCCCACTCTCTTCCTTCCCTTCACCCTCCTTTACTTCCACACCCTCCTTCGCCTCTTCACCCTCCTTAGCCTCTGCACCCTCCTCTGCCCTACCCTCCTCCCCTGCCTCTCCCTTGTCCCCTTCATCCTCAGAAGCAGTCTCATAAACCTCCTCCTTAGCCCCTTCCGCCTCTTCCTTCCCCCCTTCCGCCTCTTCCTTCCCCCCTTCCGCCTCTTCCTTCCCCCCTTCCGCCTCTTCCTTCCCCCCTTCCGCCTCTTCCTTCCCCCCTTCCGCCTCTTCCTTCCCCCCTTCTGCCTCCCCACCTCCACTCTTCCCACCGTCCTCCTCCCCCTCTACAGTCACATTCAGATCAAGGGCAAACCCTCCCCCACCCTCAGATTCTTTTTCCTCAGCACCTCCCTCCTCCTTGTCTCCTGCCGTCTCAGCAGCGGCAGCAGCAGCAATATCCGCCAAGCCATCCAACGCCTGTCCTTCCGCCTCACCACTCTTCTCAGACGCACGCACACCACCTTCCACCTCCACCTCCTCCACCTCCTCCACCTCTTCCTCCCCCTTCTGCTCCTCTCCCTTCTCTACCTCCCCTCGTGTCTCTGGTACTACCTCCACCACATCACTATCCGAGTCACTACCTTCCTCCTCTGCTCGAGCCACTTCGACCACAGGCTCTACGGCTGCGCCTCTCCCACCCTCCTCCGCGGCTCGAGCCACCTCAACCTCCTCAACCACAGACTCTCCTGCCGCATCTTCACCTTTCCCACCCTCCTCCTCTGCCTTCCCTTCGCCCTTGCCTTCAGCTTCCTCCTCTGCTTCTTTCATCTTCTCATCCCCTCCCCCCTTCTCTTCTGCCTCCTCCTCTTCTTCCTTCTTCGCCCCCCCTTCCTTATCTCCACCCTCCTCCCCACCCTTCTCATCCTTAGCCACCTCCTTCACATCACCCTCCTCCCCTTCTGCTGCTGCACCTCCCTCCTCCGCCCCTTCCACCTTCTCCCCAGCAGCTTCCACTGCCTCTTCACCCGCCACTGCTTCAGCATCCTTCATTTCCTCATCCTTACTCTCCTCCTCCTTACCCTCCCCATCACCCCCAATTTGACCTTCCCCCTTCGCAACATCTTTCTCCTCTTTCACTGGCTCTTCTTTCACTTCCTTAATCGCATCGCTTGCAGCTGCTCCCCGCTCTCCCTCCTTCACCTCCCCTTCCTTCTCCTCCTCCGCTTCCTTCTTCACCTCTTTTACTTCCTCCTTCACCTCCACTTTCTCTTCACCCATCACATCAGCCTCCTCTTCCTTTTCCACCTCCTCTTTAATCCCTTCCAATCTCTCCTTCACCTCTTCCTTCACCTCTTCCTTTTCCTCCTCCTCCTCGTCACTGTCACTGTCATCAGGATTGGTGACATCCTTGGGACGAACAATGTGCAGCGATTTGACCGTGCCGAACCTGCCAATGACAATGTACAAAATTGGGAGGGGAGCGGCGGGGAGGGGGGAGGGAGGGAGGGAGAGGAGGGGGGGAGCGGAAATCAGAAATTGCACAGACATGCTGACAGGTGCAATGGCGATGGCACTAGAACGAAGGAGAGCACAAAATGCTTTAAAACAAGAATACACCACACCACAGCTCACCACACCACACCACACCACACCACACCGCACCGCACCGCACCACAATGTTCTCAGCACGCACCGCTTGCACTCGAGGCGAATGTCCTCCTCAAGGTCTTCAAAATCCTCCTCGCTCATAGCCTTGAGCTCCTTCTTTGTCATCTGCGCATGGTCAGATCACACACGGGGAGGGGGGGAGAGAAGGGGGGGGGGGGGGGACAGGTGAGGGAAGGGAGAGGCGGGGTGTGGGTATATGTAATGTGGGTCTGGTGGTGTGTGTTTTCATCCAGGTAGCCGGTGGCAATTGTTTTCCACACTTGCGGTTTATATGTGCATGGGGAAAGAAAAGCGGAGGGGGGCGGAAGGGAGCTGATTGTGTTGGGAAGAAGCGGGCTGTAAATGCTGTCAGCACTCGAAGCGAATGTCCTCCTCCAGATTACAGCAAATGCACCGACTACAACCGCGCCAGGATACAACAGCAGCACCAGGTTACAACAGCAGCACCAGGTTACAACAGCAGCACCAGGTTACAACAGCAGCACCAGGTTACAACAGCAGCACCAGGATACAACAGCAGCACCAGGTTACAACAGCAGCACCAGGATACAACAGCAGCACCAGGTTACAACAGCAGCACCAGGTTACAACAGCAGCACCAGGTTACAACAGCAGCACCAGGATACAACAGCAGCACCAGGTTACAACAGCAGCACCAGGTTACAACAGCAGCACCAGGTTACAACAGCAGCACCAGGATACAACGGCAGCACCAGGTTACAGCAGCAGCACCAGGATACAACAGCAGCACCAGGTTACAACAGCAGCACCAGGTTACAACAGCAGCACCAGGTTACAACAGCAGCACCAGGATACAACGGCAGCACCAGGTTACAACAGCAGCACCAGGATACAACGGCAGCACCAGGTTACAACAGCAGCACCAGGTTACAACAGCAGCACCAGGTTACAACAGCAGCACCAGGTTACAACAGCAGCACCAGGTTACAACAGCAGCACCAGGATACAACAGCAGCACCAGGTTACAACAGCAGCACCAGGTTACAACAGCAGCACCAGGTTACAACAGCAGCACCAGGATACAACGGCAGCACCAGGTTACAACAGCAGCACCAGGATACAACGGCAGCACCAGGTTACAACAGCAGCACCAGGATACAACAGCAGCACCAGGTTACAACAGCAGCACCAGGTTACAACAGCAGCACCAGGTTACAACAGCAGCACCAGGATACAACGGCAGCACCAGGTTACAACAGCAGCACCAGGATACAACAGCAGCACCAGGTTACAACAGCAGCACCAGGTTACAACAGCAGCACCAGGATACAACAGCAGCACCAGGTTACAACAGCAGCACCAGGATACAACAGCAGCACCAGGTTACAACAGCAGCACCAGGATACAACAGCAGCACCAGGTTACAACAGCAGCACCAGGTTACAACAGCAGCACCAGGTTACAACAGCAGCACCAGGATACAACAGCAGCACCAGGTTACAACAGCAGCACCAGGTTACAACAGCAGCACCAGGTTACAACAGCAGCACCAGGATACAACGGCAGCACCAGGTTACAACAGCAGCACCAGGATACAACAGCAGCACCAGGTTACAACAGCAGCACCAGGTTACAACAGCAGCACCAGGTTACAACAGCAGCACCAGGATACAACGGCAGCACCAGGTTACAACAGCAGCACCAGGATACAACAGCAGCACCAGGTTACAACAGCAGCACCAGGTTACAACAGCAGCACCAGGATACAACAGCAGCACCAGGTTACAACAGCAGCACCAGGTTACAACAGCAGCACCAGGATACAACAGCAGCACCAGGTTACAACAGCAGCACCAGGTTACAACAGCAGCACCAGGTTACAACAGCAGCACCAGGATACAACGGCAGCAACAGGTTACAACAGCAGCACCAGGATACAACGGCAGCACCAGGTTACAACAGCAGCACCAGGATACAACAGCAGCACCAGGTTACAACAGCAGCACCAGGTTACAACAGCAGCACCAGGTTACAACAGCAGCACCAGGTTACAACAGCAGCACCAGGATACAACAGCAGCACCAGGTTACAACAGCAGCACCAGGTTACAACAGCAGCACCAGGTTACAACAGCAGCACCAGGATACAACGGCAGCACCAGGTTACAACAGCAGCACCAGGATACAACAGCAGCACCAGGTTACAACAGCAGCACCAGGTTACAACAGCAGCACCAGGATACAACAGCAGCACCAGGTTACAACAGCAGCACCAGGTTACAACAGCAGCACCAGGATACAGCGGCAGCACCAGGTTACAACAGCAGCACCAGGTTACAACAGCAGCACCAGGTTACAACAGCAGCACCAGGTTACAACAGCAGCACCAGGATACAACAGCAGCACCAGGTTACAACAGCAGCACCAGGTTACAACAGCAGCACCAGGTTACAACAGCAGCACCAGGATACAACGGCAGCACCAGGTTACAACAGCAGCACCAGGATACAACAGCAGCACCAGGTTACAACAGCAGCACCAGGTTACAACAGCAGCACCAGGTTACAACAGCAGCACCAGGATACAACAGCAGCACCAGGTTACAACAGCAGCACCAGGTTACAACAGCAGCACCAGGTTACAACAGCAGCACCAGGATACAACGGCAGCACCAGGTTACAACAGCAGCACCAGGATACAACAGCAGCACCAGGTTACAACAGCAGCACCAGGTTACAACAGCAGCACCAGGTTACAACAGCAGCACCAGGATACAACGGCAGCACCAGGTTACAACAGCAGCACCAGGTTACAACAGCAGCACCAGGATACAACGGCAGCACCAGGTTACAACAGCAGCACCAGGTTACAACAGGGTGACAATTGCAACCAGCACAGCACATCAGGTTACAACTAAAGGTTACAGTAAAGGACACGCACCAGGTTACAACCAACAATGACAAGTAATGCAACAGGTTACAACCAACGGACGCACCAGGTTACATATCTCCAGAATGCGTGTGGGGGTCTGCATGAGCGGTTTAGCCTCCTCAGGAATGGAATACGTAGGAGTGGCGTCAGGAGGAGGCTGCAGGTGGCACACAGTGCAATGAAAGCAGGGGGGGAAAGAGGGGGGGAGGGAGGGGATCAAGAGAAAGAGGGAAGAGAAGGAAGAGGGCAGGGGCAGGTTGAGGGGATTGATTAGAAGGTCACGGTGAGATTTGGCAGAAGGAGACAGGGAGAGGAGGGATGTGGCAGCTAATTCTCAGAATACACAAAAGCCCATGGTGCCAACACTTGTTGCCTAGACCATACCATACCGTATAGCACCGCGTCATCGCAAAATCATATCGCATAGTACCTCCTCAGGTGCTTTGAGAATGGCTCTGACGACCGTGAGGATGGACTGGTGGCCTAGAGGTAACCCTTCACCTATTCGGCGCCTCAAAGACTGATGGCCCTTATTAGAACATTTGAACCGTACTGTACCTCCTCTGGTGCGTCAGGAGTGGCTCTGACAACAGTGAGGATGGACTGATGGCCCAGAGGCAGCCCGTTCAGCTTTTGAGCACCTCAAAGGGAGGACCTGATCCGATCTTGCTAAAAGTGGATTATCAGAAAGCATCGTACCTCCTCAGGTGCGTCGGGAGTGGCTCTGACGACAGTGAGGATGGACCGATGGCCTAGAGGCAGCCCATTCAGTCCCGCCTGTGCTGCCCTTGCCAAGATACACGACACATCGATATCCCCCATAGAAAGTTGCATCATACCTCCTCAGGTGCGTTAGGAGTGGCTCTGACGACGGTGAGGATGGACTGGTGGCCCAGAGGCAGCCCATTCAGTCCCGCCTGTGCTGCGCTCGTCACACTCGGATCCATGTACTGTGGTAGTGGTGATACAGTAACGGGTCATGCAATAACGGGGCACACAACAAGGGGTGGGAGTAAACACCATGCAGCAGCAGATGAGCGAAGAAAACGACAAGGGCGGGAGGGGAAGAGAAGGGGCGGGGGGTGGAGGGGTTGAGATGGGAGGGGGGAGGGGGGGAGGGTTGAGAGGAAGACAAAGGAGGGAGAGTGGGGTTGGGAAGGGTGAGAGAAGTTGAAAATAGCAAAAACTCAAACCTACTTCGAAGGCTATGTCAAAGAAAATGCCAGAAACAAGAAGGGGGGGGTCTGGGAGGCCTGGGGTGGCATGAGCTGAGCGGAGATTCAGGGTCCAGGGTTTAGGGTGCCAACAAACCTTGACCTCATAAAATTCGATTGTGAGTGTGCATGCAAATGCAAGCAGCACAGAAACTGACCTCAGCGAATGCGAATGCGTGGGGGAAGCGGGGGAAGGAGAGAGGTGTTGGCATAAAATTCCAGCTCCCTGCAAAACGCCCTCAGCTGCCCAAACACCCACATGCTGCCCACACGCCCGAGAAGTCGCCTCAGCAAGTGAAAAGCACAGTAGCTGACCTCAGCGAACGCGAATGCGCGGGGGGGCTTGGCATTGAGATCAAGCTCCCTGCGGAACGCCCTCAGCTGCCCAAACGCTGACAGCACCTCCCGAATCTGAATAGCACAGTGCAGGTGCAGAGGGGTGCAGAGAGGCACGGAGGAGCAGAGGGGAGTTGGGACGGGTGAAGCGGAGCGGAGGGAAGTTTGGATGGGTGAAGAGGTGCAGAGGGGAGGGGAGGCGCTAAGGGAGGGGAGGCGCAAAAAGGAAAGGACCTGGACATAGGGCGGGCAAGGATACAGATGTGAAACTCAAAGCATTGGGCATCACAACATGGAGCATAAAAGCGGAGGGAGGGGTGGTGGAGGAGGGGGGGAGGAAGAAGGGTGGGGGGGAAGGGGAGGCATGGGGAGGGAGGGCATGGGGTGGGAGGGCATGGGGCATGGAGGCGTGGGACAGGTTGGAAAAAAGTACAAGGAAAACTGGACGTAGGAGATAGGGAGGGCAGGGGTTGGCGAGGCAACGGGGTGGAAGCAAAGGGAGCATTGTATGATGAAAAGCGGCCAAACCAAAACGGGTAGCATGTTATGTGACGGTAGAAAGTGCCACACAGTGCTACAGTGTACCTTTTCAGCTGATAGCGCTGGGGGAATGCCTCCAATGAACAACTGTAGAAACAAACACCATCACATGCACCATCATTCCAACCATACCATCCCATGCACCATCACATGCACCATCCCATGTACCATCACATGCACCATCCCATGTACCATCACATGCACCATCATATGCACCATTACGCAAAACCAAAACACAGTTAGCAGGGGAAGTAGCAGGAAAGGAGAGAAACCGTTGAACAAACTAAACTTCTAAGACTTAGAAGCCAGATGGGTTCCGTCCCAGCAAGCCAACTGGTAGAGAGCAACTGAGAAAGAAGATGAACGGAACAGTGAGAAAACGAGAGGGCCCTGGTGAATCTTTAAGACCAAGCCTCACCCACACCACACCTCATCCAAACCCACCCAGATCCCATCCCGCACCCACCCCATCCAAATTCCCTGCCCCACCCACCTCTTCCAATCCCCAGCACGCACCTTGTTCGGCCCGTCCGGCACGACGTTGGTAATGACCTCCTTTGCTGCAGCTGCCACCCTTGACCCTTCTCCCTGCGCCCCACCACACTGCCAAGCCCCACCCACCACCCGTCCAAACCCAACCCACAACCCATCCTCGTCCCAGCCCCAGCACGCACCTTATCAGGCCCGTCCGGCACAACATTGGTAATGACCTCCTCGCCGCAGGTGCCACTCTCGGCCCTCCCTGTGCCCCACCCCATGGCTCGTCTCATCCAAGCTCCAGTCCCCCCAAGCCCACCTTCCCCCCAAGCCCACCTTCCACCCTATCCCAGTCCCCAACACGCACCTTATTAGGCCCGTCCGGCACGACATTGGTAATGACCTCCTTTGCTGCAGCTGCCACCGGCTTGGGCACGCCCCCTCCGAGCGCTATGGCGTTTGCATCCGACCCAGGCTGTGTGGAGGGACAGGGACAGTGGGGCGAGAGGAGCAGGGGAGGGGGAATGGGAGGGCAGAGGAGGGGAGAGGAGGGTCAGCTGCTACTGGCTTGGGCACGCCCCCTCTGAGCGCTATGGCATTCGCATCTGACCCGGGCTGTACGGGACATACAGGAAGAGCGGGGTGATTCAGCCACGAAAAACAGGAATGGGTGGCGCCGGGGGGACGAAAGGGGGGAAAGGGGGGAGGAAGGGGGGTTATGGTTCAAGAGGTTAATGAGCAGGGGACAGGGCTGAGGAAAAGGGGGACAGGGATAGCTGGACAACTGATGCAAAAAAAAGGGTTCAGGGCATGGAGCGACGGAAGAGGATTGGCTAACAACAATACTAAGGCACATTCCGAGCAACAGATGGGGCAGGGGGAGTGGGGAGGGAAGGGAGGGGGGGAGAAAAGCAGGGGAGGAAACGAGGAAGAATGCGTGAACAAAAAGACAGAAAGAGGGGTTGGGATTTTGGCAGAAGGGGAAGGGGGGGGGGAGAGATGCGGAAAACGGGAAGAAAAATATATCTTCCAGCTGTAGCACGGTTGTAGCCTGCTCAACGAGCACAAGACCCCCACTCACCACGTGCATGGGGTTTTAGTCCTTGGGGCGGCGGATCTTGAGCCCCACGCCGTGCAGCACGATGCCGTCCAGCTGTAGCGCGGTTGTAGCACGGTCAACGCTGGTCAACGCGCACAGCACTCGCACTCACAACGTGCATGGGGTTGTAGTCCTTGGGGCGGCGAATTTTCAGCCCCACGCCGTGCAGCACGATGCCGTCCAGCTGTAGCGCGGTTGTAGCGTCCTCTGGCTTCTCGAATTCCGCGAATGCGAAGCCCTTCTCCTTGTTCGACTGCGCACAGGAGGGCACAGGGAAGAGCGCGAAAGAGGGGAGGGGGGGGGGGGGGGAAGGTAGGGGCAGGGAACGAAGGGGAGAGATGGGGAATGGCGCGGTTGTAGCGTCCTCTGGCTTCTCAAACTCCGCGAATGCAAAGCCCTTCTCCTTGTTCGACTGCGCACAGGGGCCACGGGGAAATGCGCGCAGGGCGCGGAAGAGCGGGGGAGCAGGGGGCAGGGCGCGGGGGCACGTGGAAATGCGGGAGAGAGGGGGGGAGGTGGGGCGGGGCGGGGAAGAGCGCGGGGGGACGAGAAAGAGCGCGGGGGCACGGATACATGAGAGCGTGTGTGGGGATGAGTGCGGGGGGAGCTTACAAGTCATAACCAACCCTAACGCACCAACCACAACCTGCAAGCAGAAACCATAACAATCCATCACTGACCAAGAGACAACCCGCAATCATAAAATACAGACCGTGCAACCCTAGCAGTAAACGGCAACCCCGACCCGAAGCAGTAACCACCACACCAGCACACCAACCGCAACCCCAGCGCAATACGAACCGTGACGGCGATGCAGGGCTTGCGGCCGTCTTCCGCGGCGTCGATGGACGCCATGGACGCGTTGATGAACTCCAGCAGCTCGTTGTCCGTCACCGCCGGCGAGCCGGGGGAGGTGGGGGGGGGCACGAACGGAAGAAGAGCGGAGCGGAGTACGGAACGGAAGTAACCGCGATCCCAACACACTAACAGCCAACCCAGCCCATTCCCTGCAAATCCAACAAAATACGAACCGTGACGGCGATGCAGGGCTTGCGGCCGTCCTCCGCGGCTTCGATGGACGCCATGGACGCGTTGATGAACTCCAGCAGCTCGTTGTCCGTCACCGCCGGCGCCACGTTCCCCACGTACAGCCGCCGCGCCGGCCGCGTCAGCTGCGCCAGCGACGGCGTCGGCGCCCCCGCGGGTTGCGACAGCAGCCCTGCGCCTTCCGCGCCCGCCCCAGGCGCTCCCCCAGTGAGGCTTGGCGGAAGTATTCCCTGCGCGGCGGCGGCCAGCGCCGCGGCTGCCTTCTGCTGCGCCTCCTGCAGCTGCTGCGCCAGCTCCGGGTTCATCGGCGCGGAAGGTTGCGCCGGCGCCAGCGGTTGCGGAGTGAGCTGCTGCGCGGGGAACGACTCAAAACCCCCCGCGTCGAATTGCGCAGCGGGCGCAGGCGGAATGAGATTCTGCTCCTGCGCGGCTGCGGTGATCGCCGCGGCGGTCTGCTGCGCCGCCGCCACCTGCTGCGCCAGCATCGCGGGATCCAGCATCGCCGCGCTCATGCCACCCATTCCCCCCATCCCCCCCATTCCCCCCATGCCGCCGAACCCGCCCATTCCGCCAAAGCCCATGGAGGCGGTCTGCGTGACGGCGATTTGCTGAGCGGCTGCCACGTGTGCCATGACCGACGCAATGGCAGGGTCCACACCTTCCGGCCCCTGATCCCACCCGCGCTTCTTCCTCCTCTCCGGCGACGCCTGCTTGCGAGAGCGCGACCCCGGCGACGGCGTGCGATTTCCATGCTCGCCTTCTCGTCGCCTGGGCGAGTAGCCGCCCAACCGACGGCTGCGACGATAACGGCCTTCCGGCGATCTACTACGGTCGCGCTTTTTGTCGCGATCACGGTCGCGATCGCGGTCCCGCTCCGAACCCCTGTCCTTATCTCTACCCTTGTCCTTGTCTCTATCCCGATCCTTATCCCTCCCGCGATCTCGCCCTCTGTCCCGATCCCGGTCCCTGTCCCTATCACGATCGCGGTCCTTGTCCCGATCTCGACCCTTCTCCTTGTCTCTGTCCTTGTCTCTGTCCCTGTCTCTATCTCTGTCTTTGTCCCTGTCCCTGTCCCTTTCCTTGTCGCGGTCTTTCCGGTCCTTGCGATCTTTCTTCTCATCCTTCGGCGTTTCGGGTTGCGAGTCCTTCACTTCCGCGTCTCCGGCGACTTCCTCCTTATTAGCCTCCTCGTGATCCGCCATGACGCAATCTAACGTTGTTACCTGATGGTACCTGGTTAGTGCCCCTTGAGAAATACTCCGTTAGTGTCTAAGATATTAAAAGTCAAGATCCGAGCCAGCAAGAATAAATTCTAGTGTACCGAGCTGGCAATCAGAGATTGGACTGCTCGAGATTACCAGTAAAAACTAACATAGAATTTCTTGCAGCAAACACAGAAGCTCTATGAAATGCACGTAGCCGTAGGTTCACGTGTACACGGCCTACCAGGCGCTGGATCCGGACCGGACGGGGGAACCAAAACCTGATAGCAACGGCCAGGCAATTTAGCACTGGAGAAAGAATGCCTGAAATGAGCTAGGGTGGTGACCTTGGGATTTGTTCAGGGTTCAGGCAGAAGGTCTGGGTAGTTGGGTCTGAGGTAAGTGAAGAGGGAAGAGGGAAGAAGAGGGAAAGAGCGGTGCAGAGGGTTGAGGTACCACTGGGGTTTGAAAAGGTTCGTGACGACGGGTCACTTTGTTACCCTAACGCCTATATATTCAGGCGACTGTTTTGGAAGAGTGTGATTGTGCGTTCGCAAATGAATGTTGTAACAGAAAGTCCACACGGATTACCCAACCAACCAGATCTTCGGTCTCCTCCGCCCCAGCCTTCAATCTGGTTGGTCCCACGCGATCTAGTAGAAAGAACTCACCTCGGGATTATCGTTTTTGATTCAGATTCGTTCAGATTTTTGTCAACTAATTCTTCACGGATAGACCATTGCCTTGAAGCACCGACCATGGCTGCTTTGAGATTTCTTAGCCTGTTTGTTGTAGCACTCAGCCTTCTTTGTGTCGTTCAGAATGCGACCGCCGAGACAGCGGAATCTTCTGCCGATGTTCCATTTCTGCTGGTGTCGAAATCCGTGAAGATCAAGAAGATTAAAGAAAACGATGAGGACATTTCTGTGAACATAAAGATTTACAACGCCGGCGGAAGGTACTAACCTAGTCGTATTCCGCAACATCATCGATCGTGCAGTACATCGTAATCGATTCCCTGCTTCATTCTTCTTCATTTTCCGTTTCTCTCGCAGCATCGCGTACGATGTCTCGTTGGACGACGAGAACTGGCCGTCGGATCTGTTTGAGGTGGTCGGGAACACCACCCACTCCTGGGACTCCCTTGCGATGTAAGTTATCTCTTAGCTTGTCAGGATGGGTTTTCCACTGGTTTTGTTTTTCAGAATCATCTCGACGAGATCCACCCTTTGCCGAATTTTTAGAAAGAAACGTTTAACAAAGGTGATTAATTTTGTATACCTTCTCCGTGGCTCCGATCTACGGTGTACCCTCTTCATTGTTGCAGGGGAACAGCCGTTTCGCACACATACGTGGTCAAGCCCAAGGAAAAGGGCACTTTCGTCACCCCTCCAGCTACCGTCAAGTTCCGAGTGACATCTAAGGCTCAGCTTCTGGTCAGTCAAGCTAACTCACAACCAACAACAATCTAAAGCTAAAAGAAATCACGGTTTGACTGGAAACAGTAGTTATCATTGAAGGCTTTGGGACGTATTCTGATGGTTTACCCGTCAATTGGAATTTGGATCATGCTTTGTTTTGCTCGCTGATCCGCTTCTCTCAGACTGCCAAGTCGACGGGCGTGCCTGAGCTGGATCTGCTGGCTCCTATCGATCAAGCCGCCAAGTACCTCTGGGTGAGTCATCGTTTTGTCTATACTCTGCTGTGTGTTGTTAAAATGATGTTTGGGAAAAATCAAGCAAGCACCAAATATCAAAAACATTCTTTGTACAGTGAAGCCCCCATTCTTGTTAATTTGCGTGCATTCTTTTCCCCGCTCTGCCTCCCTTTTGTGCAACTGTGCTTGTGGCATGGCCTTCACATTCTGATGGGCTGACAATCGTCAACAGCTCAAGGTACGCATTGATGACCGCCAGTTAATTTACCCCTTCTTTGCATTACTAATCCAGGCGATTTCCTCCACAGCACCTGTTTCCCCCCACCCCATTTTCTAAATTTCTCGGGTTGTTGTGTCCATTGCAAGTCGCTACCCTCTTATCCCCTCAAACCCTATCTTGCTATCCTGCCACCGCAGTTTGTGAACTCACTTGCAGCCACATCTACGCATAGCCTCTCATCTAAACTTAC